TTTACATGCTGGTTTGAGAACTGTTGCTATGGACCCTTGTTTACATACTGGTGTGAGAACTGTTGCTATGGATCCTTATTTACATGCTGGTGTGAGAACTTGCTATGTACCCTTGTTTACATGCTGGTGTGAGAACTGTTGCTATAGACCCTTGTTTAAATGCTGGTGTGAGAACTGTTGCTATGGACCCTTGTTTACATGCTGGTTTGAGAACTGTTGCTGTGGACTCTTGTTTACATACTGGTGTGAGAACTGTTGCTATGGATCCTTATTTACATGCTGGTGTGAGAACTTGCTATGTACCCTTGTTTACATGCTGGTGTGAGAACTGTTGCTATAGACCCTTGTTTAAATGCTGGTGTGAGAACTGTTGCTATGGACCCTTGTTTACATGCTGGTTTGAGAACTGTTGCTGTGGACCCTTGTTTACATGCTGGTGTGAGAACTGTTGCTATAGACCCTTGTTTAAATGCTGGTGTGAGAACTGTTGCTATGGACCCTTGTTTACATGCTGGTGTGAGAACTGTTGCTATGGACCCTTGTTTACATGCTGGTTTGAGAACTGTTGCTGTGGACTCTTGTTTACACGCTAGTCACATGCCGGGGGCCACGCGTTTGTCCTAGAACAACACAACATGGGAGTCCCGTGCCTCCTGTAAAGACTGGTGTTACCTACGTGTCGTGCAGATCTGTTTAGCCAAGTTTCTCTTCTGTCATCTCTATCTACGTGTTAAAACACATACCCTCCCTCCCCTCCTTGCTGATCAAGGCCGTAGTTGGACTCTGTGGTACATACACACACCGCTCTGTTTTTTTTTCTCACATTACATTAGTATTTACGTTTGTAAAGTTTTCGTTGCTGACACTCACTGACACTCCCTCCCTCTCCTCCCTATCTTTGTCCCTTAATTATATATATATATATATATATATATATATATATATATATATATATATATATATATATATATATATATATATATTCCACTTCTCTCTTCCTTCGTACTATTCCTGACTTTTCTCCCCCCCCCCTCTCAGCCACCCCTCCTACTTTCAGCACTTCTTACACCTGACAAACCAATAACTCCAGCACATATGACGAAACTTGGATACACCAAGCAATACAAGGTGACACAATGTGGGTAACACGATGAGATTCTAGACCAAATACCGCTCTCGTTAGCTCGGTTCCTATTGAATGTGTTGCTGTAGATGTGTAGTGTACGGTAGCTTGTGTTATATACAGTTTGATCAGAGCTCGTTGTGGGCAAAGGTGTTCAATGCTGTATATGTAGACAGCTGTTATAATGCCGCCCCCATGTACACAGAACTGTAATTATGCCGCCCCAATGTACGCACCCCTTTAATTATGCCGCCCCATGTACGCACTCCTTTAATTATGCCGCAACATGTACGCACTCCTTTAATTATGCCGCCCCATGTACGCACTCCTTTAATTATGCCGACTCATGTACGTACCCCTGTAATAATGCCGCCCAATGTACGTACCCCTGTAATAATGCCGCCCAATTTACGTAACCCTGTAATAATGCCGCCCAATGTACGTACCCCTGTAATAATGCCGCCCAATTTACGCACCCCTGTAATAATCCCGCCCAATGTACGTACCCCTGTAATAATGCCGCCCAATTTACGCACCCCTGTAATAATGCCGCTCAATGAAAGTACCCCTGTAATAATGCCGCCCAATGTACGTACCCCTGTAATAATGCCGCCCAATGTACGTACCCCTGTAATAATGCCGTCCAATGTACGTACCCCTGTAATAATGTCGCCCAATGTACGCACCCCTGTAATTATGCCGCCCAATGTGCGTACCCCTGTAATAATGCCGTCCAATGTACCCACCCCTGTAATAATGCCGCCCAATGTACGTACCCCTGTAATTATGCCGCCCCATGTACGCACCCCTTTAATTATGCCACCCCATGTACGCAAACCTGTAATTATGCCACCCCCTGTACGCAAACCTGTAATACAGCCGCCCAATGTACGTACCCCTGTAATAATACCGCCCAATGTACGTACCCCTGTAATAATGCCGCTTCTTGTACACAGACCTGTAATCATTATGCCGCCCAATGAACGCACCCCTGTAATCATTATGCCGCCCCCAAAAAATGATTACTGTATTTCATATGAAGGGGAGATATAAAAAAAACAATGGTTGAAAAATGTTTTCATAGTCAAATAAAACACGCATCCAAAACTTAATAATGAAAAACCTTTAGATTAGATGCATTAAAATACGAAAATCTACATACTTTTTCTTTTGGTTTAATAGGACGAATTCGTGGCGTAGGTAGCAAAATATATGGGAAATATATTTTATGGGTAATCAAAATTAAAGGGAAATAATGCCTAAAATATGCACCTATTAGTTTGATAGGATTAAATCCCTTTATATTGCGTTTTAAATCCTGTCACTGTATTTTATCACGATTGATTAAATTATTCTTAACCATTGAGGTATGTGCAGGCTGTTCAAACAGTGTATGTTAGATTATTCTACTAGTGTGTTTGAGTTGTGCCTGTAGTCTTATCTGTTACATAATTAATGGACTGTATAAAGTACCAAGGTCTGGTTTGGTCTGAGGATTTACAGCACCCCTCACTTATCAGGGGGATAATTTGTCATCGTCACACACGGAGCCCAGTAGAGGTGCCCAAGTACTTAGACTTTTTTGAAAAACTTTTGAAAGAATCTGGAACAGGATATTTTGTTGGTACAACGTTAACACTTGCAGACTTCTTCATCTATGATATAATCTCTGTGACGATAGACAGAGGAGTCCTCAGCACATCCAAACATCCATTAGTGGATGGGTTAGTTAAGAAAGTTGAAAGTAATCCCAATGTAAAAACTTACCTGTCAAACAGAAAGAAGACTGATTTTTAATACAGAATAGAAACCTCCAGATTTTAAAATTACCTGTCCATTATAAAAAATTAAGGCTTTGTAAAACAAAAAACAACAATATCGGCATCTTAACATTTTGCCACATTATTAAAACAATTGTATGTAATTGACAGAAGTAATCTTTTTTAATTAAGATATAAAAAAATCCAATTTTAAAAATCTGTACTAAATTTAACTGTCTAAAGATGCTAATAATGTTTATAATGAAAATTTCCAGAGCTGTAAAATTTGAAAATATCACATTTGACAAACTTTCCAATTGTGTATTGTAGCATAAATATTTTATTCAATGAATAAGTGAATTTTAAAATTCTATCTTGCAACATTAGATTTCATTCATTGCATTGGTTTATTGTTGTGAAATTCAGCTAATGGAAGTAAAGTTTATTGTATCAAACTTAACATTGGCTGTCTATGTAAATAATTGCAATCCATATTTGATGTAACTTTATATTAATGTAAAATGTAAATAAATATGTAGACTAGAAAAAAAAAAAAAAAAGTCACACACGGAGCCCAGCACATTTCTGGTAGAGACCTTATCACTCTGGCATTGACACCATTTCTTGACAGTGCACACCACAGCTGGAGGACACTGGTCTAGCTGATCTTTCCATAGCTAGTTGCTGATCTTTTCATAGTTACTTGCTGATCTTTCCATAGTTAGTTGCTGATTCCATAGCTAGTTGCTGATCTTTCCATAGCTAGTTGCTGATCTTTCCATAGCTAGTTGATGATCTAATCTTTCCATAGCTAGTTGCTGATCTTTCCATAGCTAGTTGCTGATTCCATAGCTAGTTGCTGATCTTTCCATAGCTAGTTGCTGATCTTTCCATAGCTAGTTGATGATCTAATCTTTCCATAGCTAGTTGCTGATTCCATAGCTAGTTGCTGATCTTTCCATAGCTAGTTGCTGATCTTTCCATAGCTAGTTGATGATCTAATCTTTCCATAGCTAGTTGCTGATCTTTCCATAGCTAGTTGCTGATCTTTCCATAGCTAGTTGCTGATCTTTCCATAGCTAGTTGCTGATCTTTCCATAGCTAGTTGCTGATCTTTCCATAGCTAGTTGCTGATCTTTCCATAGCTAGTTGCTGATCTTTCCATAGTTAGTAGCTGATCTTTCCATAGTTTGTAGCTGATCTTTCCATAGCTAGTTGCTGATCTTTCGATAGTTAGTAGCTGATCTTTCCATAGCTAGTTGCTGATCTTTCCATAGCTAGTTGCTGATCTTTCCATAGCTAGTAGCTGATCTTTCCGTAGTTACTTGCTGATCTTTCCGTAGTTACTTGATGATCTTTCCATAGCTAGTTGCTGATCTTTCCATAGCTGGTTGCTGATCTTTCCGTAGTTACTTGCTGATCTTTCCGTAGTTACTTGCTGATCTTTCCATAGCTAGTAGCTGATCTTTCCGTAGTTACTTGCTGATCTTTCCGTAGTTACTTGCTGATCTTTCCATAGCTAGTTGCTGATCTTTCCATAGCTGGTTGCTGATCTTTCCGTAGTTACTTGCTGATCTTTCCGTAGTTACTTGCTGATCTTTCCATAGCTAGTTGCTGATCTTTCCATAGCTAGTTGCTGATCTTTCCATAGCTAGTTGCTGATCTTTCCATATTCTTTCCATAGCTAGTTGCTGATTTTTCCATAGCTAGTTGCTGATCTAGCCAATCTGATCAAAGCTAGACCCACCCTATAAACTTCTAGATCTAATACATGTACACATTGCCATTCATAAACCATGTCATGTTTGTCGATGCAATAAAAAACCCATTTAGAAATAGTTCATGACAGTATGAACAATAAATCTGTCTGTTTTATGATTTTATCTAAATGCGCAGGTGATTGTAAATAGTTCTTGTGAAAACTTAAACCCACTAACACAGTTACCTACCTATTATATATGTTAACTATTTCAAAAAATTGTTTATAGCATCTGTATCCCTTTATTATTGAGGATGCTATCTGTGGTTTAGAACAGTAATCATCATTATGATTTAAGAAACAAACAAAAACTTGAGAATTAACCCCATCATTAAAACATGTTTTTGTTTTGTTTTAGGAGAAAACAAGGCCTTGACAAGCAACAAGAATGTCTTAGACAAAAGACTGAGCAATTTTGCTAATGCTTTGAAAAAAGCGCAGGTGACTGTTCTTACATGTTCTATTCCAGCACACAATTTGTTAGTGAAATCACAGATCAATTTGATATTTTGAAATCATTCTACCATAGAGTTTTTAATAGTTGAAATAGATACTTTTTTCTAAAGAAAGACATTGAATTTCTTCTTTGCCATAGATTTTAAAACTAATAATTCACAATATATATTGAAATTTTTTTTTGCATTTATTAACTGCTTATTAATTTAATGTGTGAAACTTTTGAAAACAAATTTTAAAAATAATTTTTTGACTTTAACTTTTTTTGTGTTGCAGCTTGTGTTCAATTCTTACTGGCGCAGGTTTGTTTCAGCAGGTGAGTCAAAGCTAATAGCAGGCTGGCCTAGACCAACTTGCTAGCAGGCTGGCCTAGGCCAACTTGATAGCAGGCTGGCCTAGACCAACTTGATAGCAGGCTGGCCTAGACCAACTTGCTAGCAGGCTGGCCTAGACCAACTTGCTAGCAGGCTGGCCTAGACCAACTTGCTAGCAGGCTGGCCTAGACCAACTTGCTAGCAGGCTGGCCTAGACCAACTTGCTAGCAGGCTGGCCTAGACCAACTTGCTAGCAGGCTGGCCTAGGCCAACTTGATAGCAGGCTGGCCTAGACCAACTTGATAGCAGAATGGACTAGACCAACTTGCTAGCAGGCTGGCCTAGACCAACTTGATAACAGGCTGGCCTAGACCAACTTGCTAGCAGGCTGGCCTAGACCAACTTGATAGCAGGCTGGCCTAGACCAACTTGCTAGCAGGCTGGCCTAGACCAACTTGATAACAGGCTGGCCTAGACCAACTTGATAACAGGCTGGCCTAGACCAACTTTATAGCAGGCTGGCCTAGACCAACTTGCTAGCAGGCTGGCCTAGGCCAACTTGATAGCAGGCTGGCCTAGACCAACTTGATAGCAGGCTGGCCTAGACCAACTTAATAGCAGGCTGGCCTAGACCAACTTGATAGCAGGCTGGCCAAGACCAACTTGATAGCAGGCTGGCCTAGACCAACTTGCTAGCAGGCTGGCCTAGACCAACTTGCTAGCAGGCTGGCCTAAACCAATTTGATAGCAGGCTGGCCTAGACCAACTTGATAGCAGGCTGGCCAAGACCAACTTGATAACAGAATGGACTAGACCAACTTGCTAGCAGGCTGGCCTAGACCAACTTGCTAGCAGGCTGGCCTAGACCAACTTGATAGCAGGCTGGCCTAGACCAACTTGCTAGCAGGCTGGCCTAGACCAACTTGATAGCAGGCTGGCCTAGACCAACTTGATAGCAGGCTGGCCTAGACCAACTTGATAGCAGGCTGGCCTAGACCAACTTGCTGGCAGGCTGGCCTAGACCAACTTTATAGCAGGCTGGCCTAGACCAACTTGCTAGCAGGCTGGCCTAGACCAACTTGCTAGCAGGCTGGCCTAAACCAATTTGATAGCAGGCTGGCCTAGACCAACTTGATAGCAGGCTGGCCTAGACCAACTTGATAACAGAATGGACTAGACCAACTTGCTAGCAGGCTGGCCTAGACCAACTTGCTAGCAGGCTGGCCTAGACCAACTTGATAGCAGGCTGGCCTAGACCAACTTGCTAGCAGGCTGGCCTAGACCAACTTGCTAGCAGGCTGGCCTAGACCAACTTGATAGCAGGCTGGCCTAGACCAACTTGATAGCAGGCTGGCCTAGACCAACTTGATGGCAGGCTGGCCTAGACCAACTTGCTGGCAGGCTGGCCTAGACCAACTTTATAGCAGGCTGGCCTAGACCAACTTGCTAGCAGGCTGGCCTAGACAAACTTGATAGCAGAATGGCCTAGACCAACCTTAAAGGAACTTTAACATATATTTGTACTGACTATAGACCAGAAATATTTACATTCTTTTATCTTACTTTTTTTTCTATATTCATTTGATTTTTTATTTGAAGTAATTGCTTTTGTATTTTGTGATGAGTACAGTAGAATTTGTTTTGCATTGTTTCTTACTGGTAAAACCTAACATTGATTTGTAGGTTTGACAGCGAAGAAAAAGCCAAAGATAATACCAGACTGTTACAAGTCAGTGATGAAAAGTTACCTGAGTATGTTTTTTTTTTAATTTCTATACTTCTTAAGTACGGAGTTTGTGCTTTTATATATATATATATATAAATATATATATATATATATATATATATATATATATATATATATATATATATATATATATATATATATATATAGTTTTTATTAAAACTGTCTAATAGGTTTTGAGCTACAACGTGAAGAAAGTTCTGACGAAAATGATGCTGACTATGATGAAAATGATGATGAAAATGATGAAAACGTGGATGAAAATAAAGTTGAAAACGGCTACAGCAGTGACTCTGAAGATATGAGTGAGGGGGAGATCACTACTACTGCAGATTTTGTCAAGTCACCTCCAAGCTGCAATAATGCTGGACGCTCCAGTCCTCAGAGAAGTCCTATAGAACCTCAGAGAGCTGTAGGCCACCAGAGGAACCTTGATACTGACATTAAACGTTTAGCAAGTGGGAGGAAATTAACTGGAAACAAATCTTTACTAAAGTCTATAGAATGTGATAAGGAGAGTGTGGAAAATAGAACTTCAGCGCTAGAGGCTGACAAGACTTGTCTACAATCGTTTAACAAAACAGCTTTTGTTAAAGCAAGTAAAAACTGTTCCCCATACAAACATGAATCAGCCACACACCACAATTCTAAATCTATCCAACAAAAAAATACACCATCAAAGTTTAAGCCACAAGTTAAGCCTTCAGCCAACCCAAGTTTTTCTAAGAGGCAGTTAGCATCTGAAGATGAAGAGGACTCTCAGCCAAACTTTAAACCTTCCAACCAAAGAGATGCACCATCTCAGCGTACAGCACAACCTAAAACTTCTCACACCGTTGGTGATTCTAAAAAACATTTATCTGAAGATGAAGAGAACTCATCTCTGTCCTCTCTGTCTTCATCATCCTCCTCCTCCTCTTCAGACGAGGACAGTGATAGCAGTATTAATTCCTTATCAAAGTGCAATGGCTTCAACGAAAAGAAGGCAGCCAAAAGCCAAACACCAAGCCTTGAAGAAATATTTTTGTTTGCCAGAATACAGAAACTTCTCTCTCCACTACCACCTACCCCCAGCCCGGTAAGTCACATGATTATGTTTACAAAAATACTGGATCAAAACTACTGTAGCATTGTATCTAAGTTAGACTTTGCTGGTATTGTTGCTTAAACCTTGTTTTTTTTGTTTCAGCCACATTGTATAGAAGACATAAACACCCCAGACTGTGATAATCTAATGGATGACTTGGCTGGTGAGCTCACTGCATGACCTTTTACTGTCTCATTTAATTTTTTTCTTTTTACTTTACTCTGTACACTTTTTTTTTTAAATGACTAATATCAAAGCTTATATGAAAATTAACATTAAAATGTTCATTCTTATTAACTTGCTATAAAAGTTGACAGTACAAATCCATTTCATAATTTCCATGAGGTAAAAGTGATAGGAATTGTTAGTTTAGGTAGAAAGGAGACATGAGTTGTGTTGTTAATTCTGTATCGACTTAATATTGCTGGAAGTAACACCCACCTAGCCAGTCATATTCCCAGCTAGCCAGTTATGCAACCCTACTAGGAAAAAATATAATATTGCTTAATAATATGTTTATGTTAAAATTTTCAGACAACGAAGACTTGTCTCCAAGAGAGAGGACCGTAAAATTTTACCTCAACTCTGACAGTGAAGAGGATGACAGGCCCTCCACACCTGTTAAGTCCACCCTACAGTGTTCTGACAGAGAAACTGTGCCTGCAGCAAGTGGTGTTGTAGATTCATCTGTCCTGGGTTTGGAAGACAGTAACATAGGGATGTCCTGTGATGAAAGTGCTGACGTCAGTCTGTTGTGCCAGTTTTTAAATTCTGTGACTTCGGATGATAACATCAATCCATCTGTTGACTGTAAAACATGTGAAAATACATTCCCAATCACACCTGTTGACTGGGGAACATCAGGTGAAAATGTGATACCATCCAACACCACACCACTAGTTCCTGCAACATCACCCAAGAAGGCAGCATCACCCATCAGCACACCTGCAAACACCGCAACACCAAGTGAAACTATAACTTCACCTGGTTTTACACCTGTGGACTCGGCAACTGATCTGGGTGATTTTTCAGATAGAGTTCCTGAGTTAGACACCCAAACACCTCCAGACACCTCATTGACTGAAGACTTACTGCAAGAAGTGCCAGATGTATTCTCTAGACTAGCAGCCCTGTCTGCCAACAATGTCTGTGAATATGGGGACGCTGGAGACTTCTTGCCAGTAGGGATTAAAATCCTGCAGGCAAGTGACCCTGTTGATACCCCAACAACAGATATAAACTGTAAACCTAGTCCAAAGCAAAATCTATATGCTGACCATATGAGCTTTCCTGGTGACAAGGGAGACTACTGTACAATTGCAACTGTGATGGGAGATAACTCAGGGATACTAGTGTCAGATACTGACAGTATTGTTGAACCTGTTCTACATTCGAATCTATGCACTGAGAGTGCCTCTGTTGTAGGTGATATGCCTAATAACTCTTCAATTAATTTAAAATGTGTGGATGAATCCAGTGTTAATTTATGCTCAGGTAACAGTGATAATGACATTATGCAAGAACAAAATGTGGCAACAACTGCAGGGAATGATAATAGTAATGTAACTAATGATGCAGTTTCTCCTAAACTGAGAAGAATAAGGACCAGGAGCCAGAATAGTGAGAGCTCACCATTTTTAGCTTTAGAGACAATCCCTCGATCTAGAGTTAGAACCAGTAGCCATACCAGTGAATCTTTGACACCATTACCTGCTCCCTCACCATCCAAAACTAGGAGCCAGCCCTGTGATCAGGTGACACCTTCAAAGATGACCGACACAAGAACGGCTTTAGTTTCTCCCTCACTGTCTAGAACTGGAACTAGGGGCACCAGAAGAGAATCATTTTCAGCGTCTGAGATACCTCTTCAGACACCACCCAGGCAGAGAGGTAGGAGGAGAGAATCTTTGTCACCTTCGGCTTCGGAGGTACCTCTTCATACACCACCCAGCCAGAGAGGTAGGAGGAGAGAATCGCTTTCAACTTCAGAGGAACCTCCTCAGACACCACCCAGGCGTAAAACTAGGAGCCAGACAAGGAGATCATCATTGTCAGAAGAGAAACAAGGAACTGAAAGTATTTCTATATTACAGACACCATCACCTTCGGCTTCAGAGGTACCTCCTCAGACACCACCCAGCCAGAGAGGTAGGAGGAGAGAATCTTTGTCACCTTCGGCTTCGGAGTTACCTCTTCCGACACCACCCAGCCAGAGAGGTAGGAGGAGAGAATCTTTGTCACCTTCGGCTTCGGAGTTACCTCTTCCGACACCACCCAGCCAGAGAGGTAGGAGGAGAGAATCGTTGTCGCTTTCAACTTCGGAGGAACCTCCTCAGACACCACCCAGGCGTAAAACTAGGAGCCAGACAAGGAGATCATCATTGTCAGAAGAGAAACGAGGAATTGAAAGTATTTCTATACCACAGACACCATCACGTGGAAAGAAAAAGTTGAGCATGTCTGACAAGGATGTTTCACACACAGCTCCACCTGAACTCCCAGCTGTTCCCCCTAGTCTCCCAGCTGTTCCCACAAGTCTCCCAGCTGTTCCCTCTAGTCTACCAGCTGTTCCCTCTGATCTCCCAGCTGTTCCCACAAGTCTCCCAGCTGTTCCCTCTAGTCTACCAGCTGTTCCCTCTGATCTCCCAGCTGTTCCCTCTAGTCTACCAGCTGTTCCCACAAGTCTCCCAGCTGTTCCCTCTAGTCTACCAGCTGTTCCCTCTAGTCTACCAGCTGTTCCCTCTAGTCTACCAGCTGTTCCCTCTGATCTCCCAGCTGTTCCCTCTGATCTCCCAACTGTTCCATCTGATATCCCAGCTGTTCCCTCTGATATCCCAGCTGTTCCCTCTAGTCTCCCAGCTGTTCCCTCTGATCTCCCAGCTGTTCCCTCTGATCTACCAGCTGTTCCCTCTGATCTACCAGCTGTTCCCTTTAGTCTACCAGCTGTTCCCGCTAGTCCTTTAGCTGCACCAACTAGTCCTGCTGTCAAAACTCTCCAATCCAGCCCTGCTGTTCCATTTACTCAGTCAGTTCTGACAGCTGTCCAAACCACTTCCCCAGCTCAGGCAGCTGTACAATCTTGTCCCCCTGTTTTCCCAGTCAGTCCTCCTGTAGTGCCAGTCAGTTCCCCAGCTCTGACAGCGGTACTATCCAGTTCCTCTGTTCTGCTTGCTAGTCCCTCCGCCCCAGTCAGTCCCCTATCCAGTCCCCCAGCTCCAACAGCTGCCTCCATCTCTCTCACAGACTACATTCAGGACATCATGGGAGACATGAGTGACCTCAGCAGTGATGAGAGTGACAGTGAGCAACTTCCATCAAAGACACCTCTCCCACCTAACACTGAGGGTGCTAGTCCTGTCTCAACCCATCAAAGACCTGCCAATCAAATATTTGACAAATCTCCCAAAGCTTCAGACAAGGGGGGCTCTTTGGGCCATGATGACATCACCTGTAAGGTTACAACACCCAGAGGTAGACCAAGCAAGAAAAACTCTGTAACAGCCAGTAACAAAACAGATGATATCAAACCTGGCTTATCATCAGAGGATGAAAGTAAAGCAAACACTTTGCCACAAAACACAGTCTTGCCTCACAATAAAGCAAGCACTTTACCACAAAACACAGACCTGCCTCGCAGTAAAGCAAGCACTTTATCACAAAACACAGTCTTGCCTTACAATAAAGCAAGCACTTTACCACAAAACACAGTCTTGCCTTACAATAAAGCAAGCACTTTACCACAAAACACAATCTTGCCTCACAATAAAGCAAGCACCTTACCACAAAACACAGACTTGCCTCACAGTAAAGCAAGCACTTTACCACAAAACACAGTCTTGCCTCACAGTAAAGCAAGCACTTTACCACAAAACACAGTCTTGCCTCACAATAAAGCAAGCACCTTACCACAAAACACAGACCTGCCTCACAGTAAAGCAAGCACTTTACCACAAAACACAGACTTGCCCCTGAAGAAGAGAACCCAGATGGAGTATGCTGCATTCAAAATCTCCCAGATGCTGAGCAGAGCTAAATCAAATAAGAGGACACAAGACGCATCAAAGCTTGTAAGAAAGGAGAACACAACTAAGAAACCACCCACAACTAAGAAAGCATCCACAACTAAGAAAGAATCTGTAAGCAAATCTAGAAGTGGAAAAGCTAAATTGAGTGAGGAGTGCTTGAGCAGTGATTCAGATTGTGAGCCGTCTTTGAACCATTCAGGGATGGAGGCAGGGAACACAAGCAGGTACAAGGGTAAAAGTGGAGCAACAAGAAACAAAGGCAGGGACAAGTCTCAGCCTAAGACAGCCCCCAACAAAAAACCATGTCAGATAGGGGCTAAGCAAGTTGAAGAGGCTGAGAAATCTGACGATGTAAACACCAGTGACCTTGACACCAGCAGTTTGTCATTTGATTCTGATGAGGAACCAGACAAAGTGGTGACAAGAAACAAGCGGGTGTTACCTGCAAAGTTGAGGAATCACAAGACTTATGGTGAGTCGTAAGATGTTGTGGTTAAGTGGGTTTTTTTTTCAGTCTTTGTGCTGTAAACTAAAGATGGATAATTGGGTACCCGGGGTGTTTGTTTTAAGTGATGAATAAATGAATGTAGCACTAAAATAAAATGCATTATAAAGAGTATTCGATTTACAATCCTAACATTGATGAGTTGGGGTTGTGAGCTTGTTTTTATTCATTTAATTGTTTTTTAAAGTTTAAATCCGTTACCATTGAGCATTGTAGTAGTTGATACCATGGCACTAATGCCTCAGCTATGTGAAATAGCCTAGTGTCTATATAACTGCTTAGGTCTCCTTTCATATGCCTCAAATAATCTTTTTGATAGCCACTGATGTTTTTTGTACAACAGCTCAAGTAAATTAATTTTAATTTTAAAGAAAGTTAAAAAAAGCTTGATTTATATTGTGAAAGTTATTGTAACTTTCATTATATTTGTAATTTTCACTTACTTAATTAAGCTTGTTAAATTCTGTATGTTTGCTCAAGAAAAAAAAATCTCAACGCAGAAATCATTTCTTTCCTTCCCAGAATCTCACAATAGACATCCCAAACATAAAGTATTGCACAACCCAACATCAGGCAATGTGATGTCTCACAACCCAACCTCAGGCAATGTGATGTCTCACAACCCAACCTCAGGCAATGTGATGTCTCACAACCCAACATCAGGCCATACTTCAACTGACAAAGCAGCATCAGACAACACAGCATCAGACAACACAGCATCAGAAAATGTGTCTAACAATAAAACATCAGGCAGTGTGATAACTGACAGCGAAGCAGCAGGCAGTGATGATACTGACAACGAAGTATCGGTCAATGTGGTGACCAACAACGAAATATCAGGCAATACATCATCGGACACTACAGCATCCAACTCTTTGTCAGACACCACTGCATCCATCCATTATTTGTCAGACAACACTGTATCTAACAAAGTAACCTTTAACAATGCCTCAGATACAACACTGCCTGACAGCTTAGCGCCTCCATCAAATGAACCTCCTAGGCCAGCCAATGCTGACAGCACCGTTGTTCCCAGGTTTTCCTCAGCTTTCATAATGTCTCCAGATTCAGCATTCAAAGCTGTCAAGGGCCCCAAAGGTCCAGCCCTAGCTCACCCAGCCCAGCACCTTGCTACAAGAGTTGCTCCGGGTCCAGACACCACCCTCACACAGACCAAACCTGTTTCTTTATTGCCTCCAGCCCATCAATCCAGTCAACCAGCCAAAGAAGTATCCCATCTTCTTCAGCCATCTGTAGCTTGTGTTAACAAAGACATTGCACATGCTGATGAAGAGCAGCCACCCCCTGCTAAGTTTCATGCCATCAAAAATTCAAAAGCTGCCAAATGTATTTCTTTTGTAAGCTCTGAACCTAGGAGAAGCTCTGTTCCCAGTTTGGCTCAATTAGACAGTCAGTCAAAGTTTGATACTTCCAACTTCCAACCAATTAACCCTCCGGTCACTTCATTTTTGAACCACTCAGTAACAACATTGAGCAACCCTCCAGTAACATTGAACAACCCTGCAGTGACATTGAGCAACCCTCCAGTGACATTGAGCAACCCGGCAGTGACATTGAGCAACCCTCCAGTGACATTGAACAACCCTGCAGTGACATTGAGCAACCCTCCAGTGACATTGAACAACCCTGCAGTGACATTGAGCAACCCTCCAGTGACATTGAGCAACCCGGCAGTGACATTGAGCAACCCTGCAGTGACATTGAACAACCCTGCAGTGACATTGAATAACCCTGCAGTGACATTGAGCAACCCTGCAGTGACATTGAACAACCCTGCAGTGACATTGAGCAACCCTGCAGTGACATTGAACAACCCTGCAGTGACATTGAACAACCCTGCAGTGACATTGAGCAACCCTGCAGTGACATTGAACAACCCTGCAGTGACATTGAACAACCCTGCAGTGACATTGAGCAACCCTCCAGTAACTTTGAACAACCCTGCAGTGACATTGAACAACCCTGCAGTGACATTGAGCAACCCTCCAGTAACTTTGAACAACCCTGCAGTGACATTGAACAACCCTGCAGTGACATTGAGCAACACTTCAGTAACATTGAGCAACCCTGCAGTGACATTGAGCAACCCTACAGTGACATTGAGCAACCCTCCAGTGACATTGAGCAACCCGGCAGTGACATTGAGCAACCCTCCAGTGACATTGAGCAACCCTCCAGTGACATTGAGCAACCCTCCAGTCACGCCTTTGACCAACTCTATTTTGGTGCCATCAATCATTCCTCCAGTTACATCATCAACCAACCCTCCAGTGATGTCTTTGACCAACCCTCCAGTGATGTCTTTGACCAACCCTTCAGTGGTGTCTTTGGCCAATCCTCCAGTTACATTATCATCCAACTCACCAGTGTTGTCTTTGACCAACCCTTCAGTGGTGTCTTTGGCCAATCCTCCAGTTACATTATCATCCAACTCACCAGTGTTGTCTTTGACCAACCCTTCAGTGGTGTCTTTGGCCAATCCTCCAGTTACATTATCAGCCAACTCACCAGTGTTGTCTTTGACCAACCCTTCAGTGGTGTCATTGACCAACACACCAATGGTGTCATTGACTAAACCCCCTGTCACAACATTGACCAACCCTCCAGTTGTGTCATTGTCCAACCCCCCAGTGGTATCCTTGACTAACCCCCCAGTCACAACATTAACCAACCCTCCAGTTACCACATTGACCAATCCCCCAGTGGTGTCACTGACCAAACCCCCTGTCACAACATGGAGCAACCCTCCAATCACATTTACCAACACTCCAGTTGTGTCATTGACTAACCCCTTAGTCACATCAATGACTAACCCCCCAGTGGTATCATTGACCAACCCCCCAGCCACAACATTGACTAACCCCCCAGTGGTATCATTGACCAACCCCCCAGTCACAACATTGACCAACCCTCCAGTGTTACCATCGACTGACCCTCCAGTTATACCGCTGACCCACCCTCAAGTGAGGTCACTGATCAACCAATCAGCAACAAAACCAGCACAACCCCAATTTAATCCAGTAGTAAGGAAAAGGAAATTAAATACCTCAGCTTCATCCAGCCCATCTTCAAGAAACTCAAATGAAACATTACTCTCAGAAATTTTCCACTTTTTCAAAATTCCACGTCTGCTGTCACCACTGCCACCTTCACCTGTATTTGTTGAATGTCCTGATGGTGCACCGGTCAACTTTGGCTCCTCTACGTCATCTGCTGATATCATTAAAGTTCATCCATTGGGCAAACCCACCAAGGCTAATAAAAGTCTCTCTCATCACATGGCTGAGGCCAGGCTGTTGCTGGCCAAAAAATCTGCAATTTCTATGAAGTAGGTCACTGTAGTACTGTAATCTTTTCATATTTTACATGACAGCTTAAGATTTAGTCTACACTTGGGTATTATAGGATGTAATGCTGACTTGGCTATTTAAAATGATAAACAGAAACATCGAAGACAGTTTTAGTTGCAAATTAAATTAACTTTTTAAATTTTCAAAAAAAAAAGAAAATTTTTGATGTGATAAATAAAAAATCATTACAACATTTAACTAATAGTTAGACACGATTATCTTGTATTTTCATACATTTCTGCCTAGTGTTCAAACTTCATAAAAATATTTAAAACCTTCACAGTAAAATCCAGGCAGCACTTGACAGAAAGAGAAAAGCAGAAATAGTCGGTCAGGCTTCTCCAAGTACAGGTGGAGCCACAGTCCAACAAAGTAGGAGCCATGCACAGCCTGCCACCAAAAGACAGGTAACAAGCCTTTATTTGTACTGAAGATTCTATTGTAGTATAAACTTAAACATAATTTGTAGCAACTTAAACTATCTGTTAGCATTTAATTTTTTTTTCTTTTTATTCTACTAATTTTAATTTAACTTTGTCCTCACAGTAACATAAGTTAGACAATCTTCGCTCGACAAATAATTATTGTTACTTTTGTTCCCATGGTGACAGAAATTAGCCAACCTGAGTAGCTTCCCCTCACCTTCTGATGCTATCTACCATGACCTGCAAGTTTTCCTGGACACAGACCAAGTGGATGTCAAGCTGACCATTGAGACCATGCTCAGTAGGGTTGATGGCAGTGACAGCAAGGCTATGTGGAAGGTCTTGCCCCATACTGTGGTCAGGGTAGGTCGAAGATAATTCTTTCATTGTGTTATGTGGCTTATAAAAAGAAAAAAATTCTGATAGCATTAGGATTAGCATAGAAGAAACTCTGACTGCATTAACTTAAAGTTTTGGACATAAGTGTCGGTGGAGTAGGTGAAATAATTTTTTCTTTTTCTGTGGCCATGATGTGTGACCAGCACAATCTCCAGCCAATATAACTGGACACTGTTGACTAAACTTTAGGTTTCTTTAGGTGTGTTAAAAGCCTGTTGAGAAGGGGGGGGGGGGGGGGGGCTTTCACTACACACTTAGTGTGACCAAAGTTGAAGGATCATCTTATAGGCCAATTTAATATAATTAACGTTGCTATCATTAACTTTCAGTATCTGTCAACAAAAGAAGAGAATGTCCTAGAAGAACTGTTTGCAGCCTGCCAGAAGAAAGGAATTATTAAGACAGTTTTTATCAGTCAGGCTGAGTCTAAGCTTTTAGACTTTCTCTCAGAGTTTATCAAATTGTATCAGGTAGGTCATCTTATGATGAATTCGTTGTTTTTTTTTTGTAAACGATTGTTGGTTTATCTTCTAAAATTTTGACGTAATGTATATCAAACAGTTCTGTGTGTTAGATGTCTCTCACTATTTCCTCATAGCTGACCTTTTATCAGAAGTATTTTTTTTTAAAAATACAGAAGGGGCTTTAGTCTACATAGTTATTATAAGCTTAAATGTTGGTATAACCATGATAAAAGCAAGAACTGGGTGTGCCATCTAGATTGTATCATTGAATTGATGTCACCATTATATCCTAGGATACAGACAAGAGTGGACTCATGGGGGTTGTGTGGACGGCCATATTCAACAAAGAATTAACAAGCCAGGCAGCCAAACAGTCTCTCAGGTAGGCAGTGTTGTATACTTACACAACTGTTCATGTTTGATTTGATTAATGGTGTAAAAATTCCAATGTTTTGTGTTATTGAAATTAACTCAGTAAGTTTGTGGTATTTGGTCACTCTAAAATTGATTTTTCTTCTTCTATTATTTAAATTAATTGATTTATCTTCATATATTATTTAAATTAATTGATTTTTCTTCATATATTTTTTAAATTAATAATTTCATATGGTCTTTTTCAGTCGTCTTTTTACTAGTCTCTGTAAAACACAAGGTAAGAATGATTTGCTTAAGTTTTATTAGTTGGATAAAAATATGTTTCCTTGAATTTAGCAAAATAACAAGGTTTTTTTTAAGTAGAGACATTTAATCTAAACACATAATCCAATATTTATTTTACCTTTTATTTGGTACCATATGGCTTTTTCTTTGTTCGCCAATTATATTGGCAAAAAACCAACTGGGTTTTAATAAATAAAAAATAATCAAGTAAAAGTAACTATCTTTCTTATAAAATACTTAAAACGAAGGAAGTTACTTCTATGAAAGCGTCCCTGAATGTTGTCATAAATTTGTCTGATGTTTTCAGGTGATATAGAGCAGGTGCGTGTACTTATGTACAACATTGCCTGGTGTGGCTACCTTGACACCCCTACCCTGCTGCTGGCCATTGTGGGGGTTTGGCCTGATGTCATGTCTACAACTGGCCACAAAAAAAAGTCCTCTGTCATCTTTGTGTTTGAATATTTGCTGAGTGTGGTATACAAAGATGATAATGAAACATATCTAAAGGTAGTTAAATTATGGCCACACATATTTAATTTAAATTCTTGAATTAACTTAATCCTCTTGACTCGCTGTGGAGAAAAAGGCAGCAACAAATAGGTTATGCCTGTGGTCAGCTCTTCTTCTTCCATCTCGCTCCTCCACATTCCCAATGGCTTCCCCTCTTTTGTCTTTCCAGGAGAATTCCATCTCAGTGGCAAAACAAAAGAAAACATTCTTAAATACCCACTCTGTTTAGCACTCACACCCTGAAGGAGACACATTTCACTACACACTGTTATACAACTATTAGCTGATGTATGATATATTTCTTTCAATAGGTCAGTCATGTACTTCAAAGGATTTGTCACTGGGATATTCAAAAAAAGAAGTATACACCTGAAGAACTTCTGAAGTATTTACACAAACAATTGGATGAACTTCTTAAAAGCTCATCCAAGAGAAAAGATGGTAAGCTAAATATGATGTTACCTAAGAAGTTGACTATCCTACCAATTGAGTAATTCAAGAGTTTTTTAAACTGCAACTTTTTAAAAATAACTTATTATTTTTATAAATGTCATATCATAGATTAAATGCCATAGTTTCTGATTAAAATTTTAAAAAGTGCATGTATTTAACTAAAGAAATAACAAAAAGATTTATTCACAACTACCTAATAAGAGGTGCTTCTGTTTGTTGTATAAGCTATGCAGCTTAATAATGGAAGTCAAAAATAAATATTTGTGTGTGTGAAATGTTTCCTTTTTTCTGCAGCTTGATATAAATTTGCCATATTTTTTTCCCCAGATTTATCATTTGAACTGATGAAAGCAATGGAACTGCTGTTGGCACACCAGGGAGCAGCCTGGACAGAGGAACACTTCTGCAAGCGCTTGCTTGTTTCTGTAGCCAGCAAGTGGCTCCACAGAGGAGGGGAAGACAATGGACCCACCCCTCAATTAGTCATTTGTTTGTTTAGATTGTTCCGTAAGTTTTGTTCTCACTCAGTATGAAAGCACTTGTGTGTATAAGTTGGGTCACCTAGCATCATTTCCATGATAAAATCATTTAAAAGATTGCTATGTGTCTATAATGTTTTTTCAGCACACTATGAAGTCAAATATACAAAAATGATTATTGTTAGAACTAAGCATACTTTAATTAGCTAATTTCAAATATGTTAGACTGAAAGAATAAATTTGCATTTGCAGGATCCGTGGTGGCAATACATCCACTTACAAGTAATGGACTGGGAGTGGTTTTAAGCCAGGTTTTTGCCAAATTCATAACCAGAAACTCAGGTATTTGAATTTTTTCAATGTTGTTGTTTTAACCAACACTTATTTTATTTATTCTATTTAAACCTAACAGAGAATTATTTTTTATATCTATCAATAACTTACGAAAGCACTTTTCTATTAACTAAATGAAGATTTAAATAATGACATTTAAACGCTTTTAAAACCATTTGACTCTTGTCATTATTTTAACTTAATATAAATTTGCCGTTGTAGTTCTGCTGAGTTTTAATATGATGACTCACTTATTTTGTCACTGTCACACCACATTCTACAATGGTCAATTGTGTGGGCTTTTGAGTTGGTATTTGGTGTTTTTCTTCATGCCTCAGTAATATACGGACATTATTATAGACGTCCAGACTTTTTTGTTATAGCTGGTTGATAATTTGTGCTGAATTTAATTAGAGGCTCTATACTCAGAGACCCATGGAAACACATTAAGTGATTCATAATCCAGTCCCAGGAAAATGAGTATAGATATTAATTGGAGTAAAGCAATGCACCATTTTTTGTGTGTTGAGAAATAGTTGAGATTGGTTATGATGGAGGCTGTGTGGGACTACTCCATTGGTAGTCATTCACTCATTGTTATAAGCTCCTTGGCAGTATCTGCATTTGTAAAAGCAGGAATTCCACCAGGAGGGTAGTCTCTTGGTCTAAACACTTAAGGGAAACTTACTCTTTGATTCCTAAAAAAAAAGTTTAGAAAAACTGCGGGTGTTCATCAGAGCAATGCAACATAAACAAAACTGGGAGATCTAGACACCTGGTATTGTGGTATTCCTTCCTTTATTCCTTGGTCCCTTTGGTCTTAAATTGGTATAGATGCTACAGACGTCAGCATGTGTGAAGGTGTACACTACATAGGGCGGGAAGTCTCACTAACAAATGAAAAATGACCAGAGCGAATGTGGTATCACCCTGGCAATTTGTCTTCTAGAATATTTTTAAAAAGTGTAGTATTTGTAATGATGTTTAACTTTTTCTTTGTAGCACTGATGAATGTTGAAACTTCATACATAGACACTTTGCTTGAGATAACACCTCAAAACCCTGAAAGATGTCTGGAGCTCTTAAAAAAATGGAAGGACAACAACAAAGGAAAAATGCCCAACCAGACCTTCAGTAAATTACTGCAAATTCAGACATTGCTGTCCAAGCAAGGAACAACGTAGATTAACAACTCTCAGACTATAATGTGATTCTCTCAAAATAGCCGTCCAAATGTTGTGCTGCACTTATGTTACATGTGTTCCGCACCCAAAATAGTATTACAATATTGATAAAAATATCTCATGTATTGGCAATTTTGCAGAAAAAAATATGCTTTTTAAAAATAGATTAGAAAATAAATTTCTTAAGGGGTTTAGGTAAAATTTCTCTAAAACAAATGTTTTATATATCTCCACCTTAAATGGCCAGATATTGTCTTTCAGTGTGCTTAAAATGTATGGGAGAGAGAAATAGATGGTAATATGTTGATAATCTTTTGGATGGATCTCTTTTTTTGGTATGTCCGTTCTCAGGGCTATTTAATCAAAATTTTTAAATTTTCTTGGAGAAATGTTTAACGTTTTTATATGTATCCTGTTTTTTCCCCAAAGTTAATTATTTCCCTTGTAGCAAAGGAGATGACAAACAATACATTTAAACTATTAGCTGTATTTCTCTTGATACAAGGGAAATAGCTATTGGTGCTAATAATTTGTATTGATGGCCGGTATTACAGTGTTTAACCCTATATGCCAAGTTTTCTTAAACAGTAATAGTTTTTTTATGTTAATATTTAAAATAGGATGAATGTCAGTGTGAAAATGTTAATCATGTTCATAAATGTGTATTGCAATGAATGTTGGTATAGATGATAGATGGATATAGGGTTTAACACTAAATTTATGTTGTTTTTTTTTAACTTTAAGTTATAATTGATGTTTTGACACTGTAAGTTAACTATGTGTAAATCTGTATAAAAAGTAAATATTAACAAGGATGCAAATCACTAGTTGAAGTATTTGTATATGGTTTTTAATACTCTAGCTCAATGTTCGATACACAATATGTGCTTTCATTTTTGTATTCAGTATTTTTTTACTCACTATGTGTGGGCTGTTGACTGTGTGGACCATTTGTTTTGAATGTTAAAATGTTTTCTGGGACTTACAAATTTGCACAGCTGTTAAATACTTGCATAAGTAATAAAGAATATTTTTTGCAAGTTACATACAGTTTTTTTTTTTAGAAAAAAATCATCTGCTGTAAAATATATTTATGTTGATAGGGTTGTCAAGTTTACTGTTTTAGGACTAATCTACTGACCACATTTGCTGTCTATAAATAGCAGGTTGTGTGTTGTTACAAAAAACACCATTCTAGGAACAAAGTGGTACTTTTAGCCTTCTTCTTCGTTCTTAATTTTTAGTGTTGGGAGGGATCGAGCCTTATCTGCCAGAAGGTTTGAACTCGAGCCTTTTTTCAAATTTATCAACCATGAGCTTTGCCGACTCGACTATGCTTCCATTACAATTATTAAGGATTACGTGTCAACTGGTTATGCGCCATTGAGACCATTGACTCCGATTTCAGCCTGCTTATCTTTTTGGATTTGCTTCCATAGCCTTTGTCCAACCAAGAACAAACTACAAGGCAGCAGTTGTTTGATTTTGGAGTTGTCTATCCTAGAAGAGTGGCTGTCCCCAGCTAACGAGCCTCATCTTCCCGAGGGTTCGAACTCAAGACTTTTCGGTTTAGCAACCATGAGCTTTACCGACTCGACCACGCCGTCCCCTTACTTTTAGCCAATTACCGTAAAATTATTGAATCTAAAAAAATTAACCAGAAATTTTTTTTAATAATGCAAATCTTTTTAATGAATACTTCACACAATTAACTTTCAAAGTTACAGTTATTAATGCAAATTTATATAAAAACTGGTTTCAGCAAGTGTATACACTTTACATCAATATGTATAATATACCAAATCTAGAAAAGCACACATCTATAGAATTAAGAAAACAATAATAGTTCACCAGGATTATTAGAAGACATCTTTGCCTAGCTGTATTTCTAAATATAATAAGATATAATTGGATTTGGAAGGATGTGTCCAACAAGAGTAAACATTGACAGAAGGAATGAAAGTAATTAAATTTTTTGACAAGCAGCTGTGCAGTGTAAAAAAATTCTGTTTGATACAAGTAAACATTGTTTAGGTCCCTGAGTTACCATAACAGATGAGGCAAAAATAATAAATTTGAATGTCATAAAGTTATTATGGCTACTAGTAGATTTATTCACAACCAGAAATCAGAAGTTAAGTTTTTATTGTTATGAGAAATGTGATAAACTAATATCTGATACTGATTGTGTGTTCAATATTGTAACACCTAATTGGACATTTATTTTGGGTTAAAAATCAATAATTACAACACAAAAAAACAATGAAATTTGTTACTGATGTTTCACAATTAAGACACTGGTATTTTTTTTAATTAAAAAATAATATTTAAAAAAATATATAAATCACATTATGAATGGCAGTTTTTGTAATAAATTGAGCTCACTTTGAACAACATTCCATTATATGTTTTAACAATGAAATCCTCCATTTTGATTCTTTTTACATGTCTAACTAATTTACTAAATGTAACAATCAGACATTAAATGTTTGGAAAAATAACCTAAATGAAACTGGATTGAAAAGTATTAAAAAACTCAATTAAAAAAATAAGAAAGTAACACCGATTGTTTCTTAAAGTTAATTAGTAACATGGAATTAATTTCACTAAAGGAATTATCAATGACAAGTAAATGGTAGGGCATTTTAAAATTATAACTACATGTTTTTAAAATGTAAATATTATGCTTAGAAGACATTTTTAAGTACACTGGCAACAAAACAAACTGTCTTCAAAAAATTATTTTTTAGGTTGCAAAACTAGGAATGTATGTAGTTTAGTTTGCAACTAGCTTATGTAACTAAGGCTAAACAGAAGGGGGATAATCCTGGGAGGTTACATTGACATTCATTTTAGACAAGTAAAAGTAATTTGAGTACGCTGGGAAATTTTTTTTTTTTTTTAAATAAACTATCTTATCGGCCACAGAATAAGGCACAAAACTATTAGAAATAACATATGACTAACTACTTGACTCAGTTCTAGTACAACATTAGAATAAGCAAAAAATGTTCTACTGATTATAGCCAAAACTTTAAATATCAAGCTTAAAAATATCTGGAGGTGTGGCAATGTGTTTAGCTTATCTTACAACAGTTGCATTTTATTTTTTTAGAATTAATCTTGAGCAATCACAGAAGTATTATAGCAAAAATAAATTGCAGAGTAAACAATTAACAATATGTATAAAAAAAGAAGCTTAAAGCCAGAAAACGTTTTTATAGTTTTTGTTATAAAAAAAAATACTATTTTAACATTACATACCCAAACAGACTGGGATATTAGAAAATAATAAAATAATCTTTTAAAATTAAGATAGAGAAGCACACCAGAATACAAGAGAATAAATTAATGGCCTTCTTTACGATGCACAGTTAATGAATTCATATTTCAAAAGGCACCACGGTTGACCTTAAGTAGCAATTTATTTCTGAAATACGTTGTTATGTTGAAGATGTTTTTCTACTTAGATTTGGTGTCCGCAGAAACATATGGCCAAAAGCATAGAATATACTGCAATGAAAACAAAGGACAGTTTAAAATCTTTGCACAACATTTTAGAGATTCAGTTACATGAGGTCAGTGGCTGAGTGATAAAATGGCCAGTGACCCAAAAATTATAGCCACAGTATGTAATTGTCAAAGGTGTTTGAATGATTATACAGTCTCAGCCCCTGGTAAGTTACTAAAGTGAAACATCTTCAGTAAAATAAAACTAAAATGATATCTCACTAAAAATAAAACAGGGTCATGAATGCTGTTTAGGGATCAGTTACTAAAAATATATGCATACACAATTATGTCCTCAATACCACATTTATCCAAGACCCCACTAAACCACAACTTCTGAATCCCTATTCAAATGAACCTTTTTAGCTAAATAATTATCATTACCTAACTGACAGATAATTAAACATTCAACAGGAGTTTAGCTCATGCCAAATTATTTAGTGAAATAAAATTCAATCTAAAATTAGGAAAACTACAATGGTACTTAATTTAAACAAATGTATACACACACAAAAAACTTAAAAAGTACACTGTACCTTAATCTTTGGATTCTGTTTTAGAAAAAGTAATCGTGTGTGAACACTGAAAAGTTGAAGAAAAAGTTTTACTAGGTGGAAGTGGGTACAGTAGAAGTTCATGATATTAGGTTTGTAACTCAATATTTGGTTCAAACAATTCGCAGTTTAAAACAACCAGCTGCTATAAAAAAAAATTAAGGATGTTTTGTCACAATGTTGAAACACATCAACATTTGCCTCATGCTGTAGAAATTCAATCTAAACAATTAGATCACAATACACTCATTAATAAGCTGACTAAATTTTAAAAATTCAAGCTGTGTTTTGCTTGATTAGTTGTCAGGTAACCATCAGAGCTATATGGATTGGGACAGTGAGGTACCCAGAGCTAAATGGATTGGGACAGTGAGGTACCCAGAGTTAAGTGGATTGGAACAGTGGGGTACCCAGAGCTAAGTGGATTGGAACAGTCAGGTACCCAGAGCTAAATGGATTGGGACAGTGAGGTACCCAGAGTTAAGTGGATTGGGACAGTGAGGTACCCAGAGCTAAAAGGATTGGGACAGTGAGGTACCCAGAGCTAAATGGATTGGGACAGTGAGGTACCCAGAGCTAAGTGGATTGGAACAGTCAGGTACCCATTTGATATTGAGGATGTGGCAGTCATGTATCCATGAGAGCTAAGTGTAATGCGGTAGTTTGACAAACCCAACCCAAACTTAAGGGTTCACAAATTCTAGCAGACTCACCCAAACAGCAGGCCAGTGTAAGTGCCCAGACCTGCAAACACATGCCACCATGCGTGACATTCAAACAGCATGCCTGACACTTTTCCTACTGGGTGTTCTCGTATAGACCTGTAGACAGTACAACTCATGTTTTAGCAAACCATCAAATCAAAATACTACGACAACGCAACAAATTAAAGACTTCAGTTACACATTCAGGATTGTTAAACTATGTTCTGACAGATAGAAAACAGCTACTAACTTACATTGGTACAGTTAAATAATAATACAGTTAAATAAAAACTGCTAATCTATTTAACAGATAAAAGGAAAAAATGTCTTCTGCTCGACTCACCTTAAGTGGGAGCAGTAAATATTGTCTACATTCCATAGAAAAAAGCCGAGAGCATAAAAACCTATTCCAAGCAAATGCATTTTCCTCTTACATTTCATGGTACTGAAATAAAAAACCGCCATAATATAACAAAATTTTAAAAATCTGATGCTTTTAGTTAAAGAACAGCAAAGAGATAGGTGATGAGTTTATTTAAGGAAAACGTAAAAATTTAATGTAAAATGGATTTACTGTAATTTTATCCAGTTGAATCAAGTTAAGGGAATTACATTAGGCACAAATTAATTTTTAAAATAAAAAAATCTATATTAAGTCAGTCTAGATATTTTTCCAATGCTTTGTATGGAGGGTACTTTTAGTTTGACATGTTTGAACATTATGCCATATGTTTACTTCAGTTTATCTGAAGACAAGGGTCTAAGTCAACATACATTGGTCTGTTTATGTCAGTGTATAAGGATCTGATCAAGTTAATAAGCTAAGATCACATTACAGTTTGCTTTAACTGTTGTCAATGTTATGTTAACCAATCTCAAGGTTTATTCAATCATCATTTTTGCCAGTTGCACTTACAAGGCAGTTTTTGTGGACAGTATAACAATACAAAACACCATGATACCATAGGACACTTGGTGGAATATTGGTGCATTTATCAAGATGTAGACCTGGAAATATTAAACCAAAAACATTAGAGGAAAATAAATTTAGAACTGATTTTTAGCCTGATAAGTAGCTTATCTCAAGTTTGTATTTTTAGAGATAAAGTTATAATACTCAGTATTGAGCACACACAAAAACCAGGCCCTACATCTAGTGATATTACACTGTGAACTACTTGACCTAGAGGTGTAACAAAGTGCTACACTTGTTTAACTACATCAATCCATTATGTACAATAAAGTTTATCATTTCAATAAAGCTTAGGGGTCATCCATTTATGACGTCCACAATTTTTTTTTATTTTGGACCCCCCCCCCCCCCCCCACAAAAAAAATCCACCTTTTTTCCATATACAAGACCATATACGTCCACAAAAGTCAGTTTTTTTCGGACCCCCCCCCCCCTCCGTGTGTGGACGTCATAAATGGATGACCCCTTATGATACATTAGTAGAAGTTTGTATATGGAGTTCTAAAAGTTCCAATAAAAAATCAAATTAAAGAATTTTTTTAAATGGATTAATACAAATAATTTAAAGTCTTTAAAAAATTAAAGCTTTACTGTTGGTGGCTTCCAAATCAAGAACAAATGTTGACCTTATTAAGAAATAAATTACTCTTCATGAAACAAGTGAAGGTACTTACTAAGGTAACAATTACACAATACAAAACCAGAACACAGCTCAACATGAAGTTTTCTTTATTGGGCTTGCTATCCATCATATACCTGAAATACAAACATCAATCTGAGGAAAAAAGTATGAATGCATATACTTTTACTCACATACATACACATTATAAATTGAGTGTTGGTATTTTTTATATTTAAAAGTATACAGAAATTATACTAACGATGAGTAAATAAGAAAACTGCTCCCCCATATCATAGGTACTTCATCCATCAGCTGTTAACATAAATAGAAATATCAACATCATTAAGCAAACGATCTGCCAGATTCTGTACATAGAAACTCGCAATGTGTTAAGTTAATACAATCTTTCCTTTGATATCAGAACAACTACTAAAAGAGGAAACTCATCCATATCAGACAATAGCTGGTTCACATACCTGCATGCTGTACTTTAATGTCATGTGAAACAACCAAGAGCCGATGCCCACCACTGTAGATATCAAACAACATATTGATCAATGATGTAAACAAACAAATTAGTAATCTTTTATCCTAATATGCTACAAGCTGATTATAAGATTTAAATCCACTATAAGGGTTGAATGATTTAAATTAGAATTCAATTAGAATAGTACATCACACTAAAGACATCTATCTACAAGTTCCCTAATTCAGGAACAGCTTAAAGACTTTAGACTATATACAGCTGTTCAAAGTACCAGTTTTATGCTTACACTAATCTTTAGTAAACATTAGTCAATTTAAACAAAACCTACCCATATCACTCACCAGTTAAAGCCAAAAAGCTGTAAATAAAACGCTTTTCATGTTTTTCCTTGTATCCAACTAACACCATCAACAATGGAGCAAATATCATAACACAGTTTGAGAGTGTATTCCCTGAAAATTATGGAATAGTTCATAGGCCATAAAGTATAACTGGTGAAATGTTATTACAGATGTCCAAAAAAGGTTTTAGGTTGAAAATAGTATTGTAATCTCAGGTTTGTTTTAATTTATGGTCAGAAATTAGGGTTATGGCGATGGTAGGGCTCAGTTACAGAGAGAATTAGCATTGACAATCGCAGATCATAATAGTATTGACTTCAGTATTAAGTCAGTAATTTAAAAGTCATTTTTTTAAAAGTAGAGTATATATTGTTTTGGCATTATCCGACACTAATTTAACACGCACCTTGCATATTAACTTAGGCATATATATTAAATATTAATATATAAAGAGTAGGCCTATAGATTAGTATAGAACAGTTTCTTCCAGGCATCTATTCAGGGGGGGAGGAGTTCTGCCCCCCCCCCCCCCCCGAACAAAATGAAATTTATATAGAAAATATATAGGCCTACTTTTAACAGTGTCCGTCCCCCCCCCCGAAAAAAGTCTAGAAGAAACACTGGTATAGTATAGCCTACACGAAAGTTATTGTCATACATACAACCGAATTCTTTAGCCAAGAGTAGCCTAACATATAAACATAAACATTGAACACTATGAATAGTCTTGAATTTTTTCAAATGGTGTAAAAAAAGGATTTTAAGAATTGTATGTGGTGTTATATATTAGGCCTATATATAATACTATATGATATATAATATATAAGCATAGAAGTATAGATACCTATTATCTATATATATAATTCTCTTCTTGGAGACGCTAGAAAACAAGCTGTAAGCGCGCTCCCTACCACCCCACCCCTACATGGTCTGGTGAGCTTTGGTTCACGCTAAATGTTTACAATCGTAGAGCCGGGTTTAGTGACGGCTTCTAGGGGCGGGTGTGGGGAAACTGCGAGACGCGAAAAGCGAAATGGCGAGGCGGGAAAATGCAAGAAGGTAATGCGAGACATACCTGCGGAATTAAGGGTAAATAGCGAGACACTTTTTGCGAAAAAAGTTTTTTTCTTTTTTTTTTCCATCTTTTTTTATTTAAATTTACAAACAAAATCTTCTGAAACAGTCCTCAAACACACCTCGTGACACCATCTTTCACACATAGTACACCCAACCCAGTTCATTAGACTCCCATTTATACATTTTTCTTTTGCTACTTCTTCCAATCCACATTCACAACATTTCACATTCTCATCACAGTTGACCTCCTCGTTCATCCCACAAACAACACTGGCACCCATGTTCTCATCATCATCATCCGCACGCTCAACATCTGTTTTCCGTTTTTTATAATTTGTATTTTTTATCATTTCTGTAATTTTGGCAATGTCTTGCTCATTGTTGTCACCAGCAGTTGAGTTTTTTTAAAACATCGATATTTTCCCAAAATCTTGTCTAATTTTGGTCAAAATAGAGTATTTTAATCAATTCCTATTACAATGTATTAAAACAGTTTTCTAAAACGCGAAAAAACGTCTAAAATTCTTTTTCTAACATTGCTTTTTTATAGTGTGACTTCACATCTAACCCTCCCCTACTCCGCCTCATCACACATCGTCATACGAGTGTGACGTCATTTATGGAAAACCCCAAATAACACCACCACAAAAACCAAAAAATTCAGATAAGTTCAACTTGGTTTTAAAAATATTTGAAGTAGGCCCATAGCTTACGATATAGCACGAGCAACTGATAATATCGGTGACGTCACTTTATTTTGTTGTATCCAAATGATTTAGGCATTTCCTTGTGCTTAGATTTATATGGTAAAAAAAGCTAGAAAAAAAAATCGTAGGCGGCGGCTATAATACAAAATTTCTATGCAACAATAGAAAATATGTTTGCGGCGGCAGCGGATCCGGGCACGGCAATCTTCAAAGACGGTAAATCAGGCGGCCTCGGCGTTCCACACAAAAGACAGAAGTTGATCTATTGTCGGCGGTATTTCCGTCGGTTTCGAACAAGGTGGTATTCTAAGTCGACACAAAAGATGGGGGGAGTTGACAAATCATCAGTATGTCTAGCGGCGGAAAAATCGGAAGTTTTAACAATGTAAACGAAACGTCTTTGAAGTCTGGACCAAATACCACGGAAAATCGGGTGCGGTAAATTTTTTGCAGAAATCTTCGCATTTCAACACCATCCAGCGTACGTATCGGCTTGTGGTAAAATGCGAGACAAAAAAGTCACGTGACCGACCGTTTTCGCGCCCTTCTCGCATTTTCCCGCCTCGCCATTTCGCTTTTCGCGTCTCGCAATTTCCCCACACCCTCTAGGGGCAGATAATTTAGTTTGAAACGATTTTAAACTTAGGGAAGGGTAACTAAGAGGAGGCTGCTTTCAAGGGGGGGGGGTGTAGGGTAGGGGGAAAGGAGAGTGGGGGGTAGTATCTCCTTAATGACCTACTGATACACTGATGGTGTTTTAAAGCAAATATATTTTCAGTGGCAGCATTGGTACTGTCGAATTCACAAATTATGAATGACTGAAAAGTAGAAAATAAAACAACTAAATAGCGGCGTATGATATGCCGCGGGTCGGCTCGTTAAAAATAAATTAAATTACTAAGACCTTAGACAGTCATTTGAAACAGGCAACAAATTCGGTAATCTATCGTTTTAGGTACGTAAAATCGGCCGCAACTAGTAATGTGAAAAACAGGTGACTCCTTACATTTTAATAATTATTTCACATTTTGATGAAGATTTATGTTTTGAAAAATACAAAAATGTTTCCTTGTTTCATTTATGTACCTGTTTTTAAACAATTGAATTAAAACTTTTCAGTAATAAATGAACACCAGTGATGTTTCCAACAGATGCAACCACGCTCATTTACTATAGCAGCCATCTTGTTTAAGTTTTATTTTTATAGACATAGCGCGAGATTCAGGCGGAAGTCACTCTATTTTACAAATGGCTGCTGTTTATATAGCAAATCTTGCTTGCAGACACAGCTGTTTAAAGTTAAAGTTAATTTCTGGCCTATATTGATATATTTAGCCATTGATTTAGGTTTATTATTCATTTATCTATAATATTTGACACAAACATATCACAATATACTTCTATTACAGCCTTGACAATGAGGTAACGTTTTCGTACATTAATAGCCGCGGGCGATTTTACTAGCGAGGCTCACTAACTTTAAAGCGTCCTTGGTTGCTAACCAGAACATGGCTACCTCACCTGGGCCTACGATTGGGCAATTTTTACTGCTTTGTTCGAGAGACCACCTTAACATTAAGTTTAAAAATAATTATCACGCGAAAAATGGCGTTTTTTTCGCGTATTTTAAGCTATCTGAAGATGACAAAGCTATTTTTGGCAGATTTTTTTTTTTTAAATTTGCTTCCGACCATGGAGGTCAAGCGGAAACATGGGTATAGTTTGAGTTGTTTAAAAACTTTAAATAAAGGACTGTTACGTGTCTAAATGGCACTGTAAGGTAGAGTATTATTAGATTGATCGTTTAGTGAAAAAATATTGTAATTATTTTGAATCCATTTTAGAAATCGGCAGCCAAAAAAGGTCACTGAAAGCACGTAATTTTTTATTGTGACGTCATCGCTATTGTTACGGAAGCTGTACAGTAGTATCCTCTCGCTGCTTATATATTATATAATTGTATTCTTTTCACTTGACACTCTTTTTCAGCTTATTTTGCTAGCGTAATTATACTAATTAAGCCTAATTATGGATATTTCACCTGGCTTTTGGATTATACTAAGACTCTAAAAGCCCTTAGCCTTAAACCACAACGATCTGTTTTTTTTTTTAATTTTGTGTTGATCCCTGGAATTTGTAGTGAGCGTTGGTCTTTGTGTGCTTATTTAGGCCTAATTATTTGTTTTCAAATTTGTTATAGCTTAATTAATTTGTCTTAATTCTTATTGATTTCATAAATTTTAATTAGGTTAATTATAATATTATTTTCACTGGTCTTCGTTGATACATTTATTAGGCTTAGTAATGTTTATATTATATAAATATATTTATCAGGGGCGTAGCGAGGGGGCGGGGGTGCGGACCGAACCGGGTGACACCATTTAGGGGGGGGGGGGGGGGTGACACCAAGGCAAAAAAAAACAAAATATATAGAGAAAAACTTGAGGGGGGATGCAAATCGAAAGTTTGAGGGGGGGGTGCTAATCGAAATTTTTTCCCCGGGAAGGGTCGCTACGCCTCTGGGGGGGGGGGGTGACACCATTAAGTGCGGCACCGGGTGACACCCGACCTCGCTACGCCACTGATATTTATATATTTTATTATATATTATTAAGATTTTAGAGGCCTGATAAATTAAATGATTTTAGCGTCTAGGTTTACATTACTAATTAGTACTTAGTAAACCAAGTACGCATGGACTAGGACATGTGTGTGCTGTGCCGGCGGCGTTGTGGCGGGCGATGCCTCTCGCGCTGACAAACCAGCGCGAGCGAGCGAGTCGTGTGTCACACTTGGCCTGTGTCGATGTTTGGAATGCATAGGCATAGGCCTAATTCTCGCTCTCGGGTGATTAATTTTTATGCGCTGACATTTGAAAAATCAAATAGACACACATCTTAATTAAATACATTTAATTTGAACTTTATATTAATCTAGACCTATAATACTAATTAGGGCCTATAACTTGGGATAACAAAGTACTTGGACTAGATTTAGCGCATGCGCACACTGTGCTGTGAGTTTTCTCTCGCTGGTTGACAAAATAACGCAGGCGGGCTAGCGATGTTTGTAATTTGCATATATCTTCGCTTACAGGCGATCATTTTAATGCGATTGGCCTCTTTTTATTTTATAGGCCTAATTAATTGTATTTGATAGGCTAACTTTTCTGGTTGACAAAACTAAGCGAGCGAGATGTCTGTCACGCGCACTGCCCGTGACGCTGTTTAGAATGTATTTCTCGCTAACTTGATGAATTTGAATGCTATTGCAGTGTTTTTTAAAATAAATCAAATACTTACAAATCTTTACATTTTAAACTGAGCATAGACAAAACTTTGTAAATAACACACCTGTCCCAAGTGAAGTGAGAGAAGAGGGTTAGATTAATTTTACAATGACATCGCTATATTTTATGAATTGCCCTAATTAAGCATTGCTAAAACACTTACACTAGTTAATAAAACATGCATGGGATTGAATATCTTTAAAAAGATTAGATCTATACTATATATTCTTGAACATGTTGTTCATTAATTTGAATTTAGTTTTCCTTTTTAAACACCCTTCCATTTAAAAAAAAATTAAACAAAAATATTTAAAAATTCTAGATCTAATTCCATTATGTGATTTTTTATTCTGACGAAGACAGTGTCCATACGAATAGAAATGTGGTAATAAAATCAAATGTACTGTGCATATTCTGCTAAAATCAAATCAGCTGCAAGGTCAACCCTGCAGAGTTCGTCTCTTCAGAAAAGTAATGGCGATCTGGTTGTCACGGATTATTTGGCTTGCAATGCTTGGAGTGGCCAATTAATAAAAATCAGTAATTAAGCTCCAAATGAGTTTATTTTCAACAAATTAAGTATTTGATTGATTAGAGATAGATCTCTAGTTTCCATTGGTAATGTTTAAATCGAAAAATAACGAAATTTAAAATTAGTGAGTATCTCTAATTTTACGTACCCAAAACGATAGATTATCATAGGGTAATCTATCGTTTTGGGTACGTAAAATCGCCCGCGGCTATTAATGTACGAAAACGTTACCTCATTGTCAAGGCTGTAATAGAAGTATATTGTGATATGTTTGTGTCAAATATTATAGATAAATGAATAATAAACCTAAATCAATGGCTAAATATATCAATATAGGCCCGAAATTAACTTTAAACAGCAGTGTCTGCAAGCAAGATTTGCTATATAAACAGCAGCCATTTGTAAAATAGAGTGACTTCCGCCTGAATCTTGCGCTATAAGTCTATAAAAATAAAACTTTAACAAGATGGCTGCTATAGTAAATGAGCATGGTTGCATCTGTTGGAAACATCGCTGGTGTTCATTTATTAATGAAAAGTTTTAATTCAATCGTTTAGAAACAGGTACATAAATGAAACAAGGAAACATTTTTGTATTTTTCAAACATAAATCCTCCTCAAAATGTGAAATAATTATTAAAATGTAAGGAGTCACCTGTTTTTCACATTACTAGTCGCGGGCGATTTTACGTACCTAAAACGATAGATTACCTATCATAGATTACCACAAATTCAAAATAATCAAATTTAAAAATGAAATATTCTTACAGAATTCCGCCACATAATAGTTGACCACATAATTTTCTTCACACCAGTCAAGGGTAGATGTTTGTTTACCCCAGTAACCTTCGATTACCGGCGCCATTTGGTGAAAATTTCAACTTTTTCAAAACGAAGTTCGAACTTGCAATTTTTTTTGCCTTATGGGTCTAACCTGGTTGCTGGGCCTGAAACGGAAGTATAAACTTGTCAGTCTGAGAAATATTTTAAAACTTTTTCTCTTGTAAAATGATTTTAGCGAAACAATACGATTTATGAGGTTTATATCCTAAACAAACGTAGGCTACTTAAAATGTATGTAGATCTAGATATATAGATCTTTCTATGCCTAGAATCTAAAAAGTAAAAACCATACAGCTGCTTTTCTAACCCTAGACCTAATTGTATTTTTTATTAGATCTATAAGATAATATAATTTATCACTTATTCCCAAAACACTTATTGTCACAGTGGCGTAGGCAGGGGGGGGGGGGGGGGGGGGGTAGGGGGGTTATGACCCCCCATAGACCCCTCGGTATATATATAAAGTATGAGGGGGGGTGCAAATCGAAAGTTTGAGGGGGGGTGCAAATCGAAAGTTTGAGGGCGGGGGGTGCAAATCAAAAGTCTGAGGGGGGGGTGGTGCAAATCGACAGTTTGTCCCCGGGTAAAAATTGGAACCCCCCCCCCTTGAGACGATCCTGGCTACGCCGCTGTTTGTCATACTCATCATACCTTCTTCGTCTTGTAAAAGGTTGGGTATTAAACCGTATATTGATCAACGTTTACTAAAATTAACAAAATTAAAAAAAAAAAAACTTTATTATGCAAAATAATTGTTAAATTTAAATTTTTTAAAAAGTGACTTTCTTCTTTTCGAAAGTTTGGTGTCACACTTTCTCACCTCTTGAGATGCGTGAAAGAAACTGCTTAGGGGTGTTGTGTCATTTAAGACATGTATAGATGGCTCCTTCTCAAGACCAGAGGGCATAGCAAGGCCGGGGAGGGAGGGTAGGGCGGCCTCTCCCGGCGCCGACCTTAAGGGGGCGCCGAACGTGGTAAGACATTTTTTTAATAGACTGTTATTAGCTTTACAGTACGGACTTAATTAACTGTTGTCTTCATCAGTTGTTTGACACCAACATAAAAAAACGTTAAGGTACAGTGACTGGGGGAGAGGTTCTGCCAATATAAACAACTATACATTTAGGGGGGGTGCTAATGTGTAAGAAAATAAATGGGGGGGGGGCGCAAAGTTGATCGTTCACCTCGGGCGCCGGAATGGGTCGCTACGCCTCTACTCAATACTAACTTGTATGGTTCCCGCTTATACACAAATCATGCATTCGGGAGCAGCATTAAATTATTTAAATATTGGAACCTACATTACAATATATTACAAAATTTGCATTTTTGTAACTGGTTTCTCAATTAGAAATTCTTACACCCATACTCCATTAAAAGCCACATGTGACTCAGAAGTCACATGTTGACGAACTCTGCAACATTCCGACAAAATAGGGTATGCAGGTGGTATAGGCTAACAGAAGCTAATTACAGAAGCAAACTGCATATTATTGGTCTATATGTCTTTCTTGCTGGTTGAAAAAACAAGCTTTACGTAATTCGTCTTGTTATTCCTGTACCAATAGTATTTATAAGAAACTTACACGTTGAAAGATATTAGTGAAAAAACAAAGAAATAACCAAGTAGCTAATAATCCTACTCTTTTAATATAACATAGGCTACCAACACCAAATTAAAAAAATTATATATATATATATATAATATATATATATATATATATATATATATATATATATATATATATATATATATATATATATGTATATATATATTATTAGTCAACACAACACTACACTAAATGCCCACACTGATTAAGTTACTTAAATGATTCCGTTAAAAAACCCAGCTATTTAAAAGTATTTTTTGTTGATTTTTAAACTCATTTATTTTTATTATTTTTGGCTGAGAAATTTTGTATACAGTATTTTCATAGCGTACTTCTTGAAAAGCAGATGTTTAGATTTAAATAAAATTTGAATGGAATAGTTCACTTCTTCATATTCTTAAAATTGGAGGATGTGCTAAGCGAATCTAATCAAATTGACATCATCAGTATTGTGTATAATTTTCGACATTCTATTTTTTAAATTATATTTTTATCCTACAATCAATGACGCCTTTAGTGTTGTGTACTTTTCGCAGTTTCTCAACAGCGTTCTTGCCACAACCATGAACACTTCTCAGGTTGCATAATTAAAGTTGTGTTTGTACATTTGAATACGTCTTTATTTTTATTTTCCGTCTTTGAATACAATTAGCTTATACATTTGATACATCCAACACATTATTTTGAACAAAAGTCCGTATCATTAAGTTCTCCATATTTTGTTGGAGATACTGATCTCATTGTTTTAAAACAGAGAGAGAGAGAGAGATGGGGGGGGGGGGAGAGGGAGAGACGTGCGCACATGGGCTTTTATACATTAGGATTATACAACAGGCTACTCAGCCATACGGATAAGATATACCAGTCTGGAGTATTTAAAGAAACCCAAACGCTACAGTAGCTGAGTACTCGAATTGCGTAAGTGCCAGAAGCAAGCATGTTGTTGATTTCTCCCTCCAAAAATGAATAAATGAATTATTTAGAATTTTAGATGCCAAAAATTATGCCCAACGCATGAACCATTTGACGCTACTGTGAGAATGATTAATCTCGATTGCACTTTTGTTCATTACGATTTGATAGTGCTTTGTTCTATGATTGTTGTTTAATAATCTGTTTAATTAAAATATACAGTGTGCCTACACATAATTGTTTTTACCATTACAGTTGCCCCTCCCCCCCCCCCCACCGTCTTGTTCATGAATGTGGATACTTTTTAAAATTTAAATCCTTTACACCCCCCCACCCCCCCCTCCTACCCCCCTGCACGCGAGCAAAAAAAATACAGTTGATTCACCATAATGTCATAAAATGGATCGCCATAGTCCTCTTTTCTCGTCAGAGGCAAAGATACATAGAATTTGTCTGTTACATTGGCATCAACATAAAGGTGTGTGTGTGTGGGGGGGGGGTTGTCTTACTGCCTCGGTTTTTTAATAAGTCAGGTACCCATCTGGGCTACGGTCCGGGATCTGAACTCGAGACATTAGGGGTAGAAGTCGCGCACTGCATTATCCGACCATGCTTGTAAAGGGATCTTGCTAGCGAGCGCTTACAAAAAAAAAAAAAAAAATCAGGAGCCTAGTGTTTTAAAAGGGACCCTTTAACGAGAACCAAAATGACTATGCTGTTTTTGAAGATTTATAAAATATTGCTATGACTAATTAGTTGAACAGTACGTCTTATTCTAGTTAAACGAAAAAAATGTAAACACTGAATATAATTACACGAGGGGACTAATAGTAAGAGTTGATGCAGTTGATTTCAGAGTTTGAACTAATGAGGTTAATTCAATCCTAAACGCTAAATCGTTTGACAGCATCCTCAGCTGACAAGAAAGTGAAGTCGTACGAGTAAAATATGGGGATTTGTTGTCGGTCTGTTTACTATTACACACAATCACTCAGTCAACACACAACACATTTCTATGACAAACCGTGCACATACTTTACACAACCATAATTGTTTACCTCAGTTTTATGATACTCACCCCAAAAAAAGTTTTTTTTTAAAAAGCAAGTTAAAATATTCGATGGTAGGCTACATGCTTAAAACATTAATTGACCACCAGACATTCAGCATATTATCTGAAGTTTAGCATAAACAATTGCGAAAATGACAGATGTTTTGTATAATATGATAAAATTCCTATTATTCCTGGGGGCTATGTTTTTATATCATTATACATCATTCAAATGTTCTCGCCAGAAGCTTATTTAAAAGAGAAAAACGTTCACTAAATGCAGGCTTACCAAAGGACTAACTTTCACAAGGAACTAAAAAGGTAACAATGTGCCTAGTCTATATTTTGTTAGTTCACATTTAAAAAATATATTCTAGGCTTGCTTTTATTTTTTAAAAAGTAGTTATAAAATAATTTGTCTATTTTTATTTTAAATATGATTTTTGAGTTGTTTTTTTTTTTTAATTAAATGATCGCTATACAGTGTTCCGAGAGCAAAAAATATTCCAAGCCAATAAAGATGACAAAATCGAAAAGACACATTTGATTAAAGTAAAATACGAATTTCAGTAACTGGTGCCAATTGAGCATTATGTTTTTATTATTAAGAAGTAGTATAGCCTATTGCAGGGGTTCCCAACCCCGTGCCCGCGGGCACCATGGCGCCCGCCGAACGATTCGTATGTGCCCGCCTCTCACTATTCGACAGAGACAGAATTTTTTTCATAAACATTTCACATCGAAAGTTTGTGGAGAAGGGGGGGGGGTGCAAATCGAAAGTTTGAGGGGGGGGGGATGCAAATCGAAAGTTTGAGGGGGGGGGGGGGGGGGGGTGCAAATCGAAAGTTTTGTCCCCGGGTGACGGGTAGGCAGAAAATAATGTATTCAAAATTTCTCAGCCAAAAATAATAAAAAATAACTTAGTTTAAAAATCAACAAAAAAATACGTTTAAATAGATGGGTTTTTTAACGGAATCATTTAAGTAACTTAATCAGTGTGGGCATTTAGTGTAGTGTTGTGTTGACTAATAATGTATATATTTTGTTTTAATTTTTCTAATTGGTATTGGTAGCCTAGGTTATATTAAAAGTGTAGGATTTTTAGCTACTTGGTTATTTCTTTGTTTTTTCACTAATATCTTTCAACGTGTAAGTTTCTTATAAATACAATTGGTACAGGAATAACAAGACGAATTACGTAAAGCTTTTTTTTTTCAACCAGCAGAAAGACCTATAGACCTATAATATGCAGGTAGCTTCTGTAATTAGCTTCTGTTCTTTCGATTTGCACCCCCCCCCCTCAAACTTTCGATTTGCACCCCCCCCCCCCTCGAGATTTCGATTTGCACCCCCCCGTCAAACTTTCGATTTTCACCCCCCCTCAACCTTTCAATTTATTTTTCCAACCCATTTTGGCGCCCCCTAAGGTCGGCGCCCGGGGGACAAATGTCCCCCCCCCCCGCCCCTCGCTACGCTACTGCGGGAAGGGTCGCTACGCATCTGGAAGGAGTTTGTCGATTTAAAATAGGTGGTGCCCGCCACCCTACCGATATTTTAGTATGTGCTCTAGAGTAAAAAAAAGGTTGGGAACCCCTGGCCTATTGGTTTATCAGCGAAAGCATAGCATTTATTTAATTTGTAAAAAAAAATTCATAAAAAACGTTTTAATAACAAGCTTTTATGTAATGATGCACTAAAAAGTAGAAAATAAATTATAGACTACTATTTAAATAACTATAAAGAAAAGCGTGGGTCACTTTAGTATCTATTGGATACCTTTACTAATGTTAAGGAAGACACCCACGCTTTTCTTTATAGTTATTTAAATAGTAGTCTATAATTTATTTTCTACTTTTTAGTGCATCATTACATAAAAGCTTGTTATTAAAACGTTTTTTTATGAATTTTTTTTCAGTACTTTACATGTTTTATCTACAATAGAGTTACATGACTAAAAACCATTGCGCGCCTACTGAATATCACGTTCAGTAGGCGCGCAATGGTTTTTTGAACGCAGCCATTACGTGGTCGTGATGGCGCAGCTATTGATGACGCGTGTGGTGTGGTTGGCTAGACATGCCTACTAATTCGGTCCAAATTTTAATTAATTCATAAAAAAATAATTAGGCATCCAATTAAGTCAAATTTAGTTTCAGATTGCATTGTCTTCATGTCTTGACCCACGTGCCAACTGTGAATCGTGTCGGTCAAGTAGAACTGTCCGAATTTTCACTCCTGCGTTTCCGTCTAGACTGACGACAGAGGAAGTGAGTTAAATAAAAGCTTGTAAAAAAGGAAAATTAGTCACTTTATTGAGTGCATTATACAATTAATGTACTCTCAAGTTTCTTCTGCTGATTAAAATACATATCTACGATTTCTGTCCGCAGCCTCGGCCATATCGCACAGCATGGCTGCCCAACAGAACATCAACATACGACCAGCAACTCCAGCAGACTGTGATGAAATCATGAGGCTTATCATTGTAAGTGTTATTGTAGGCTGTATTGAATAATAGCCAGTCGACAGGAACACACAAAGAGAAATACTAAAACTAAAGTTGTGTGTGTGGAGGGATGGTCATTCGTGAATAGTCAACCTCCTAATGAAATTCGGAAACATAGCTAGTTAGTAGTTACCCGTTGGCACAACGGCATATTATTTCGTAGAATTTTCTTTAAAGGGAGGTAGCTCAATTTATACTTTTTTAAAAAAAATCAACAGATCTGTAGAAGGGAGACAACTCACAATTTATTTGTTTGAAGAATAGAGGTGAGACAAAACTGCGAGCTGACATTTCGTGACGACGGATGATGCCATTTATGGCTGATTCCTTGAGAACTGCGACGATGTTAGGAGTTGTCCATATATAACCTCACACTCGTACGCGGGAGAGGGGGGGGGGGGGGTAGGGCGTAATTTTGTGACGATGTGTGAAAAAAAATTGAGAGGGGTTGTAGGCTGAGGTGTCACGTCATTTTAGGGGGGAGGGTTTCTGGCTTTTTGAGAAGATGTGTGAAGGGGGGGGGGGGGGGGTGGGAAGGGAGGTAAAATCGTTTAAAAGGAATAACATCATGTATGGATTACCCTTTTGGCGTGTTTAGATGACACCTGTAGCATAGTCTGATGAAGTAGGTTTGTGACTTGGTGCAAGTACAACATCAATAAGCCCAACTTCGTGTTTCAGGCACTAGATGTGCTTGTCTGTTAGTTACCACAAGGTTATTGGAACTATAACACTACAATCACTGATCCGTGCAGGATATATATATATATATATATATATATATATATATATATATATATATATATATATATATATATATATATATATATATATATATATATATATATATATATATATATACTCTGTGCCCCCGTTAAAACTGAGGTGTATTTTCTGAAGTTATGAAACGTGGTAGTATAAGGAAAATAAATAAATAGCAAACCATTTGAACTGTCGTTTAAACATAGATAGACAATGTTTTGATTACTAAAGTTTATTGATATTAATTCAATGAGCTGATATCCCCCTCCCTTATTAATGTATAATCACATAAATCTATGATTTGTTATATATTTTAGGAATTATTTGATTATGAAAAACTAGAAGATCAAGTGGAGATGACTGTTGAGGGTATGTTTATTATATTACACAGCAATCTCTTTTATCTTTTTACAAAAATGACGAAACACTACAGGAAAGAGGTGTTTGGACTATAGTGACGATGTATGACAATAAAGTGTCAGAAAATTTTGTTAGTGTAGTGTCTAAGTAGAATGCATGCTACAGACAGTCAGACTTAAATACTGTATTCTCGTGCCTAAGACAGAAGCAACAGTATAACATTCCGTATTTTAACCATTTTTATCTTCTCTATTTTCTAGTCTTAAGACGAGATTGCTTTGGTGAGAAACCACTCTTCTACTGTATAGTTGCTGAGCCTGCTCAAAAAGGTAGCCTATTTGACCCACCGTGTAGCATACATAATTTGGTGTTGTTTATTCGGGCTTATACCTAAAGGCAGAATCTGTTTTCTCAGATTCCTCAAAACTTGTCGGCTATGCACTCTATTGTTCCATCTATTCCACATTGGTGGGTGCCTCCGTGTACCTAGAAGATATATATGTAACTCCAGCCTACAGAACTCGAGGTATAGGAAAACAGATGATGAAACATGTAACAAAAGTAAGTTTATTTTTCAAGTATCACAAACAAACAGAAATTATTTGTAATTTTTAGTTCGGGGTAATTTTATTGCAATTTATTTAATGAGGCGGGGGGGGGGGGGGGGAGAAGAAACATGTCATGGCTATATTATAAGGAGCCTTATTATCCGGTCCTTTTTTCGATATCCCGTTAATTGGATCCTTTTTAACGGGTGAAAATATGTAGGGTCCTTTGTGTCACTGATAGTTTTGACTGTGCTGCGCCATCCAATTATCATTTCTATCAATCATCATCATACTGGGGCAGACGAAGTAGAATTTATGTTTCACAGATACCTCGACCTTTGAAGGGATAGTTTAGTCAGCACTATGCCCAGGAGTCTGTGTTTTTTCTAACGTGAGTTAGGTACCCATCAGAGTTGGGTGTTTTCTGGGACTTTCATCCAATAGAAAGTTAAAATTAAAACCCCAATGAATGATTTTAAATTTTCCAGGCAGCTCTTGATATGGGATGTAGTCGCCTGCAGTTATCTGTGTTGGGCTGGAATAAAATGGCGAAAGATTTTTACTCCCGCTATGGCTATGTTGATGTCACGGAAAAACAAGACTGGCATGTTATGAGAATGCAGCGCAAAGCCATGGAGGAATATGTTAAAAACATAAATATTGAATAGATCATTTGTTGTGGAATAAATTGTAAAAAAATGTTTTCTGTTATCAGCCAAGGAGGAATATTACAATGTTTAATTAGCACGTGGAACAGTGGCGTAGCGAGGTCGGTTGTCACCCGGTGCGGCACTTAATGGTGTCACCCCCCCCCCCCCAGAGGCGTAGTGACCCTTCCCGGGGACAAACTTTCAAATTTTCAATTTGCACCCCCCCCCCCTCAAACTTTCGATTTGCACCTCCCCCCCTCAAATTTTTCTCTATATATTTTGTTATTTTTTGCCTCGGTGTCACCCCCCTAAATGGTATCACCCGGTGCGGTCCGCACCCCCCCCGCCCCCCCCCCCCCCCCCCTCGCTACGCCTCTGACGTGGAAAACCAGTAATGGAAGAATATGTAGAAACGCGAAATAAACATTTCTAACGAAAAGCCTTTAGTAATAAAGTAAAAAGTAAAATTGGGTATAGAGTTGCGACATTTATTTTACATTCAGCTCAAACATTTTAATGAACATCAGGTTGTTTATAACTGAGTATAAATATACAGTAAACAATGAACCGCTTTTTAAAAATAGAATCAACCTCATACCCACACTCGACAGTTTCCGGCATTGGTCATGGGAGAGACCCCCATTTCCCACCCTCACAATATCCCTTTTTCTACGCCACTGCCTTGAGCCCATACATTAAATAACAGATATTGATGATAATATTTCGTAACTCTTGTATGTTTATTTATAAGGAATCTATTTGCATATTGTTTGTCACATCTTTCTCTAACTTTACTTAGTTATCGAGCCATTGTGTTACTGATAGATGTACAGAGTGTTTTACTGTTCGCTTTCGGAAAGTATCAAATCTATAGAAGTTATTTGAGGAAAGAAACAGTTCTTACTATATAAAAAACGATATCAGCAAAATTTAAAATACAAGTAACCGAAATAGAAGGTTAGGTCGAAAAGAAAGTTGCATTGGGTCAATTTAATAACACTTACATAACTCATTTGCCAAAAATTCTGAAAGTGAGGAACAAACTTCGTTGGACAGGAATATTTTCAATTCCTGCGTGGGGAAAGTGAGGAAAGCCTTGCGAAAAAAAAAAAAACAGAAGAGAAAAGCAGTGATAAATTTATCAGTACTGGTAAGTGAACGAAGTAAAGCTCCCTCCACCCTGCACTGGCCCTACACCTCCACCAGCATCTTCCGTAAGCTCAAGTAGGCTGATTTTCAAGGTAAATACATTTTATAAAACCAGTTTATTTCTCTGCATTATCCTTTATTATATTATCATACAATATTTATCATGTATACACTTTTTTAAACACGTATAAATACAACTGTGATTGCAATTTCGTGGCTGGAACGGATTAATGGTATTTCAATTAATTTCATTGGAGAAATTGCTTTGAGATACGAGCAGTTCGACATACGATTAATGTTACGAACGATTTACATATATATATATATATATATATATATATATATATATATATATATATATATATATATATATATATATATATATATAAAAGGATGTCTCCATGGTCGAATAGACCAGTGGATGAATACCCATTTAAAGTTCCAGCACAACGACTGGGCAGTAAGATGAGAAGAGCCAGATGGTGCCCATGTAACAGGCTCCTCTCTCTCCACACAGCTGGTGGACCCAAGCGACAGGACGTTACCTGTACAGCTTGGAATCAGCTGTGTCGCTGGAAACTGCTGAAAGGAAACCAATACCAAAGGGACTACAGTCCTGTTTGATTTCAGTGTTTTCTCTCCTAGATGGGTTGCTGTCCCCAGCTGAAGAGTCTCATCTCTATATGTAGACTCTTATATAATAACGCACATACCAGTTGCGACCTTAGACGTGTTCGAAGAGTGGCTGATCGGGTTTTAAGCGAAATTTTAGAAAGAAAAAGTGATATTACAGAATAAAAATCATTGTGTTTTTCTGAATCTAAAACGATTCAAACAACACCTAGAGCTGCTAGCTATGACAAGCGACTGAGTTACTGGTCAGTGAGGTATAGCGAACCTATTCAGTTAAACATACACCATGGAAGTAGTAGACTAAAATCGCAATATTGAGACGAAAATGTTATCGTTATCCCAGTGGCGTAGCGAGGTCGGGTGTCACCCGGTGCGGCACTTAATGGTGTCACCCCCCCAGAGGCATAGAGACCCTTCCCAGGGACAAACTTTCAAATTTTCGATTTGCACCTCCCCCTCGAGTTTTCGATTTGCACCCCCCCCCTCAAGCTTTCGATTTGCACCCCCCCCCCCCTCGAGTTTTCGATTTGCACCCCCCCCCCTCGAGTTTTCGATTTGCACCCCCCCCCCCTCAAGCTTTCGATTTGCACCCCCCCCCTCGAGTTTTTCTCTATATATTTTGCTATTTTTTGCCTTGGTGTCACCCCCCCTAAATGGTGTCACCCGGTGCGGTCCGCACCCCCCCGCCCCCCCCCCCTCGCTACGCCCCTGCGTTATCCAAGAATGTCACTAGGTCGGGAGCCATCTGGTGCTTTAACGTATAAAGGAGTGACCCCTATGCATTACTGCACCAGGTGTCTCCCGATCTTGTGGCGCGACTCCTTTTTTTCTGTGCATGAATACACCCAGTACACGGGATAGACACTCGAGCTTCTTCTAATTTTAAAACACACATCTATGATTTCTCTACAGAGTCCACCGTGTCTCACAGCATGGCTGCTCAGCAGGACATCAACATACGACCAGCTACACCAGCAGACAGTGATGTAATCATCAGGCTTATCAATGTAAGTTTTTTTTAAACAGTATTTACCTGGTGGTACTATCTATAGGATGACAGTCCGTAAACCACAAAAAGCTAGCATGTAAAATTGAGGCTAACTTATTACGACCTATCAAATGCATCCACCCAGAACTCATTTACCTGGACATTCTTACTTTCAGTTAATTTAGGGGTCCTCCATAAATGACGTCACATTTTTGGGACTATTTTTACTTCCCCATCCTCCTCTCCGTCACACATCGTCACAAAAAGCCAGAGCCCCCCCCCCCCCTAAAATGACGTCACACTTCAGCCTACAACCCCCCCCCCCCCCTCAAAATTGCAGTTGAATTTTTCATAAAACATAGATATTTTTCCAAAATCTTGTCTGAACTCTGTCAACATAGAGTATTTTAATCAATTCATATTACACTTTATTGAAACCGTTTTCTAAACGCAAAAGAACGACTAAAACTCATTTTCTAACATCGCTTTTTTATAATGCAAAAGTGTGACGTCACACCACCCGAACCCCCGCCCCCCCTCCCCCTCATCACACACCGTAACAAAACTACGGACCCCCCTCCCCTACAAGTGTGACGTCATTAATGGTCGACCCCTTATCCGCCTGTTATTATAAACGATTTTATAGTTATTTTTAAATTTATTTTAGTTTTAGTAAAGTTCCCTTTTTGAACTTGACGGTCCAATGGGCAAGTGAGAGTTCGCTTGCTTTAGTGACCTTGGCATGTGAAGGTAGGGTGTGATCAGCACTATACCCAGCCGCCTTTACTTTCCCTAACATGAGTTAGGTACCCATCAGAGCTGGATAGAATCAGGGACGTTGTACTGACTTGTACACTGATTCAAAATCGTGACTTTCGCGTTAGCAGTCTAGCGCTCTACCACTAGGCCACACCGTCCATTTTGACTTGTGCTAACACTATTTTTTATAATTAATTTACAAATCATCTTAATATAATTTAGGAGTTAGCTAAGCACATAAAACAAGAAGATGAAGTCAAGATGAACGCTGATGGTATGTTAATTTTATCATTGAATTCTAGTTCACATACAAATTCCTCAGATGTCAGATTTTTTAAAAATTTGTACGGCAAACTCCTGCCCTATATTATGTCAGCTGGTATCACATTTTGTTTGGTCAGTTTGGGGGGGGGGGGGGGACATGCAGCATGGGTAATAACCTCCTCAATACCTGCCTGCCAGTGTTTCTTCCAGACTTTTTTCTCTGGGGGGGGGGGGGGGACTGAAATTTCCGGGGGGGGGGGGTGGACACTGTTAAAAGTATATATTTTCTATATAAATAAATTCTATTTCGTTCGGGAGATGAAGAAACTCTGCTGCCTGTGTCAGTGCCTCCCTCCAACCTCACAATATTAACAAAATACTAAACCACTACTCCTGGATCATTCGTGATGAACCATAGATCTAATATGTGCACGAACTTTAACATTTCAGTTTTTTGTGTAAGCCGATGGTACATACATCGGATAAGCATCAGCTTTAGAAATGTTTAATGCTTGTGTTAAAAATGTGTAAGAAACAGACAATATTATTTTATATTTACCATTTTGATCTTCTGTATTTTCTAGTTTTAAAAAAGGATTGCTTTGGTTGCAAACCACTCTTTTACTGTATAGTTGCTGAGCAATGTCAGAAAGGTACTGAAGATATTTTACTTTTTGTAGCCTGTAGTACCAAAAAAAAAATATACCTATATTTATTAACTATCAAGTATCATACTTTTTAATACTTTTTTCCTAGTGTTTTTAACTAACTATAAGTATATACGAGATATATATATATTTTTTTTAATTATTGTGTTTATTACATATTTGCAGTAGTTCTAATTTTTTTCTCAGATTCGTCTCAACTGGTTGGTTATGCCCTCTACTTTTCCATCTATTCCACATGGGAGGGGGCCTCATTGTACCTCGAAGATATATATGTAACTCCAGCCTACAGGACTCGAGGTATAGGAAAACAGCTGTTGAAACACGTAACGCAGGTAAACCATATTCAATGTCATTTTGCTACCGTCACAACCAAATTATACTTGAGCTGCAATAGATCAGAAAGTTGTTAATTTTCAGGTTTAGTTTTTTTTCCGCTTCCATTAAATGCGGTTTACCAGCATATACAATGAAAAAGCCTTACATATTTATACTGAAATTAGGTCATTGTAAAATGTTTATTTTGAGGTTATTCAATTAAAATATTAGAATACTTTCATTTCCATACAATAAATACAGTAACTATCTCTAACATTTAAACCCAAGTGAATGATTTAAAATTTTCCAGGCAGCTCTTGATATGGGATGTAGTCGCCTGCAGTTGTCTGTGTTGGGCTGGGATAAAATGACGAAAGATTTTTACACCCGCTATGGCTATGTTGATCTGACAGAAAAACAAGACTGGCATGTTATGAGAATGCAGCGCAAAGCCATGGAGGAATTTGTAAGAAATGTTTAATTAATGAATCGATAAACCATGGAAAAAATTGTAAAAAAAAATATTGGATCAAATAGCATCAGATACATGAACATTCTAGCTAAACTGTTGTTTTCTCCAACCAATGAACATCTACTCCATTGACAACACGTGCTCGACTCTTCCCTGATACTTTCCCCCCAAGTTGCCACTCCACGCTCTTTCATCTATATTAGCATCCCCCCCCCCCCCCCCCCACACACACATTTACATAGAAAGAGAACAATACAAAAGTAACAAAGCCTTAGGAGAATATGAATAAATGAGCCATGCTATTTTCAAATTCTTTTTTTTTAAATACCAGATGTCTATGTATAGTATTGATATAGGGGTTGACAGAGGCGTCGCGAGCGCGGGGCGGGGTGCGGACCGCACCGGGTGACACAATTTAGGGGGGGGGGGGGTGACACCAAGGCAAGCAATTGCAAAATATACAGATGAAAAATGTTTTTGTCAGTTCTATTAATGATTAATTAAAGTTAAATAGTCTCTTGTACAAATTGACAAAAATTACAAGGGGGTGCAGCATGGGGGTGACACCATGACGTAAACGTGCTAACTATCGAGAAAACAATGCTACATTCAACTGTATTATTAACAGACTATAAATAAACATTTTTAAAAAAGTGTTTTTAAAATCATTTTTTTTACTTCATTTTAGATTTATACTTTATTATATTTTGTCCGTTTTGAGTTTTATAAAGTACTTGTTTAGCAAATGTTAACATATTTGAGATGTTTATGGCAGTATAATTGGAGATATTTCAGTATAATTTGCATTTCTCAGCCAGAATACTCAGTGGTCTATATCTAGACTACAATTCACGTTCAAATTATGATTTAATATCCTTGCTAACTAAAAACAAATAATTAATGAGAAAACAAAATATTTTTAAAATTTAATTTTTTAAAACATGTATGTCAGTAGATCTATATATATAGATTACCGTCAAACTCTCCTGTATTTTTTATCCGGAACACTCAACTGTTTGGTAATCAATGTCCATCTAGCCATCCTCATAAATCATAGACAGTCAATAGTTACAACCTCTTGTGAAATATCTTCATTTTTCTTCTATTTTTTGTCTTCTGTTTCATTTCTTGGAACTCAATCTTTTTTTCTTTTCTTCTCACTTCCCTATTTATCTTCTGCCTGAGCAGTGTTTCTTCCAGACTTTTTTCTCCGGCGGGGGCACTTGAAATTTTCGGGGTGGGGGCGGTAGACTTTCTTGGGGGGCGGACACTGTTAAAAGTATATATTTTCTATATAAATTATATAAATTTCATTTCGTTCGGGGGGGGGGGGGGGGCGTTAGAATTTTTTCTGGGGGGGGGGGGGGGGGGGCTTCGTTCCCCCCCCCCCCCCCGAAGAGATGCCTGGAAGAAACTCAGTGCCCGAGTGTTATTCTAATTCTATACTCCTCCTGAGTTGTAAAGCTAGGCATTGCTGGTGCGATTATACTTTGTTTTGTCCTTGCTTGTGTTGGCTGACTGCCGTTTGTAGGCTCTAGTTGTCATCCACCATAAGAGTTCTCGTGATTGCTTTAGAGTAAGATGTGGTTCTTGTGCTTTCTTTAGAGTAAAGATGTGGTTTTTTATGCTTTCTTTAGAGTAAAGATGTGGTTTTTTGTGCTTTCTTTAGAGTAGAGATGTGGTTCTTGTGCAAGCCCTCACCCCCTTTTACCCCGCATTACTCTCGTCAAAAAAGTCGTTAAAACATATTTAGCAAAGCTCATCTATACTTTTTTTTATTGCTTTGTATAATAATATAACGTCTCAATCTTTTTTTTCTCTATATATAAATGTATGCGGGTGGATTCCACAAACTACTCACGGACAGGTTGGTAAATCAGGACGTACGGTAAGGGTTAAATTATAAGTTTTGGTAAAGTCTCATCAATCTTTTTTTTTTAACTTGACACTTTCTCTATCTACTAGATCTAGGCCTACTAGATCTAGACTAGTACTAACATCATGTATACCGTGTTAAAAACAACAACAACTTATCCTCTTCTTTATCGTCTTTATCTGCCACACAAGGACTGCCAGGTTTAAAAAAAAAAAGGCAACGTCATTTACTTAGGGATCATCCATTAATGACGTCATGCGTTTTTTGACGATTTTTACCTTCCCCTCCGTCACACGTCGTCACAGAAAACTAGACCCCCCCTTCCCGCCTAAAATGACGTCACACCTTAACCTTAGCCTACAACCACCTCCCCTTCCCCCCCCCCCCCCCCCTCAAAATCGCAGTTGCATTTTTCTTTAAACATCGAAATTTTTCCAAAATATTTTCTGTTTTCTAAAACGCTTAATATTAGTAATAACGGCTAAAATTCGTTTTCTAACATTGCTTTTTTTTATAATGCAAAGGTGTGACGTCACGCCATCTGAAGGACTCCCCCCCCCCCCCCCCCACCAAATTAGGGTCCCCCTCCGAGTGTGACGTCATTTATGGACGGGCCATGAAATTAACTTTAAATAACGGGGTTTGACCGGATAACAAATATTAGGATTTGGCTACTATAATCTAGATCTAGATTCTAGATAGTAGATAGGCTTTAAAAATTGCAGCCTTCTTTCGAAAAAATTACTTTATTAGATCTATTTCTATTCGCGTCTCATTCTGTAGTGAGACTAATCACTCATTGTGTTAAAGATGTATTTAGATCTAATTTAAAATATTTCAAATAGAATTTCAGTAGATAAACACAACGGTCAATAGTAGGACAGGTGTGCAAGAAAAGTCTGTGGGTTGGAGGGGGGGGGAGGTTTTCAGTTAGGTATGCACCAATAATACTAGCTTGCTTTTTAAATTGGATATGCACTGAAAAAACAATAGATCTTTATCTAAATTTCTAGTCCTAATTATTTAAGCTTGCTAGCCTAAGCTAGATCTAGGCCTAACTTAAAATATTTGCGAAACTTAGCCTACAGACTAGACTAGATCTACGGACCATTCAATCAAATAACTTTTAATATAAGGAAACAAGGGAAATCATTCTCTTTTCGATTGTGGCTTCGTCTGCTGCTCTACTAACAATTATAACAATACAAACATACTGGGTTATTTTTATTACTGGGTTATTTTTATTATATTTTATGGTTATAGTTAAGTTATAGATCTAGTTTTCTACAATCTAGATCTAAACTAAAACACATCTTTCTAGAATCTAGATCTGAGTACTTATTTAATATTTAATATTTATTTAATATTAATAGGTCTAGGAGCTAGTGACTGTAATAAATAGTGTTTTATTTATTATTTAGTGTAGGTGTAGCACTGTAGTGAGTAGTGTATCCTGTACTGGTACTGTAGGTAAGCTATCGTTTTAATTAGGCACGTAAAATCGCCCTCGACTAGTAATGTGAAAAACAGGTGACTCCTTAAATTTTAATAATTATTTCACATTTTGAGGAGGATTTATGTTTTGAAAAAATAAAAATGTTTCCTTCACACCTTGTTTCATTCATGTACATGTTTTTAAACAATTGAATTAAAACTTTTCAGTAATAAATGAAGACTAGCGATGTTTCCAACAGATGCAACCATGCTCATTTACTATAGCAACCATCTTGTTTTTTTTTCCTATTGTAAACTTATAGCCCAAGATTCAGGGGAAGCCACTCTAACTTACAGATGGCCGCTTTTTATATAGCAAATCCTGCTCGCAAACATTGCTGTTTAAAGATAATTTCTTGCCTATATTGATATATTTAGCCATTGATTTAGGTTTATTATTCATTTATCTACAATATTTGACAAAAATATATCACAATATAGATTCTACTTCTTCTATTAAAGCCTTGACAATGAGGTAACTTTTTCGTACATTACTATCCGCGGGCGATTTTACGTACCTAAAACGATAGATTACCGTACTGTATACTCACTCTATACTGTGTATAAGGATACTAATAATACTATACAGTATTGAGTATACAGTATGTATGAGTATAATACACTCATACAGTATACACTAGCTAGATCTACTTATTATTTATTATACTAATATTACTATAATAAGAATAGATCTAATTTAATTAATTATTTCAATTAATTATGGCTAGGCCTATATTACTAACTATATTAAACTATATTTGTATATTAATTATTTATTTTAACTCATAACTATACTAGAATTGCCTGAGTATGAGCATGATGGATTCTCAGCAGGATATCACAATTCGCCCAGCAACATCAGCTGACTGTGATGAAATACTGAGGCTTATCATAGTAAGTTATTTTTTAGTTTTTTATTTTGGATGTTATCTAAAATATAACGCTGAAGGTAGTGTCTCAGTCATTCCGTCATCGCTATAGATTTTGGAAGTCTCTCCCTGGGCTCTAAACAATTAGAGGAATAAACCATACTTAGACAGAGTATTTTGCAAAAAAATAAAAAAAAAATTTTTTCCCTTTGTCCATAAAAATTCAATAACAAAAAGCAAACCTACAGTTCTAAAATTGATGAGAATACTCCTGGGAGGGTTTCTGCCAAATAAATTTCAATTTTGGAGGGGCTGCTATTTATAATATTTAATATATAGATCAGTCAAAAATTAGAGAATAGATAGGCCTAGCCTATTATCTTAGTAAACTTGGAAATAACTATTAATTTTATTTCATTGAATTTATGAGTGTTAAGGTCAAATCTTCGATACTGTGTAAACATGAGTTATGCTTTATGAAAATGGTGGCCAAAATTCAACCATTAATATAAAATAATATTTTTTAAAAAGTCCAATAAGTATTATTTAAGAAAAAATATTTTTACATCTTTTTCCAGACTTCAAGTTTTAATCTTTGTGTGTGTTGATAACATTTTTTTGCTGTCTTTAATAAAAATAAGTAGTCCAATATTTTTCCCTTTTTACTATTACTATTAGTAATTACACAAACTTTTAATATTTTCACTTTTTATTTTAGTTTCATTCAAATACATTTTAAAATTAATTTTAGGAATTAGCTGTGTATGAAAAGCTAGAAGATCAAGTGAAGATGACTGCTGACGGTATTTTTTTTTTTAATCACTTTGTTTTAACCTTTAAATAACATTGTAATTCTATTGGTATTATTTTAACCATTTTTATCCTCTGTATTTTCCAGTGTTAAGAAAAGATTGCTTTGGGGATAAACCACTCTTTTACTGCATAGTTGCTGAGCCTTCTCAAAAAGGTACTGCAGCAGTAGTAAAGGAATATAGTTTTTTATCTTTTTATGCTGGTCTCCTGTTTGTAATTCTCACAAATTGCAGAATGAGTTTTCTTAAATCCCTAAATGTAATGATTTCATGTTTTAATGAGTCTAAAAGTTTTATTTTTTATTTTAAAAATATTAATCGCTGTGAGTTTTTTTTTTTGCCACTAATGGTACAAATTTGTATTTTCTCAGATTCGTCTCAACTGGTTGGTTATGCCCTCTACTTTTCCATCTATTCCACATGGGAGGGAGCCTCCTTGTACCTTGAAGATATATATGTAACTCCAGCCTACAGGACTCGAGGTATAGGAAAGCAGCTGTTGAAACATGTAACACAAGTAAATCATTCAATTCTTTTTTAATACTTTTACAACAAGCATCATAACAAATAAGGTAGCCATTAATTATAATAAAAATTATTAAACCCTTAATACTAGAGTTAGTGAATGTGGTGCGGGAGGGTGATGATGTTTATTTATGTCTCTATACATTGAACTTGGGGGCCATAGTGTTCATGATGGATCCTGGGGCTCTAAATGGCACTCTACTGGTGCGCCCCCCTGTCAAATTTTAATTGTTTTCGCAGAAACCTCCCAATAAGTAATCTTAACAACTTCCCAAAAAATAAATAATGCATAAAAAACAAACAAAAACAAACATGTATAGGTAGATAGATTACAAATCACTATATTTAGAAGTGTAACTTTTCTGAAGAAACTCTATATATTATTTAATGTATTACTATTCACTTTTTTTAGCGCAATTTCCATTCTGGAGAATTGCGTTTATTAACTCGTCATTTCTGGGAATGGATGGATGGATGGATGAATGTGTGTCCGGGCTTTAAGTCGTATCTCCTCCTCAACGAAGCAATATTGATGACTAGTTCCAAAAGCAATTATGTTAAGCAAGTTACGAGAATGAGCATAGGCCATAAAAATTCCGGGTTTCTTTCATGTATTTCCCGTAAAAGCTAAAAAACCTCGAAAAAATGCAGTTTTTGGCCCATATCTCGGCAACCAGACCACTTAGCGACTTGAAACATGTACCAATCGATTCCTGCCATAATTTAGAACAATATTGCCGAAGAAAGTTTTCAAAAATATCCTCTCGTTCGGTCACAAATTTTAAAATTACATAAACACCTACAAACCGATCGCTCTTCTAGCTTGAACGCACCCCATCATTATACGTCAGAGCTATTTTTAGATAACATAAGGAAATTGCGCATAAATGTCACTAGACTTTTTTAATTAACTTGCGCGCCTACTGAACGTGATGGCGCAGCCATGGAACGCGATGACGCATCTATTGAACGTGATGACGCGTGTGGTGTGGTTGTATATACATGCCGGAAGTAGAGATCTATCATCTTAATGATTATCATGTTGATAATCAAGTTCAACTAACCAATGGTTTTAATAACCCTGCTCTTGATTTCAAGGTGCTTAGTTTAGTTAGTAGTTAGGTTTATTTAATAAAAAACGTTTTAATAACTAACCAATGGTTTTACTAACCCTGCTCTTGATTTACGCTACGACAGAGCTATTTTTAGATAACATAAGGAAATTGCGCTAAAATTGTCACTAGACTTTTTAATTAACTTGTTTAGAACTGTAGGCCCATTTCAGTTTTTGTTATAGAATGTTAATATGGATAAAGGGAAATAACCAAGTTAATATTTTTTTTTGAAAAATAATCTAAGCATGGCTAATTCTTCTTGATTATTCAAAATTTAATAATATTCCTTATTATTATTATGGAGCTCTTGTGGGCTTCAATTTATTTTTTTGCTTAAAACTTTCCGGTAATATTTTAATCAACTCTCCAAAGCTTCATGACTCAGATGAAAGGTATAGTAATGCATAAAGAAAACACACACACACCTTTCATTGTTTACATATTTGGAAATATAAAAAAACATAGGGGCCTACCAATAAAAATAAAACAGATATTTGGATTTAGAAAAAAACACTGCAGTTAATTTGTTTTTATAAGAAGTTATTTTATAGAGTTAAAAGTAAAAGAGATAGTATTTATTTTTAAAGCTTTGTGTACTTTTTACTGAAACCTGTGCAAAATCATTTTAATTATAATTGTAGAGTGATATTTTTACATTAGAAATTGAATTTAGTAAAACCCAAGTGAATGATTAAAAATTTTGCAGGCAGCTCTTGATATGGGATGTAGTCGCCTACAGTTGTCTGTGTTGGGCTGGAATAAAAGCGCTAAAGATTTTTACACCCGTTATGGCTATGTTGATCTGACAGAAAAAGAAGACTGGCATGTTATGAGAATGCAGCGCAAAGCCATGGAGGAATATGTAAAAAATGTTTAATTAATGAATCGATCATTAGTCATGGAATAATATTTATAAATGTTTAATGAATCATTAAGTCATGGGGAAATATGTAAATAAAAAGTTTAATGGATACATTACTAGCCATGGAAGAATATCCAAAAGAAATGTTATTTAATAATTTTATCAAGATTAAAAAAAAATATTTATCTAATGTAGAACATGTCAAGCCATGTAAAAAAACGTGATTAAAAAAACAATTAGAATAGGGTAAAATAGACTACTAATGGAATTTTATAACTATTTTATTAATATATCCATCAATCATAGAAACAATATAACATGTTTAAACAATATAAAAATAACCAAACTGTTTGTTAAATTCCTTCTCCAGCGTTATCTTTAAAATTGAATAGGTTTAGAAGAGTAATTTGATAGCAGCTGTGTGAGTGACCCAGCAGGATTTGGAATGTGTCACAATCAGTCAAATGTTGATTGGTATTAAATACCTGTGAGGTAGCTGTTTTGATAAGCAATATAACTGAAAAATATAGCTCTATATAAATGCAATATTAACTAGTCACAGAATAAAGGCAGTTTTGATTGTTTACTAATTTATATACAGCTGCCTAATCCATAATTTAAATAAAGACTTCAAAATAAACTCGTACAATTATTTCCTCTAGTTACCTTGACTTAGATTGTGATAACAACACATTTTTTTTTTTAAAAATGCTGAGCTGCTGGTAGTCATTTTACTATTGCAAATTTTGATTGTATTTTATTTACTTTGAAATGAAATAAACATTCAGTCAAGTTATTTCAACATTTATTTTACTCTAATTTGTCAGTTCATGTAGAGCTAGATACAACTCCCTACCCCCACACACTAAAGTGTAAATATCAATTGATGCTCCACCCCCTCCCCCTTTGTGTTTTTGTTTTGTCTTTTTTTCTAACATGGGTTTTTTAATTATGAATATCTACTTTCTGGTAGCTTTGACTTAGTATTTCTAGGCCTATCAAAGAAAAGGCATTTAAGGGGGGGGGGGGGTTGAAATGAGTATATTTTATGACTGAAGTGAGGCACCCTTTGTTGATGAGGTGCCAAGATTTGTTTGTTTTTCAAAGGAGACTTCATAACGAAATATTTTGAAGGTGCTGCCTTAGTGAAGATATGAAGCTTTTTTTTTTTTTTTTTTTTAAATTTCTTTGGGAAAATCACTTTTAGAATGTCGTGTTAAAAATGGATCAAACATGCTTTTTTTTAAAAAACATGTAGGCTATATTGTATAGCATGAACAATAAGTTGAATAACATAGATCATGGACTACATTGCTAACAACAAACCGACAGACGCAAGCTGTCGAAAGAGAGTTAAGTGGTTTTTTAATCGTGGATGGGGAACGATTTCGGTACTACCACTTAAATGAAATGCCTATTCTCTAAAAGTTGACATTTCATCCCATGATTAGCGCCGTTTAATGCACAGCGCACGTCCATGATAGTCTTTGTGAACCAATTGTAGACAGTTAATTTATGAACTAGCGCAGTAATTTTTGTCTATGGCGAAATGTCACGGTGATTTTCTCTTTGCCAGGTTTGAAAAAGCGGGGAGATCATCAAGTGGCAATTAACTCAGGGATGCCCGTGGAATTTTAGATTAGTCATTTTGAGATCTGTAGCGTTATCTCCCGTCGCTAATGGGTTGCTGAAATGTTTAGGGGGTCGTGCTTAAATGACTTCACGCATTTTTTCGACCCCCCCCCCCCCCATCAATTCTCATCGTCAGAGTCAGTCGTATCTCAGATACACCCCTCACCCTCCCTTTCCCCCGTAGCAATATTGTGTTTGTTTGTTTAAACAGCTATTGCTTTCTAAACCATTAAACCAGCTGGTTAAACATCATGTTTTTATATCCTTTTTTACTACGTTTTTTTTAAAGATGCGAAATAATATTTCCTGACATCTCTTTCCGCCTCCTCCAACCCCCCCCCCCCCCCTTTCTCTCCCCCAAAAGCAACATGACGCACGCATGATAGAATTATTTTGTAAAACGGAACTTGACAATAGAGATGAAGATTTTATCCTTTAATTTAACTCTGAAACCTTAATCAGTTTAATTAATAAAAAAAACAGCAAAAATTTAAATGGCAACCGAACAACATTTATTAATAAAACCCAATCAAACAGCGTTTTAACAAGCAAAAAAAATCTAGGCTATCGGAAAATTATCACAGGTATTTATCAAAAGACTATCACAAATACAATAGTTTTTAAAGCTATCACACACGATGCTTTAAAACGGTCACACAATGTTTTATACACTATCACACACTATATGTTAGACACGATCACAGAACGTGTTTGAAACAATGTCACACAAAGCGTGTTTAAACATTTGACAGCATCAGAAAGGGTTCTCATAGCCAGTGTTTGACCTTAAAATTCTGAAAATGAAAGCAGAAAACAAGTTATAGAGCTGCCATTAGTCATCAAAATAACTTTAAAAAATAAATAAACGATAACCCAATCTCCCACACTATTATGAATTAAAAAAAAAACAACACATCGTAACCTGAATGTTGTGTCGTTAAAGAAGACTGTCGTTAGGAACATTATTGTACCAGTAACTTTGCCCCAAGTCATGATGTTACGATATTTGAGCAGCAAGGTGATGATATTCACACATCAGTAGTCCAACTTAGGAATAGTGAGACCCACTGACAAGACCAGGGTCAGGACTTAGGAATCGTGAGACCCACTGACAAGACCAGGGTCAGGACTTAGGAATAGTGAGACCCACTGACAAGACCAGGGTCAGGACTTAGGAATAGTGAGACCCACTGACAAGACCAGGGTCAGGACTTAGGAATAGTGAGACCCACTGACAAGACCAGGGTCAGGACTTAGGAATAGTGAGACCCACTGACAAGACCAGTGTCAGGACTTAGGAATAGTGAGACCCACTGACAAGACCAGGGTCAGGACTTAGGAATAGTGAGACCCACTGACAAGACCAGGGTCAGGACTTAGGAATAGTGAGACCCACTGACAAGACCAGGGTCAGGACTTAGGAATAGTGAGACCCACTGACAAGACCAGGGTCAGGACTTAGGAATAGTGAGACCCACTGACAAGACCAGGGTCAGGACTTAGGAATAGTGAGACCCACTGACAAGACCAGGGTCAGGACTTAGGAATAGTGAGACCCACTGACAAGACCAGGGTCAGGACTTAGGAATAGTGAGACCCACTGACAAGACCAGGGTCAGGACTTAGGAATAGTAAGACCCACTGACAAGACCAGGGTCAGGACTTAGGAATAGTGAGACCCACTGACAAGACCAGGGTCAGGACTTAGGAATAGTGAGACCCACTGACAAGACCAGGGTCAGTAATGAAGAAACGCGATACCCATAGACACAACTAGAGTCAGTTGTCAAGAATCGCGAGACCCACTGGCATGCCCAGGGTCAGGACTTAGGAAGCGTGAGACTCACTGGCATAACCCAGGGGTCGGCAACCTGCGGCTCTTTTGATATCAAGATGCGGCTCTCTAGCTCCTTGAACAAATACTAATAATCTTAATAAAAAAATATGAAATAAAAAAAATGTTAGTGGCTCTTTAAAACCAGGGAAATTTTGAAAATTGTAACTTTTGGCTCTTCCGCTTCAAAAGGTTGCCGACCCCTGGCATAACCGACATATTCAAATTCTCATTCTCTACCCCACAGCTTTCTATCTACAACAGGGTCATTCTCTACTACACTTACCCCTTTTATACAGCAACGCAAGAACTCTGCACAGATGTAACTAAACATTTATCAACTTTCACAGCGGAAAATATGCTACATTTCAAGAAAATACAACCTCGCATTAACTGTAAAAATATAGGATTACTTTTTAAATACTGCGGTTTACATCTCTGCCCTTACCGGGGCCTCTTGAATCGTTGTGGTTTTTCGACATCCTCATCATTGTTCGACTCATTACCTGAGAAGTTTCCCTCTTCGTCAAACAGCGAGCTCAAGAACATCGGCAAAGCTGCACCAATCGACGTGCAGACGACCACGAACGCCGCTGCCTTCCAGCGGTCACGGAACGGAGCACAGTTAGGCTTGGGTTTGATGCAGCCACACCAATTTTTGAACGTGCGTCTGCTTCTAAGGAATATCGTCGCCTTAGTGTGAAAACTGTTCAGCGTAACACGTAGCAGTAGCATCGTTTTATTAACTCTGCTTGGTACAAAAATCCAAGCTACAACAAGGCACGTTTAGTTTCGAAACACAAACATAACTTAAGATATGTACGTTTTTCCTTTCTTACAAAATCTGTAACTGTGCACGCTGTTGTCGGAGGCTAGTGAGTTTTTACATCCTTTCATTTTATTCAACCAATCACTTTTATTATGATATTCAAAACAACATTTCAATCAAGCATTGCTTTGTGACATCTCATGAAAAACGACTTCCGTTTAGCGAATGTTTCTCAGTGCGTTTATTTATTTTAGAAGTGTGTCATTTCTCCACTAGCTAAATGCACATTCACCAATTAGCTAAAGAAAGTTTGTCACAAATGAAAATTGTGTTTCTGTCGTCTATTTGAGTTAAACTTAAAACTATGTGTGTAAATTTGGGAGGGGGGGGGGGGGGTTAAGACGTAGCCTCCTTCATTTGTTGATGGATGGGTCTACTCGCTGATTCAAGTATTCCAATGTTTTCTTTGGTTTCATTTTTTTTAATGATCAGTTGAGTGGGAAAACTTATAACGAATTATTTCAAAATTAGTCAATCTAATTCATAATCTTCACAATAAACTGGAAAACTAAGTTCCATAGCGAAATGAAACAAGTTAATGGAGGTTTTTAATGTTAATGAACTAGTTGAGTTTATAATTAATGAGACTCTGTGGGGCTATAAGTTGTTTTGTTACCTGTTGAATTTTACAGTTTTAGATAGCTTTAAAAATCACCAAAGAACCCATCAGACAAAAGAAAAACGATATTATTCCACATAGTTATGTGTTGACTCTCTGATAAGTTTCACAGTGAAGAAACCAGTAGAATTTTTTAAATGGGAGAGCAGAACAGTTGGACACTTGTGGTAAAATTAGATTTGATACGGTGTTCTACTTATTGACATGTCGACAAATGGTTTTCGTAAAAACACAAATGAATCGGCCAAAGGTAACATCAAAACGCATGAAGTTATTAAAGCCACACTGTTTTTAAAAAGGAAAAGATTTATTGTAATTCTAATAGTTACCATACATTACAAAAGATACCAGAGTAAATTTCTAAAACATTTTTCTACATTGGATAAAAATTACCGCGACGCATAAATGTCACTCTGGGATGTCAACATCAAAGATGAATATCATCACGATTTAGGTATCCAACGCTTGGTATCAACACATTTTGATTATCAACTGATGTTAGGGATCAACCGATGTTGGAAAATCAACATGGTCATCGACGAGTTGATGCAACCAAGGACGACAAACACGCAACATTGAAGGCCAACAGAAACTTGCTCAATTTTAAACCGCTGTTTTTGGTGCTCACCTGGATAATGACAGATCAGTTTCACTTTATTTTTTATATATGACATAATGTGACATTTACATGACATAATGTGACATTTGTGACACCTGACTTAAGATGCATGTAATAACTTTTAAGCGACTTTATTTTTTATATATTTTACATGACATAATGTGACATTTGTGTCACCTGACTTAAGAAACGTGTAATCTTTTAAGCGACTTTATTTTTAGTATATTTTACATGACATAATGTGACATTTGTAACACCTGACTTAAGAAATGTGTAATCTTTTAAGCGACTTTATTTTTAATATATTTTACATGACATAATGAATGATAATGTGACATTTGTAACACCTGACTTAAGAAACGAGTAATCTTTTAAGCGACTTTATTTTTAATATATTTTACATGACATAATGTGACATTTGTAACACCTGACTTAAGAAACGTGTAATCTTTTTTTAAGCGACTTTATTTTTTAGTATATTTTACATTACATAATGTGACATGGAATCCTGTAGTCTTGTGACATCTGACATAACAAACATGTAAGACATGACATTAAAACTATACAATTTGAGCGTTATAATTAATTATAATTAGGATGATCATCAAAAGGGTACACACTGCTATCAAATTACCAATCCCAGCTTATATTTGTGTCAGCAGTATTTTACTAATCACCGTGATTTACGATTAGCTATTGGTAATTTTTTTTTTTTTTTTTTTTTTTGCTTTCTACCACAAAGAGATGCCTAGAAGAAACTCTGCTTTCTACCATAATCTATTGATCCCAAATATGATAAGGGGAAAGCTATCTAAACGCGTGTTTATAATCCACGTCATTCCGAGATAAACTGTTACTAGCTTGGCAGCCAGAACTGTAGTAGCTTACATGAAGGCGGATTTGCCATTTTTGTAGAGTAGGTTATACATTTTCAAATATTTATTTTGGGAGGCCAAGCCTCCTTGTTCTTGCCGACGCCCGTCCATTCAAATGTTCATTAATATTTGATAAACCTAATTTTTCCCCAAATATTTTTTGCAAACTTTGGGGTTGGGTTGGAAGCTATCCCCTCTCACTATTCACCCCCTTGGTATGACTATGAGCTGAGGTAAAATTTAGAAACCAATTTTTAAAATCATCTCTAACTTGTATTCAGCAGCTGGTTGTAATCGGAACATTCATTGAATAAATTAATGATGCAACTTGAAAACAAGCTTGCGCGAACTACATTTTCTTTAGTCTTGGTAGGACGGGATGCGATTCTTAAGCTTTCACCCCCTATCCCCCCCACACACACACACTATGGGGGTGCGGGTACCACACTGTGTGGGTACGGGTACCACACTATGTGGGTAAGGCTACCACACTATGTCGGTACGCCAGTACGGCTACTACACTATACGGATGCGGTTACTACACTATGTGGTTACATGTGGTGCGGCTAAAACACTATATGTGGGTACAGCTACCACACTGTGTGGGTGCGGCTACCACACTGTGTGGGTGCGGCTACCACACTGTGTGGGTGCGGCTACCACACTGTGTGGGTGCGGCTACCACACTATGTGGGTACGGCTACCACATTGTGTGGGTGCGGGTAAAACACTATATGTGGGTACAGCTACCACACTGGGTGCGGCTACCACACTGTGTGGGTGCGGCTACCACACTGTGTGGGTACGGCTACCACATTGTGTGGGTGCGGCTACCACACTGTGTGGGTGCGGGTAAAACACTATATGTGGTTACGGCTACCACAGTGTGTGAGTGCGGCTACCACACTGTGGGGGTGCGGGTAAAACACTACATGTGGGTACGGCTACCACACTGTGGGTGCGGGTAAAACACTATATGTGGGTACGGCTACCACACTGTGGGTGCAGCTACCACACTGTGTGGGTACGGCTACCACACTATGTGGGTACGGCTACCACACTGTGGGGTTACGGCTACCACACTGTGGGTGCAGCTACCACACTATGTGGGTACGGCTACCACTATGTGGGTACGGCTACCACACTGTGGGTACGGCTACCACACTGTGGGTACAGCTACCACACTATGTGGGTACGGCTATTACCTAGACGGGACCACCTCAGCTAATTCTTTGACGACTCGCCGCTTGGGGCCGGGTCTTGTGGCTGCTCCGCCTCCCGTCCCGCCTCAATGAGGGGAATATCCTCCTCCCTTTGTCGACCGTGCGGGATGAGAATGTCATTCCTCCGTGACGGAGCCACCATCTCCAAAACATGGGCCACCTCTTTACCCTTCTCCACGCCACTCACGGCCATTGCTGTGACCACAACGAGAAACTTGACCATGTGCGGGTGGTTTTTGAGAAACTCGATGAGGCCGCTGGCTCGGCCTTGTTTGTATCTGACGGGGATCAAAGGCTTGGCGCTGAACGTGTTCGGTTTGTCTTGCAGTCTGTTTATCACAGAACCCAGTTTTTTAAATACGCTTGACGCCATCTTGGTTATTGTGAGGCGAGGTTACTTTAAAAATTAGAAACACAACTAATGGAACAATTGTTATAACTAAAAAAAAGATGAAGTAGGCTTACATTTTTTAATTGAATGAAAAAAAGTAAGCTTGTTACTAAAAAGTATAACCGTTATTTTTTTAAATTAATTAAAACAAAGTACTGCTTACATTTTAAAAAGAATCAAATTTCATAGTTGTAAAGAATTGCACACTAAATGGAATGCAAAAAAAGTGCGTATAAATAGTGCGGACAGTTATTACCTTACCATCATAATTTTTCCTTCAATACATGAGTCTGTGACATCCGTCACAGAAAGCTCTACACTTTTGCCGGTCTCTGGCAATTTTCTTGGCAGTTTCCCAAGATATTCTGTCTCTTTTCAGTTGTTTTACTCCCAGTGTTTCTTCCAGACTTTTTTCTCCGGGGGGGTGGGGCACTTAAACTTTTCGGGGGGGGGGGGGGGGGGGGGGCGGTAGACTTTCTTTGGGGGGGGGCGGACACTGTTAAAAGTATATATTTTTTATATAAATTTCATTTCGTTCGGGGGGGGGGGGGGGCGGTAGACTTTCTTCGGGGGGGGGGGGGGGGGGGGGGCGAAGAGATGCCTGGAAGAAACTCTGTTTACTGCTGTGTTTCTCCGCGTGTTTCTTGGCTTTTAATATTTTCTTTTTCCTAAGACGTTCAGTTCACGCCATACCTGTGATATCCCCTGACCTCGTTCTTAAAACATTGTCTCTACACATTACTTTATATAACAATCTAATTAAAAAATTAACTAACAAGCAGTGGCGTAGCGCGGTCGGGTGTCACCCGGTGCGGCACTTAATGGTGTCACCCCCTAGAGGCGTAGCGACCCTTCCCGGGGACAAACTTTCAATTTTCGATTTGCACCCCCCTCCTCAAACTTTCGATTTGCACCTCATAAACATTTAACACTCGAATTAATCACTTAATTAAGTGGAATTATAATTTTTCTCTAGATATTTTGCTATTTTTTGCCTTGGTGTCACCCCCTTAAATGATGTCACCCGGTGCGGTCCGCCACCCTCCACCCATCCCCCCCCCCCCGCTACGCATCTGCTAACAAGTCAATTCAACCAAGTTTTATGCCACATTGCATTACCATCGGGTCTTGACCTAGTTGTCAAGTTTAAATGAAATGGGTTTAGTAGGAATGGTTGAAATTTCGCTCGCGAGTTTCAAATCCATGACCAAGACAAAACAATACTAAAGAACGAGGTAATATAAACCTTGTACAAAAAGAAATTAAACCGAGAAATCGTGAATTTCACTATATCTCTTTGTTTGTTAATAGACATGTCTTAAATATTAAAATGATTACAACTCAGCTTTACAAAAGTTTTGGGGTTGGGGCGGCTAATCATAAACATTCCCCTCCTAGATCCGCCCCTGACCCCTATATACGTAGCATGCGATGACGTTGACACGAGGGTGTATAGTATAGTTGATACGCTAATTTGTACTGCGGCATACTGTGTTATTAATTCCATTATCGGCAGTTAAAAGCACGTCTGCCTTCCATTCAACCATAATCACCACTATCGGGTATCATGCACCCACTTTGTGAGGAGCTGATTATCTAAATCCAGTGACGTAAGCAGGGGTTTGCCGTACAAGGAGTGTTTTAAAAAGTTTTTCCCCAGATGTGTATATATATATATATATATATATATATATATATATATATATATATATATATATATATATATATATACACATCTGGGGTTATATATATATATATATATATATATATATATATATATATATATATATATATATATATATACACACATCTGGGGAAAAACTTTTTAAAACACTCCTTGTACGGCAAACCCCTGCCTATATATATAGGTGACTGTGCCACAGACTGACCAAGAAATGGTCTGTCATGTGTTAGCCGGGTACAGCCAGCATTGCGCGCATGCTGTCACATACGCCTGTTGCCCTGATGACCAGCAACCAAAGACCGTTAATGAAATAATAACGCCACCTAGCGGAACTTCTGGTTGGCTGACAGCTGACCCGCCCTGGGTGGAGCGGCCATGATGAGCACGTGATGAGATGAATTATGGGATAATTGAACGAGTCGGGATGAAATTAAATGGTGTCTAGGAGCAGACGATTGTTAACAAGGGGGGTAATTGGGGGAGTGGGGGTTATCTTTCTAATTAGAGGTTGGTGGACATAACCAATGTATTTGACACTTGTAGGCATTTACGCATTACAGGCTGAAAAGACAACTGTTACTTCCAAAATATAAAAAACACTGTTTTGTATTTATCATAGCGTCGATGTTGCCTAAAAGGCCCATGTTGCAGTGCTAAGCCGTCGTGTAGGTACATTGAGGAATACTAAGCCGATATGTCTATGTAGGAATATTAAACCGTATGTAAGTGAACTTTTAATAGGTAGCTACTTTAAAAGCAAAAAAAAAAAAAAAATAATAATAATAATAATAATAATAAAACGTTTCGAAAATAGATTTTCGACTGTAAAATTAATGTAACTACATTATTCGTATGCGTGTGTCTCATCTTTCGTTTAATTACTTACGAAGTCGGTATGAATTGGGAGAGTTGCTTTTAAAAAAAACATTAAATGTGCGTGTAAAAGTTGATAGGTTTTATATGGGATAGTGGCCGTGGATAGATAGGATAGTTGTTGGATAGCGATAATTTATGCAGATTGAAAATATAACTAGAAACCTAATTGGAAAGGTTTACTGATTATAACTCAAGATTTTAAAACATGAAACCTGTCCATTGTTCTATTCAGATTTTAGTGGAATAACTGTTTTATATTGAGACTAAAGAAATCAACATCAAGTAAAAAACATTGAAATGCAACATCAACACAAGCATGGATGTAAACAAACAGAAACTGATTTTTCCAGCAGTTTGGATACAAGTCCAACGAGGATGTTTCAACCAGGTGTTTTGGACCGGAGATTGGGTAACTATTACATCGGTCAGTCGCTGTCGTATTGGTGTGGTCTGAGTCAAATGTCGGCCATACTTGATTCAAAAAGTCACAAACATGGATCCTTGTTTGGTTTCAGCCCTGTATTACGTACGGCAGTTGATTCAAAAAATCCCAGGAAAGGATCTTTGTTTAGTGTTAGTCCTGTGTTCCATACGGCAGTTCATCAAGTTCCAGAAACAATAGATGGAAAATTCTGTGCCAATGGGTGTAAACCTAGCACCCCTATCGACATGGACTGCTCCAGTGAAGCTACGTCACGCTTATTTCCAGTTCGCTCGTCAGATGCGTTGTCTCAAGAAGCAAAGAAAAGTAACGCTGGCTTTCCCTCTACAAATCTTCATTACAGAGCAAGTAAAGAGAATGATCAATTTGGTGCCAACAAACCCAGCAACGAAATAAAACGATATAATTCTACTGTGCATTACCTTCCTTCTGAAGAGCGGAGTGAGCATCAATGTAGACAAGTCGATTTCAGATATGCATCGAAACATTCAGATATCGATATTTCAGCAAAACTTGCTCTTGCCAAAGCCTTCAAGAGACCGAGAAACAGGTAATATTTTTTTTAAACTACACATTATTGGCCTTTAGAGAATAAAATATGAAAATACCAATTAACTACCATTAGGAATCATACGAAAGCTAGCCAGAAAGTCTCGTGTTCGATTCCGTAGATGGTTCCAAACCTGATGGGTGCCTGATTCATGTTACGGAAAGTAAAGGCATTTGAACATAGTGCTGACCTCACTATCCCTTTATATGCCGAGGTCACAGAAACAGGTGAACTCTACTTCCCTTGCCCCATGGACCGTCAGGTTCGAAAGAGAACTTTACCACCAACTCATATAACATGACCCCAGCTTCTTGACCACCAACTCATATAACATGACCCCAGCTTCTTGACCACCAACTCATATAACATGACCCCAGCTTCTTGACCACCAACTCATATAACATGACCCCAGCTTGACCACCAACTCATATAACATGACCCCAGCTTCTTGACCACCAACTCATATAACATGACCCCAGCTTCTTGACCACCAACTCATATAACATGACCCCAGCTTCTTGACCACCAACTCATATAACATGACCCCAGCTTGACCACCAACTCATATAACATGACCCCAGCTTCTTGACCACCAACTCATATAACATGACCCCAGCTTCTTGACCACCAACTCATATAACATGACCCCAGCTTGACCACCAACTCATATAACATGACCCCAGCTTCTTGACCACCAACTCATATAACATGACCCCAGCTTCTGGACCACCAACTCATATAACATGACCCCAGCTTCTTGACCACCAACTCATATAACATGACCCCAGCTTGACCACCAACTCATATAACATGACCCCAGCTTGACCACCAACTCATATAACATGACCCCAGCTTCTTGACCACCAACTCGTATAACATGACCCCATATAACATGACCCCAGCTTCTTGACCACCAACTCATATAACATGACCCCAGCTTCTTGACCACCAACTCATATAACGTGACCCCATATAACATGACCCCAGCTTTTACCTCACAGGACGACCTTTACTGCACACCAGCTGGAGTATCTGGAAATGGCATTTCGCAAAGCTCCGTACCCGGATGTCGTGGCACGCGAGGATCTTGCCCGGAAGTTGTGCCTTCACGAGTCACGTGTTCAGGTCAGACAACAGAATACGTTTTTACACCCAGTAGAGTAGAATCAGAAACAAGGACAATAATATCTGTTTAAAATGTAGCATGTCCGTTATTTTACGGAGGTGGTTGGAATTTAGTGACGTCATATTAGGGAGTGTCTTATTGTGGAGTCAATGACGTTTCATGACAACTTTTAATCATGGGGGTTGGGAGCTTACAAATTGAACTAATACCGTGTGACGTCATGTGCAGAGGCGTTGCGAGGGGGGGGGGGGACATATGTCCCCGGGCGCCGACCTTAGGGGGACGCCAAAATGGGTTTGGAAAAAAAATTGAAAGTTTGAAGTTTGAGGGGGGGGGGGGTGTAAATCGAAAGTTTGAGGGGGGGGGGTGGTGCAAATCGAAAGTTTGTCCCCGGGCGCCGGGAAGGGTCGCTACGCCTCTGGTCATGTGTGTACATATCTTCCTGCTCGCGGTTTAGTAGTGTTTGAATTATCCTGTTTTCTGTCTACCAAAACACCAGGTCTGGTTTCAGAACCGTAGGGCCAAGTGGAGAAAAGGGGCGGAGAAATGCTGCAAGGCGAATAACTCTTACAGTAAGTACTTACACATTTATTTCTTCTTCTTTTTTTTAAAAAATAATTTTCTTTTCGTTTGTGCATATTTTATTCACAAAACTAAATTTTACACAAAAAATGTAAACGCTTTCTTGCAAGCAGAGTTTCTTCCAGGCATCTCTTCTACCACCCCCCTCCCGAACGAAATGTAATTTATATAGAAAAAATATACTTTTAACAGTGACCACCCCCCCCCCCCCCCCCGAAAATTTCAAGTGCCCCCCCCCCCTCCCCCCGGAGAAAAAAGTCTGGAAGAAACACTTCTTGCAAATAGCGATAACTGTATTCCAATATTTTTTTATGATATCAAATATATTTCGAAATAGAAATCACATTTTCTTTATATAGATGACGTATCAGGAAGTGACGTGAAAGATCACGCAGCTGGTCATCTTGTTCACGTGATGCCGTCACTTGATCCACGTGACCCTGAAAGCATAACGTCTGCATCTACTGTGGAGATGAGTCACGGTGCGTTCACATGTAGCTCCTTAGTGTAGACTGACGATGGTCGAGTTGCTAGTGTGTTGGTGACCGATGCTACAACTAACTGGCATCGCGGGTATAGCGGTTGAACTAACCGCCAAATTCCGGCTAATTGGCTAAGAAGATAACCGGTTTCATCACTTCTACAGTTCTACAGGCGTCTTCAGTTTGATGAAGTGACGTCACTCGATGGAATGCTACCCCATTTGTTGGGCTTAGTAATGTCCATAAATGTTTTGAAACGTGTTGAGTCTTATTTTTTTTAGCAATAGGCATTATAGGGTCCTAAATAAAATGTTGGCCTATTTATGTGGAGACGAAATAAAAAATAAAAACTGTGCCAAATAATCACGTGGCATTACAACAGGTTTCAGTGTGTGGCGGGGTGGGGGGGGGGGGGGAATGCAGAGGCGTAGCGACCCTTCCAGGCGCCCGGGGACAAACTTTTCGATTTGCACCCCCCCCCCCCTTAAACTTTCGATTAGCACCTCGAGATTTCGATTTGCACCCCCCTCTTACTTGACTTGACTTAGTCCTCTTTGCTCCTTATGGAGCATAGGGCCTCCAGCATTTCCTTCCATTTCTTCCTATCCTCGGCTATTAATTTTGACATCTCCCAAGACATCCCTATTGGCTTCAGTTCTTCAAGAAGACTCCGCCTCCAGGTCTGTCTTGGGCGCCCTCTCTTCCGCTTTCCCTGGGGGTTCCACTCAAGCGCTTGGCGTGTAACATTTGTGTGAGCCTTTCGCAGTGTGTGACCCACCCAGCGCCACTTCCTCCTTCTTATTTGCACACCTATAGGCTCCTGCCTAGCTTTCCTCCATAGTTCCAAGCTCGGCACTTTGTCCTGCCATCTCAGTTTCAGTATCTGTCTAAGGCATCTATTCATGAAGGTCTGTATCTTTGCTGTGCTTGCCTTGGAGACTCTCCATGTCTCTGCTCCATACAGCAGAACTGCCTTGACATTAGAGTTAAATATCCTAATTTTTGTGGTAATGGAGATGGCTTGCACCCCCCTCAACCTTTCAATTTATTTTTTCAACCCATTTTGGCGCCCCCTAAGGTCGGCGGACATATGTTCACCCCCCCCCCCCTCGCTACGCTACTGGGGGGTTGTTTATGACGTTTAAAATTAAAAGTATGTATTTTGTATGCATGTGAATATTTTGAGTTTATTATAACAAATAAAATGTTGATGTAAAATGCGCGTGGAGGTCCAGATGACCTAAAACACTGACTCCAATTTACAAATGTCGATTTTTAATCCCACCCCCCCCCCCCCTTTCGAGTGATCTAGCGGTAGAGGGCTGGACTGCTAACCCGTAAGTCAGTAGTTCAAGTCAGTAGACCTACCCTGAGTCCACCCAACTCTGATGGGTACCTAACTCACGTTGGGGAAAGTAAAGGCGGCTGGGCATAGTGCTGAAACAAGTGAACTCTACTTCACTTGCCCTATAGACCGTTAGGTTTGAAAAGGGAACTTAACTTTTTTTTTACCTTTAGAGTGGCCGTCTTAAATGTGTGACCACCTAGTAGGAAACTTTATTTTATATCGATGTTTTTATTAATTGAAAACAAAAATGTATGTCTGTGTTTACTGCTGATTATATGACTCATGTTTGGTTAAATTATCCTCAGATAGGGAAAAGTCTCCACAGAAACAGCCACCACGTGACATTTGGGCATTTCCGGTTCATAAGCAGACGACAGTCTCGTTCTCAAACACCCAGTTCCCGTTTGTGCCCAGGACGTGGACAGCGACGCCTACTTTGGGAGGCGTGCCCGATATGACGTCACATCCTTTCACACCACCCCCGCCTCTCTTGACCACAGTGAGATTACAGTGTGGCATATGGCCGCGGATCTGATGGGGAATCCTGATACACATAACGTTTTAGTTCCAGAGATTATAGCCTGCATCACTGTTGAGATTTGAGACGCGTCTCACTAAAAAAATTAAACATCAGATTCTCCTAATCACAGAGTTGTTATCTACTTATCTACCCTATAGGGAATTATTTCATTTATTTCTTAGGAGCATACATAAGAGACGTCACGCTTTAAAAATATTTTTACCCCCCCCCCTTTCCAGATCGTCACAAAAAGCCAGACCCCCGCCCCTAAAATGATGTCACACAATAAAATCACGTAAAAAAGCCTACAAACTTTTTAAAAAAAAGTTTAAAAAGTATGCAAAAAGAAACCCCTGAATCAATATTTGTTAACGTGAAGCGTCCATTGTGGTTATATCGGAAAAGATCGTAGCATTCCTTATGGTTATATCTGAAAAGATCTTAGCATTCCTTGTGGTTATATCGGAAAAGATCGTAGAATTCCTTGTGGTTATATCGGAAAAGATCGTAGAATTCCTTGTGGTTATATCGGAAAAGATCGTTGCAACCCTTGTGGTTATATCATAAAAGATCGTAGCATCCCTTGTGGTTATATCGGAAAAGATCGTAGCATCCCTTGTGGTTATATCGGAAAAGATCGTAGCATTCCTTGTGGTTATATCGGAAAAAGTCGAGAGCAATATCACGATGCATGTACAACCGATAATCTCTTCATCTAATTTCCTGGAACACGCCCCTTTGATTGTATCTCTCTGTGTGCATTTATTGTCTCCCCGTGGCAAATAAGCTATTCATGAGATTATTATTGAATATAATTATATACATTAGTTTCGACACACTCAGAATTTTACTCCGATATTAAAAAACACGAGTAAGGGAGGGGGGACATTAAATCAACAAAGTTACCTCAAAAATGTAGTTAAAACTTCACCGTGATCCAACTACAGATATTCTAATTCTATTGTAAGAGAGCTCACCATGAGCAGTGAGGCGCTCTACTGGTTCAAATATCTCATGATGTCATATATTTGAAGCAGGTAAAAATATGGTACTGCTCCGCGTTACAATAAAAAAAAATGAAATAACTAAAGTAAGTAATCATATATTCCTTTTAAAAAAATAATAGTAAAACAAAAGCAACTGAACGTTACCTTGAAAGCAGAGGCATCGCAAGGTCCGGTGTCACCCGGTGCGGCACCTAATGGTGTCACCCCCCCCCCCCCCCGCTCCAAGAAACAAAGTATATATATATATATATATATATATATATATATATATATATATATATATATATATATATATATATATATATATATATATATATATATATATATATATATGTTTGTGTGTGTGTGTTTGTGTGTATCTGCCTACAGAGGCCTATAATTTAAATATATGCCGCATGTATGAGTATACGTTTGAATCAATGCAGACTTAATAATAAAGACGTTTATATTTAGTCTGTTAATAATACTGCTGGATGTAGCATTGTTTTCTCTATAATTAGAACGTTTACGTCATGGTGTCATCCCAACCCCCTGGTAATTGTCGATTTCTACTTAAAAGACAATTTAAATAATACTAATCTTAAATGGAATTGGCAAAAAAGAATTTTTCTTCTGTACATTTTGCAACTTTTTGCTTTGGTGTCACCCCCTAAATGGTGTCACTCGTTGCGGTCCGCACCCCCGCCCTCGCTACACCTCTGCTTGAAAGTAAGACCCGCAACAAAATGGCTATACCAACATCTACTTGTCTACCTGATTCGATCTTCAACCTTGATCGAAGGGTCTTGTATGAGCCATTGAGTTTGATTAAGTTATGTAGAGGTTATGTAGAGGTTGTTGTGATGTATATATTTCCTATATAAATTATAGTTCGTTCGGGGGGGGGGGGGGGGTAGATGCCTGAAAGAAACACTGAGAACAGCGACTGGTATTAAGTGCTTCCAACCTTCCAAAATCCGGGGGCGGGAACATTTTCGCCAATTTGAATAACTAGAAAAAAATCTAGGCGGGGGAGCAAAATGGAAAGTTCGTCCGGGCGCCGGAATGGGGGGCTACACCTCTGTCTGGTGACAGTTCTATACCATTCCTTACTCTGATGTCACCCCGTCTGTTACAGGTGTCACAGTCCCAGTTTGAGCCTAACCAAATCGTAAGTTGACGAAGTTTTAAGATAAGAGATTTGATAATAAAGTTCTGCTCACTAAAGTGGTTTGCATTGCAGGAAAATCTATTTGGCGTTCCCTGCACAATGTTAGTCCGGATACAGATTCGTGTGAATTTATTTGAGTCAGATTACATATTTTATATATCCAACTGTGACTCACAACAGCTATATAATACTGAAAATAGGTTTGATTAACTCCCAAAATTTATAATAATGTAGCAAGTATGTTATTGGTATCAAATATTATATAATATAGCATGAGAGTTGTAAATTTATGAGAGGCATGTGTTTTTGTTAGTTGGTAATGTTAATCTGTATTTATAGTTCACTTCACCACAAATAAATAGGCGGTGGCTGTTTTTACGCCAATTTAAGTTTTAGAACAATGGAGGGGGGGGGGGGGATAGACAGTTGACATTTGTGTTGAGTTTGGTACCGAGTTGTTTAATCTTCGACAGAAATTAAGTACTTTACATTTAATAAGTGAGGCTCTGCCCATACACTTCTTTTTTCAGAATTAAAAGTGAAGTAGTCCCATTTATTTTGTTCTAAAAAGGAATTTCATCTAGATCTAGATCTAATCTAGATCTAGTAAACGCACAATAGCATCACTGGTCATTGGTTATGGGCCCTAGTTTGTGTTCAACAAGGGAAGAAATCATGAAGGCCACTACAGGTTTTGAAAGTTAAATTACCAGGTAGATCTATGACAGTCTATGTTTGATTATACCATCTATATTAAAACAATGTTAATAATTCACTCAATAGTTCATTCCCCCCCCCCCCCCCCCCCCCACCACCGCTTGGTCTATGAAAAAAATTGTGAGACTCGTTCGTATCTCACACTAAAAAGAAAAGTTTAATTTAATTTTAATATTTTTTGTAGTAGTCTACCTTGAATACCGTCAACCGCGAGAACGGGATTTTACTTGCCGATCGATTGTTTATCCATCACTGGGGACGCCACCGGTTGCAGATTCCATTCATTGATTCAATTGTGTGTTGGCTAAAACGCATTTGGGGTGGAAAGCAACATAAACTATATTCGGTTATCATTATGGTAACGATATCATTGCCATTATATTATATTTTCTTCGCGCACTCATACCGTTTTAATAGCAGTTCTTTATTTATTGTCGTTGCTATCCTTTTGACTGGACAAACAAATCCAACAACAACAAACAACACTCGACAGACTCATCATTCTTTTAACATTATTTATGCATAACAAAACATTGAACATAACAAAAGATTGAACATACTACATTACTACAAACCTAACATCAAAACGACAACCATCACTCGTTATTTAATTTTCTGATTTTGAATTTTCAGCAGACTGTAACTGTAAAACTAGGCTGAACAAGTTACTTATATTCTTATAATATCATATGTTTATAACATAGCCATAGAGTAATTCAATAACAGGCTAATAATTTAAAAAAATAAATAAACTGATTGTTTACATGAATGATATTCATATGTACTTCAAGTACAGCTTAACTTTTACTTAACAACACAAGACTTGTTAGTCTTCTGAACTCTTCTCAGTTCTTGTGTCATTTAGTAATTTTAATTAACTGATTAGTCTAGAGAACTAGTTCTAGGTAATCTCAGTTACCGCATAAGTTTAACCTCTTTTTAAAAATAGCATGTTTTAGAACTGTTTAAATGTTGGAAATTTTTATTGTTTAATAAAATACACACGAAAATTATATTATACTGATACATTTATTAAACTTAAACTATCACTATCTTGCAATTGTATCCTCTCATTAACCAAACCCTGACTATTCATAGCTTTTATTATCATTCCCTATTTTTAACATATCGATAAAACTACCAGAAAAACTGCTGTTTTTAGTTATTCACAACAACTCCTATTTTGTTTGTTGCTTTAACAAAATGAGTTTAACATTTTATGCTGAATTTATGATTGATAATCTTAGGTTATTATTAAATTTTCAGTAATTTTATTTAAACGAGTGGATATTTTTCATTCAATAAAAATGTCTGGATTCAACACATCAACTCGTAAAGAAGATATTTCAGTACGACTCCGTGCACAGTAAGTACCTTGTTTCAAATACATGGTAAAAAATTTATTAAAAAAAAAGACCACCATTAAACGCCTAAGGAACCATGCATGTGCATATATTATATAACTCAAAAATGCAACATTTATAATGTACCATCTTACCCTATCAGTGTTACTTAACATATGCTTAGACCACCACCCTTTGTATTATGTAAGATTTCTAAGAGACACCACACCTTTATCCCCAATTATAACAATAAATAAAAACTGATTTTTATATGAGGAAATTAATTTTATATGGGTTAATTTTAACTTAAAACTGCTACTTTTAAAAGCACCACTATTGTGATATCTAATCGTTTCATGCATTAAGTTATTTCAGAAACCAAAATAAAAGTGGATTCCATCAGAATGTTTACTGATAAATCACTGTGTCTCATAACTAAAATGTTGTTTTTTTGTAACTAAAGTATAGGTCTAATCAAAAATAGTTTTAATAAGACTTTAAATTAAAAATTGCTTCATTCTTTTAGAATTTGTTTTTCTTAAAGTTTTAGTTATCATGGCTAATTACCTGACTCTTCTTTTTAAAAATCTTTGATTATATTAACAAGGACTGAGTTTTTGTAAGTAGTTTACTTTGTAAACGCTTATTAGTGTTTAGTTTATCTACTTTGCATTTTGGTCTATACTTTGTAAAAGCTTGCCACATATGTTTTAAGTATACCTAAGCTACATTACTTTTAGATATAAGATGTAAGAAAAAACTTGACTGATGTATTTCTATACAAATCACTGTTTTTGGAACATGTTCTTTAGAGTAGACAAAGTGTCATTTTATAACACAGTGCACATTTTTTTTACCCTGAAGCCTGTGCTTAATTAAGCAGATGTGTTTTCATTATTCCTGTGTTTATGGCGATATTGAAAATTGAAAACATTTATCTAAAATTTGTTTGCCCATTAAGTATTTAAATACTTTCTCAGTGAGAATATTTCACACTCCAACTTGGGTTAAATGAAAGTTATACAAATAATACTCTATATATTAGATAAAGAATAGTGCTGTTCATGCAAAATTTAATTTATGAAGACTAATATCCTATTATTTAAAAAAAGAAATTCCTATTAAAACAGTAGTAACAGCATTGTTTTAAAAAAAAAATTGAACCTATTTCTCATCAATCACATGCCTTTCTTTTACTTCAATTATTTCACAAAATCAACAAAGTTTACCAAATTATAAACTAATTTTTGTTGTTTGCATGATGACGTTTGACATTCTACTTTTTAGCTGTAGGCCTACTTTATAATAAAAACTTTTTGCTATTGTACATGAATTATATTAATGAGAAGGGGGAGGGAATTGTCACTGTTATAGGAATGGGAGGTTCAGTGTGATGTTACACTTATATTTTTGAACTTAGAATTTAGCAGTTATTTTGCATTTAAAAAACATTTTTTTGTAAATTATAATAAAAATGGATCAATAAACCCAATGTTGACCAGTGGAGGGGGGGGGGGGTGTCTGTCATTTTGGGATAATGAGGAGTAAGAGGCAAAAGTCTTTCAAAAGTGATTCAAAGATAAGCCTTTGAAAAAAAAATTTATTCTGCTTGTATGCTTGATAGCATTGTGGGAGTTAGCTATGGAAGCTTGGTAGTACCTCCTTAAATAAAAGTTCCTTTTTCTATTCAAAAAACATTTTTTATTGCATCACATTTTGCTTTTAAAAAAATGTATTTCTTTTTTAAAATACTGCATGTGAAAGCACCACCTGTTATTTAAAAAGTAGTTTGTTTCTGTTGTTTGTGTTTTTTAATTAGAAAGACTCATCTACAGCAATCAATACTGAATAAAGTAATTACTGCAAAGAGTGTATGAAAAAAAAACTCATAACATTCAATGTTAAATACTAAAAATACTTAATTTATCAAAGAGTACAAAAATGTTTAAAATATTTTCTTTCTGATACCTGATGAGTTTAATTTTTAAATGTTGTTTTTTTTTTCAAAGTAGGCTTACTTTTTAAAGATTTACAAAATTTTTTATTTTAGTTGTTTATTTAAATGGTGTTTTGAAAAAGAACAATTACAATGACAGAAGCATTACAAAAGTATACATGTAAAATTTATTTTCCAATTCTTAGAAACCTTAAACATGCAAGAGACCAAACTAAACGCCTAGAAGAAGATAATCGCAAAATGGAGGAGCGACTAAGAGAATTGAAGACTGCAATGAATAGAGAAAAAGAAGACAGAGAGTAAGATAAATAATTATTATTAATTAGTCACAAATTATGTTTGTTTACTTTTGCAATATAAAAATATTTCAGATCCCACATGGCATTCAATTAAAAGTTGTTGTTTAAAACTTGAAGGCTGAGGTTTAAACAATATTCAATAGAATACAAATCTGTTTAATTTTGTTAAATACATTTTCCTGCTGCTCCTTAACAGAAGAAAAGGAGGAGGCTTCTGGAGCAAAGGTCAGACCAATAGTGGATCCCTGACAAACTATGCATCAGAAGTTTTGAAACCTAAAGCTGACAAGCCCGCTGGTGAAGGGAAGAAGAAAAGGGTTGTGAAAATCTTGCAGGATGAACCTATAGGTATATATCACATCAGGCATTACTCATTACAGTTAAACATTTTAACTTTTATATTTAGTTGAATGCTTACAATGGAATTAGAAAGAAGTAGGCTATACAGTTTATTTTAATGTAAAAAGAAATTTCTATGCTTAACATTCTATTTCTATCTATTATTAATCCAGATACATACATTTACTCGTAAATTCTAAATGCAACACCTTTTTAAATAATCCACTCCATTCTTATAACTCTTTAGTAGGGAGAGTTCAATAGATATATCAGTAAAGTTATTGTGATTTGTTCAAAATGAATTGTAATAATTCATAACTCACAAGTTTCTTTGTTCTTTTATTTTACTACATTTTATTTTAAGTTATTAATTATCTAAAACATTTCATGTATTTAATAGTTGGTGCTAAACATGTTTTTCAATGTTGATGTTTTAAGTATTTTATACTATTTAATAGTTGATGTTCAAGATATTTTATGTAACTTGATTCTTGCTTTTCAAGATATACCGAAGAGGCCAAATCACCCTGGAACAATGAATTATATTGCTCAGAGAAAACCTCCCACAAACACAGCAGCAAAAGATAAACTCAAAGGTCCAAAATGTGGCCAGTGTGAAGATAGGACTGCCACTTTAGTGAGTTTTTATTTGTGTGATAATACAATGTGTCTCTCAAGATATACTAAGAAGATTTATTTTAAAATTTTACCATTCTACAAATCATTCTACGTCTAATCTTTAGTAAAGTCTGACAAAAACCACACAACAAACTTTTGTATCTACTTTTATTTTAATGACATCTCACATAATTTTTAAAATAATTAATGGAACATTCAAATTCAATACTAATTCCCTGGGGTCCATTTAAGAAAAAAAATGTAAGAATTACCAAACTTTTTCCTGCAGACTTTACCTCATAGTTACTAGCCTGCAAGTCTTGAGTCCCATTCACTGGCTCAAATCCTGCAATCTCCCTGTCCATGTAGATCTAGTGGGTACATGACTCAAGTCAATCTCCCTGAGTCCATGTAGATCTAGTGGGTGCATGACTCAAGTCAATCTCCCTGAGTCCATGTAGATCTAGTGGGTACATGACTCAAGTCAATCTCCCTGAGTCCATGTAGATCTAGTGGGTACATGACTCAAGTCAAGGGAAGTAAAGGCGACTGACCCTAGATATTACCACTCTATCCCTTCACATCCTGAGGACAGATGATCTAGACCAAATGATCTGAAAGGATAGTCTATTTTCAAACTTTTTCTTGCAGACTTGTGTTCAGTGCTCTGAAATATTCTGCTTTGGATGTTTTTCTGCTTTCCACTTGAAGGGAGCCCTGAAGCAGCATCGCAGTGTTCCACTCAGTGTAAGTGTTCTTTCACTACAACTTAATGACATTAAAATAATGAGCAGCATGTTATTCTACTTAGTTTAAACAAAAAGTAAAATTTCATTAAAATATAAATTATGTAACCAACACTGGTTACAGAGTGCTTGCAAATATTGTTTAAGTAAAATAGATAAACTCAACCTTTAAATAAAATGTTAAAGTAGGCTAATGTAACAAAATTATTATCCAGTAATCAGTAATAACTTTTTAAAACTTTATTTATAAATTTGATTTTTTAATATGTAGGTTGTAACTATCTAAAAAGATAATTTTAAAAATAATTTATTTAACACTGTTCAATACAAAACATAATTGATGTGTGAAGAGAGATGTTTATGATTGCTTGTGATTTCAGGCATCAGGGCCAAGAATTTCAATGTCCCCACGTTTGAATATGGACAGCAGTTCCCAGCAGTAAGTAAATATGCTAGTTTTATAAAACATACTGACACAGTTTTCCAGCTACTAGTTCTGTGGTTCTCAGATATGTTTGAGCTGACTTGTGTGGTTTAGAGAATTTTGTGTAGTCCCTATCTTTTTAATATCTGATAGTCTTCCCTGGAAGTATGCCAATAATTCACATTGCAGCTATTAATATTGCTAGTATCAACATTTTAACCCTACTTAGATGACCCTATTCTTTAACAGTAATCTAAATTCTGACAGTAGCAGGAATACAAAAAAAAATTTCTGCCCCCAAATGTTTAAAAATATTTTTTTTTTATTGAAGAGACACTATTATTAAGTAATTAAGACAATCAGAATAGTTTAACGGTTAAATATGATTATTAAAATTCATCAGAGAATCTGTGCCACCTTTTCTTGTATTACAGAGATCAATTAAAAACTGAACCTAAATGAGGCAGTCCCGTCAGGTCCTAATCTGGCATTGGATCATACTGGAATCCTCATGGTTTAGCTTATTTGTTTGCGTTATTTCGTTCTGACCCCAGTTAGGACCAACATGTGTTACAGTTTTGACAATTGTTGAGAGTTTGAACAATGTTCAGTTTTATTTCTTTTTTTTGTGTTTGAACAGAGGAAGCCATGCAAGTGGTTCCATAGTGTCTTACTCTGTAAGTAAAAATAAGTCACTTTTTATTTTATTCATTGAAAATTGTCTTGGTGTGTATATATATATATATATATATATATATATATATATATATATATATATATATATATACAGTACTTTTTAGTTAAAGTTTAATTTAGAAAGTATCACTTTGGTAGCATTCTTAAATGTTTGCCCCAATTGCCAGGCATCTGTTGCCAACAATGAATCCGGAGCCGCACAGGCTTCAGTCCACATCTCTGACAGCTCACTGCTGCAAGGAAATTATGACGAGTCCCAGAGTGCTGCCTCGTTCCAACAAGCATTGATGGCCTGGAGACAAGGAGAACCATCTAACTCTTACTCCCCTAATGCTAACTCACCTAACCGTGCTGTTTCTCCTGTCATCTTACCAGGTTGTTCTATGGAGGATTTTTGAAACTTGAATTTTAGTTTATTAAATTTATTAAAAGATCTTAATACTACTTAATGCTAGTAAGGTAACATTATTTAGCTAGGCTTACCATTCAATTGAAAATGTAATAAGTCCAAATAATCAGAAAATTAAATTTACAATTCTAGGTTTTAGTTATTAAATCCTGTAGGAGGCTAGGCTACAATTAAATACTTTCACTAGGGAAAATTATTAGAAATGAGTGCGTTACCAACACTATACATTTATTAAACTGTAGCTTTTAATACTTTAGCCACCTAATTTTAAGCTAACTTTATTTATATAATTTGGAAAAAAATGAAATTAAAAATTTTTCATTTTTTTATTGACACACCTGACAATTTTACAGTGAGGACGCTGGATGAGTCAACAGGAACCACACAACAAAACAATGTTCCAGAAATTAAATTCAAATCCACTTTGTCGTACGCTGAGAGACTCATGCTGAAAAAGCACCGGAGGACTGAACTGGCTGAAACGTTTGCACCACAACCTCCCCAGTGGTCTGGAGGCTCTGCTCAACAGTTTCACTCGTCCAGCCCGTCTAGTTCCTCTAGAGCCTTGTCAGCAGGGAGAAACCACAACTCTGCTTCCCTGAGCAGGGAAGGAACCCTCAATGGTAAAATGTTTGTTTTAAGGAATATCATATTACTCACTTGGGAATAGTTTGTGTACCAAAAAATTAGTGCAGAAATAATGTTAAAAAGTTTAGGTAAAAAACAATCAAGTAACTCTTTTAGCCCAGAATTATTTTCAGTTTGCCCCCTAGTTTTTTTTAGTACCCCCGCTGCAAAAACACTCAGATTTTTTTTTCCTGTTTATTTCAAGCCTCATATTTGATATACGAAAATAATGCTGCACACCATGATTTTATTTTTAAGTAATGATTCTTTTTTTTTACTAAATAAAGAAAATATCAATTTTAGACTAGAAAAAAATTAATTTTTCACAATAAAAAGTACAATCTAGTTCAAAACACCATAATACAATTTTTTAGTAATTTTTGTTAATAGAAAATAAAAGCTTCCATTTTCCAAGTAAGCTCATCGATTAGATTAGTATTACGACAAGTAAATTTTGGTAAATTATTTAACCCACCAACATAGCTGTTGACGGGTGGATGCTGAATGGGTTTAGCAATGCTCAGAAATTCCGGTTACAAAAAATACATTTTGCTAAAAAACAAAACCATCAACTATACAGAAAAACTGGAAGAAAAGAACACCTCTTCAAACAGCTGTTCTAGTTATATAGAGACTTAGCAATTAAAAACTTTCTTAGGTTACAGTTTTTAACTCTGTTGACAGATGAGGGAGAAAGAGTAGATTTCCAGTCCCTGTTTGAAGCTGTAGTCCCCTCTCCTGACCCCCCAGTCATGTCCGCATCACCAAATGTCACTGTGACCCCCCTGTCCAGCACTGCAGACAGTATGGTAAGTGAACAACAGTGTCCAATAGCTTGTCAGGTGTTGATGGCTGGTGTTAAACAGTTTCTTGTCATGTGTTAATGGTTCATGTTAAACTGTTTCTTTCATGTGTTGATGTCTGGTATTTAACGGTTTCTTGTCATATGGATGTTAAACTTTTTCTTGTCGTGTGTTAATGGTTCATGTTAAACTGTTTCTTTCATATGTTTATGTCTGGTATTTAACTGTTTCTTGTCATATGGATGTTAAACTTTTTCTTGTCATGTGTTAATGGTTCATGTTAAACTGTTTCTTTCATGTGTTGATGTCTGGTATTTAACGGTTTCTTGTCATATGGATGTTAAACTTTTTCTTGTCGTGTGTTAATGGTCCATGTTAAACTGTTTCTTTCATGTGTTGATGTCTGGTATTTATTAATTGTTTCTTGTCATATGGATGTTAAACTTTTTCTTGTCGTATGTTAATGTCTGGTGTTTGTCAGGTCATGTATTGATGTCTGATGTCACAGTTTCTGTTTTTTCCTTTGTGGTTTTATCATCAGGGATTTCCTTCTTTTACTATCTAAGAACAAAGATCACATAATTATTCCTATATAGATCTATTCCATTTTCAAACTCTTGTATGTTCTTGGCAAACTACTTTTTTCATTGACTGTATTATCATCCTGTCATATCTGAAAATTCTGGTAGGCCTAAACTTGCCAGATTGTTTGTTATAAACTTTGTAATGTCGTTATGATTGAATATATTTTGTAAAATAAAATTCTTATGTCTAGAAGCCAGACAAAAAAACAGCATTAGACTCATCCTACATAGTGAGAGAGGCTTCACCACTGGAATCCTGGCATTTAGAAAACAATATCGCAAGGCATGTACAATCTGCATGAGTTCCTACCCAAAGCCTTTAGGCTTAATTTTTTTTTATTAAGTAGTAGTGATTCATAAGAAATTACTTTTAAAAATTCATAAAACTTAATACATATTTAAAGTTGAAATTTTATATTATTTGAGTAATAAGATTCAGCATGATTGATATTTTTTTAAATGATTTATTTTTCTTTATCAAAATGCTTTATCATATTATTTGAAAAGTTTGTGTCATGACTGTCTCTAATTAGTAATCAAGGCTTCTTTCTGACATTTTTCTCTGGGGAACACTATTTTGTCAGGGGGAGGGGGGGAGGGAATTCCCAAAGAGATGTTAGAAAGAAAAACTGTTAGTAATGCACAAATCATTCACAATAATGTGTCAAAAAACACAAAGCTCCATCCCTGATTTGTTTTAGTTATAACATATATTCTTCAGGTTTAAAGTTCATTAATTTATGTAATTTCCTGTAGGCTGAATTCCTGGTATAATATTGTTTTGAGACCAAATTTTATTGATTTCTATTTTAATAACCACAGAGAATCTAGAGACAGCCATAAAAATTCAAAGCATTTAAAAACATCCCAGACAAAGTCCACACCTCGCAAAAAGCAGGAAAAAATATCACAGCTGTTCCAGTCTGACCCCGAACCAGAGCCGTTTAAAACAACTTCAGTTGAGGAGAGCTCCAAACTTGGGGAGAGTTCTGTGGGGCCCCTGAGTGACAAGAATGATGCCGCAAACGCCTCTGTTGATGGAGCTGAGAAAGATAAAACTAGACTGAAGCCACCAGTGGAACAACAAACTAAACCAAAGCCAGAAAAAACAAAATCTAGACCAGTTTCTAGAGCTCAGAGTCGAGCAGCATCAAAAATAGAGTGAGTCTGCTAATTTATTTTATACTATATATGTGCCTATGGGACGGAGTGGTCTAGCGGTAGAGAGCTGGACTGCTAACCCGTAAGCCTCGAGTTCGAATCCGGGTTCAAGTCAGTAAACCGTCCCTGAGTCCACCCTACTCTGATGGGTACCTAACTCACGTTAGGGAAAGTAAAGGCGGCTGGGCATAGTGCTGACCACACTATCTCTTCATATGCCGAGGTCACAGAAACAAGTGAACTCTACTTCACTTGCCCCATAGACCGTCAGGTTTGAAAGGGAAACTTTACTATATATGTGCCTACAGATACCTAGTGTTTTAGATCAATCAGTTTTAATAAAAAATTAATTATTAATTTGTTTTTTAACTGTTAGGGTTTACTCTAAGTACATCGACAGGCAATACAATATTGTTTTTTTCTCTCCCATTATAGTCTTTAGGGTCCTTCTTAGTTAAGGCTAGTGCATTAAAAAGAGCTATTGTTTTGCCAGGGCTTGTGAAAGCAATACTAGTGAAACATATAGCTTTGATAAGTCCTATCAGTATTCATAGAAGTACGCCTAATCCAGAGTGACCTTATCCTGAGTGAAACATTTTTTATTCAGTTTTTTCTTTTGGTTCTTCAGATTCCATGGTCTGCTCACCAAAGCCCCAAGTGAAGCCCTAAAACACATTTCCCAACTGGCACCGACTCTTGAAGGTTCCAGTGTCTACCAGTCTCCAATGGAAGGCTTTTTCTTAGCTGGAGTTGAGTCCGAAGGACCTCCATCCAGCAGAAAAAGTAGTCCATCAAAAATGGATAAAAATGGGTCACGTCCAGCCAGTAAAATAGGGTCACGGCCTGCAAGTAGAGTAGATAAACCCTCTATCACAGTGAGCAACAGGTGTAAGTAGTCTACTCTTGTCTAATGTCTTTTTTGAGCAGAACACAATGTTTGAAGTCTCAAGAAAAGACAACCCTTAAACAAAAAAAAATCATATTAGAGTAGTCTACCCTTTCTTTGTAAGTGGTAGATTCCAAGTTGTATGGCCATAAGGGAAACAACCCTTGCTTTTTTAACTCACTTGCTAACTTATCAAATTTTGGCACCCAATTTAGTGAAGATCATCTTCTTTAGAAAAATTGTTGGTTGTTTTTGGCCTTACATTACTCTTTGATTTGCTGGCTTATATGTAAGTCTGCTCTTTGGTTAGGACTAGGTTTAAGATGAGATTAGATTATTTTAGAACACCATGTTATTTTAATAATGCTGTATTTAACACAAGGAAAAAACTTCATTTAAATTGCATTGCGTCGTTGATTTTAAAGCAAGGTATTGTTTGCAACAACAGTGAAAATATTTTGAAAAAAAAAATTGAAAAAAAAGAGACTGAACATACATGACAGTTGTTCTAAAAATTAAATAGTTTGACACCCAGTAGTGAACATTAAGTTATTCAGTACATTTAATTTATAAATCACAGTATACCAAATGGCGCCCCGGTCATGGCGACCTGAGAGCAGTCTGGGAGAAACAATTCCATTGAATGAGGTGAAACCCGCCATGTTGGAAGAGATGGTTTTGTCTTACTCCTACAGTGGCCAGATCAGTGGTCAAGCTGTCCAGTGCAGTCCATCTTCTAGTCAAAGCAGGTGATATGTACACAAGTCTTGGTAGTTGTATGCTTGATCTCAAGACATTACTGTATTTCGTCAAGTTTTTAAGGGTTAGAGTTTGGGTCTGGACAAGGGTTCCTAGCTTTGACAGGCTCTGTCGGTGTTCATACAAGTGCCAAAGTCTTATAACTTACAGGAAAATAAGCTATATAATACGATAAAAATTCTATAAATACTCATAAGTTAATGGTTTGATTCTGGAATCATTATGTTGCTGTTTTTTGGTAATTTTTATCAGATGATAGGCATTATATTCTGAAACCAGTTGGCATATTGAATCTAGTTAAAATAGCTTGTCTATCAAACCTAATATTAATTTTTCTTTAGGACTCTAGAAAATTTTGGCTCTTTCTATCCAACCTTGCCATTTAGATCTGGCCTTTGGGTCTGGTCCTAATCAGCCCCTCAAAAATTATGCTAATTTTATTTTTCTCTAAAAAATTATTACATTAAAATTAAATTTTAACATTTATATCATGAATAGTGAATGTCTCTTTGTTTATCTGCAAGACTATTTTTTAAAATGTAAACATTTATCTGCATTTAAAAACACCAAAGTAATGAAGTTTGTATGTCTTGAAAAGTAATAAAGTAATATTTTTATCAAACTGTTTTAATATAACCAGATCTCAGACAGGCCTGGAGAGCCAGTACAATCCTCTGCTAGTTTTTGGAGATGAAATGTTCATTGAAGTAGCTGCCCTGCAAACATCAAAAGAACAGGCCACGCCCAAAACTGATGACAGCCAGCTAGACAGAGGGGATTCAAACAGAATTAAGCCACTCCGACAGAGCAGCGCAACAACTCCAACACTTTCTGCCTCCCGACGAAGTAGAACCCAGCTCACCTCTTCCCCAGCTGGTAGCGTTGACTCTAACACTCCCTCAACCAAATCATCTGTTTTATCGAAATCTAAAAATCAATCTCCGTCTCCAGCACCTCCTCAACCAAAAGATTCAAAAACTAAACTTGTGTCCAAAGACCAGAAAAATTCTGTGAATTCTAAATCTCTGGATAGTAAAGATTCACCTGCATTGATACAGTCAGCTGGTGAAGCTTTGAAGTTAGAATCTAGTAAAATTCAACTCAATAAATCCAAGCAGTCTAAAACTGGAGAAAATGCCACGCAGAAAGAAGCCACATCTTCACGTCAAAATGTTCAGAATTCCAAGTCGGATATCTCCCATGTAAAATCCTTGTCATCCAAAGTGGCAACTAGCAGTTCTGTTAAACAGGAAAACAATGTTTTGAAGCGACAACAGTCTGATGCAGCACCCCAGCGTAGACCAGTGAGTTCAGTTGTTCAACCTCTAGGCCAGTCTAACAAGGGGCCAGTCCGACCTAACAGTACAACAGGTTAGTGTTACATTTCTAACAACATTTGTTTTATTAAGGGAATACAGTAATGGCTTCTGATGCTTCAGGTGTTGAGTCTTCTCATTTGTCTTTTAAATAGACGAGGGTGTAATGATTTTAAATTGATACTATCAGATAAAAAATGAAAAAAATTCCTAAAATGTTATAACAATCAACATGCATTGCAGGCATCAGTAAAACAGATCAAACAGATTATATACAATTCTTCAAATTATTTATAGTATCTGTTCTGTGACCTTGACATTTGTAGAGACTATTTGTTCTATAATCCAGTCAGCTACCTATTAAAGCTAGGTGTAATCTGGGACCTTATATGGTCTTTAGCCCAGGAAGCAAATCTGTAACTTTCAAGTTAGCATGGGCATGTATATCTGTTATATTTGTGGCATTAGAATGGCTTCTACTAATTCAATACTCAGACTGATTTATCAGACACAAATAGACACAACTTTGTCCTAGTAATATTAATGTGCATCAATGGACTCATGTTTGTCCTGTAGATTTCAACTGGTGTCACTAGTTTGTCCTACAGACTCATTAAGATCAAACCAAACCAGCCATTGGCTTTGTCTACCATTCAACATCATCACCCAATAACAAACAATAAACGTTCTACATCCTCAACCAATATTTAGCCCATTTTTCCTCCTCTTATTGTGTTCAGGTACTTCAGGTGCATTGAAGAAAACCCAACAGTCCCTGCAGTCTCTGGACACAGAGGATACGATCATTTCAGACGTCATGATGTCTCGCGTCCAAGAAGACGGCTGGGTGGCTGATGACGACGGTGATGAGAGTGATGTTGGATTTGATTACGATGATGGGGATGACATCACCCCGGTTTACAGGAAGTTTTACCAGAAACAAATGTTTGAAACGGACTCTGAGAAAAACCACCCGGACTGGGAGACCGAAGTCCGACCATTCAGTGGGCTGAGCTCTAGAACTGATCTCACACCAAGCAACGACAACAAGTTGAAGAGGCCTTTCAGTTCTCGAGCCTCAGGGAGGGAGTCCAGAGCAGTTGGTAAGAACTGGTTTCTCAAAACTTAGACTTGTATGAAGTCTAACCATTTTTTTTTTGACAAAACATACTGTATCCCCGACAATATAAAACCTTTTTTACTATTTAAAACTTAAAAAAAAATTTTAACAAGCACAGAAATTACTATAACAGTAACCTTGACCTTAAAAAATAGTACTAATGAATGCTAGATATATTTTTATCCCTCAATAGCTGTAGGGTATTTGTGCTGCCATTTACTTTCTATGTTAAACCATTCAATTCAAACCACAGGGCATCTTGTTTTATAACCTAAATAATTTACTCTTTATGAATTTATGGGATATTAGATCTTGCTTTCAACTTGGTTTCATGTTGTGGATGGTGTGCAATTTTAGGAATAAATAACTGCACTCCAAAACACCCCAGATGAATGTTAGAATGTAAATTGAAAGAATGAACTCTGCTTGTATCCTAGTTGTGGATGGTGTGCAATTTTAGGAATAAAAAACTGCACTCCAAAACACCCCAGATGAATGTTTGAATGTAAATAAAAAGAATGAACTCTGCTTGTATCCTAGTTGTGGATGGTGAGGACTTGAGTTTTTATGATGATGTGGGCTTGGCAGAACAACAAGACATGGAGGATAAACAGGCACTGGACCAGCTTGAGTGGGAACTGGCATCTGATACTGGCAGACTTACAGGTGAGTGGGGGCAGACTTACAGGTGAGTCGGGCAGACTTACAGGTGAGTGGGGTCAGGATTACAGGTGGGTGGGGCAGACTTACAGGTGAGTGGGGGCATGTTTTCAGGTGGGTGGGGGCAGACTTACAGGTGGGTGGGGTCAGGCTTACAGGTGAGTGGGGGGCATGTTTTCAGGTGGGTGGGGGCAGACTTACAGGTGGGTGGGGGCAGACTTACAGGTGGGTGGGGGCAGACTTACAGGTGGGTGGGGGCAGGCTTACAGGTGAGTGGGGGGGATAGCTTACAGGTGAGTGGGGGGGATAGCTTACAGGTGGGTGGGGGCAGACTTACATGTGAGTGGGGGTAGAGTTACATGTGAGTAGGGGCAGGCTTACAGGTGGGTGGGGCATGTTTTCAGGTGGGTGGGGGCAGACTTACATGTGAGTGGGGGTAGAGTTACATGTGAGTGGGGGCAGGCTTACAGGTGAGTGGGGGCATGTTTTCAGGTGGGTGGGGGCAGACTTACAGGTGAGTGGGGGCAGGCTTACAGGTGGGTGGGGCCAGGCTTACAGGTGAGTGGGGGCTGTCTTACAGGTGAGTGGGGCAGACTTACAGGTGAGTAGGGGCAGACTTACAGGTGAGTGGGGGCCAGGCTTACAGGTGGGTGGGGCAGACTTACAGGTGAGTGGGGGCCAGGCTTACAGGTGGGTGGGGCAGACTTACTGGTGGGTGGGGGCAGACTTACAGGTGGGTGGGGGTATGCTTACAGGTGGGTGGGGCCAAGTTTACAGGTGGGTGGGGCAGGCTTATAGGTGAGTGGGGGCATGCTTACAGGTGGGTGGGGGCATCCTTACAGGTGAGTGGGGGCAGGCTTACAGGTGGGTGGGGCAGACTTACAGGTGAGTGGGGGGCAGACTTACAGGTGGGTGGGGGCATGCTTACAGGTGAGTGGGGGCAGGCTTACAGGTGGGTGGGGGCATGCTTACAGGTGGGTGGGGGCAGGTTTACATGTGGGTGGGGCAGACTTACAGGTGAGTGGAAGCATGCTTACAGGTGGGTGGGGGCATCCTTACAGGTGAGTGGGGGCAGGCTTACAGATGGGTGGGGCAGACTTACAGGTGAGTGGGGGGCAGACTTACAGGTGGGTGGGGGCATGCTTACAGGTGAGTGGGGGCAGGCTTACAGGTGGGTGGGGGCATGCTTACAGGTGGGTGGGGCCAGGCTTACAGGTGAGTGGGGGCTGACTTACAGGTGGGTGGGGGGCATGCTTACAGGTGGATGGGGGCAGACTTACAGGTGGGTGGGGGCAGACTTACAGGTGAGTGGGGGCATGCTTACAGGTGAGTGGGGGGCATGTTTTCAGGTGGGTGGGGGCAGACTTACAGGTGGGTGGGGGCAGACTTACAGGTGGGTGGGGGCAGACTTACAGGTGGGTGGGGGCAGGCTTACAGGTGGGTGGGGGCATGCTTACAGGTAGGTGGGAGCCAGGCTTACAGGTGGGTGGGGGCAGGCTTACAGGTGAGTGGGGGCATGTTTTCAGGTGGGTGGGGGCAGACTTACAGGTGGGTGGGGGTATGCTTACAGGTGGGTGGGGCCAAGTTTACAGGTGGGTGGGGCAGGCTTATAGGTGAGTGGGGGCATGCTTACAGGTGAGTGGGGGGGGGATAGCTTACAGGTGGGTGGGGGCAGACTTACATGTGAGGGGATAGAGTTACATGTGAGTAGGGGCAGGCTTACAGGTGGGTGGGGCATGTTTTCAGGTGGGTGGGGGCAGACTTACATGTGAGTGGGGGTAGAGTTACATGTGAGTGGGGGCAGGCTTACAGGTGAGTGGGGGCATGTTTTCAGGTGGGTGGGGGCAGGCTTACAGGTGGGTGGGGGCTGTCTTACAGGTGAGTGGGGCAGACTTACAGGTGAGTGGGGCAGACTTACTGGTGGGTGGGGGCATGCTTACAGGTGGGTGGGGGCAGACTTACATGTGAGTGGGGGCAGGCTTACAGGTGAGTGGGGGCATGTTTTCAGGTGGGTGGGGGTATGCTTACAGGTGGGTGGGGCCAAGTTTACAGGTGGGTGGGGCAGGCTTATAGGTGAGTGGGGGCATGCTTACAGGTGAGTGGGGGGGATAGCTTACAGGTGGGTGGGGGCAGACTTACATGTGAGTGGGGGTAGAGTTACATGTGAGTGGGGGCAGGCTTACAGATGGGTGGGGCAGACTTACTGGTGGGTGGGAGCCGGTTTACAGATGGGTGGGGGAAGACTTACAGGTGGGTGGGGTAGACTTACAGGTAAGTGAGGGCAGGTTTACAGGTGGGTGGGAGCCGGTTTACAGATTGGTGGGGGAAGACTTACAGGTGGGTGGGGTAGACTTACAGGTGAGTGGGGGTATGCTTACAGGTGGGTGGGGGCAGACTTACAGGTAAGTGGGGGCAGGCTTACAGGTAAGTGGGGGCAGGCTTACAGGTAAGTGGGGGCAGAACTGGAAGGCAATTTTTAACTTTTCTATTTCATGTAAAATAATGTTAGCTTATGGACTAAATAAATTATAATTGATTGGCATTACACACTTGTGTCTACAGCTGATGGCAAGGTCTCAAGGATGAGTATAATAGATGACAATGAACCCGTATCAAAACCAAGCAAATACTCAGTGAAGCAAAATGCTGATAAAGACTATGATCTGGCAGAGAAATTAAGGTACCAAAAAAATTGTGGTGTCTTTTATTAGGCCTAAGATTTTTATAGTTTTGACATTAAAGTTTTTGTAATTTACACTAAACTTTATACTATTAGTATTACTGATGTTGAAAAATGCAAGAGAAAAATATTTTCACTACATATTTTTATACTTGTTACTATAATAATCACCATTATTTGTACCTTCACAAGTGTTATTTTTATGTTAGTGGTAAATTTTTCATAGTTTTCTATCAACTGTCTCTTTAGTTCAAAAACAAAATTTTCTAAGTAGTTTTAATTTATTTTTAGTGCCTTAAAACACAGACTCATTCATTTAAAAGCAATGCTCATACTATTCATTTCCCTTATATTCTTTCAGACAAAGTTGTTTTTTGTTTTTTCTTCTTCTTCTGCATTCTTAATTGAATTTATGTTGAAGGATTTATCTTTACTTAATCTATGATAGATACCAATTAAAGCTGGATTACATTATAGTGATTTAAATCCCATGATTGCCAGGCTTCAAAACCAGATTTATGCTGGATGGTAGTCTAGTCCAACAGTATAAAATACTTAACATTAACAACTTACAACTTTTCTCCTCACTTTTTTACTCTGACAGAGAAGATGAAACAAATGCAGAAAGAGAAGTAGATGCACTGTCATTCAGCAGAAACGCTACTGTAGATGAGGATGAAGTTAGGGCATTGAGATAAGGGGCAGCATCTGCCAACTGTGACGGTTGTTTGACAAATATTTCTTAATGTCATCAGTTTTGCTGACTGGGGGGATTTACAGATTTCAGTCACATGTATCTCAGAAATGAATCTTGACAGTTACCATTCAATTATTTTGTTAAATTTCCGCTCTCAGTTTTGTATTGTTATGTAACAAAGTTCTCAAAACATCTAAGAATATTTAGGCATCTGTGCAAAAGTTAAAAAAAAAACAGAATCCACAAGAAAAAAACATTTTTGTGCTATAACTGTCTCAGAGGTTTAAACCATCGACTTTTCATTGTTTTTTTAAGAATTTAATGTTACATATAATTTTTAAAAATTAAAATTTACAACCTTTTATTTGAAATGTTTATTTAAGATAAAAACAATTTATTTTAATGCTCTATACAATAACAATTTATATTATGCTATTTTACTATTTTAAGCAATGTTAATAATTAATTTACCAATAATTTAAATAATTGATTATTTAAAATTTTCAAAAACTCAACCTCACAAAAAATATTAGTTTGTATCAGACTACATATGTGGTGTAGTAAGGCATCCAATTTTTAAAAGTATTAACATTAAATATAAACATAATATTATATGAATTGATAATAAATATAAAATAATATTTCAATTTATTTTTTGACCTTTAACTGGTATAATTATCTATTAAATAACATAATTAAACTATTTAATACATACCAAGGAAAGGTAGCTCCCAAAATAACAATGTATACATATTTTAATTTATATAACTTTGGTTAAATTCCCAGTATTAAACTTGTAAATAATATTTTATACTTATTGATATATATGTTTACAAACATGTTGTGTCTACTAGACTCCAGCCTCTGTACCTAGTGCTACAAGACAAATTTTTAGAGATGATTTCAATTATAATGCAAACTTGAATTAATTAATTGATAAGCAATTGCAGACTTCAGCACACTTTATCCTTGCTAAGAATGTATAGATGGTATGATTGGGTTTTATATAGTTGGCTTATATAAAATGTGTCAATATGTGTCTCCTGTACACTTTTTATTAAACAAAACACAGGCACATGAGCTACTGCTAGACCATTTTTTATAATCAAAATACCCACCATAACTGGTTGGTAGTACTCTTCTGTGATAAAATACCAGGTTGTTCAGTTTTAGTTAGTTTTATTTTTAAACAAATGTGATAATTTTTTTTACAATAAAACTAGTCCAATACTGTAATTTAAAAACCATTTTGAAACCACAAGTCACACAGGAATAATTGAATGCAAGCATCAAATCTCACAATCTATTGTTAAACAAGAGGTAGATTTGGAATTTTTGGAATCTGCTTATTTTTGACTCAGTAATTCTTATGGGAAAAAGAATGTATTCATCCACAAACAGAAACAATTTCCCCAATATATGTCCACTGTAAAAATAGCCAGAAATGAAAAATGTTTGCTTATATATATATATATATATATATATATATATATATATATATATATATATATATATATATATATATATATATATATATATATATATATATATATATATATATATATATATATACATATATATTTATATACTAATCCTTGTAGTAACACAATAATTTCATCCATTTATATATTTATATATTATTTATATAAAAGACTGTGATTTAATACTTTCCCCTATTTAAGTTTTGAACTACTTGTGTTATGTTGTGCTTACTGATTTAAATTTATCTACATATTTTCCACATTAAAATGGTATTTCGTATCTTTGAGTTCTCTGAACAATTTTAAACAAACAACTGAATTTATAAACATAGTAGGTATAAAATATATTTTCCACCCAAATATTTAAATAACTTAAACCTCACATTTTTATAAGAGAACAGTTTTGATAACGCAGTAATTAATATTTGATAAAGTAATTAAATTCTCATGCTATTTTATTTAATGTGGTCTCTCCTATTAAAATGATACTTTTTTGTTTATCATTCTACTTTATCTTGTCTGACCTTTTTTGATAACACATTTTACATTTGTCTCATCATTGTGAAGATATATCTTTTGAGTTTTGTCTGAAATAAATAAAGAAATAACTTTTTGAATGTATTGGATTTGTTTTAATTGGTTCTGTAAAGCTTTATACATAGAAGGTCAGTATGCTCATTTCAAAATCAGTGCCACATTATTACCATAACTTTATCAATTCTTTAGGTTTATAAAAGAAAAAAGTGCTGAAACAATATTCTTAACATACAGCTTTTAGTTGTTTTTTTTTTAAAAATTAAACATTTTAAAATTCTATTAACTATGACATTAATTGTTGTTGCTGATTTCGTTCTAATTGTAGGCTTTCAATGCTAGAAATATATAAATTGCACTGTTACAGAACTATTACAGAACAATTGTATTGTACAAAAAGAGGTAGAGCTGAAATTTAATTTTAAAAAAACAGCACAATTTGGTGGTCATAGCTCTTCACCAGAATAAATAAAAAAAAAACTGCAAATTGATTAAACACATTATTTATCTCTAATTTTATGAACTGGCCTTTTCAGATTCCGTCACAGTATTAAGATTCAATTTAATTATGTCTTTTCATTTGCCACAATAATTGAGTTATATCCAAACTGTTACTTTGCTCTCTACTCCTAGAGAAATTTTAAAAACTATTTTCATAACTTAGCTACATTTTTTTTAGATTAATTGCAATAATTTTAAGTTTTTAGTGTTGAACAGTGTCTTCTGGTCTCTTGGACACGGTTGGAATATGCTAGATCAATTAAAATAAGCTAATTTTTAAGAAAAAGATTTTCTTTAGCCATGTATTGGAAGTGCAGCTTAAGTAGCCTAACATCTGTCTGCTGTAGGGATCGGTGTGGTCAGGTTTGTAATGCCCATGGCAGCTAAACTGAAAAGGTCTAGAGTTAGAAGCCCCGGACAGATGAGGCTTGATAGCTGTGGACATCAACCCATCTAAGAAGATAACTCTAAAATAAAACAACTGCTGCCTTGTAGTTTGTTCTTGGTTGAACCATCTCTTTATATCTCTTTATATATTGTGCTGAGGTAATTGAAACAGATTGACTCTACTTCATCTGCCCCTTGTGTCTTGGGCACTGAAGGGAAAGATAATGATGATAATGATTGGTGCATTGTATCATCAGACCAAAGGACCCCTTTAAAAACTCGTTCAACAGTCAGAGAAAGTTTTAAACCAAATTAGTTTTATCGTTATACACTACAGTATACTGTACTGTATGTATAGTTAGTAATAATAATAGGCCAATACTATTAATGTCTATTACAGTATAGTTAACTTAGTTCAGTTTGTTGTTTTCAAACTTAAGTGTTATTGCTCCTCCCTTGACAACCCAGAAAATGTTGGCACGTAGATCTATAATATGATTTAATGTGATGTAGATCTATATGTTTTAGAATTTGCACACAATGCATCGAATCTTAGATGTGGACAATTGGGGAGATTTTTTTAATTGCTTTTGGCTTTTAGGGCCTACTGACTGACATTTGGTAATATAAAATTGAAGATTTTTCCGGTGTTAAATGAAGTTGTTGGTATTTGGATAGGTTCTCAAACTACTGTTTAAAAAGTTTATAACTATATATAAAGAAACTATAATTTAGAAAATAATTTAACTTAGGCCTACATATTAGCAATAATTTTAAGAGTAAATTAATAATTATTTTTTAAAATCAAATATTTCTTTTATCAAAAACAATACGTTATTTTTATTTCTTTAAATCTTCGATAAAAAAAATATTTTGATCCTTAAAAAATACCATTCATGCGTAGATCTGTGTTTTGTATGTCCAAGATGGTGTTATTTTCATTATTCACTTTAAAATAGTAATTTTTGCCAAAGAAAATTTTGATTCTTGATCTAGATCTAGATCTAGACTAGATCTAGATCAAAATGACTGACAATATCAATGAAATTTCAAACAGTTCTTCCACTGAATTAACCGTCTTAAGATCCGATTATAAACACTTAAAGTAAAGTAATTTATTGTAATTTTAGAATTCTTTGATAAATTGAATTTGAAATTGATTGTTTTCTTGAGCTAGAAATTTACTAATAGATTCTAATAGATCTAGATCTAGACTAGATCTAATTTAGAATCTAGAGATCTAGAGATAAGGTTTTAGAATATGTTTTGACTTTAATTATCACCATACGTCATTAGCTTGAAAGCCTGGAAGAAACTCTGCTACTAGATCTAGTTCAGAACTAAGTTCGGTAATCTATCGTTTTAGGTACGTAAAATCGCCCGCGACTAGTAATGTGAAAAACAGGTGACTCCTTACATTTTAATAATTATTTCACATTTTGAGGAGGATTTATGTTTTGAAAAATACAAAAATGTTTCCTTGTTTCATTTATGTACCTGTTTTTAAACAATTGAATTAAAACTTTTCAGTAATAAATGAAGACTAGTGATGTTTCCAACAGATGCAACCATGCTCATTTACTATAGCAGCCATCTTGTTAAAGTTTTATTTTTATAGACTAATAGCGCGAGATTCAGGCGGAAGTCACTCTATTTTACAAATGGCTGCTGGTTATATAGCAAATCTTGCTTGCAGACACTGCTGTTTAAAGTTAATTTCTGGCCTATATTATATATTTAGCCATTGATTTAGGTTTATTATTCATTTATCTATAATATTTGACACAAACATATGACAATATACTTCTATTACAGCCTTGGCAATGAGGTAACGTTTTCGTACATTAATAGCCGCTGGCGATTTTACGTACCCAAAACGATAGATTACCCTAAGTTCTAGTCTACTACTACTCTGCCTCTACTCAGGGTGGCGCTTACAATTTTAAACTTCGTTATTGTTCAAGATGACTTTAAACAATTAAAAACTACATTGATTTAGCCTACCTTCAATTATTTTTTAATAATAATATAATTTGATACCAATTTTAATAATTAAAATTAATTATTAGAAAAATCTAATAAATTAGAAAATGACTGATACGGCATACGGTGGGTTAGTTTTTAAGGAGTGTTGTGAGGCGATTGACCATTGCCATCATTACCATGGTGACACTAAAAGTTGGTCAATAGACAGGCGGATGATATTTTGAGTCATTCCTTTGAATCCCGGTCAGAGCACCCCCCCCACCTGCACACAATGCCCCCAAACCCCACACCTATGTGACATGTAGTCCAAGTCCATTGATCCCTTAAAATGCTTCTTTTCATTTGGATTTTGTAACATTTACACAAGTTAAGTTTTCACTTTCAATCTGAGTCCAAAATGATGTTACTGTTTGTCTTTTTTGTCTAGTCTTTTACCATACTGTTGTGTGCTGACAAAGACCTTGGGTCGAAACATCCATTGTACCTGTTTTTGTCTTGAATTTGTGAGGATACTAACACCATCTGTTTTATTCCTAGTGTTGAAGTGTGTTAAAATAAAATTGAAGTCAACTAGAATCCTTAGATGATCCTAAATCTAGAACTAGTAATTTAGTGATATCTAGTTCTAGTCTCTAGATTCTCTGCTCTCTAGACTAGACAACTTAACTACAGTACACACTCCTGAGTTTTTAATTTAGTTAGGCTTTTGGGTCCTAGTGTGTGTTTGAATCTAAAATATCTAAATTATTCTAAATTTAATTTAATTTAGTAGTTGGTAGGCCTATATTTAGAGATCTACTCTACTTAAATAAGCACTTTTTTCATATATAGGCCCAGGTCTACAATATCTATCCTAAATTTTATTTTAATACAATTTTTTCCAGCCACAAACAATGGAAAGCTTTGTTGAAGAAATTGAAAAGAAAAGAAATAAGAACCCTGGCTGCTAAATCTAGAGATGAAGAAAAAGGAGGTCAATTTGTAATAAATATTAAAACTATAATAGTATACTAACTATAGTCTTCTTAGTCATAAAAAGAGAATTTTTAAAGTTTTAGCATATTCTATTTCACCTTTTCCTTTTCTTCCCAATCTTTTTCAGCTTTGTTATTCAGAAGTAAATTGCTAGGGTATTGTTATATTCAGTGTTGTCTTATTACAGATAAAAGTGATGCTCAATCAGAAACTAATTCTGAAGAAGAACGTGAGTGGGAAGAAGAAGAGAAGAACCGCCAGTACCAGCACCAGCTCTGGTTAGAAAGAGAACGACAAGCTGAGCTTGCTTTCAAAGCTAAAAAAGAATGGGAAGAAAAGGAAAAGAAAAGAAAGGAAGAAATAGAGGTTAGGTTTATTTTTTATTCTCTTTTTTTTAAGTTTTCTAATATTCTAAGATGCTTTATGAGTAAGTTAATCAAAAGAGCAACCTATGATTTGTTTTTGTTTATAAGTGCTACTAGATTTTGAAAAAATGAGCAGTGTTTAATTGTTTATTATGAATATTACCCAGAGAAAAATCAAAGAAGAATGGGAGGAGAGAGAACGTCAAGAAAATGAAGAAAGAGAAAAGAAAGAAAAAGAGGATCAAGAAAAACGCCTGAAGCAGGTGATGATGTTGATGGGTTTGATCATATGATATCCTAGAACTGCTGCTGGTTTTATGTGCTCACTTTATTCTTCCGAATGTTTTGTAGCTTTAGATGATAACATACAATAGTAATGATTCTTCTGTATTGAAGAATCTGGATATATACACTTGGGTTGTCATGTGTTTGTTTAATCCTCTTTTTTTATAAAACTTAATACTTCATAAATTTGCTTATACTAAAGAATACTGCAAGAAAAATGCAGGTTAAAATGTAATTATTTGTATGTCCTATTTTAAATGGTGTGGACATTTGCCAGATAGATAAGAATGTTACATATAATATATGTATATATGGAAATTCAGTTCCTTAACCCTCCTGACCAGTCAGTCTCAAGGAAAAGTATTTTACTCACGCACATTTCATGTATCTTTTAAACTTAAGTTACCTTTAGTTAGGCTAGTGAAATTAGTCAAATTTTGATCATATCAGCATTAGAGTTAGAGTGGGAAAAAATTATTAAACAAATGCTTCATGTATTTAAACAACTATTATAGAATTGTATTTGGTATAAATGAATACCTTAACTCAGCATCTAGCTCTTCAAATAGCATACTCATTTCTACATTGATCAATTGATGGGTTTATAGGCACTTATAAAGTTGTATTTAGAAGTTGTATAAATAAGCTCTTTTGGTGAACAACTTAACTCAGCATCTAGCTCTTCAGATATCCAAGAGATTTCTACAAGCCATCTTACACTTGATATATCTTCTTCTATGCATTGTTGGGTTTTTAGGACAAGTTGCTGAAGGAAGCTACCTCTAATGAAAACACTGTAAGTGTACAGCATTGCAATCTTTACTAATAGATACAATCAAATTAACTGTTTATATTTGTTAACAATATTAAACTGCATCATTATGTTCATTTGCTGTAATTTTTAAATAATTAAGTGACTATTAAAGCTTAAATATATTATTTTGTCAAAGAGTGAAATAAATTTTTTGTCTAGAATGCGTGGCATAATCCTATTGCACCAGTCCAGTATGGGAAGGAACGTCAAGTGGACGTTTGCCCCTTCTTCAAGAAAACTGCAGCCTGCAGATTTGGTGATCAGTAAGAGCTTGTTTGTTTCATTCCTTGTTAGCTATATACTCAACTTTTTAATATTTTATATTTGTTCATTGTTTAAAATGTGACATTTGAAGTAATTAACTTTAATTCATACACATTTAAAAAAATATTCTATAATTCAAATTTTTGCAGTTGCTCACGTTATCATGAGTACCCAGAATGCAGCACTACCATACTGATACCCAATATGTTCTCTAGTTTTCAGTTGGAGCAGTCTATTGTGGACAATGTTGACACAGGTAACACTGGCATATACATGATGCAACTGGTATTCAATAGTATTATATTATTGCCATGCAAAAAGCAACTCTACAATATTACTACTCACTATAGGCTTACATGGTTTAAAAATTCCACAAAAGTTAAATGTTTAAGTTCCTGGTTTGATAAAAAAAAATTATCATAGTCCTCCATTGCGTTTTTTGACAAATTTTAAGCTATTGCATTTAAGTTGGGGTTTTTTTTGTTTGTTTTTTGAATAAGGTATTAAATAAGATTTTGAATTAAAGTAAAAATATTTCCCCTATTTATTAAATATTTTTAGTAAAGTTAAATATTAATAGTTGATTATTTAATAATTTCAACCAAAATGTGTTTTTATATCCTTAAAGACTCATTATAGATAGCACTAAGTAGATCAAATTTTTTAAAAATTTGCTGGGGTCTTCCTTGTAAAATGTTTTAAATCTCTATGGGTTAGACTTGTACATGGTTATCTTTTACCTACACTTTCTAAGGGTGCAATTAACATAACGGCCCCTTTTCTTAAATAGATGTGAGTCTTGAATATGATGAGAATGAGCTATATCAAAGTTTTAAGGAGTTTTATGAAGACACAGTTCCTGAATTCAAAACTGTTGGGACTATTGTGCAACTAAAAGTATGCTGCAACTGTGAACCACACTTACGTGGTAATGTGTATGTGCAGTACAAAAGGCAAGTAAATAATTTTAAATATCTATTTTAATAGATCCCTTTCTTTCTGGGAGATCCTTGCCATGATATACAGGTTCTTGTTAAGGTAGCAATAAACTATTTGACATGAATGTATGAAAATGTTAATGAATTAACACAATATTGTATCTGATGCATTCCTTTTGAACCATTATTTTGGAAACTTCTATAATCTGCCTATGTCCAAATAATAAACACAGCAAAAGGCCTACTGAATTTTTTAATATTTTGAGGAACAAAATCCAAATTTTATTTGCTTTACACTGTAAAGATTTATTTAACAAGCAAAAGGTGTATTAACAGTGCATTAAATTTAGATAAATTTTAGTTTTAAGTTTACAATTAGGTAATGTTTCCAGCTTGAACCACTTCTCTCACATTCACTTTTTTGTGTCACTAATAGTCAATTTTATTTTAAAAATTGGATTAAAAAATTATTCATTTATTTTAAGAGTTTCAAACATTTTCAAATGATTTATGTATAACAGATTAAGAAATATTTTCAAATCAGGGAGTCTTCAGCACAGGAAGCATATGGAAAGTTCAACGCTAGGTGGTATGGCGGGCGCCAGTTAACTTGCATTTTTGTCAACATTGAGTCCTGGAAAGCAGCCATTTGTGGTGTGTAAACTAGGTTTTAACAGATATATTAGATATGCGTATAAGTTTTAGAAGAATTTTGAATTTCAGTTTTAGAATTAGATTTTAAAAAATTCCTTTTGACTTATAATTTTCAGGACTTGCTTCTAAGAAGAGATGTCCTAAAGGAAAATCTTGTAATTTTCTGCATGTGTTTCGAAACCCGGGGGGAGAATTTTCTGAAATGGACTATGATCAAAATCTCCAGGATAGATATGAAAATCAAAGAGAAAATAAACATTATTCCAGGCGGGAATATAGAAGCAGATCTAGGCGTTCTAGATCAACCAGCAGATCTAGGCGTTCAAGATCAACCAGCAGATCTAAGAGTTCTAGATCAAGAAGACGGTCCACATCAAAGGCTAGATCTTTAAAATCGAGGCATAGGTCAAGATCACCTTCATCAAACCATTCTAGAAATTATAACAAGACAAGTCGATCATCAAAATCACATAAAAGATCTAGATCAAGATCACCAAGCCGCACATCTAATTCAAACAAACCATCTCCTTCAAAATCACCAAGACGATCCCACAGATCAAAAAGATCGCGATCAAAGTCACATGCATCTATTAGAAATACTTCATCAAAACAACGAAAATCACGCTCTAAGTCACCAAAAGACGTGAAATATATAACCAACCACTATGCTAAAACAAAAGGCAGATCATTATCTGACTCATCATCCTCTTCTGATTCTCCTCCAAGTCCTAAATCACTAAAACAGAAATCTAACAAAAACTTCCATAGTAGTACAAAGGATACATCCACTGAATCAGAAAGTGATTATGAATATGTTGAAAAAACTAAAGAAACAATTACTTGATATGTTAATAAAAGAAATTTATTGTTTGAAATGTTTGCAACATGCATTTTGTTGAATTTGAATCGTATCAACTGAATATATTCTTCCCTGTTCATGGTGAAAAAATGTATTATATAATTTTCAAAATCACATCATGAGACTCAAGCAACACAATGATTAAATCATATATATATATAAATAGGTGATAAATAAGAAATAATTTGTTTTATATACATACATGATACAGTACACAGTTCTTAAAAACATTCATATCTTGAGATGCATCTTTTTAGATGAATATTTTTTAGATAGAGAATAACTTAAAATTTCTTAGTTAATCACAGTCGTATTTAAAGTGCTGTGTACAAGATCACATGAATGATTATACCTGATAAACATTTAGTTAAGACTGCTTTAGATATCTTTTAACAATCAAGTAGTGTTTTAAAACTATATTAAGCTGTAACTTATATTTTTTAAAAAAGAAAACAAAACTGGCAGGTCTCTAAATGTGTTGCTATACCCATCCAACCACAACCATGTTTGGGGTTGGTGGTTCTACTTTAAGTAACACGTGATTTGATCAGTGCTTTGCAAATAAATCTAGCTGTTGGCTATTTACAGAACATCCATTCCAAGAACAGAGGCAATAATAAATTCATTTTCTCATTTTATATATGTTTACAAACTTGTTTAAGAATGAGTAGTAACAAATGCTTTGTTAAGGTGAATTCATCCAACATTTTAGCAACTAAAAGACTTAGCATCTAGCTGCCAACCATAAAGCCTAATTCTTCAAAAAATCCTTTAGGCTCTTCAGATTCCTGAAAAAAAAATCATCAAAATCAATAAGTAAATAGTCAATGTATCATTAAGAAAAAATGTATATTGTTAACTTAATTTTAATAGAAAATATATCCTCTAATTATGTTTTGTCTTCCAACTTGATTAAAATAAGAGTTTGTTAAACTGTTAGCTTCATTATTATATATGGATTTTCATGCAAGCAAAATAAAAATTAGAAGAAAAGCAAGCTACAAATGTAAAAAACAAATGTATGGTTTAATACTAAATGTATTAATTCAGCTAGTCATGTATCTTAATTTCAAAATTTAAATAATTTTATTTTTAATGGAAGATAAATAAAGTGCATTAAATTATATGGTGACTTAGATAAAAAAAAATTTAAAAAGTACATTGCATAGTTGTCAGGTAATGTCTAATATTATTTCAATACATAAACATGTTACAAACAATACAATACTATCCAGTGAATACTTACCTGCAGCCCATGTTAAAAAATTTCTAGTGAACATAAAACTTTTTGAAAAAGGGATGTGAAAAAAATGTGGGTTATGGGAACAAGCAGTATAGGTAGTGTTGCATGCAGTGTACTTAAGTCTTTGAGAAAATTAGTTTAATTTGTCCTGCCACTAGTACATGAAATTTGCAAGTATGTAAAAGCATCACATTAAGTAGCCAAATACACAGGAAGAAAGTCAAGTACATAGCTTTTTAAGAAATAAAAAAAATAAAATAAAACAACAGATTTCTCTCTTTGGAGCAGAACTGAAGCAAAACATTTATAGAAAACAATTATCCAAGGCAGAAGCAAATAAACATTTATTTTTTTATACAAGGGTTATTGGCACAGAGAACTAACTAACCAAATCACAACAAAACTAATCATTTTTTTTTATCTTAATTTTATTTTTTTCAAATAACAAAGCCCTAAAAGGATACACTCATCAGTTTTAAAAAAAAAACAAAAAGCTTGTATTATCTGGATTATTTACTGGCTAATTCACCAATAAGTTGCACTTAAAAAACAAGGTTAATAATAGTAACAAAAACGTAACCATGGATAATAAACTCAAGGAATAAATATTGAAAGAGTATAAATGGAATGAAGAGGTTTTGTGTCAACAAAAGCCTTGTCAACATTGAAGCTTGTTTATTTTGTTAAGCTAACAATGCAAAAAAAAATCTAGTCATTACTTCTAAAATAAGTAATTAATAAATTATAAGTATTAAATATGTTTTAAAAAAAACCCAATGTCATGGAACTATTTAAATAAACCAATATAGAATTCTAAGTGTAAAAAAGTATCTAAATTATGTCAACCGTTAGCTTAAAAAAAAACATGTTTATTTACAATTTAAATACAATAGTTAATCCTAAAATCATTACACAATGATATCACAAAAACTAAAGGATTTAAAAGCTGACAAAAATTATTTCATTATAGAAAATTAAAAATCTTATTAATATGATCAAGTATACACAACCTTTACAACTGTCCATAAGCTTATTTAAATCACAAACACTTAATCAATTATGAAAATAGATAATACAAAGGTTTCTGATACAGCTAAATGAGTAATCAGAATTGCTTTGGTTGGTTTTTTTAAGGTTACTATATTTAAAAATTGAGCAACCGATTAAAAATAATTAAACGAGAGCTGTGGTATTCTACAAAGAAAATCTTGGATTTGATTAATACAATGTCACTTTATATTAAACCCAATCCCACCACACAATTAGAAAATTCGTTAATTTTACTACTGAACAAATAAGGGGAAATCTGTGGACTATACATGTGTAATTTTTAACATACCTGAATAAGATCAAAATTTTTAGGAAAAAATTATTCAGATTGTTTAAATGCCTTCAAAGTTATAGCTTGCTTTAAAAAAATGTATTGACAAAAAAAAAGTTCTGTTTAATTTATCCTTAACCTCCATTAGAATCTTTAAGCCAATCTGCATGCAGTATCAAAAGGGAAGAGAGTTCTCGCTGCAAATTTAGCCTAAGCCATGGTCCTCAAAGAATCCTTGTGGTGTTTCCTCCTGATGAACAAAGTAAAAATGAAAACAATGCACAGACATAGAAGAAGTATAAAGTTAAAGAAAGTCTTGTGTATCTGCAAGCAGACATTGAAGAACCACAAGGTGATAGAAAGTCTTGTTCTGTGACTGAAAAAAGTTTCTGAAAATCTATCTTGTAGCATTGCAGCAACAATTAACAAAATGATGAGTTGGTACAGTTCATAATACAGAAATTTGTTATTATTTATTATAATTATAAAAAAAACATTTACTTTGATAAAAAGTATTTGTGTTATTGTATGGTAAAAAACATGACTGTGTTTAGAGTAAGAAAAGGACTTTGCTCTTCAAGACATCTGAGAATACTGAACAACAATAGTTTAGTTGTCACAAAAAATACATTTGTTTTTATTTATCTGCATTACCAATGATTTCATAACACCACAAGTATTGACAAAAAATAACAATACATCACAGTGGCATAAAACTATTAACATTCCTTTCTTGAAATAAATTTTAAAATATACAAGAGCAAACAATCATTCCATTAAGTGATAAAAAAAAGATAATTAACAAATAAGAGCATACAACAAACATTGGAGTATTTATGTGACAAATCCTTCATTTGAATAATAAGTATTTACATGAGAAACAAAATTTTAAATATGATATAGTTATTTATGGTTATATGCAGCATACTAGAGAAAAAAAAATTCTCAAATTAAAAGAAAATTAATGCAAAACACAATGCAGAAAAAAATATATTTTATTATAATAATGAATAACAAATCGGTTCTAGTTAAGTTGGTGATTATTAATCTCTACTGTCCTGAAACAATACTTTTTTGTTTCTTCAATAATTTCCATCAGTATTTATTATACAATCACGATACAACTTTTTTCATTACTCTAAACCTTGTAGACAAAATAAATGGTTATAAATTCTGCCTTGGAATATATATTATAGTATGCAAAACAATGCGACAAAGAAAAAAGCCAAGATTACATAGAGAAATGTAACAGTACTCTAACAGTGGCGCATTGATTCCTGTGTGTCTTATTAACACTAAATTACACTAAGTAATTTCAAGGCACTCAAACAAGCGTTAACTATATTTACAGTAAGTCACCATATAGCATTGTTTTTTAAATCATTTTAGACTTAAATGATTTTTAAATAAAACAGATTTTCAAATAGGCCTAACATGTTTTATTTTAAAAAAACATTATTATTTATATGCCTAGTAATTTTTATATAATGCACATCTATAAACTTGCATGCAACAGTTTAAAAAAAATTCAATCAGATGGACCCACATGCAAAAATGTTGAAGAGAAATATGCAAGTTACAGAGGAAATTTCTATGAACTTCCCAAAGAAATGAAGCAAGCAAGTCCAACAAATAAGTAGGAACCTGACCTGTATACAAGATTAATGCAAGGGAAAAAGGAAGACAACCAATGCTAGTATAGACCATATTCTTTCAGGGCATTTTCAACAGCTTCGTCCTTTGAAATAAGATACAAAAATCCTTATGTGATGAGCAAACTTTCATGGAGTGGTTTTATGTTAAACAATTTTTGTCAACATTGCTTATTAAAGTGATACTGCTTGATGGTAAAAAATGTTTATATAATTTCAGGCAGAATAATAAATGGAAAATAAACCATTAATGGAACTGTCTAAAGTCAAGGAAAAAAGCTTTAAAACAGTCCATTTCAAATTAAAGTAAAGTAATGCTCTAACAAGTACTATAGAAAATTAGATTGAAATGTGGCAGAATATTTTTAGTTTCTTGTTTTTATTAATCTTTTTTTTTTCAATGGAGAAAATTCGAAACTAAAAAATAAACTAGTTACAATAGCCAGGCGTTCTTAAATATACAAACCTTAAACATACAGTATATTATTTTTCACACAACCACAAAAGATGACATATTCATTTTTTTAATTAGAAACAAAAATACAGGCAATGACCAGAGCAACACACACATAAAAAGGTTCTTGCTCTTACATTTTAGAGTCCATTCTATATGTATTAAAATGATGTATGTATACTGCTTAACACAGCCATTCAAAATGTCTGAATTATAATTCTGAAAACCTGACTTGCAGTTAAAAATAATTCATATAGCAAATTTATTAAACCTGTAGAGAGGAAATATGTATAAAGCCTTGAAAGACTTATGAAGAATGGTAACAAAGCATAGAAAACATAGTATGAAATGACAACACAAAATGTCTAGAGAAACAGTGAGCCAGACAGATACACTATGATCAAACTCTAGTTGTGTGAGTGATACAGGACTAGGGTAAAAATGGCTCACTTTTTAGTGGTTAGAATAACCCGTATTCTATAAGAACATCTTGAAGAGCGTCATCCTTCAAAAATTTTTAGATTAAAAAATAATCTATATAAAAAAGTTAAATTTAAAAGTCTCCTTGGTACTAATGATGTACTGGTTAGAAGTAAACTATTGTCATGAAGATTTATTTAAAATAAAAAAACAATGGCACATTGTAAATAAGCATAAATATTTTGTAATTTAACTAGTTACTAGCATGATGCTTGCGTTTTCATATAAAGATAAATATAAGACAAAGGGAAAAGCAGGGTGAATTTATTCAGCAGATTGATGAGCACACTTCAAGTTAATTTATTTGGTTGGTAACAAGGGTTAATCTACACAGAAATGTTAGCCTGATCCTAAACTATTTTCAATTCTCTGTGTTAAGTAAAAGAGCTGTGAATTCTGGTTTGTTAACCACAATGAAATGCAGTTGGATGAAGGAGGGGTAGAAAAAGGGCAGAAATTATCTTTCAGGGAAAAAACATCAGTGTATTGTGATGCATTTTTTTTATTAAAAAAAGAAAATTCTCAGTTAATTCTTTCTTTGTTACAATTACTTTTATCACAAAATCAAAGGTCAACACTGATATTTTTTTTTACCCAGGTTTGTGATATGTTAAGAATAGCCAAATTTGATTATCATCTTAAACTATCTAGCCCCAATTTAGTAGCCTAATCTATCAATATTTAAATATAAACAATATACTGATATAATTATACGTAGCAACAGAAAGAAAAAGTATAAAGACATTTTACTAAAAGCCAACACCTGAACAGTACCAAAAAAAGAAAACGGACAATGTAGGAGACATCTAGACCTCAGGGCCTAAAAATAACTTTCAAGAAATTCTTGAAATTAAGTTTTCTTTTTACATTTTATTGGTCCATATTTTATAAATTGTTCTTTAACTGACATCGAGCAATAGTCTGCCAATTGCTTTTTTAAACAAAAATCATATTTAGGAAATAAAAACCTTTTTAAACTCCAGGTCCTTCAAAACCTCAAATAATTTCACCAACAAACCAAACAAAAATTCTTTTGAAATAGGAACTACATGGTTAAATTTTGCATTCAACTGCTGTTTCTATTGACTCACCTTATAATTAAGCCTTTAAAAGATAATATTAGACCTCATCATTCAACACAAATAAATACATAGAGCCTTCTAGCTACGCTTAAAAGATTAGCAAGTTAATAAATGCCATTAAAATGAATCCTTCCCTGAATAGTACCCTTAACCAGATTAAAACATCTACATAAACACATATCTCTTGTGTATACTACCAACCTACACCAAAATGTGTTGATTTACTTCAATCTTGGTTATGAAAACATCGAAATTCCCTAGCAGAATCAACTTACGACTCTAAAGTGTATATTCATACTCTTGCTGTAGAAAAATACCGTTCAAGCATCATATGTATGTCTAAAAGAATCAGACTTTTTAAACAAGAAAGGTGATCTAAGCAGTGTTGATAGGATCAAAAGAAGAAACTTCTGATGTTTCCATGTTAACTAATCAAAGTTAAATTTTGAATACTTTTTAAAATCTACACTTACTTTAAATATAATTGTAAACATTTAACCAAAATTTTTAAAAATTCATTCCTTAAAAGTATTTATGGCTTATTAACGTCAGTTTTCAAGACAATGAAGATAAATAACCCATCCAAGTATTAGATTTCTTCCACCTACGCCTAAAATCAACCACCGAGATATTTGTAAGTCAAATTTGGCTAGTGCATGTGGGATTAAACCTTTGTCGTGCATGGTGAAAAAATAAAAATTCCAACAAACCTCTTGTAACAAGTCCTGTGCTGCAATGGCTTTCAAAACATTCTTCTTGCTGGTCTCTTGAACTTCACCTCCAAGCAAAAACTCATCCAGCATGAAATAAGCTTTCTCAAAGTTGAAAATTATGTCTAATTCACACACCTGTAATTAAAAAGAAATAAGTATGTTAAGTACTTTAATGGGGTTTAACTTGAAACCATTTGTAAATTTTAATGGTTTCCAATATTGAACATTAGTGCACATTCGATGGAACTTAAACTTAAAATTTTAAAAACGATGTTAATAATTTTATATACTTACACTTCCAAAATATTTGTCCAGAAGTTCAACATAGCGATGGATTATTTCTAGAGTCAAAAGCTCGTTATCATCATTTTCAATTGCACAGCAAAAATAAAGACTAGCATACCTAGAAACAAATAATTACAATGACCAGCAAATTTATTTTTTAAATTAACACAGTATAAATAACTTTTACTTGAACGTTTTTTAAATTTAGTTTCTATACTTCTTTGGCAGAAAAACATTAAATGGTTTAGTAACTGATGGCTAAGTTCAAAATAATAACCTTTTATAAACAATCTTGAGATCTTTCCACTCCAAAAAACTGCACATTTTTGGTTTTCGTGCCAAAACCAAGGTTATAAGTTCTCTGGTAATTTTCTTTTTTGTTCGATCTGGGTAAGCTGCAAACCATTTTTGAAGCCTTAGTTTACCTTGACGGCTGAACAAAAGCATAAACTGCATCTGTAGATTAATTATAAATTGGCCAGGCATTAGGATATGAATTATAAATTTCGAAGGATTACACTATTTACACCTATATCATCAAGTTTTTGTGTTTTACCAATTATAAATGTATAAACAAAATAAATAAAACAACCATTTTAATTTTTAAACAGGTTTATTTTATTTTAGATTTATCCTAATTGTCTATTCCCAGTCAGAGATGTTATCAATACATTTTAATTCTTAGAATTTTTCTAAAATATTAAACATATTGAAAGTGGCGGGGCATAGCATCATCATATGGTGTAGTGCATGACTGTCAACTCGCTAATGTCATGGGTTTGGATCCACAGAACACATGCTTCGAATTAAGGAATTTCAGCACATCTATCTATGGTAAATACTTCCAAAAAAAGTATCTCTAGTAATTTAATGATAGGCCTATACACTTTTATAGTGTATATAGCAACAATCAGATCAAGCGGTTTTAATTCCTTGTCTGTGACAGGATTGGAAGCATGGTTACAGTAAAAAAAGGGCATTTGACTTTTGCCAGCAAAAAGCTGAGAGGAAATAAACAAGTAAACTAGGCCTAACTGATTGTCACAGTTTTATTTGTTTTATTTATTAAATTTTAAATATCCAAGCTATTTAATTAAAATTATTAAAAAGAATGTTTGAAACAGGCTTGCTTTTCCCTATGACTTTTTTTCTTAATTTAAATATTGTAACTTGAAGGTTGGCTGAGGAAGGTTTGGATGTCTACTCCCAGTTGACTGTAGAAAATGATAACATACTGGGAACAGTTAAGTAGCCTATAGTGAGCCTATATGCCTAATTCCAGCAGACTAAAATTCATTCGTAATAAATAGGCCTAATAGGCCTATAAATAAAAAAAATAGGCCTAACAGGAAACCTTAAGAATAGAAACATTTGATTAAGTTCCCATGCCATAAGACATGTCATATACTATTGATAGACATGCCAGATTTGTAGTTTTTATAATGTTCAGCAGCCATGAATTGAGATAGTTACACAATTTTTATTTTTGAACTCAGTAGTTTCACTTTCTCAGGACTAAGCTAAATCAGTTTGGGCCTTAATTTTTGTGTTTTGTTGTAAGGCCTAATTATAATGGATAGCCTATAGAATACTATAGATTTATAGAATCTTAGATTAGGCCTATAGAAAGCCTGAGTGAAAATGGGGATGGATTGGTGAAAGGTAGGAGATTGATGGCTTACTTTATACTTTTCACTGAAGGCCTGTCAATTAATTTTAAAATAGATTTTTATTAGATTTAGAATCTACTACTTAGTTAGTCAAGTTAGTTAGGCCTAGGCCTACCTGATTTATAATTTAAATTAGTTAAAATTAGGCTTACTCAATTAATTCGGTCACCGGTAGCCGTAGCCTATAGAAATCTAGAATTAGATTCTCTAGATTTGATTTAGATCTAGATTTTAGTTGAAATAAGCCTGATGATACTGATAGATCTCTAGATCTAAATGTAAATCTCTTAACTCTTTATAATAACAACTAATCTTAGTAATCTAGATTCTAGATGAACAGAAGGTCACCCCAAATTCAAAACCCCAGCCTAAGTCAGCTTCTGAGCTTAGTCATGACATTAGTCAAGTCAAGACTGGAGAATGGAGAAGCCAGTGAGTGTCAGTGTAGTAGTTAACTGGGTAATCTATCGTTTTGGGTACGTAAAATCGCCAGCGGCTATTAATGTACGAAAACGTTACGTCATTGTCAAGGCTTTAATAGGAGTATATTGTCATATGCTTGTGTCAAATATTATAGATAAATGAATAATAAACCTAAATCAATGGCTAAATATATCGATATAGGCCAGAAATTAACTTTAAACAGCAGTGTCTGAGAGCAAGATTTGCTATATAAACAGCAGCCATTTGTAAAATATAGTGGCTTGCCCCTGAATCTCCCGCTAAAAGCTTATAAAAATAAAACTTAAACAAGATGGCTGCTATAGTAAATGAGCTTGGTTGCATCTGTTGGAAACATCGCTAGTCTTCATTTATTACGGAAAAGTTTTAATTCAATTGTTTAAAAACAGGTACATAAATGAAACAAGGAAACTATTTTTATTTTAAAAAACATAAATCCTCCTCAAAATGTGAAATAATTATTAAAATTTAAGGAGTCACCTGGTTTTCACATTACAAGTCGCGGGCCATTTTAGTAAATTTTACGTACCCAAAACGATAGATTACCGTGTTAACTGTACCTGTAGCATTTTCTATGTATAGGGCATAGGGCATAGGGCCTACTTAAAACTGAAGTAATATATTTCTTTTAGGCCTAGACAGTCTATATCACACACTAGATTTCTAAGTTCTTACCATTTTCGAACGTAGATCTAATATTAAAATTTAAACACAAACTAAAATCAAATGTTTATCATTTCAAGACCCTTCGAAACTACGTCACAGTGAAAGCTAACTACAGAGGGTTGGCCGGAAGTATAAATTCTAAAATTGTGGATTAGAAATGTTTATCTTTTTTTTTAAACGAAGGCTAGGCTAAATTATATAATAGGGATTTCTCTAGTTATACTAGGCCTAACTAGTACTAACTAGCCTGGTGAAGTAGGCCTACTGATCATTTTGTGACTCAGTGAAACGTGCTCAACTAAGCCTAATGCCAAAAATCTTTAGATGCGTAGGCCCCTATTTCTTGTTCTGAGAAGGCTTATTATAATATTATTTTTGTTACTTAAATTCGTAGTTGTTAGTGATTCTAGATCAATCTATTTAATACTATTCACTATTCACTATACTTTATTATACTGCTAACTATACTATTATACGGCATAGGCCCAATTTTTTTTATAGATTTAGACTGGATCTAGATCTAGATCTATATCTAAAAAAAAAAAACTGAAATAAGAGATCTAGGGATATTAAAATATAAATTTTAGAAATCTACAAAAATGTCACTATACCGCAATGCCGCTTGGCTGATAAAGGGATTTAGAGAATACACAAAGTAAGACTTCATTTCTATAGACTCTAGTATAAGTGTCACTATAGACTTCATAAAAAATAAATTACTAATTTAATTCTAGATCCAAGATCCAGTTATGAGTTTATAATCTTAATGCCGAATAATGGTCTGTTATTTTTAAATTATTAGTTAGTAAGCCGTAATAATAAATATAGGGCCGATGGTAGCCGGAAAAAGATGCGCATGCGCAATGGAGAGGAACTACGACTTGCCATCGCAGCGATGTTTTCGATGGTACTGCGCATGCGTGTGTTTACAACCGCAGAACCCTAACACCAACCCTAATCCTATCCTTAACCCTAACCCTAACCCTAGCCCTAATCCTAACCCTAATCCTAGCCCTAATCCTAACCCTAATCCTATCCCTAAACCTTTCCCTAATCCTAACCCTAATTCTAGCCCTAACCCTAACCATAGGTCACTGCGCATGCGCAGAGCTATCTTTTGCCGACTAAGTGGAGACGTTGGGGAGAAAAATCTTCTTCCGAGTAGTCACTTCGTAAATATAGATCAGATCTAAATACTACTTTAAATAATAGGCATATGCCTAGCCTAATAAAATTTTTATAATTTTATTTTTAAGACATAATGCAAGTTAAGCATAATAATTAATAATCATTTCGCAAACTGCAGGCCCATAAATTGAAAAAATATATAAAATGAGGCAAGAATCTACATATTTGACAGACTCTCAAGACCGCAAAAATTGTAGACCCCTGCACTTGCCGACATATATTAACAGACTTAATTGTTGGCAATAAACCTAACACTTAATCTAATGCAACTAGCCTTTAATTAAAACTAGACCTAACCTTGATGTTAGGACAGCAATTGGCCCAATCCTCTCTACCCCATTAATTTAGGCACTACCTACCTGTCCCAAGATAAATTATTAAATTAATTTCAGGGGTGGATATCAAAGTGCCAGCAAGAACTTTAACCCCCAGGATCTTGATGTTGACATCAGCAAGCGTAGTTTCATGATTACAGGAGCAAACAGTGGTGTTGGAAAAGCTGCTGCCTTGGCATTGGCCAAAAAAGGTTAGAGCTGTTATCATATAAATTACAGGTTCAAATGTCTTTTGCTTACAATATCATATATTTACTCTGCATATTGTCTTTTTAAAACAAAACATGTACAAACTGCAGTTATGTAAGCTTGACAAACCTCTTCCCATAGATCTACAACATCCAGTCATTGTATGTTCTTTTCTTTGGTTACAATTTATTAGGCGGAACTGTCCACATTGTATGTAGAAATAAAGATAAGGGGGAGACTGCTCTGAAAGAAATTCAAGATGAATCTGGTAACCAAGTAAGTATGCCTACCTTGCCATCTGTAAAAGTAAGCTAAAAATGTAAAAAAGGTGACACCATATTAGCAAAATATTATTTTTTCTGTTTATTGCATGTATTGCATCACTTCTTCAGCTATGAGGCTTTGATATGATTGTGCAAACCTACTGAGTGACCAGTTAGAAGGGGAGGTAATCTACCCCAGATCTGCACTTTGTTTTGTTGTTCGATGTATTTAAATACAGCGAAAGCACCAAACCCACTGCCTTGGATTATCCTAGCTGTCAACCTGTTCTAAAATAAACATAACACATTTTCTTTCTTTCCTGATATAACACTTTATGCAAGTTCCAAAATCAGTCACTTTTCCAGGTATCTGTTGTCATTTATGGATGGCCGCTAAAAAAATATTTTTGATCTGTTGTGAATTTTTTTTTTTACAGAAAGTCCATCTTCATCTTCTAGATTTGTCTAAGCCACGAGACATAAAAGCATTTTGTCAGGATTTTAAATCCAGTGGACACTCGCTTAATGTTCTAGTGAGTAAAAAATTCTAAAAAATTATATTTAATTTTTATGTAGCAAATGGGGGCTAAAATAAATTGCTTTTCTATTTATGTGAGTTAACTTAGGCAAAATAATTGAAGAAAAGTAAGGAATGAGATTTTTTTGGCTCCCAACATTGCCATAAAAGTACCAACTTGACTTTCCAAATAAACTGGTTACTTTTTTTTTCACTATATATACATGTTTTTATGCCAGGAAAGCTTTTTCAAGAAATGCATTTTATTTTTTAACAGATTTACAACTCAATGATTAAACTTTTACATAAAAAATTATTTTTTACTCACCATCAGTAGTAGTTAACAGAAATTACACATTTAATTGCTGATATGAAAACAATGAATGAAAATGTCGTTTCTAAAATATTTTGAAGGTGAATAATGCAGGTGTTCTTGTGGGAGGAGACAAACGCCAGCTGACAGATGACGGACTTGAAGTCACGTTTGCTACAAACACTTTAGGCGTTCACATTTTAACTCAGGAACTTCTGTCAGTGCTGGAAAGTTCAGATAACCCAAGAGTTGTGAGTATTTTCAAAGATTTTCTCTTCATGAAAGTGTTAATATTATTTCCTTATCAAATAGACTGAATTTAAGCACCATATGAAAATAGCCATTGAATGAATGACATGCTAAGAATTTATTTTAGAAGTAAATATTTAAGAGAATAAATAAGAAAACAATGTGAATAGGAATATGTTATTTACATAAAACATTAGTTTGACTGTAAAGAAAAAATAACCTTTTTGTCTACAAATGAAAGATCAGCTGTTTAGCCTTTACTGACTCGCCAGGTTTACATAAGAAATCATCTAACTATAATAGTTAGAATAATAATAATAGAACATAATAATAGCTTCATACTTCATACCTTGGCCAAATTCTTCATTTCACAACCACCAGTTTGTTCTTGGAAAGTTATTTGAGCTAACTGCTCACTCTGCCTACACTCATTAAGCAGTTCATCTTATTTTTAATTTTACATTATTTAAAGGTTAAAGCAATATATTGTTTGAATTTTTTTAGATAATTGTATCATCTGGGGGTATGCTGGTCCAAAAGTTAGATCTGAGTGACCTTCAGTTTGAGAAGATGACCAAGTATGATGGCACCCTGGCATATGCCCAGACCAAAAGACAGGAAGTGATCATGACATCAGTGTACGCCAAAGCCCACTCAAAAATTCATTTCTCCAGCATGCACCCAGGATGGGCAGCAACTCCTGGTAGGATGTCATTCTATTCTTGGTGAATAATAGTTTTACTAGTGAAACAATTAACAGTGCCACTACATCTTTACACTGATTGTAATCTAGGATCTTGCTATTGAACTAGAAATCAGCTTTCACTAGTTGATGAAAACAATTTCTAAATTTTCAGGTGTTCAGTCTTCACTGCCTGACTTCTATAACAGAATGAAAGATCGTTTACGAAGTGAAGATGAAGCTGCAGACACCATCTTGTGGCTGGCTATAGCAGAAGCGGCGGGGAAACTCGAAAGTGGACTTTTCTATCAAGGTAGTGTTGGGAAGTAGTTTTGAGAAAATATATTTTTTATTACTTAAACTTTCAAACGTGAGTGGACTTTCTATCACAGTAGCCTTGGGAAATAGTGTTGAGAAATTTATTTTTGTACTTAAACTTTCAAGCATGTTAGTGGACTTTCTATCAAGGTAGCCTTGGGAAATAGTGTTGGAAATTTATTTTTTTTACTTAAACTTTCAACATGTGATTAGAAGGTTGTGTTGGGAAAAAAATATTTTTTACGAATCTTACTTAGCCTGTTAAATAAATTTCTAAAAAATTGTTTACTTAATGACTTAGTAGGCCTACCAGTAAAATTATATGCCTTTTTTAAAGTTTTATCAATGTATCAGTTTTATATAACCTGTTTTGGTTTGCAAATTAAAAAATATATATAAATGAGCAAATGTAAAGCTATTTAAAATTTTTCACTACTTCAGAATTTGATATAGAGTATAATTAATACCTCATCTTGTTTCTTTGCCATATACAGATCGCAAACCTGTTCCCACACACTTACCTTTAGCATGGACCAAATCTTCACCAGAGGAGGACAGAAAACTTGTGGAAAAATTAGATGAAATTGCTAGCAAGTTTTAGCTCTCTTGTTCAAATTTCTTTTCAAATGCTCAAGTCATTTACTTCTGTGATTTACTAAGCAGAAAACTGTACCACTTCAAGGGATGGCACATGAATGTCTAAAAATTTAAGTTTTCCAATAGTTTGTATTTGTTGGTCCAAGAATTTCTAGAACTCAGCAGCCCAGCTAGTAGTACGTTTGAATGATGGAACAGGCAGTTATTACATCGCATGAGCTATACTTGAAAGTGTAATTTGTGGCCACTGTTACATAATTGAATAGTTGCTTTCAGTTGAAAATGTTCTAAGAAACTGATCTTCCTTTGTACAGTACTAGCAACTTGACGTTCCAATGTAATAATCTGAAATGTCTATCATACAATTGTTTAAAATCTGTATAGTTTAGTATTAATGTGTTGGTTTTTATTGTAATTCCAGGTTTCAAGCCTTACTTTGCCATGAAATTATTTTGCTATATCAGTTTCCATTGTATTACTGGACTGGTCTCTACATCTGTAAACACTGTCAAATCTATACATAGCCTGTGACTACACACCTGTAAAACACATGGTCATATCTATCCTCACTTGCAAAACACATGATCATATCTATACATACCCTGTAACTCCACACCTGTAAAACACATGGTCAAATCTATCCTCACTTGCAAAACACATGATCATATCTATACATAGCCTGTGACTCCACACCTATAAAACACATGGTCATATCTATACATACCCTGTAACTCCACACCTATAAAACACATGGTCAAATCTATCCCTCACTTGCAAAACACATGATCAAATCTATACATACCCTGTAACTCCATACCTATAAAACACTGTCATATCTATACATACCCTGTAACTCCACACCTGTATAACAGATTAAGTTTAGCTGGGTATACCTGTGGAAACCCTGTGATTTTACAAATGGAAACACATTGTCATCTATAGAAACCCATGTAAACACATGGTCTAGCTCTTCAGTACAGTTAACTTAAAATTTCATTGGCATTATTTATTTTTCTGTTACCACTTTTATATTTTATTTCAAAACTTCATCCCTGCAATATGATTCACTATTTTTAAGCTGTTTACGCTGATGTGAAGTATAAACTAAGAAACAATTATACACAACAGTAGTTTATTGTTCATTTGTATAGTTTTATACATGTAATAAAGATCCATTTTTACTTGCTTTGACTATTCATTGTTTTGTCTTTATTTTAACCAATGGGGGGAAAAAATTATTCACAAACAAAAAAAATACTGTAGCTTCAATTGCCTACTTTTTATTTTAAATAAACTAAAATCTATTGCTTGATGGATTTTTGGTTTTAAAAAAAAAATGACATTTTGTCAACATTAATGATAATTTCACCACAAAGAAATGACAGCACGTCATAAAGTAACACTTTTAAAAATAAAATGTGATTGTTTGACAATAACAACTATAGAAACACTAAATGTTTTTAGTTTTAGTGGTATTTTGTTTAACAATGCTTTAAGGATTTACAAAAAAGATGTAATGCGATATAAAATTGAATAGATTGATTCTGTTCCAATCATTTCACAAAAATTATTGTTTCAATCATTTCACAAAAATAATTCTGTTCCAATCATTTCACAAACTATGTAACATTTGTACATTTTGAAACATGTCGAATAACATAAAAAAATTGCATGTGAAAACAGAACAAAAGCACATTCATAGATTAGGGAAGATTTGCATTTCACAACAATAGGTTTTAACAATATTTTTAGACAACAATGAGCACGAAATGTAAGTCAATTGTTCCAAACTATTACTCCATTTTGTTTCAAGTACTCTCTTTACCAAGCACATTCTGAAATCTTTTGTCAGAATTAGTACACACTTCACCCATTCACAAACCAATGGCAATTAATCATAACGCCTCTACATCACTTTTTCATGAAGCAGTCAATTTTCAACCATTCAAATGATAAATATTTTTCTTTTAAATAACTAAAAATAAATGTTACAACCTTGTAGCTATTCAAACTTGGAATGCTTACAGCATTTTTGAAATGCTGTTTGTGAGTTGAACTCTAATGAGTATTGATTGTATTAGATGTACCAAAACATTTGTTATATTTTTTAAAACTTTTATAACTGAAAAAAAATAATTCTAAAAATGATTTCAAATTATTCCAAATTATTATAATCCTATAAAATATCCTTTTTAAAAATACCAAACTTTAACAGCTGCAGATGAATAAGACAAGTACATTTTAAAAGATGTATTAAATAAAATCATAGCATGATACATATCAATATCTTTTTTCATTTTAAATGCTATAGTGTAATTAATTTGAAAGCACTTAAACTTTTTGAGTTCAACAATTTTAAGTATGGAAGAAAAACTTTTTAAAATTGTATCTAAAAATTATCATGTAGATATTTTTATATCAGTACATGGAAAAAATCTGCACTCTATGGTGCACATGGTAATCATTGTTTCTATTAAAAATGCAGCAATAATTTTAAGGTTTCAACATGGACAAAAAATATAAGCAATGTTGAGGATGAAAATAACACTAATAAGTGTAACTTTAGGTGTGAAATACATTTCTTAAACTTCAATATAAACAAATTATGATTTTTTAATTTTCATTCACATTGTCTACACATTTGTAGTGAGCTCTTGAAAATAAAAAATAAATCATACACAGGAATTAATTTAAAGCTTTTTTTTGCATGTCATGATACAAATATTATGCAATAGAGGAACATATTTACTAGACAAAGTATCAACACAGCATATGAACTGTTGAGGTGTAGTGATGCCTTTTTTTTTACATTTAAAATTTAAATTAGAATTAAATCACATTCTCATAGTTTTAACAAAGAGTGAGTTATGAAATTTTAACTTTTAGAAAGAAGAACTACAAATTTACTACATTGAACTAACACCAATTTCTATCATTGTGTTACCCAACTAGATCATATTAAAAGCTTTATTCAAATAATCAAAGCAATTTTATCAAAATAATAATAATCTCAAAGAGTAACTCCTTAATCCCTTAACTAAGGTGTATCTATATATACAGAAAATCCAGTCTATCTTGGAAATCAATTAACGTTACAAATCTCCTTAATATTCCAAGAACTAGTTCAACATAAACCATGAGATGAACAGTTACAGTTATCACATGAGATGAAGAGTTACACTAATGTTACACAGCAACAAAGGAATGAAATCCCTGGAAAGAGATGGTATTAAAACATTATTTAATCCAATGCAGAAACTATTACTTTGATTGCATTTCAGAGTGGCAGTTATTTTACAACTAAACAACTAGGCAATAAAAATATTTTCTGTGCTTTTAAATTTATTTAGCTAAAAACTTGTATGACAAGAGTAGAGATGTGCAGAAATTATTCACAAGAGTTTTAAAAAAAAAAGAATAATGATGAAATAAAAGCAATCTTAAAGTATTATTTTTTGTACTGTTTTAACACCTGAATAATGCTAATCACTGAGTAGCAAAGTTATTCCGTTTTTCTCTATCGAAGAGCAGCTTCCTCCCATGTCTCTAGTGTAAAACTAATTTCATGTCCCACAGCTGAAGAATGTTTTAAAAATGAACATTAGTGCATGTATTTTTACTGATTCCATGTGATTTTAAACAAAGTTAAATACAACATATGGAAATTTAATAGACCTAATTAATAATTAATACTACATTTTTATAATTCATGTAGCAAGAATTAACAAATAGTAGCTCTTCATGAAGAAAAGTTTATAATAATTAGAACCATAGGTAAAAACATTCAATGATGGTTTTATTTTTAAACTAAAAAACTTAAATGATTGGCTAAACCCAAATATACCTCAAATTAGTATCATCCTCAAATTAGTATCACTGATTCTGTTGCAGCAAACTATAACTAACCCTCAAACTAATCCTATCCATAATTATTAAGGATAAAGTATTCTCATCAACATTCAAAACTAGTTATACAAATAAGTAGGTACAACTATGTATGAGAACCCAAAGCTTTTAACTAAGTGAACTTAAAGGTAACGTCTGTGGAATTAACATAAAGTAAAAGCATTAGATGCACTCACATTTTAAAAATGTGTTTCTGCATAAGTTCGAATAGTTAAAACTGAAACAAAGAACAAACCTTCATAACTCTATCTTTCCCGGTGGTGAGTAGAATTTTACGAGCCTCATCCAACTGCATGTGGACAATACTGTGCTTCAAGTCATGAAACGTTGCATGGGGTGCTTTGCTGAAGAGGAGAAGATACATCTTAAGATTATAAAAATTACATTTAGTAGCTTTAATATCTTTGGGATATCTTTATTTACTGATGTTTTATGATATGTTAAGTTTCAGTTACTTAATAAAGATTTTAGAAACATTTCAAGTTATTCTTCAAAAAAAGTTAAGATGGAGAAAAAACTGCTTTATTCTTGGATGCAGGTAAAATTTTAAAATAAATTTTCAAGCTAGATTTAGATAAAATGTACACAGTGGCGTAGCCAGGATCGTCTCCAGGGGGGGGGGGGGGGTTCCAATTTTTACCCGGGGACAAACTTTCGATTTGCACCCCCCCCCCCCCTCAGACTTTTGATTTGCACCCCCCCTCAAACTTTCGATTTTGCACCCCCCCTCAAACTTTCGATTTGCACCCCCCTCATACTTTATATATATACCGAGGGGTCTATGGGGGGGGGGTGTTATGACCCCCCCCCTAACCCCCCCCCCCTGCCTACGCCACTGAATGTACATCTAAACCATTCCACCATCTAAAAATCAGTTTTATTTGACAAAATTTTAACATTAAAAAGTTGTCTTCTAAAATGGTAATGTACTTACTCTTCAGGAGTGATAGATTCAAAGCATTCATCACAGACGCGAACTTCATATTCGTAGCCCATCAAGGGTATAGTGGACATTTTGCTGCAGCAAGGGTGACACAGTGCCTTCCCACAGTTGCGACAGTGGTGCTGGTGATACAAGATTAGTGACTACATTGGTACTGGTGATACAAGATTAGTGACTACATTGATGATGGTGATACAAGATTAGCTACTACATTGGTGCTGGTGATACAAGATTAGCTACTACATTGATGACGGTGATACAAGATTAGCTACTACATTGGTGATGGTGATACAAGATTAGCTACTACATTGGTGCTGGTGATACAAGATTAGTGACTACATTGGTGCTGGTGATACAAGATTAGCTACTACATTGGTGCTGGTGATACAAGATTAGTGACTACATTGATGATGGTGATACAAGATTAGCTACTACATTGGTGCTGGTGATACAAGATTAGCTACTACATTGATGACGGTGATACAAGATTAGCTACTACATTGGTGCTGGTGATACAAGATTAGTGACTACATTGGTGCTGGTGATACAAGATTAGCTACTACATTGGTGCTGGTGATACAAGATTAGCTACTACATTGGTGCTGGTGATACAAGATTAGTGACTATATTGATGATGGTGATACAAGATTAGCTACTACATTGGTGCTGGTGATACAAGATTAGTGACTATATTGATGATGGTGATACAAGATTAGTGACTACATTGATGCTGGTGATCCAAGATTAGTGACGACATTGATGACGGTGATACAAGATTAGTGACTACATTGGTGCTGGTGATACAAGATTAGTGACTACATTGGTGCTGGTGATACAAGATTAGGGACTACATTGATGACGGTGATACAAGATTAGTGACTACATTGATGATGGTGATACAAGATTAGTGACGACATTGATGACGGTGATACAAGATTAGCTACTACATTGGTGCTGGTGTTACAAGATTAGTGACTACATTGATGATGGTGATACAAGATTAGTGACTACATTGATGTTGGTGATACAAGATTAGCTACATTGGTGCTGGTGATACAAGATTAGTGACTACATTGATGATGGTGATACAAGATTAGTGACTACATTGATGTTGGTGATACAAGATTAGCTACATTTGTGCTGGTGATACAAGATTAGTGACTACATTGGTGCTGGTGATACAAGATTAGCTACTACATTGGATCTGGTGATACAAGATTAGTGACTACATTGGATCTGGTGATACAAGATTAGTGACTACATTGGTGCTGGTGATACAAGATTAGCTACTACATTGGTGCTGGTGATACAAGATTAGTGACTACATTGATGTTGGTGATACAAGATTAGTGACTACATTGATGTTGGTGATACAAGATTAGCTACTACATTGGTGCTGGTGATACAAGATTAGTGATTACATTGATGTTGGTGATACAAGATTAGTGACTAAATTGGTGATGGTGATACAAGATTAGCTACTACATTGGTGCTGGTGATACAAGATTAGTGACGACATTGATGACGGTGATACAAGATTAGCTACTACATTGGTGCTGGTGATACAAGATTAGCTACTACATTGGTGCTGGTGATACAAGATTAGCTACTACATTGATGTTGGTGATACAAGATTAGTGACTACATTGATGTTGGTGATACAAGATTAGCTACTACATTGGTGCTGGTGATACAAGATTAGCTACTACATTGGTGCTGGTGATACAAGATTAGCTACTACATTGGTGCTGGTGATACAAGATTAGTGACTACATTGATGATGGTGATACAAGATTAGCTACTACATTGGTGCTGGTGATACAAGATTAGCTACTACATTGATGACGGTGATACAAGATTAGCTACTACATTGGTGCTGGTGATACAAGATTAGCTACTACATTGGTGCTGGTGATACAAGATTAGCTACTACATTGGTGCTGGTGATACAAGATTAGTGACTACATTGATGATGGTGATACAAGATTAGCTACTACATTGGTGCTGGTGATACAAGATTAGTGACTACATTGGTGCTGGTGATACAAGATTAGCTACTACATTGGTGCTGGTGATACTAGATTAGCTACTACATTGGTGCTGGTGATACAAGATTAGTGACTACATTGATGATGGTGATACAAGATTAGCTACTACATTGGTGCTGGTGATACAAGATTAGTGACTACATTGGTGCTGGTGATACAAGATTAGCTACTACATTGGTGCTGGTGATACAAGATTAGGGACTACATTGATGATGGTGATACAAGATTAGCTACTACATTGGTGCTGGTGATACAAGATTAGTGACTACATTGGTGCTGGTGATACAAGATTAGCTACTACATTGGTGCTGGTGATACAAGATTAGTGACTACATTGATGACGGTGATACAAGATTAGTGACTACATTGGTGCTGGTGATACAAGATTAGTTACTACATTGGTGCTGGTGATACAAGATTAGTGACTACATTGGTGCTGGTGATACAAGATTAGCTACTACATTGGTGCTGGTGATACAAGATTAGTGACTACATTGGTGCTGGTGATAAAAGATTAGTGACTACATTGATGTTGGTGATACAAGATTAGTGACTACATTGGTGCTGGTGATACAAGATTAGCTACTACATTGGTGCTGGTGATACAAGATTAGTGACTACATTGGTGCTGGTGATACAATATTAGCTACTACATTGGTGCTGGTGATACAAGATTAGTGACTACATTGATGACGGTGATACAAGATTAGTGACTACATTGGTGCTGGTGATACAAGATTAGTTACTACATTGGTGCTGGTGATACAAGATTAGTGACTACATTGGTGCTGGTGATACAAGATTAGCTACTACATTGGTGCTGGTGATACAAGATTAGTGACTACATTGGTGCTGGTGATAAAAGATTAGTGACTACATTGATGTTGGTGATACAAGATTAGTGACTACATTGGTGCTGGTGATACAAGATTAGCTACTACATTGGTGCTGGTGATACAAGATTAGCTACTACATTGATGATGGTGATACAAGATTAGCTACTACATTGGTGCTGGTGATACAAGATTAGCTACTACATTGGTGCTGGTGATACAAGATTAGCTACTACATTGGTGCTGGTGATACAAGATTAGTGACTACATTGGTGCTGGTGATACAAGATTAGTGACTACATTGATGATGGTGATACAAGATTAGTGACTACATTGGTGCTGGTGATACAAGATTAGTGACTACATTGGTGCTGGTGATACAAGATTAGCTACTACATTGGTGCTGGTGATACAAGATTAGCTACTACATTGGTGCTGGTGATACAAGATTAGTGACTACATTGGTGCTGGTGATACAAGATTAGTGACTACATTGGTGCTGGTGATACAAGATTAGCTACTACATTGGTGCTGGTGATACAAGATTAGCTACTACATTGGTGCTGGTGATACAAGATTAGTGACTACATTGGTGATGGTGATACAAGATTAGTGACTACATTGATGATGGTGATACAAGATTAGCTACTACATTGGTGCTGGTGATACAAGATTAGCTACTACATTGATGCTGGTGATACAAGATTAGTGACTACATTGATGATGGTGATACAAGATTAGTGACTATATTGGTGATGGTAATGTGTACAAGGATGATTAGCAACTAGATGGATCGATTTATCAAGTTTTTTGCATATTTTAAAATCTGGTATCGTTAAAATTAATTAATGAATTTTTAATTTAGAAAAAATATTTATTTGTAAGTATTTTAGTAAAATGTAACGATAAAACCTGAGGCCTTTATCTTTCAAAACATAGTGATAAAAAAATTCCTACACTCAATTCTTACCTGTCTTTGTCCAACTTTTTTATCTGACCACATTTTCTTAAAATTCCAGAAAAATGGAGAATCACATTTTTGACATACATCACTCTCTGCCCAATCTGGTGTCTGGTGAAATTAAAAAAAATTTAAATGAAACATTTTTAAATGATATAAAAAAATATCTTTAAAATAGCAGAATATGGGAACATCTCAACCTGTGTTTAAACAATTGAATAAAAAAAATATGCCACACCCAAGTGAGTTTATTTATATACCAATTCAGACTAACAATTTTAAGAGATGTTGTGGTTGAATGGTGGAGAGTACGACTGTTTATCCAAAGTCTAGAGTTCAGATCCTAGGCTTGAATCCATAAGACGTCTTTGAGTCCTCCCAGCTCTAATGGGTAACTGACTCACATTAGGTAAAGTAAAGGCGCTGGGCATAGTACTGACTACTTTCCCTGCATATGCTGAGGTCATTAAAACAGGTTAACTCTACTTCATCAGCCCCATACACTGCAAGTTTTGAAAGGGTGCACACCAGACATCAACATCAGGCGCGTGCAGTGTACATATCATTAGCTGAGTATTCTTCACCCTTAGATCCATGTTCTCAATGGCTGTGTACATATCATTCACTGAGTATTCTTCACCCTTAGATCCATGTTCTCAATGGCTGTGTACATATCATTCACTGAGTATTCTTCACCCTTAGATCCATGTTCTCAATGGCTGTGTACATATCATTCACTGAGTATTCTTCACCCTTAGATCCATGTTCTCAATGGCTGTGTACATATCATTCACTGAGTATTCTTCACCCTTAGATCCATGTTCTCAATGGCTGTGTACATATCATTCACTGAGTATTCTTCACCCTTAGATCCATGTTCTCAATGGCAGTGTACATATCATTCACTGAGTATTCTTCACCCTTAGATCCATGTTCTCAATGGCAGTGTACATATCATTAGCTGAGTATTCTTCACCCTTAGATCCATGTTCTCAATGGCAGTGTACATATCAATCACTGAGTATTCTTCACCCTTAGATCCATGTTCTCAATGACTGTGTACATATCATTCACTGAGTATTCTTCACCCTTAGATCCATGTTCTCAATGGCTGTGTACATATCATTCACTGAGTATTCTTCACCCTTAGATCCATGTTCTCAATGGCAGTGTACATATCAATCACTGAGTATTCTTCACCCTTAGATCCATGTTCTCAATGGCTGTGTACATATCATTCACTGAGTATTCTTCACCCTTAGATCCATGTTCTCAATGGCAGTGTACATATCAATCACTGAGTATTCTTCACCCTTAGATCCATGTTCTCAATGGCAGTGTACATATCAATCACTGAGTATTCTTCACCCTTAGATCCATGTTCTCAATGGCAGTGTACATATCAATCACTGAGTATTCTTCACCCTTAGATCCATGTTCTCAATGGCTGTGTACATATCAATCACTGAGTATTCTTCACCCTTAGATCCATGTTCTCAATGGCAGTGTACATATCAATCACTGAGTATTCTTCACCCTTAGATCCATGTTCTCAATGGCAGTGTACATATCAATCACTGAGTATTCTTCACCCTTAGATCCATGTTCTCAATGGCCAGAACACATAACTCACCTCTAGTCTCTTAACAACCATGTCCCATATTCCAAGGATGCCGTCATCTGAAGCAGACAACAATTGTCTGCACGTCTTGGCATGGACTAGTCCCTGGACTTTGTCTCTGTTGACCATTTCAATTTTTTAATGTAGACAACAAAATGTAGTAGAGCAGGCAACATGTTAACATGTTTTAAACACATGAAAGGAAAGAAGGCAAACTTTTTCAACAAGGCAACACTTAAAAGAAAAGAAGGCAACACACAGAATAAGGAAACACTTAAGGAAACATCAGGCAAACTGTTGAAGGGTATTAAATATACCCCAAAAATATTAAGGGAGTGGCCCAGCTGGCCAACTTCTCATTCAAGTAATAAGTTGGCCATTTTGTTTTCAGCACACTGATTTTATAAACTGGTCTTCAAAATCATTTAATTTTGTACAAAAGTAAATGTTTGGGTAGTCAGTAAACATAAGTTTACACTTATTTTCATATTATTATTACCTAATTTTCTGCTAAATATACTTATCTTAAGGCAAATTACATTTTAAACTGTACATATAGTGTGCTATGATGGTTTGAAATCAGACCAGTATTGCAGCAAAATTGTCCATTAATGTTTTGTCAAAATAGCAAAAAAGTTATGCAAAAATAAAAACATGGCTTGGGAGACGTTTCTAGACAATTTACTATGGCGACTGGAACAAAAAGTGTTGGTAAAGCCACACCCAAATTAAAGTTGACTAGCTAGTACAATTAGAACCTGGCCATTCAAACTTGACTTATACAATTATACTCTTAAATCTGGTCACTTAAATCTGACAACCTGGCAACTTGAACTTAGCTATCCCAACCTGGTCACATACACTGCAGCTGTTACATCCTGGCCACTGAACCAACAACTTACTTGTGTCCTTGCAGCTCAAAGGCTGTTCCCTTCCTGCTTCCAATGTCCCACACAATCACAGACTGGTCAAAACTGCCACTGAACAGCAACTGGTTCTCTGCATCCCAGGACAAACATCGGATGCTCCCTAGGGACAGAACAATTTACTCACGAGATTAGCTATTTCAAATGTGCCACACAATAGCAGTACTAAGAGGAAGAAATAAATTAAAAATAAACACACACTTTGAAAAGACATAAACAAAGTTTCTCAACACATGTATAACCATTCTAAAGAAACGGTACATCATAATGTTAAAACACTGAAACAATATGGACTAGTGCTGTTTGTTAAGCAAAAAAAAAAAAGCTTTATAATAAATAATCACATATGCTTGTGTTGTACTAGTGAGTAACCAATTCAGGCACAAGATAGAAATGAAAGTTACAAAATTGTTACTAAATCTTTTATAATGAGAATTATTGGAAAATAACAGATCAAACTAGGGTTGGGTCACTCCTTGTTTGCTAACTGCTGCTCCATTCATTGTTGTTTAGGAAACAGAAGAGAAAATTTACATTAGTTTTAATGTAGTTTCTGCATTTTTTTCTGTCAAAAGAACTAAGATTTCAGTGCCGCCTGAAAATTTTGTCTTACAAGAAAGTTACTATTGGGGCTGTTTACAAAAAAAGTTTCTATCTGAGCTATATACACAAAAAAGTTTCTGATCCTTCAACTCTCAACCAAACAACAACTTTTATGTAAACTGTAAGGGGACAAGCATTTTTTTTTACATAAAACCTTCAACAGAATAGATAGTTAATAAACTCAACTAAGACTAATACACTAAGTAATCTACTTGGATGACTAATACATTTTAATGACTAATGCACCATTTCAATGACTTTAAATGACTAATGCACCATTTCAATGACTTTAAATGACTAATACACCATTTAAATTAGTTTTGATGGCCAATAAAGCGTATCACTGATTAAACAAGGTCAACCTGTACCTGGTCCTACATGACAAACAGCCACTATTGATGACATCATACCACTATTAACATCTAGTGAAATCTGATTTCACTGACCTACTTTCTATGCATTTGATCAGCTTCATATGAATCTCACTAAAACAGTGCTTTTAAATTTTAATGAAAACAAAATGTCACTTTCAATGATTTAATAATTAAAGGAAGGAAGTACTACTGGATGTTCCTGAGTCCACCCAGCTTAAATTAGTACCTGACCCAAGTCAGACAAAGAAAAGTTGACTGTCACATTTTCTTTGTCTGTGCATATGTCATATGCACAGGCAACAGAAAAAGGAGAACTTAGTGGTATATACAAGGAGGTTAGAATCTGCCACAGACCCCCCCTCCCCAAACTGACAACTGTCTCATGTTAAGTTAAAGTTGTAGGCGTCTGTGCTCTCATGTCCCCCCCCCCCTCCATCTGCCATTACCACCAATAAATTCCTGCCTAGGTGACAGAACCCTATCTAATCTGACCTTTGACCTTTGACAGGCTGCTGTGATCAAGTTCCTATATTTATAAATATTTAGCTGTTTACAGCTTCTATACCCAACTACCATTCTGATCTAAATATTTTATTTTTGTAATACAAATATCAACATAAGAAGACTTTAAGTTTCAACTTTTTAAAATTCCTTAACCAAATTAAAGCCTCTCAAGTTTTGGTCATGTGACTGTTGCTAATCTCCCTATCATGATACACAATTGTTCTGATACATTGTTCACAGATAACAGAACCTTTTTTTTATAACACCAAATGGCCTTAAGGATTTTTTTTCTACCTAGCTTAAAAAATTTAAATAGCTGATCTTGTTTAAAAAGGTGTACTTTTAATACTTATAACTAAAGTTTTGATTTAATAGGGGAAAATACAATGCATTATATTCATACATAAAACAGTGCTAAAGCTAATTACTAATTAAATACTGATCATGCACTGAAAGTACATATGCCACTATAGTAGTAGTACAACTTATAAGTAAATTAAATAATACAAATGGCTCATAAGAATTTTAGTATTGAAAAAAAGTACAGCTAGCAGTACTTTAAAAGGATTGATAAAATTTATGTTTTATTAATCATCAAGAAATTCACTACAACTACATATTTCTGGGGTGATATACCCAATTTATATGACTGTCTCAAAGTACTCTCAGCTTTGATAGATTCATGACTCACAGATGCTGACCACACAATCCTTTCATATACTAAGTTAAAGAACTGTGTCTACTCAAAGCACCACCCAGTCAGAGGCATAGAGACTCTTTCAGGCCCCTGAGACTAATCATCAATTTTACCCCCCACTCACCAATATTATATATAATAAGCAAAAAAGTGCCAACCCCATCCAAGTTGAATGGTTGGTGACACTTTTTACCAGTCACTATCCTTTGTTTTTACTTTGGTGTCATACAAATGATGTAGAAAATGCCTAAATCAGTCTGTAAAACCAAGTAACAGTCTATTTTCTTAACTACGACTGTGTACAATTCAGTAATGCAGCTTAGAATGAGCTTTTTTTTTATTTTTTCACCCCGTTTGTACCCCCCTAAGGAACGGCGCCCGATAACAACAATATGTGAAGGGAAATATTTCATGACTAATTTTCTGGTACTTTTAAATTTGATGGTAGATTAGTTTGAACTTATTTGGAAATGTGAAGAAATAATACTTCATGACAAATTTTGTTTAATGTTGCGCTGGTCCAGTCCAATTAGATTGCGGTCATTATCATGTCTTACAAAAGTTTAAAAAACAACAACAGCTATTAGCTAGATATTCTATTCCATAGAGAAAACATTGAGCAAGTAGTTTTTGCTAACCAAACAAAGCAGGAAGATAACCAGAACATCTGTGGCTGCCAGAATCAATGGCAGCCAACATACCCACATGACCCTCCATTCATCAAAACTGACAACCAACATGCAACAGTAAACATTTACTGAATGAGTGGTGTGCTCTTATGGAAGGAAGTAAATTAAAATAGTATACAGGAAATTAATTTGTTAAAGCTGTAAAGATAATTAAAACAATAATTGACTTAAGTCTAAAGTTGTCTATACATACATTACATTCATTACATTCCTAATAACTATACATGTTCATAAATACAGGTGGATGAAATCTACAAACTTTTATAAATTAAAATAAAGGGCATTAATTTTTTTAAATACATATTTTGTGGGAACATAAATGTTTTCAGAGATATTAGTCGCAAGTGAAAAGGTATTAAGTCATAATATTTTGTCCAACATTCAAAGAAAGCACAAGATCTGAGTAAACAACAGCATTGTGTTTGGATGGATACAAGTAAATAATAAAATTAATTTTAAAATGGTAAGCTTATAGAAACAGCGTAACTGCCATTGGAATGCAAGGATATAAAGCTAGGGAAAGCTTGCTGTTGCAATGGAATATTCAGATAGCTATTCTTAGATTAAACACTTAACAAATGCCCTGGGCTCCTAATAGAAGTAAAAATTTAAATCATCAATGTTTAAAGAACTTGAATTTTTATAAACTTTATATAAAAAAAATGTAATATATACCTTAAAGCAACAAAAAGTGTTATTATTTATTTATTCAAAATAGTAATTTTTTTAATAGACTTTTTTGGTCAATAAATTCTGTAAAAAGGAACCCTTTTCAAACATTAATTAGAAAATCTCGGGTTCTTTAGCTAGTGATGGGCTTAAAAGCAGAGGTGACATTTTGTGAACAAATCTTTAATAATTGAATTCATGAAGCACATGCATCCCAAGGGGTTCTATTTTTAATGCAGAATTTACCATGGCCAAAGGCCATTCTCAATGCAGAGAGTCCAGGGGCCGGTATTTTGGCCAAATCTCTCCGAAAATTGAGGAAGCTCACTGCAAAGAAATGATTGAATTCTTGTTGATATAGAAAACATTGTTCTCAAGACAAAATTCTCAGTAGAAATCCTGAGGGAATATAGTTGACCATTATCATGGGTCCAGTCTAAGGAAGACAGTAATGATGATTTTAAGCAAACTTAAGGCCACTTTACAACTGCTTGTGTCTGGGTGGTGATGCTGAATTGCAACAAAAGCAGGACCAGTGTGAGTGATCATCTGAAGAAGACAGTGTGATGTTTCACAAGTAACATGGTTTAAATTTAAAGCTGAGGTACTGAGTACTTCAGGTACATGCTCCTAAGAATGCAGAGTTAGATCAAGAAAACAATACTGGGCTTGCTACAACCTCTACACAAGAGATTATGAAAGCGTTATAAATATGAATTATTTATGGAGGAGGAAAGCATAAATTTGAGGGGCATATCCTGGTAGACATATCTAGCCTAATGTTAATCAGACAATCTTAACCCACTGTAAACAGGGGAGGTGAATCAGGACAGATGAAATCTTATCTTAAAGGGGGGGTGGGTGGGTTAGGGTATAAATCCTACCCAAGGGTAAACAGGGGGGGAGAGAGAGGTGAATGTCAGACAAACTGAACACTATAGTAAATAAAATATGTAAAAAGGGAGATTGAGGTAGATATAAAAAAGTGTTATTTCAGAATCTCATGACAGGAAATATTTGCCTGTTATAAAATATATAAATAATATAAGCTTAACTAAATAAAAAATAAAAATTTTTGCAATAAACATTATCTAGGGAGATACACATTTCAAATTGTTGTACAAATAACCAAAGCTCTGCCGCTTTAAATATTTAACAATTTTCTTTGCTTTTCTCAATGTCAATTATTAATCATTGGTCTTTAACCTTTAATAATTTCCAATAGTATTTGCTCACTGAGGGCTCTATAAACTATTAATTCCATTTGTTTATGCTTTCAACAATAATTCATCAGAAGTAAAATATAACTTCATTTTAAGTTGAGTAAAACTATTTTTAGGTATTGTCAATCAAAACTTTAAACAGTATTTGTTTTGTGTTTGTTGTACGGACTTTTATTTTTAAATGATGAGACATGGCTTCGTTTTCTGGTCCTACAGTACCACAGATAAAATGTTCTTGAAAGTAGTTGTCCAGGCGAAATCAATTTTGTGTCTTTGAACACTTTTTATCCACCCCACTAGTTAACCCAAGGATTATTATTGCAGTCCTAAAGGAATGTATTCATTACAGTACATTTTTCATTTAAATCTAAACACACATATAGCAGAAAACAGTCCATACATAATAATAATAAAATAATCTTTAGAAAATATTTTAAGTTCCAGGAAGTCATATGTTGTGGTCATTTTGAATATGTCTAAACATAATTAAAAAAACCTTGAGAGAAAACCTTCGTACCCAGAAAGAATGTTTGTTAACTGGGTAGGAGATTAAATAAAGAGACAAAGAATAAACATTGAAAATGAAAGACACAATATATGTGCATGCAATTAGAAGAAGCAAATGGAAAAATATCAGTTTTATACAATATTTATAAAAATCTAAAAAAATACGAGCCCCATTTGACAATAGATATTTCCACAAATGGAAACAAACCATAGATCAATGATAAAAGCAACAAAATGTCACTAATAACATTTGCTCATTAATTTGCATTAGATAAAATCTTAGAATTTTCTACAGCTGGGTGACAAATGTAAAAAATGTGTATTCCACATGCAAATAAATTCTTACCGGTCGCTTAAAGTTTACAAGAAAAAAAAATAATTTTAATATGAAAATACAACATAAGTCTACAAGTTAGAATAGAATAAAAAATAACTACATTTGATTTCTACCATACTAGGAAACAATGGCTGCAATACTGACAGACAAAACCTGGAACTGTTAAAGTAAAATCCAGTAGTGCCTGACTCACCTGCATGTCCTTTTAGGGTAACTACGTGGTCAAAAGATGTGTCCTTCAGTTTCAGGACTGAAATCTGCCCAGAGTAATCACCAACAAAGGCATACTTTGACTGCTCATCAAATCTACACTTAAGTCAAGGTCACATTCATATTTGAATATTAAACTACTTTTAATGTTATATTTGAAATATCTTATAGCAGAATTATAAAAAAATATTTTATGAATCAGTTGCTATACTAATTAGGATCTCTACCATACAATCATATATTTTCCTCAGCAATATTTAATATTTTTTCCTTACAAGGCTATATTACTATGTACCTCAACCATGAATGAACAATCAAAACAACAACTTTAAAATTTCATGTTTTACCATAAAGTTTATGCTGAATGCTGCATATATTGTCCTAAATGTGCACCACAAAAGAAATATAAACTAACCCTGGTATGAAGTAACGACAAGGCAACTGTACTTTTCAATAAATAATTTTACAATATTATTTCCCTAAAATTAACCAAGTTAAAGAATTTTTTATTTTATTTCAGCTATTTATTCTAACTATACAGGCTGTAAGAATATCCACATGTATTACCATTGAAAAATATCCTTTCAAAGAATTCATGGGAGATAAAGTTTATCTTTATCTGAGTACAGAATATTCAGGGATAAATTGGTCAGCAACTTGTGAGCAACATGCCCAACTGTTTTTAATTTCCCTGACTCAGTTACCTCTTTGAGCTGGTTGAACTTAAAGATGTCCTCAAGACTCAAGCCAATGAAAGGAACTAAAGAATACTGAGTTATTTAACTGTGCTCTCTAACTCATAATCCCACATCCCTTACCATGCTAAGAAAAAGTATATGATATTCCAGAGATTTTTTTTAGAAAAAAAATCCACTCACTAAGACCTAAGTCAATTAAAATTTTGGTGAGAAATAAAATTTGAAAAAGGATACTCCAAACACAGACACATAGCGTTCGCTTGGTAGCCACATAACCGCCTGCCAGTCTCTGAACAATGCCACATGAAATATTTGTCTTTACCACAGCTAAGCACCCACTCGCAGGATAAGGAAAATCTCACAGCTGTAACACGGTTTTGATGAGCTGGAAAATAATTGTGATTTGTTTATTCAAGGGATATGTTAATTTAGTCAGTAAATGAGTAATAGCTTGAGATTTCTCTATAATTTTATTAAATACTCACCAATATAGTCTCTGTGGTGTATTAATCTATTATAATCCTCTGTTAACTCAAATTCCTTTTAGAATAAAAAAAAAAATTAAACATCAACTTTATTTTTTATTTGAAGGACCTAACTTTATTTAAAAACTGAAGGAATCGTAACAAAATTTAATTATAAATATATGTTTGCTGTAACATCTATAGGTATTAAAAAAATTAAACTTACAGTAATTGTTCCGTTGTCTTGACCTACAAAAAGTCGTCTTGTTTCTGAATTGTAATTGACAGATGAAGCTTCAGCTGCAATATGATGCAGTTATAATAAGTAAAATAAATTTACTATTGAAAAGTGTAGTAATATCAAGTATAGTAAAGTAGTACACTAATATCCTATTTCGGACTTTATAGTCCATAGGGGAGACGAAAGAGATTTCATCTGTTTCTTGACCAATGCATATGAAGTGTGGTGTGGTCAACACTATGTACTACAGCCTTTACTTAACATGAGTCAAGTTTAGGTGGACGAAGTGTAGTCCTATAGAGCTGAGTTTGAGATAAGAGCTCAAAACATTTGAGTTAGCAGCTGATTACTCAACATCCTGGCCCACTGTCCCCTAAAAAGTAGATGTGTGTAACCAACACAGTAAAAAAAAGTAAAGTAGAAAAGTAACTTACAAGGCATAGAATGACAAATACTTGGCCAGTATTGGCCAGAATCTCGCTTTAGCCATACTCTCAGAGTTCTGAAAAGCAAAAAATGCATATAGTTATTAAAACATAATACTATGTTTTGTTCTATCCATTGTATTTTAGGTAACGTAAATCAAACACATTTCTGTAAGTTTAAGTTAAAGCTTTATGTAGTGATGGTATAAATCAGCTTATTAATGTAAAAGCAGTCTTGATTCAGTAGTTAACTAAATAAAACACTAAATGACTAACCCTATCCCTAATCAAATCTCTAACCTAAGTCCTACCATAGCTATAACCCTTTCTGACCATAACACTTAAGTTAACCTGATATTACAATTCAATACTAATAACAAAATAACATACATATATTTGTAAGAGTCAATACGTTGTTATTGTCAGACATCAGCAAAATTAGCCTCTAATCAAATAAATTAATTTAATACATTAATTTGTATACGCCTAATAAATAATAGGCCCTATAGACCCAATGGCAATAGATAAAGTTTAAATTAAATAACAATAATTTTGACCTATCATAAATAGTATTAAACAGAGAGGTCTAAACCTGTGTAATTCTGAAGCAATTCCAATTCACATGTTTAAGATCAAGGCCTAAATTCTAAATTAAATAACTCCTACTTAAAATAACTAAAAGGGCGCCTAGGCATATGTTATTGATAGTATTAGTATTATAATTAGTCTAACTACTAATTAGGCCCTATTAATTAATAATAAGCTAAAATTAAATTAGATAGGCCTAGTAAATTACTATATAATTACTATTAATTACACCCCCTTTCACCGCCTTCCAGTCATCAGCTGATGAGTCGTAGTTCTTGGTTTTACGCTTCGAAAATATATATTTTTTATGTACACTTACTTGTCGTCGCTGACACTTATTACTCCATCTTCTTTGGGAATCAGTATGGCTTCATTAATTGTGTCTGGGCATCCTTCAATTTTGTTCCATAGAATCGGTTTCCTTACGTTTCCTTGTTTTCTTTCGTCTTGATTTATTTCTGCTGCCATCTTGACTTGTTATTGTCACGTGACAACAAACAACAAAGGGAAAAATAACGCTCGCAAACTGCGAAATTCTAAAAAACAAAGGGTTTTCCCCCTTACATGATGATAACTTAGTAGATCTGTTGTTCATCAAATGTATATCTATTTATTCAATATACCGAAGTGGCATTTTTTTATGCTGAAACGTATCGAAAGTATGTTATTTATATAATTTAAAGTTTAAAAAATTGCTTTGAGATTCGAACAATTTGACATAATACGAGCAATGTTACGAAACAACTTAAATATATTGCCAGCTTTTTTAGTAACAAGTTATAACTGAGTAGAGTACACTTTTTAAATATGAGCTGACACTTTTCGACATGGGCACACCCGAACTAGTCTAACTCTTACTTGTCACACGAAAAATAATTAGGCATACAAAGAGAACTTTACTTTTGAAATTGGAGCTGCCGTTCAGTTTTTGAAAAACGTCTGCCTAAATAATATTCACTGACTTCCAAACACAACGATGTAAATATACCTCAACTCGTAAACATAGCATGTGTATGCCTATTTATATGAGTAGAGTAAATAAAGTGTGAAAATGTTATTTTCAGTGTTTCTTCCAGACTTTTTCTTGATATTTTCGGGGGGGGGGAGGGGGGGCGGTCAACATTTTTCGGGGGGGGGGGGGGGGGTGGACACTAGTCAAAGTGTATGTTTACTATATAAATTCCATCTCGTTCGGTGTGGGGGGGGTAGACTTTCTTCGGGGGGACGACCCCCCCCCCCCCCCCGAAGATATGCCTGGAAGACACTCTGGTTATTTTATGCAGGCATTTGTTTTTCATCACCATTATTAAAAGTCTAAAGATCCACGCCTACTTCAGATGGAAACTTTCACTCAAGACAAATTGCGCAGGTAAAAAAGAAGGAGCTTTGCTTTTTAAACAAATGTCTAGTCTAAATTATACAAGACAGCGCGACAAAAAGTTAAACGTCTGTGAACCACTAGCCTAAACTCACTAAACACAGTTGACGAATAGAGAAAAAAAAGCATGTCTGGCTGTCGATGCAGAAAAACCTGGCATGTGTGTCAACATGTTTGCAGACGGCATCCGAGTTGTTGATTTGAGGTTTTTGTTTTGGAAAGTTTGTAAACACAACTTTTATCAGTAGAAAAAGCAAAATTCTGTCGCGTGCAGCTTCTAGTTCTAGGATAAAAATAGTTCCTATCTCCGCTGATATTTTTCCTCTAATGCTGATGCAGATGATTTATCAAACCGAGCGAACTCTTTTCAGTAGGGCCTAAGAAAAACTACTAAGAAAACGCGCTGTAAACAAGAGACTTTTTGTTATAAATAATTATTAGGTTTTTTAAAATCTGCCTGATGCTTCCCCCCCCCCCTCGCACACACATGTTAATGTTAAGAAATCAACACTCGACACGACCAATATTTCACTCTCTCTGTTGGTGTAAATAAATGTTCTAATTTATGATAGATTTTCTAGATAACCCCTAAGTATGTTTTTTTTTGTGAATAAAAATTGTAAAAAAAAAAACAACTTTGTTTTTCATTTTATAAAGGCCTTTTAAAGCTTAATAACTCAATTTCCGTGATGCGTCCGAGAGAAAATGGTAAACAAGTGCTCCTGCACTAAATTGTGCAGTGTTCGATGTGCACTCATTTCTTGCCAAACAGACTAAAGTAATCAAGAAAGAAAAAGTGTGGTCCATTTTTAACTTGCCGCTTGGTACTCTAGCCCCAACCGTACAACAGTACTGTTATTGTTAAGTAGACGTGCACCGGAGTCTTACCATACGAGACTATTTCAGGCATATCTCTGGGGGGGGGGGGGGGGGGGGGAGGGGAGGAGGAGAAGAAGTGCCCCTTAAACACTTCCACCCCCCTCACCCCCCAGCGAGAAAAGGCTATATAGAAAATATATACCTTATTCTTTAACAAGTGTCGATGGAAATTTTAAAATCTTCACAATCCTACCTACCAATACCCCACCCCCAAATAATAATATGCTAATATGCAGTTCTTTCTTTTTCAGTTACATGTCTCTATGATGATAGCCATCATCCTTACGAAAATTAACGGATTATCATCATATTTTGTAATACCATAAATAGCGTAAACTAGATACATTTCTTCAACCCTTTCTTCCCCACGTAGCACGTAAAGTCAATACACTGATTCCCCGCTCTCCCTATACTATACCACTAAAACCAGGTACACGACGCTATTGTTTGTAAGTTGAACGTTGCCAGAATAGCGCTCGCGTCCCTTTGAATTATTTGATCGATTTATTTTTCTACGTCTCGCGTGGTTTTTCCCCAATGGTAATTTCGATGACACACGAGAATTTTACTTTTGTCTTGAATTAAAAGAAAAAGAAATTATTTTTTAAATATGTGTCTGAAGGTACTTTGTTCTTCTGACGCATAGATCTAAATACATCTTGGCTAAATGAATGCAATTGATTAAAAAAAAGAGATTCCTCTTCGTGAATAAATAGTTTTCAAAATCTTTATAGGAATTAATCCTTCCTAGTAAAATTCACCAAAAATGATGGTATATTATTATGTGATTACACAGGATTAAGAGCTGGTCGTTCAACGATTTAGGACTAGCGCAAATATTATAGCAGTATTTAACATACAAGTTAGACGTTTTTCAATCCCACTCCTACACCTCTACCCGATATAGTTTAATAAAATGATATTATGTAAAATCTCAACAACTTCATATTAATTTGTCAAAATGGCGGGAGGGGGGGGGGGGGGGGCAGAGGTAGTAGAGTCAAGATATCAGACATCATATATATATATATATATATATATATATATATATATATATATATATATATATATATATATATATATATATATATCGTTATTATCTATATGTCTATATCTAGGTGTTCTTTGTAATTTATTTATTCTATTAGACTTTTATTTTATCCCAGACAGGAGAGTGAAAGAAAAAAAAGGGGGGGGGGGAGTCAGATGATCTCTTGACCGGTGCTAGCATTCTTTAACATAGTACCCAATGACTTTGTTTATTAACTCTTTCACAATTATGAACTTCGAAGTGTGTGTGTGTGTGTGTTTGTAATAAATTATAAAAAAAAACACATAAATCTAGTGAAATTAAGTCGCATTGGAATTATATATCGTCGTGCTGCTGTGGATTTTTTTTTAAAAGCTACCATCCCCAACCCACCCCCTTTGGGCTAACATGAAGTATTTGCCAGGTTTGCAGTTGAACAACGCGCAGCACGCGACGTCGACAAATTGCTTGCTTAACTGGCAACTATTGGTAGAAACAACGTCAACATTGCGGTCATTTATAGAGCGACGTCGTTCACGTGTAGTGGATGATTCCCCTTGTATTAGGGGCGACCACTGAGTAAGTAGCTTTGATGGTGTTTTTAAATTCATGTTTTTTAATTTTTATAAAGTTATTTTTATTTTAATAAAATTTTAACTCTTCGTGTTAATTAGTTGGTGTATAAGTTAATAAGATTAGGTCGTTATTATAAAAATGTTACATCAGAGTTACTTTAACTAAAAATAAAAATACAATAGTTTTACTTTCATTATCTTGACGGAATGCCTAGTTAGCTGAAGTGGTGTAACTAGAATTTTTCATTGGGGGTCAGACCTCATCAGGGGTGTTGATTTTTATAATAACAGGCTCAAAACAATGTGGGCATTTGTTTATTTATGATTGTTCAATACTTATAGTATGCCTTACGTATATGTTATACCTGAGGTGGAGTAGTTGAGTAGAAACAGTGATCACAACACATGCGACGCAGTTGTTGTCACTTGGTGTAAGCAAATGTTATGAAAGAAACCTCAAACTCAAAGAGAAATGTTGTGAAATCCTCTAAAGTGTGTCTTTACAAATGCTATTTGGAGAGGAATTGTAATGACTTAATGCATCATAAAGGCTCAAGGGGAAAAATTAGGCTTATTGGCTTAGTTTTTTCTCACACTTGTCGCATTATTATTTTGAAATGATCTTTTACTAAAACAATTTTGTTTAGAGTTATCTATAAATAAATTTACGAATCTTTAATCTAAATTTACCATCAACCCCGCCTTCGCAATATCGTAATACCTAGACCATCGCAAAATAACGTTACAAAATTACATGCTAGTGACTAAAATAAAACCATACTTTTTACAAAAATTAGTTTTCCTTATTTTTTTGTCATTTAAAATACATAATACAATACATCGTGTTTCTAGAAGCCTCTTTTCCTCTAGCAATACAGTCACACAAATCTGAGTGCATTTAAGATAGGTGAAGTCATTTACTCATAACATTCAAAGTAGCTGAAGTTTTTATTTTTTGCTTTTCTTTGCAATATAGTTTAGCTTTAAAATTTCAATGAAACACATTTTCTAAGATGATACCAAGAAACCATATTAATAAAAAAAAACATATATTAAAAAAAACATTTAAAAAGCAAACATCGAAAACAAATTATTAGAAATTAGGATAATCAACATTTGGAAATGAAACTGTGCTATCCTCTTAATTTTGACGAGGTGCGGGATATACAAAAGCTGGTAGTTGGCAGGCCTATCCATCACTTATAAGGTCTAATCCTTCTAATATAACTCATGCTCCCAATGTGTTACGGTACCAGTGGCGTAGGCAGGGGGGGGTTAGGGGGGGTCATAACCCCCCCCATAGACCCCTCGGTATATATAAAAAGTATGAGGGGGGGGTGCAAATCGAAAGTTTGAGGGGGGGTGCAAATCGAAAGTTTGAGGGGGGGGGGGGTACAAATCGAAAGTTTGAGGGGGGGGGGTGCAAATCGAAAGTTTGAGGGGGGGGGGGGTGCAAATCGAAAGTTTGTCCCCCGGCTAAAAATTGGAACCCCCCCCCCCCCCCCCCTTGAGACGATCCTGGCTACGCCACTGTACGGTACGTTCGTTTATTCTCGCCCGCATACAGCGTGAACTGTTTGGCTTTGTATTTTGCGTTCTTATTTGAACACATTTTTGGACAGTTCTGTCTTTACCGGGCCGTTTTTTTTTTTTACCGTATCGTGTTATTTTTTTTTACCTATTTTTTTTTTAAAATTTAACGTGTTTTTTTTTTTGTTTTTTTTTTTTTTTGCCATTACGCTCTTTTTTTTTGCCATTACGCTATTTCTTTTTTCTTTTATCTTATTTCTTATTCGACATTACTGTATTATTTTTGACATCACTGTGTTCTTTTTACCGTAGCATGTTATTTTTGACATTACAATATTACATTTCACAGTAAAATGTTATTTTTGACATTACAATGTTATTTTTTGACATTACAATATTATATTTTCACAGTAAAATGTTATTTTTTGACATTACAATATTACAATGTTATTTTCCTATGCTAAAGGTTGGCGACCCCTGCTCTCATGTATTATTTTAGCATATAACTTGTTCCATGTCTAGTGGTCAATGTTATAATTATTTTAATTATAATTTATTACTATAATCATATGATTCAGGTTGGGTGCTTAAAATTGTTATATTGCAACTGGGCATACCACCGTTTTCTGTTGCTATTGAAATACTATTGAAGCAAACTTAACCTTTTGCTTTCTTTTACAGGTTGGTTTAAAACCCAAAATAACTGTTCCAGATTTTTCAAAAACGACAAACAACTGATGTCCCATTAACAGCCAAAATGTCAACAATGAAAAGTATAAGATAACACACATCTGTATAAAACGTTCAAGAAAAAAAAAGGAGCTTTGAATGTTTTCAAATAACGTGAAATCCCCCGTAAACTATTGTAAAGGGACGTAGAACCTAGTATTTTAAGGAGCTGTTAAAATACCCAACAATGTTTTCTTGGAAGAAGGACAGCGCCCACATCTCAGATGAAGAACCAAACTTCCATGTGCGTTATCTGGGTCACACAGAAACGTATGTCCCTAGCGGAAAAGGTTGTACATTGCAGCCACTAAAGAGACTATGGGACAGTGCACCCACTGAAAGATCCCTCCGCCGCGTCGTAATCAAGCTTGGATTAAACGGTCTCTTCCTACAAGACCTGGAAAAGAAAGAGTCGAAAAATATCACTCGCAATTTCGACATGGAGAATATCTCGTTTTGTGCTGCTGATAGAAGCGTCAACGACCGTTTGTTTTGCTGGATATACAAAAACCCGGAAACGGAAAAACTCGAAGCGCATGCCGTTTTGTGTAACACCAGCGACAAGCCTAAGATCATGGTGGTCGTCTTGTCACGCGCGTTTTATCTCGCGTACAAAGACTGGCGGGCCGAGAAAAAACGAGAGGAAAGAAGAAAAATATACACATTGAGGAATTTTTCTGGGGAGGAAAGTCCACACACATCAGGTTCTCATTTGCCATCTCCGAACCATCACAAATCTCAAACTACGCAAAATAAAACTGCGCGTCACTAAGAACAATGTGCTACTTCTTTGCACTGAGATTTTTAGCTTAAGCTATCAAATTTTACTGCAGTGAACTAAAATTATATTTGGGTTGAATGACGGTCAAAGCTGATTTTTCTGACGGTGTTAAAAAAAATAACCATCTAATAAAATATATATGGAGAATAAAGCAAAAGCCATTTTCATTCAGCTCTGGGCCTTAGCGCATGAATACTCGAATTTTTATATGCCTAAAAAAATAAAAAATAAATCAAATGGCTTTTTTGTTTCTAGTAATAGTTAGCTCTTAGGATACCTCTGTACGAGTAATAGGCGGCGGCAAGAAAGGGATTGGACTATTGGACTCTGTCTCTAGAGTCGAGATTATTCAAACAAGTCTTCAGAATGTGTCAAAAACAATGGAATTAAACGTCGGCCTTCACCTTGGATATAAAATGAACTATAGATAAAAACCTATTTTTTGTTTTGATAATAGGCCTACGTATTTATGCATGTATTTTGAATGACCTCTTTAAAAACGCCATTATAATGTCTTAACAAACCGCCTGCAAAAAATAAAAACTGTTATAGTATCTTGATTGTCTGTTTCATCCATCCCACCCGTTATTTCACCTGGTGGCAGAGGTTCTATCAATAATTCTCATGCAGATAGGTGTAACAAAAGTAAACACACGCATGTTGTACATTGTAATAATTCATCGCCATATCGTTGTGAATGTTCAAGCATTTGGAAAGATCAAAGTAAAGAGTTTTTATGTAGGCCTACAAACGTGTACGACAGACAATGGCATTTTGCTGTTTGTAACAGCTGAACTACTCAAGACATGATCAAAGTCATCAATCAATGTTGACACACGTGATCGCTTTGTCATGTCCAGGCTGTAGTTTTTAACCTTCGAGTGACACGGCCAGTAGCTCTGACAAGGCACACGCAGTAGTTCTCACACGAAACGTGTGTAGTTCACATATAAAACTTGTGATGTCTATACAGTAGTTCTCACAATTTGGGGGTGACAACCAGTGTTTCTTCCAGACTTTTTTTTCCTTGAAATTTAGGGGGGGGGGAGCTGACACTGTTAAAAAGTATATATTTTCTACATAAATTTCATTTCGTTGGGGGGGGGGGGGGGGGTAGTAGACTTTTTTCGGAAGAAATGCCTGGAAGAAACTCTGGTGACTACACCACGAAAATCATACAATTTACTTCAACACAATGTTATCCAGTTTAAATAAAAATAACAGAAGGGGAAGGGTGACACCCTACCTACTAATGCCAGTGACCTGGTGTAACATACCAACACATACTGTCTCTATAATAATGCACCTCATGTAGGATTTTGAAGAAACAAACTTAAAATTTCAAACACACAGAGCAAACAAAATAAAAACTTTCCACTAGTGATTAAAAGTAATAAATAAATATTTAATCCAATTACATCAAATATTTAAATCATTCAAGTCTTAAAGTAACATTAACAGACAGGCATGGCACATCATGGAATCAACTGCTCACCATTGCATAATTCTGGTTTCACCTACTCATCATGACATATGACATCACTTGCTGACAGGATTCTGGTCACACCAAAGACTAGCATGTCATATGACATCACTTGCTGACAGGATTCTGGTCACACATACACACCCAAGACTAGCATGACATATGACATTACTTGCTGACAGGATTCTGGTCACACATACACACCAAAGACTAGCATAAAATCATATGCTAACAACAGCATCTATGAAACCTTTATACCATAACTGTTACAACATCCTTTGCTAACAAACAAGTTGAGTATTCACATCACAAGACATGTAACCATTGTAACTGGCAAGCATCTTTGAATATGCAGATGCAAACACTGAAACATCAAAATAAAAGAAAATCTATCTTAGTGTTGAGTGACAAAACAAGCATTATTTTCTGCACTTAAACTAACCTCAATTACACAAATTAATTTATTATTGCCTTTGATAAAACATTCCAAGTCTAGACACATACAATTATCTAAATTTTAAACAGTTCCTTACAAGTGTCACAACTAGACTACCATCATGAACACACTCAATTCAAGTAATGCCCAACTCAATACACGCATACAGTTATACAAGTACAATAACAATCATTTTTCTATAGTTACTGACTTGTAAAACACAAATAACAACAGTATTACTACAAAGTTAACAACAATACTTGAATTTAATTTTCAAGTTAATTTAACAGAGGTGAATTGACTATTTGAATGAAACTCTAGTCAATTAACTATGTATCCTCATGAGCACTTGTCATCAATTAATTCAATTAGCTGTTTACAGGATCAGATGAGATGTTAAATAGCTGATGGGAGTATGACTAATGGTAAAAAAAAAAAAAAACATGATTACACACACCTACAACATGTCTCAGTCACACTAAAAGTTTTAAGTCTTGATTTTCAAAATAAATCAAAGGCACTTAAAAAGATGTATGCGCATTTCACCTAGTCATATTAAATTATTTGTTCAGCGCATCTAAACTCAAGCAACCCTACAGATCTTATAAAGAACATACAATGTTCAAAAGAAACATACTTAAACTCTCAACGACTAACATACTAACAAAATAAGTGCATAAACAGACAAAAAAATAATTTTTAAAATCAATCAAGGGCAGTAACAGTGTTTCCTCATACTATATGGAATATCAAAAATGTTTAAACACTATCAATGTCCATTGCAGCTAATAAGATCACAAATCAATGGTAAATCTATGCAGTTCGTCTCTGGAATAATGCTTTGCCTCTGTGGTGAAAAATGTTGAAACCCTGTCTGTTTGCAAGCATCTCCCATGTTCTGAAAAAGATAACAAAATTGTGTTATGATCAGTGGAAACATGGGTGCCTAATCTGTTGATTTTTATTAAGTTTTTGTCCTATCAAACCTCTCACACTATTTTTACATATCTGCAATTTGTTTCACATGGGTAGTAAGGTTATAGTTAAGAAGAAAAGAAATGTAATAAAAAATTACCACAGATGTGTCATTTAAAATATCTACTTAAATTGCAGGAAACACCAATCAAACAAAGCACTAATGTATTTTTAAGAAATTATAAATGCCTGATAAACTTAAACAGCCTTGAACATAGGTAACTTTTAACAAAGAAAATAATTCACACTTCCTTACTTTGCTAACAAGTTTATGGTGATTATGATTAAACTAAACATTGGGTTTAACTTTAATGTTTTTGCTGTTAGTGTCGTCATTTTAATTCAAATTAGCTTACTTATTATCTTGCTCTGCACTGGCTTTGATTTCTTTAAAATTCCCAGCAACATTCACAACTCCATAGCAAGTAATCAGTAGTCCAAGGGCACATTGAAGAAATATCTGGAAAAAGAGCAAAATCCAGCATTAGTGTGTTTGCAATGTCATGTGATCACTGACAGCAAAATTTCAATCAATTACATAAACAATTGATAAGTTAATTAACCAGTACGAGTGGTGAACTGATATAAATATGTGTTGATAAATAATAAAGAAATAAAAACTTACATCAGGTGGCAGCATTGTAAATTCCTGTTCTGTGAGTCTAAGGTAAGTGCGATCTGAAACAGACAATTTAATCAAAAGTATAATAGAATATTTCTTTTTATGTTAAAAAAGGTAATGTCTAGTAATTAGTGTAAATTTCACTACCAACTACATCTTACACTACACTCACCAGGCTAACAGGTGGTGTTAATTTACCACAGTGAAAACATAATAATATATTGTAATTGTGATTTTGAATTATTTCCATGTTTAACCTCAGTCATGAATTTTTATCCTTTGTTTAATAATTATGTTTAGGGAAAATAGTTTTGTATGCTATTCAACTGTTACCATTGAAAATTAATAGAGAAAAGGCCTGAATTTCAGGTGAAATAGCACATCAGTTTCAATCAATTATTCATATTTCCATTGCAATTTTCATACATTTTTTTCTCTTAGCATTGCCAGCAAAAATATAGGGTTTGTTACGAGAAATTATAATTAGGCCTTACAATCTAAGCTTTTCATGAATGATGTAAAAAAAAAAAGTTGAGAATTTGAAATGACTGCAAAACTGAAATCTGCAATTATCATCAGTGACATCAGAAATCAGATGGCTTCGAACCCATGACATGACCACACAAAGGAATTTTTTTCAAAATCTTTTCTCTGAACTCTAAATTGAAAACATATGGGCCTATGCCTTACGCCCCAGTGGACTGGTAAGAAGATAAAGAAGAGGCTTTAATAAATATAATTAATAATATTCAAAAGTGAAATGAGCATCAAACTCAAACCAGGCATTAAAAAATGTCTTAGCCATAATCCGCAGCTATTTTCTCATATTTTATCAATACGTGTTTAGCAGTTTGAGAGCTTGATTTAGTAATAGACATAGATCTACTAGAATACTAGATTCTAGATCTAGATAGATCTTCGGGTGTGGGGAAATTGCGAGACGCGAAAAGCGAAATGGCGAGGCAGGAAAATGCGAGAAGGTAATGCGAGACATACCTGCGGAATTAAGGGTAAATAGCGAGACACTTTTTGCGAAAAAAGTTTTTTCCTTTTTTTTTCCATCTTTATTTATTTCAATTATTTTTAAAAATATTTTTAAAATAAACAAGCATTTAACCATACCCTTTAACACGAGTGTTGTATGTTGTTATTTTTTATATAGATACTAAGAAGATAGATAGATCTATATCTAGATCTATCTATTTAAAAATCCTAACATCGTTGCTGTGCTACTGTCATCGCCCGCTCTTGTTAGCGAGAGGAAAATCCCGTCTCAGTCGGCATTAATTTAAAAATCTAGCCCGCTCATGTTTATACAAACGTGAGCTGTGTCTGTGTCATTGTGAATTGGTATAATCTTGTCAGCAGGAGAGATATTTTGCAACATCTATTTATGGATTTTTGTACTTGCAAAAAGTGTAAAAGTATAAACAATTCTAAAAAGTGCAATTTATTTTTTTATTAAGTAATTTTAATTACAAACAAAATTTACAAACAAAATCTTCTGAAACAGTCCTCAAACACACCATCTTTCACACATAGTACACCCAACCCAGTTCATTAGACTCCCATTTATACATTTTTCTTTTTCTTTTTTCTTTTGCTACTTCTTCCAATCCACATTCACAACATTTCACATTCTCATCACAGTTGACCGCCTCGTTCATCCCACAAACAACACTGGCACCCATGTTCTCATCATCATTATCCGCATGCTCAACATCTGTTTTCCGTTTTTTATAATTTGTATTTTTTATCATTTCTGTAATTTTGGCAATGTCTTGCTCATTGTTGTCACCAGCAGTTGAGTTTTTTTAAAACATCGATATTTTCCCAAAATCTTGTCTAATTTCGGTCAAAATAGAGTATTTTACAATGTATTAAAACAGTTTTCTAAAACGCGAAAAAACTTCTAAAATTCTTTTTCTAACATTGCTTTTTTATAGTGTGACTTCACATCTAACCCCCCCCCCTCCTCCCCCTCATCACACATCGTCATAAAATTACAGACCCCCACCCCTACGAGTGTGATGTCATTTATGGAAGACCCCAAATAACACCACCACCAAAACCAAAAAATTCAGATAAGTTCAACTTGGTTTTAAAAATATTTGAAGTAGGCCCATAGCTTACGCTATAGCACGAGCAACTGATAATATCGGTGACGTCATTTTATTTTGTTGTATCCAAATGATGTAGGCATTTCCTTGTGCTTAGATTTATATGGTAAAAAAAGCTAGAAAAAAAATCGTAGGCGGCGGCTATAATACAAAATTTCTATGCAACAATAGAAAATATGTTTGCGGCGGCAGCGGATCCGGGCACGGCGATCTTCAAAGACGGTAAATCAGGCGGCCTCGGCGTTCCACACAAAAGACAGAAGTTGATCTATCGTCGGCGGTATTTCCGTCGGTTTCGAACAAGGTGGTATTCTAAGTCGACACAAAAGATGGGGGGAGTTGACAAATCATCAGTATGTCTAGCAACGGAAAAATCGGAAGTTTTAACAATTTAAACGAAACGTCTTTGAAGTCTGGACCAAATACCACTGAAAATCGGGTGCGGTAAATTTTTCGCAGAAATCTTCGCATTTCAACACCACCCAGCGTAATTATTGGCTTGTGGTAAAATGCGAGACAAAAAGTCACGTGATCGACCGTTTTCGCGCCCTTCTCGCATTTTCCCGCCTCGCCATTTCGCTTTTCGCGTCTCGCAATTTCCCCACACCCTAGATCTTCTAGATCTAGGTCTAGATCTAGATCTAATTTTTATATTTTGACCAACAAGCGGCAGACAACTCGTCGATTTGGATCATCTAGAAAATCTAGATTCTCGGACAAATCAACAACGTCATGAAAATAAACTTACAAAAAATCAGAAAAAAATGTAGGCCTATCCAGAGTTAATAATTGTAATACGAACTTACGTTGAGCAGCGGAATAAGCTGCATGAGCTAGCGCAACTAGTCCCAGGACGACACACATTTTATGCACAGCCATTTTGTTTTGTAAACGACGACTCCAAATACCCAACTAATGCCGAACTTAGTACAACTTTTCCGGCGCCAACGGCTCGATTATAGTTAATGATTTTAATTATTATGTCTAGCCTAATACCTAATTTTGATGACGAAGCAAATAAAAAGCATTTCGCTTTCTTCTAGATCTATATATTAAGTAGATATATATTTTTTGTATTTCGGCCTGTGATGTGCCTTGATGAAATTGAATGTTGTTGATTTAACACATTATTTAACATTAAGAGGGCGCATAACGGGTTTAGCAGGGGGGGGGGGGTATGTGATATACTTAATATGTATTGACTTTGATTTTCTTCATTCTTATTTTCGCCCTTTTTAAAAGAATTGTTGGATAAATAAATTGAAACAAATAGATCAACTATATTTTCTCTTAATTCAGTATGCGTGAAAGCGGTCATATTTTGTGTTTTGTAATTTATAAACTATCCCTTATTTTCAATTATCATTTATCTGTATGGGGTCATCCATAAATTACGTCACGCTTTTTGGACCATTTTTACCACCCCCTCCCCTCCGTCACACATCGTCACAAAAAGCCAGACCCCCTAAAATGACGTCACACTTCAGCCTACAACCCCCCCCCCCTCAAAATTGCAGTTGAATTTTTTAAAAACTACTATTTTGATAAATTCCTATTACAATTTTTTAAAACAGTTTTCTAAAATGCGAAATAACATCTAAAATTCGTTTTCTAGCATTGCTTTTTTATTATGCAAAAGTGTGACGTCGCGCCATCTGGACCCCCCTCCCCCTCATCACACACCGTCACAAAATTACGGACCCCCCTCCTCCCTCCGAGTGTGACGACATTTATGGACGACCCCTATCAGTGTTAAATTGTTAAATATTGCCTAAGTGTCATCCGCCTCTGACATTAAAAATTATTAATAGTTCATAAAAAAAATTGCGGCTAGATGTAGCCATATTAATCAACACTGGTTTTAAAAATAGTATACCAATTTAACTATACTTATGAAATATTTTTTTTGTCAGACAACGCATTTTTCATTATAAATTATATATTAAGATAATATCTATAGGAACATTTTTGCGATAAACCTGGTGCATACTTGTAACGTCATTTCCAATTAAAGTGGGGAAGGAGTGGAGCTCTGAATATTTCTTTTTATTTCCAATATCCAATTTACTCTGAAAATTAGATCATTATAGGCCTATATATATATATATATATATATATATATATATATATTATATATATATATATATATGTGTGTGTGTGTGTGTGTGCGTTTGTGTTTATATAATATATATCATTTATTAATTACAAGGTTCCCCATGGTCATCAAAAAAACCTAACAGAATACCGTGAATTTCAAGTTAGGTTACTGCGGTATTTTGGTTTGACACTGATCTTAGATCACCCACAGGAAATTTGTGACGCATAAAATACCAAAACAAATCTACCAGCTGATGATAGTCTATTTTTAGTTACAGAGAAAGGACAACATTTCTTGTGGGTCTACAATACAAAACATTTATTCTTACAGCACAGCATCAACTCTGTATATTTTATTTTCCATATGTAGTTAGGTAAAGAAATAAAGAACTTTTGTACATTAACTCAAATGAAGAACAATGTTTTTTGTTTTATTGAATTTTTTTTTAAAGTCAGAAGGCTTGAGAAGAGAAGGCTTCTGACTCAGAAGCGAAGGACTCACTGCAGAGCAGACTACTGCAGAGTTCTGATCTGTGACCAGATCTGATCAGAAATCTTGAGTGCTGACGCGAAGAATAAGAAATCTGAAATAGAATCTAGATCTAGAAGCACGATTCTTTATGCCTACAGTACTATCCTATTATTACTTTATTTTTATTAGTTAGTACTAAAAGTTTGAAAAGTACTAGATCTAGATCTAGATCTAGAATCTAGCTAGAGATTAGTATTTCTAGTACCCTATCGGATGATATTTCGAGTCGTCCCTTTGAATCCCGGTCAGAACGTCCCCCGGTCGTGGCCTCAACCAACCGGCGGGCTTGTTGCATTGAGTTAAATATAAACTCAAAACAATAATTTAAACATCTCATTTAAATAGGTCAGGCCACATAACACGCATGCATAGTGTTGAGTCTTGTGTCTTAACAAAGATAAACGATCTCCTTTCATTATTATTAGCGATTAATTAACTAATTGACTAATTAATTAATTAAGAAATGAGATTACCAATATGTTGTATCCATATAATAATTTTTCTTTCTTTAAGCTTGATGGCTCCATAGGGCTAGATGCCGACCACCCCTGTCCCTTACGTCAATCCTACGGCAGTGACCTTCTATCTGGATGAATGTCCAAAACAGAGTTTTGGGATATTTAATCCCTTTCCTCAAGACATCCTATTTAAAGGTAGAAGTAAGACAATGTTGAATACTATGTTGCAACCTTTATTTAAATAAAAAATATTTGTTTTATCAACTTGCTAGCCACCACTAATAAATACTGATTAAAAAACCTCATTCTGCTCAAACAATACAACAGCGTACTACACTGCAATACAGTAGTTCATTACCCGGTGTACAGCATTAAAAAATTGTTTATTACCTGGCCTTTTGCAAAACAAAAAAAATCTTCACATTATCTTTATAGATATTAAAAATTAGCTTGCTATAGAGTGATCTGGAAGTAATTAAATTTGAATAATATAGGCCTAGGCAGAATTATTTGATTTTACTGTTTGATAATTTAAATTATTTCTCTTGTATGATTTGCAGTTGACAATGCACATCCTGAAAAATACAAAATATCCCCTATGCAAGGGGTGGTCAGCAGCAAGCATAAATTCTACATGTGAGTTGATAAAAATGTGTTTTCTTTGAGTTTCATTTATAGCAGTATTGTTTTTTGTTTGTTTGATTATTTTATAATAAAAAATTAAAGTTATGTCTAATAGAGATATTTTCATTAAGTACTTTTTTTTCAAGTGACCTTGAGTGTATGACAAAAAATGTTATTTCAACAAGCGAAGTGCTGGTTAAGTTTTTTAAATGGTCACGTCCAAGACATGGACAAAAGTCACGAGCCCAACAATACTTAGGTAAGTGCTCCCTGTAACATTTCAATAAGTAATACACAACATTGCATATTAGCCTTTTGTTTTCATAATTTGTGTATAACTGTCATAAATATGTATTGTTCATTTAAAACTCTGTAGTGAAATAATTTAAAAACAAAATGTAATAACCTAAATACTTTCACTAATTAAGGGTTTATTATTTTATCCACTTTCTGCAGTTTAATTCAACTCTATAATTTATATAAACAAAATCTATATTAAGATTTGTGCTGTTTGAAACTTATATAAAATAGAATGTGGTATTTTTATGTAGTAACAAACTTATAATACAACCTACCATCAACCATACCATCTTTAAATTGTCGACTGTTTGAAATTCTGAAATAGGATACCGTACAGTGAGGGTCAATGTGTATCAGACTAGAACAGAGGAAGAGAGGGCCCCATCAGAAATAGGGTCAGTCACTTTCTCTGATATGTCTGAGGCACAGTTGAAGCAGGAACAATTAGGCAGCATCTATTCTAGCTACTCATCTGTTGACAGTAGTGCTGGCGCCCTGGAGGCTGATAGAAGTGGTGCAGGTAATAAAGAAGCAAGTATTTGGGCGGTTCATTTTGGTCAATAAAGTATAAGGTGTTGAGTAGATTTTTCATCAGTTTTAAAAATAAATCATGTTTAGTAAATATTAAAAGTTTCAAAAGTAATTGCTTCCTTCCTTGAAAACATTTATTTAGATTTATGCACTGTATTAAAATGTGCTTAGCACCAGAACAGGAGAATTTAGATATTGATTCATTTTTTCAAGAAAAAACAAATTTCTTTATTATTTTTTTCCACATCATGCATTAAAGGTCAAACCATTACTTGTTGATTATTTGTCATGTTAGGTCTGGAGTTCTAAATTTAATGCCCACTTGAGGCTATTTTCATTACATATTATCAAAGGTGTCATGTCATGTCATGTTTGACTGTCGTCCCTACTGGGACATAGGCCGCTGACAAGAGCTTTCCAGACGTCTCTGTCCAGGGCTAGTCTCTCCAACTGTCCCCAGGTGTATCCAATCTTCTTGGTGTCTTCTTCCACTCCAGGTCACGTCTCCAGGTCTTTCTTGGTCTGCCTCTCTTCCTCCTGCCTTGTGGATTCCAGGTGAGGGCCTGTCTTGTTATGCTGGATACAGGCTTCCTGAGTGTGTGGCCAATCCATTTCCATTTTCTCTGGAGGATCTCTACCTCCACTGGCAGTTGATTTGTCCGTTGCCATAGAACATCATTTCTGATGGTTTTAGGCCAGCGAATTCGCAGGATCTTTCTGAGACATGCGTTTATAAATGATTGTATTTTCTTCTTATTTATAGCAGTTATTCTCCATGTCTCTCAAACCATTACTTGTTGATTATTTGTCATGTTAGGTCTGGAGTTCTAAATTTAATGCCCACTTGAGGCTATTTTCATTACATATTATCAAAGGTGCATTAAAAAAAATAATTATAATTTGACCTCCTCAAGTAATATAATTTTAAATTAAGTCACTCTTCAGCTTTTAGAAAAAAAATGCCACTCTGCACAATGTCCCATCTCTATTTTCATACAGAATAAATGTATCAAGCATGAAAAAGAAATTTTAACCTTCTAACCTGTTGTTTTTTGTTTCAGTTATCACCAATGTAATTCTGTCAGTTTTTCTGCTGGTGTTTGGCTTTATCTTAAGTAATACAAGTGAGGATTGGTTCTCTGCCAACTTGTTTGAGAGCATCAAACCTCAGACATTAGCCATAGTTTTTTACAGTAAGCATTTTCTTTATATATTGCGTAATTCAAATCTGCTATTCTTAGTTATTAGGTACCAGGCACCATACTGTTTTTTTTTAAACTGTGAAAACTTTTATGAAGTTGTAGTTGCCTTAAACATTGGCCATATATTTGTACTATATGTATCTCTTTATAAAGTGCTAGTTAAGTCACATTTGCTAAAGCTGGTCAGTCTCGAGTGTATCAAACATTTTACACTAACACTTGCAGCTAACAAATTCAAGATCTATTTAGCAACAAACAAATTGACATCTGTTATGTAGTGGTTCAGAACAGTAAAGCTCATGGTTGCTAAACTGAAAAGTCCAGATTTTGAATTCCCCAGGCAGATGAGGCTTGATAGCTAGGGACAGCAACCCATCTAGGAGAGAAAACTCCAAAATCAAACAACTGTTGCCTTGTAGATAGCAGGCTGAAATAGGAGGAAATCACGCCCAACATTACAATTTAGAATGAAGAAGAATACTGTACAATAATTTATAGTGTTATAATTTTACATGTTATAGTCTTTTCAAAAGTAATGTTCTACAAGCTGGTCATTTACTTGTATGATTGTGTTATGTGTTTCCTCAGCTCTGGCTGGTGTGCTTGTTATAAAGCTGCTGACTTTCAGATGATGAAGGAGATTTTAATGTACAGATCCAATCAATACTTCACCACCTCATTTGACATCATGATGGTTTAAACAGAATTCTGTATTGCAACATTTCTTTACACCCACCATCTTTAAAAAATATAAATAAATTGGTATTTATTGTCACAAAAAAAAAAAGAAAGAATCCAACCCATTGTAGAACATAGAAATGTACAAGAGTAAAAACAAATAACTTAAATAAGTTTTATTGTTTTTTTTTTAAAATTTATACTAGAAAACATGTTGATTATTTTATCTTTGTACTGCAATTTTAAATGTTTACTTTTGAATTTATTCTCATGTAAAATTGTGAATTTTATTTTTGCTTTTGTTGAACAGTTTTGTAACAACAGATTGGTTGTAATTAGCATGAGTTAAAAAAAAACTTTTACAAAGTTATAAAATTATTTTTTTTATACTTGTTGACAGAAGATAATTTCTTTTTTAGTTCGAATATTTCACTGAACTAGTTTGAAATTATTTGTTATCCAGTGTCATTGCAATTTGTGCCAAGAATTTACTTTGCAGCTTGGAATCCTAGTATAAGCTTATATAATAAAACTCTTTCAATATAATGATATAATGTACATGACATTTAAAAAAATAATTTTAGATATAATAGATTTATTTATATTTTAAATAATTTAAATAGCTGAAAGATTCTTAATCAATTTTTAAAAACATGAAATGCATCGGATTCAATCAATAATTTTCTTCTTACAAACTTTATACTGGTGACTTAAATTCCTTTTTGCTCAATTTCATAATTGTTAAAAGGATGTAATCTAATACTTTAAAGATACACATTTCCATCATATTGAATACTTCTTCATTATAAATTTCTATTTGACACCAATTACTGTTACGTTTGTGTGAATTTTTTGTATGGTACAATTTAAATCATTTTTACATAAGCCACATTATAACTGTCTTATTTTTTTTCTTTTAATCCTAATTATCGTTTACTTTCAATTATTTTTTTAATCAAAATGGTAATCATTTTTACTGAACTTTATGAAGTTTGTTAACATTCAAGAATGGATTATGAATAGAATACTATATTTAATGAGATCTATCTGGTGTTACATTAAAATCTATCACCAGTAATTAATATAACAGAAGTAATTTGTAAAAGAAAACATCAAATGTTTGAAATTTTTAAAGTTTATGCTTTCAGTAATCAGTTAAGTTTTATACTGTTGTTTTAACTAAGGCATGCAGTTTAATTCCTAAAATATTTTTGCTTTACTAGTAATTAGTACATTATAAAACCTTAAAAAATAGAAAACAAAAATATCCCTTCTGCTTGTCTCAACATTCACTAGTCAACACAAATTACCAAATAAAGTTGCAATGTAACTTTCACTTTATGATAGATAGAAGTTTGTTTGTGTGCTAAAAAGTAAACTTTAATTGCTGTTGAGGAGTAAGAGATTGTTTATTTAATTATTTTGTTCACTTCTGTTAAACTAGAGACAGAGAAATGCCAGTTTCTCTATCAAGTTTAAATTAGGAAAAGATTAGTGTCAGTTTTTTTTATCAGCATGTGCAAGTTACAAATTACGCTAGTAATTTTTTGGCCTTTGAAATATTTTTCACTTTTATCTTGTAACAACTTTATGACACATTTTTTAACTAGCCAGCCTCAAAATTTATATAGTCTTGTTGAAGTTGGTAATTTTAAAAATTTGTGAAGCATTTATGGTGCTGAGCCTATTTGTAATAGGACATGTATCTCATTTAACTTTACCTCACAATGTTTGTGTCAAATTGCATTATATCCTTTGTAGACTAATGCCTGTTATTATATGGCTGTGTGCAGTAATTTTATGTTTAATATTGGTGTTTCCATTGTCTCCTGTATGGGAATTCTATACAAAAGCTCTTGTTGATAAGTTATTTACAACACTTTAAAACAAATGAATTTTATAAACAACGTAAAGTAATTATAGATATTATGTTTATTTGGAAAATGCATTTTTATTTATTAGTATTTAATGAATATTAGTAAATAATAATCTAGCTTTTACCCATTGTACTATAAACTCCATTACTAAAACACCTGTACTCCTTTATTTAAAATATCAATTACAAACTGTCTCTTTACACTAGTTAAATGGCAGAATACTGGTTTTGATTGGCTGGGAGTTGCTGAGTGTACTTCTAGAGCAGTAAATGACTAAGGAAAATATCAGTTCTACCAGTTGTACTAACAATATTCACATTAGTGTTCAACAAAATGTGAAATCCAAGGTTATATATTTGTAGACTTTTAGACATCCAAACATTTTTTTGACAACTAAACATCTAGGCATGTGTAATTCAAATATTTCCTTTTAAACTTACTACTACTTATTTGATTTGTGTTTAGTTTTAAAACTTTAGTAAACACTAATTAACTTATAATTATTCTTTTTTTTTTTAATTTTCTATCAAGTTGAATCATTTTTTAGTTTGTTTTTAAAGATATATTATTCTGAAACATCAGAATATTATAATTTAACCATGGGTGTTTTTCGTGGTCATTTTTTTTTGTATATCCGACATAAATCTCCAAGGAGAACTCAACATTGCATCTTGTAAATAACAAACATGCCCTGTTTCTACTGCTGTATATTGCTGGTCTGTCCACCTTATGTGATGTTTGGGGATATGGGTTGAACATTAGCAACTATTAGATGTAGATGAAATTTTTTTTTCATTGCATATTTATAAATGTGTGCATTAGTGTGACTGCATTTAGAGACAAATAAATATGTTCTTATACATGTGATTACGGTTTTAGTTTATTGTTTTTTAGGCATGAGGATTCCAAGAGAATTAAATTGAAAATAACTAAATAAATAAAATAAAAAGTACTAGCTGGATGTCACCCACGTAGTAGAAGTGTAAGCATTGACTAAGCAATTACATTTATTTTACCGTGTAATGCCTTATTTATTCCAATCAATGTTATGTGCCTGTTACAATATGGATAGTTACAAGGAATTTAAATGGAACTTTAAAACTCAAACTTAGTTTAGTAGTATTGTACCAAATCAGAGTAGGCCAAATTTAGTGCAGTCGTTTTTCACTTTTTTTATCTTTTGGTATTTAGTCTCAAAAGCAACTGTTTGGCAAGTTTCGGTTTTTATAATGAACTTTCTTCGCTAGAAAAATGGCAACACAACAAAACAAGGCAAATTTGTGAGTAACAAAAGATAGATCTATTTAAAAGCAGTGTTTTTTCATAGTTTTGTGGGGGGGGGGGGGGGTCGGACTTAAATTTCAAGAGGCACTCTGCCCATTATATGAGTAGATCTAAGATCTGTATCATCAGACTCATCAACTCATCAGTCTACTAGATCTAGATCTAGAGATCTAGTAGGCCTACTAAGCTAGACTAGACTCTAGACTCTAGACTAGAGGCCGTCCTCCGACCTCGAGTCTAGAATGTAGAATTAGAATCTAATAAAACAAAATCTAGTAACTAGATCTAGATCTAGAGTCTAGTACTAGATCTAGTAGAAGTAGGTAGTTGAGTTGACTGACATCATAAAATTTGTTCCGAGCGGACAACGGCGTTGAATCTACTATCTATCTAGATTGAACTAGACCCAAATCTAGAATTTAATTATTGTGGCAACACATTTTTTGCTTATAACTTCTAGGCCTGGAAGAAATAACTATGGGTTTTAAATGGGGGACTAATGAATCAATACTGAGTCGTTTGTGTACCCAAAAAAGCAGCACAGAACCGATTCAATAACTGTAAGTCTTAATTGGCAGTGCGGGGAAGCTGATAGTAAATAACCTGGTCATGTGACTGGCAGCCACTCAAATAAAGGTCCATTTTGTGACGGTGTGTGATGAGGGGGGGGTTCAGATAGTGTGACGTCACTTTTTTGCATTATAAAAAAGCAATGTTAGAAAACGAGTTATAGCCATTATTTCCCGTTTTAGAAAAAGGTTTTAATAAATTGTAGGGGAATTGATCAAAATACTGTTTGTTGACAGAGTTCTGACTAGATTTTGGAAAAATATCGATGTTTAAAGAAAAATTCAATAGAAATTTTGAGGTGGGGGGGGGGGGGTTGTAGGCTGAGGTGTGACATCATTTTAGGGGAGGGGGGTAAAAATCGTCCAAAAAAGTGTGACGTCATTTATGGATGACCCCAAATACATAGGCCCTATAGTTAGTGAATAAATGAATAATGAATGAGAATGACAGTACAGTTGGTACGAGTTGTAGCAGCTACTAAATTTAACTTTTAACTAGATCTAGATATCTAGTATTAATAATTTAGTTAGGCACAGTTAGTTATCATAGTAGTAATAAAGTGATTTGGATAGGCCTACTAAAATGAATAGGTCCTAGGCCTAGTCTATTCATTTTAGTATCCACATTTAGTAATTACCACTATGCCTAAATAATGATAATCAGCTGCCAACCAAAACACATAAGAAAGATTTGGTTGGTTGGTGGCTGACTTTATATTTCACTATAAAATCCTCTAGGGACGGCTTGTAATGTATGCCTATCAGGTGATCCTAATAAAATTGCTACTGATATATTTTATGCATTTTAGAGGCCCTAACGTAAAGATTGCAGCTGGTGCTCTAGTCTGTGATGGCTGTGAATTAATAGGAGATATAACCATTGGTAAACAATTACATTATCTTTCTATTAATCCATTATTTTTAAGGACTAAATTTTATTAATGCTGTGTTTGTAGCTTTTCCTCAGAGAATGCATCTTTTATAAACTAGATGTTTTTTATAATTAGCTTATCATTATTATTTTGAGAATCGCTAACAAGACTTAAATATTAATTCTTTATTCTTTATTCGTTATTAGAATTAATTATTAATTATTTTTAAAAATATCTCATTCCAGGATCAAGAACAGTTATTCACCCCAAAGCTAAAATCATAGCTGATGCAGGTCCAATAATAATTGGAGAGTTCAATATAATTGAAGAGCTTGTTACAATAGCCAACAAGTAAATCCTGTTCCTCTTACAGTTACACCATATGTTGTATAATAGTCCCTGTTAATAAAAACAATCTGTATTTATTGAATTACTATACTATATTGTAATTTTATTCATACAAAATTATAATGTTAAAATTTTTTTTTTGATATTTAGTTTGTTCTGAAAAGTCACTTTAAATTCTTCGATAGCTTTCTTCTGATGCTTAATGATGACACAATTTCATTTGTTTTTTTTTAAGGTCATCCACAGATGCAAACAGTGGCAAAGTTCTCATCATTGGCAACAACAACGTATTTGAAGTAGGAGCACGTATCCTTGTTAACATATTCTTAACACTGTTTAGTTTTACATTGTTTAAAATGTTTTAATTTCCTGCCTAATTTTTCACTAAAGAATTGCATAACATTGTCCAACTAATATCTGTAACTAATTAACAAATAATAGGTGGGGCTTGCTCAATACATTTTTCTTAACTTACAAAGATGTTGAGGCTGTAAGAATAGGAGATCACAATGTCTTTGAAAGTAAATGTAAGTACCAATACTTTTTCCACCTACAGTACGTAAGTAAGAGATTTATGTGGGGAGACCCTTTGTAAAATTTGCTACGTCACTTCAGATTGATTCTGTGCAAGTTAACTTTTATAGTTTCTCATTTACTATTTTATATTTTTTTACTGTTAAAATATTGATTTCAAAGTATACCTTTTACAACAGAAATTTGTGTGATACTGTGTTTGACACTCATCAAAATAACTATGGATAACTCATTGTTTTCAAAACATTGACAGCAGATCTTGCAAAAAAGCCAAAAAACAACCATATTGCATATATTAATTTCAAAATTTTAACAGAATTATTTCTAGGATTCCCTTTTTTCCTGATCATAAATGGAATATATATTTACAATGAAATGTCTAATGTACAAATGATATGTTTTTAAACTTTGTTATAAATTATTTGTGTATTAGCCAAAGTTGGAGCTAAGGTTGAGGTCTCCAATGGTTGTATTATTGGCTGTGGGTGTGTGCTTGGCATGAGTGAAGCGTTACCTGATAATACAGTCGTCTATGGAGCCAAGTGTGAACGAAGAATACAGAAAGAAAGACCAGCGGTAAGTCATTCTCAGTCAGTAAATTATACATTTGCTATACGCACACAGTGGTTGTATTTCCAAAAACTATTACTTTTTAATAAATCCAAAATCATATCTTTTTTAAACAAAAACAGCATTTTGATTTTTACAAATTTACTTGGTCAAATAAATATTTCCATTGTTTTTATCAATTATTTTCAGGCACAAACACTTCAGATAGATTTCCTGACCAAGATTTTACCAAACTATCATTATTTAGTGAAGCCAAATATACAGCCAAGGTCCTCGCCTGCCCCAACCAAAAAATAGTTTTAATTTTTCTAACAAATTTCTTGCACTTTGAAATTGTATATTTTGTAGTGTTCTTGGGAAGAGGTGCAATTTTATGTATTTAGTATTTGTTTAGTGTCATTTCTTAATATTCCTTAATTATTATAAAGCTTAATAAATCAATGATCTAAAACGTTTTATTTGCAATTACAGCTTCATATTTCTAATTTATTGTTTTTTTAAGTCAGATACCAGATTTAGTTATTCTGATACTTATTTATATTACTGAAAGTTTCTAAGACAGAATGAGTTTTAATAAAAATAGTGTCTCTACATTTATTATTTTAGCTTATCTCTAAAGAACTTATTCTTAAAAGATGGTAGAAATACATGTTATGGGAATATCCACAAACAATTTATTGCTTTTATCAATGGCCTCATTATTGACTTGTAGATGGGTGAATGCCTCCATTGTATACTTTGGTTTGTATGGACTGATGTCTGTCTTTTGTTTAATTGTGAACAAGTGTACAGGAATTTTTTAGAAATCACACTCTTTCGATTTCATTAACAGATGTCATATCCTGAGATATGACATAAAAAGCTTGCATAAGTATAATTTTCTGTCTACAATAGCTGTAAATTTAATTGAATCGTGTAGACATTGCTTTTATGTTATATCTTTGTCTCTAAATCCTGATTGTACATTATTATTGTAAAAATAGCCTTTTTAATTTATGTTAGCTTTCATGTATTTTATTTGTTCAGACTTTTTTTTTCTGATTTGTAAATTTATTCAAGTTAGTTTTTTTTATAGTGAAAACATTAATCTTCTTTATAGAATAAAAGATTTATTGCACAATACAAGATAACTTGGTTGTATATAAATACAGAAATGTTTGGGAATTCTTTTGCTTTTTAAAAACTGTAACAATAATAAGCATTATTTCAATATAAAATAAACAAGCTACATTTCCTTGATACTTTACTTATGTTGATTGTCATTATTTCAGTAATTTTGGTGCTGGACTTTTCTCTTACAGAATTTGTATCCCACATTTACTCTGCAAATGTGTTAATACTAATATGTGGACTTACAACACATTCCACAGAGGATTATGCTGAGTGAAGCCACTATTAATGCTAGTGACTAGCTGAATGTTTTCTATGATGAAGCAAAATATTGTTTCATATCTAGAACTATTATTCCTGGAATGCATTTTATCCTGTTCCCTTTTATGATGATGCAAGTTTGCCTAGTTATAAATGAGTCAAACAGAAAGGAGATAATGTACAATAGCCAGAGGTTAAGCAAACGAGTTAGGTAAATTAGCTAGAATAGGAAGGAACCAATGAGAAGTGAGATATGAGCTGACTGGTCACATGTGATGGTCAGCTGACAAGGTATCAGGAGTTAGCAGTTAGGCAGTTGGTCGAATATAGCGCAGTTGATAGGTCTAGCGTTTTTAGGAGAAAAGGTCAACCCCCGAGACAATCAATATATACACATTCCCATGTAGAGATATATAATGTAAAATGTCATCAACATCCCTCAATACATCTCTCTAGTCTACATCATTTGCAACCACTGAAGCCAAAATTTCATACTAATGAAGATCAAAGTTTGATGATGTCAGTGCAAATAACAGCTTTGTTTTTTATTCACTTTTTTAGATAAATACTTTTGATAAAAATATTTCAACATTTTTTTTTTACATAAAAGTTAATTCATTTATAATAATGTTGTAATATATTTTTAAACAAAATGATACCATTACCTAATGTGTAGATATACATCAATTAAAAAACAATGTACAACATGTGAATTTATAACATACAATACTGTCGAATTAGAAAGCATTTGGTTTCGTTTTCAATGGTTGAGTTTCAAGTCTGTTTTCTAATTAAATAGACTTACAGAACTGCTGGAACAAAAAATTAGAGCAAAAATCTCTCAATCTTGCTACTCTGATAGTGATACTTTGAAAATTGTGCAATGTTGTTTTCCTTTAATAAATTACACAGATGTGTATAAATACAAATGTTAACACACAACAGAAAAAAGTTGAAGTATGTAAATTAGAATTATCAAAGACATTTCATTGGTTAAAACTCTAACGAGGGTTGTGTTGCCTGGAGGTAGCAAGCTTGTGTATCCAACAGTCACAAGTTCAGTATCTGAACAAACTCCCTATCTCACCTCACCCCCCCCCCCCCCCCACGGAGGTTAAATGCAGCAGGAGAAGAAGCAAATGTTTCTGGATGTGATAAATGCTTGATTCTTATTCCTGATCCAGTCTGACCAATATGAAAGAGAGTTCTAATCCAGTATACTAGTACTTTTCTTGATATTTCAATCTAGTAACATAGTTCACAAATTAAATCTCATTCAATCTGAGCTAAGCTAACTCTTTCTTTGCAGGTGATATGATAGCAATCCTTAATGCTTAACTGCAATGACGATACTTGGAAGTTCATACTAACAAAACATGAAATTCTCAATATCACTTCATTCATATCACTGAATTCAAATGTTCAGTGAAATGTGTAAATACAAATTCTAACAAAGGGGTTTTGTAACACAGTTGTCTTGATCACACAAAGTACAATTTGAATGTGCTCATATTTCATGGATAAATATATATTTAACTATTTTAAACATGGCACATAGTTTTAAAGCTTGTCACGAAAAATGGGGTGAATGTTCTCCAATCAAAAATCATCTTCTTCAAAGAATTCTGGGTGCCCTCTCATGTATAAAAATCTAAAAAATCTCAAGCCTTGGTCTAAGCTAGTAATTCTGTTGTAGTCTTTAGTGGTCATTGTGAAATTTAGCGTATCTAAATTTTCTTTGATTCTTTCTTTCTTTGAGCTTTTAGGTAAAGCAACAAACCCAGCACGCAGTAAAAAGTTCAGCAGTACTTGCGCAGGAGTTTTCCTGTAGCTTTTAGCTATTTCCACAATGAGTGGGTCGGTTAGTAAATTCTCAGCGCTAGAAACATGTCGGCTTGGCCTGTTTGGTGCCCCCAACGGGGCATACGCAGACACCACTATGTGATTTTGGTCACAGAAAGTTTTAAGTCTTTGTTGTAAAAAATAAGCGTGACATTCCAGCTGAACATTAGCAGGGGGAACATCAGAGGAGGAAAGAATTCTTTCAATCTGCCTGACCGTAAAATTTGAAACCCCAATACTAGCAGCTTGCCCGCATTTAAACAGTGCAGACAGTGCTTGCCAAGTTTCAAGAATATCAACATGCTCAAATTTTAATTCAGTCTCTTCTGTTTTGCTAACTGCCCAAGGATGGTGTATGAGCAGCATGTCTATATAGCTTATACTCATGTTTTCCATTGATTTGTGCGCACTCTCAATAGCATCAGCTTTTCTCATGTGTGTGCTGGGGACTTTGGTTGTGATAAATACATCTTTTCTATTCATTTTCCCTGCTTTAACTCTATCATTTAGAACTTGTCCAATTTCTTTTTCGTTATCATATGAACTTGCTGTATCGATGTGCCGATAACCCAAAAACAAAGCATAATCTAGTGCTTCTTTTAGTGGGTCTCCTTTTAATGTAAATGTACCAAACCCTGGAGATAAAGAGTTGAAACTGCTGATTAATTAAATTAATGAAATCTTACATAAAAAAAATTTTTTTAAGGAAAAAAGCTTTAAATAAAAGTTTTATTATATTCACAAATCACACAACAAAATACAAATGAAAAAAATGTAACAAAACATAAAAAATAAAAATTTAGTTGGTGTAAACTTACTAAAGCTATATGCTGGTATAACTAAAAATAAAAGCCAGGGCGCTCAATGATGAAAATTGAACATAAGTCTTATGTTATGTTATAGAATTAATTAGAATGTAAACTTATTATTGAACTCCCATTAAAAGGGAATAAATTTTCCATAGTATATTATTTATACATTATTTTAAGTATGTTCTTTATACTAGTAATATTTTATTTACTTGTTTGAAACTAGTCTTTAAAGTTCTAATAATAACATATGCACGTATATAGGTATATAGTTATGTGGAACATACACAAAAAATGTATGTATATTAAAAATTAGAACACAACACTACTTCACTGCTTTATATGGCCTATAATTATATTATAGGCAATACACATTCAACTGGGAACAGCTACTTTGTAATTATTGTTAAATCATTGTTATTAATAAATCGACTAGGCCTTACATTAAAGACTAAAAGTAATTTAAAAGACAAAAAGACTTAAAAAATAAAAGACTAAAAGACTAAAAGAGCAGCGAGCATATCAATACATTCATTAATTCCCTCTTACCCACATTACTAGTTTTTGACGAATTTACGACGCTAAACTAAGGTTTTACCTAGATATCTAACAACTTTATCATTCTATCATATGTTATGATGATGTCATCCGCTGATGAATGATGTTGAGTTGATTGTTGTAGTCATTGTAGTTTGTAGTCAATGTAGTGAGTACAAACAAGTTCGATGGAGTTTCTTTTTTTTTTCGCCAGTCACAACATTTTAGAATGTTACATAACAAATACAAATAAATTATTTACATTACTTACCTAAGGTTGGCATTCTGAATCCAGTATTCAACCTTAAGTATCGAGATATTGTCATTTTAAGAAGAAGAATTTGATTAGAATGAGGATAAGGAGGATTGATCAGAAATAAGGATATGAAAATTTCGTGGTTCGTTAAATGATAAACATACATCAACTTTTTGATGTTCCCGTGTTTATCTTTTTGGGCACAAAACATTAACTTAATTCAAATTTATTCCATCAATTTTATTGTCCATTTTTCATTGCAGATAATAAATTATTTTTAATTTTGCTTATAATTAAAACGAATTCATATTGTCTGCCATCACATCATTTTTAACACTTTTCTCATTTAAAAGAAATCCTATGTGTAGGCATAGTGTTGGGCAGTGCCAGTGATGAGCTATGCTTACAAAACAAGTTAATTAAAAAGTCTAGTGACATTTAAGCGCAATTTCCTTATGTTATCTAAAAATAGCTCTGTCGTAGCGTAAATCAAGAGCAGGGTTAGTAAAACCATTGGTTAGTTATTAAAACGTTTTTTATTAATTTTTTTCAGTATTTTACATGTTTTATTTACAATAGAGTTACATAACTAAAAACCATTGCGCGCCTAGCTACTGAACGTGATGACGCAGCCATTGAACGTGATGGCGCAGCTATTGAACGTGATGACGCGTGTGGTGTGGTTGGAAAAAATGCCTACTAATTCGGTCCAAATTTTAATTAATTCAAAAAATTTTTTGTGACCGAAAGAAAGGATATTTTTGAAAACTTTCTTCGGCAATATTGTTCTAAATTATGGCAGGAATCGATTGGTACATGTTTCAATTCGCTAAGTGGTCTGGTTGCCGAGATATGGGCCAAAAACTGCTTTTTTTTCGAGTTTTTTTTGGCTTTTCCGGGAAATCCATGAAAGAAACCCGTAATTTTTATGGCCTATGTTCATCCTCGTAACTTGCTTAACATAATTGCTTTTGGAACTAGTCATCGATATTGCTTCGTTGAGGAGGAGATACGACTTAAAGCTGCGGACACACATCCATCCATCCATCCATACATCCAGAAATGACGGGTTAATAAACGCAATTCTCCAGAATGGAAATTGCGCTAAAAATGTGCAGACAATATACATTCAATATACAAGAGTGGTGAGTTCTGATCTGTCAAGTTTTCTATCACATCAAATATCCAATCAACACTATCATGTCAGCCAGTTCAGTACACAATCATTTCAATAGTGCTAAGTCAACTTTAAAACAACAACCAAGTTTAGACAAATAAATGCACAAGTTTACCAGTGTTATAAAAATTTATTATCAAAGCTTTCTTGAAACAATATTTAAATCCTTATGCACTTTCCCCCATAACTAACAAAATTTAGTGGCCAAACGAACAAATGTGGTATGGTATCTTGGCTCCAATTAGTTTGATATTTAGTCAGAAGATAAATTAAACAACAAATTAATAAGTAAAAATACAACGATTATAAAAGTTCCCCAGAAACACATTTTACCCAATTTAAAAAATTTAAACAAGTATACACTTCATCCTTAAGTCTGTTTTGTTTATAAATTCAAGATTGGGTTTTTAAATACATGTTTGAAAAAGAAAGCTCAAGCTTTATATATATATATATATATATATATATATATATATATATATATATATATATATATATATATATATATATATATATATATACATACATACATAAATATATATACTAGCTGCATACCCGTGCTCCGCCACAATGAGTCTTTTTTAAATGTATTAACTTGGGAACAGAACAAAACTAAACACAACAAAAACGAACGAAAATAAAAACACAGACGAAAAAACAAACACAACACTCATAACATAAACACAATTTAAATGCAATCATAAAGGCATAGTGCATTGTCCGCAAACCGAAATATAGAATAATAATTAGTAAACAGTACGTTCTGTGTATAAAAGAAATAAAAGGCAGTATTTAAAATACACGTTATATAACGTTATATAAACAATCCCTACTCTATCATTTATAATTAGATAATGCGATGCTTTGAAAAGCACTGCATGGTGCGATGTTTACTTAAATGGTTCCATTATCTAGGCGATGACTGACTGACACACTATTAGCCCGCTTACATTATAAATATATATATATATATATATATATATATATATATATATATATATATATATATATATATATATATATATATATATATGAAGATTTTGACCCCCCCCCCCCCCCCCCACGGCTAACAATATCTGTCTCCGTGTGCAAGAAATTATATAAAGGAAACAATTTCTCCTCATAACTTCAAAAATCGATACGGCATACATGTAAATGATATGTTATGCATGAGCATCAAATTAACGGCTCATTGTTTGTTTTTTTAAACCATTGTCTGGATGCTCCCAAAGTTATTTTTAACCACGAATTTATTCAACACGAGCTCGTCTTGTTTCTGGGTCAGTGAGCATCCAACAACGGCCCTGGAGAGATGTCAGACAGGTGCTGGTCAAAGACGGAAGGCCAGCGGTTATTAAATCACCGCATTAGCAAGGGTCAGACCGGACTCATTGATAAAGATGTTGCTGAGTATAAAGCAGAAATCAGATGCAGCGAACAAACAATCGAATATAAATCAAATACAAATTATGGAAACAAAAATTGATGCGTTGCTGGGGTTTATAAGACAGTATCAGTGTGTCGTGTTGTCCATCGTAGGGTGAGCGTCACAGTGAAGCAGTTATGGTAAGCAAAGTCATTTTATATATATGCATCGAATCATTATGTATATATATGTTACGGTCAAAGCCCGAAGTCGGCCAATGCGCGGATTAGCCAATATCGCCTCCCATAGGTCGGTCAAAGTCCGAAACTTTGCTTGATTTCGCCCTTTTGCCGGCCAATCCACGCTTTAGCCGCACTTCGGGCTTTTACCGTAACACACACACACACACACACACACACACATATATATATATATATATATATATATATATATATATATATATATATATATATATATATATATATATATATATATATATATATATATATATATTAGTCATTCTTGTTATTCTACGTATTTCCCCCGAAAAGTGTAATAGTTAACTGTTTAGATAAATCAATACCAAAACCAGCTAGATTGTATGAACTAAAACGACGAAGAAAAAGATATCATTCGATAATACTTAAAATAACATACGTAAATTTTCTTCTAGTTTTTTAATCTCGGCCCGGGCATGAGTCTGTATGACATCACTGAGTCCACCCAGCTCTGTTAGGCACCTGACCACACCGTCCTGTCATATGCCGAGGTCATGAAACACGAACTATACCCCACCTGCTTTATGGATATTTAGGTCTGAAACAGGAAGTTTACTAATATATCCCCCCCCCCCCCCACCCTCCATCCGCACTGTTGTTTTGTCAACGAATGAACGTGTCCTGGGCAGTTCGAGTATTCAAGCAATATCTCAAGGAAAAAAAAAGCAGAAGGTTTGCCAATCTTTTACAGTACAGATTGTGTAGTGGTTTTTAATATGTTTACACAACAGAATGGGCTAGTGACTGTAGAGCTCAATCACAGTTACAGTAGCCTACTTTTTTTTACAAGACAAAGATATAGGATAATAAATTATAAAATAAATTTGTGTTATGTTGTTTATGGTCGGTTTTTAGCTTCCCAAGCGTTCACAATCCGGTATCAGTGGCGTAGCCAGGATCGTCTCAAGGGGGTGGGGGGTTCCAATTTTTACCCGGGGACAAACTTTCGATTTGCACCCCCCCCCCTCAAACTAACTTACGATTTACACCCCCCCCCCCATCAAACTTTCGATTTGCACCCCCCATCAAACTTTCGATTTGCACCCCCCTCATACTTTTTATATATATACCGAGGGGTGTATGGGGGGTTATGACCCCCCCCTAACCCCCCCCCCCCTGCCTACGCTACTGTCCTGCATAGAGAGGTTCGGCGGCACGGTACTTCTGACACTGTACTGAAATTTCTCTTCAACACCACGATGGTTCAATGAGAACGTCAACATCATAATGTTTCACACAGAACGTCAAAATCACGAAGGTTCAGTATTATATTCAGCGTAATTAATAATCAAGAAATCATTTTTTTCCTTCTTCTTAGAATCGTCTTCCTTTATTTGTGCTGGTTGTGGCGGCCATCATTGAGAACACCAGCGCATCCAGCAGCCATCCTGACTTGATCAAAAGGAATCGAGGCTCCAGTAAGTGAGTGACTCGAATCGTGGTTATTATCGAACTAGCGGATTCGATCTGCAGTGTCACACTTACCGTAAAAAGAGGTGCGATTTATTAAGTGGGCGACTCGCACGTGAAACTTCGGGAAGTGGGGGGGGGGGGGGGGGGGGGGGAGTGGCGGCAAGGGGTCTCTTGAAGTTTTCGGGACGGACATTGTTGTTTAGCATACTTGTACATAAATAATACATTTTTCTAGTAAGCCAGAGAGGAATGCCCGAAAGAATTCACTTCTCACCCGGCTAGATGTCTTTTGTGTTGCATTGTTTCATTTTATCGTTTGCCTTGCTTAGGCCTTTATCCAAAGCTTTGTCTGAGCGGTGCGTGTTCTTGGAAGTGGATTTGAGAGCAGTGGCCAGCATTACTCGACAAGAGAGTTTTTTCAGCCCCCCCCCCCCCCAGCCCCACCGAAACACGTTACTATCCCACTCTTCGCCCTTGGAAAGTTTAGTGCGCCCCCCCCCCACGCTTTTTTTTGTCTTATCTTTTTAGTTATTTGAACAGTGGTGCAATTTTTACATTCATTAAAAAAATATTTTACTTGCTTCTTTTTATTGCATAGGCCTATATCAAATCTTGTTATTGAAAAAATGTATTTAATACTTCTTAATTTTGTAATAGATCTAAACAATCGAACAGTGTGACTAAAAACTTTATGCCCAAATAAAATAAAAGATTTTAAATTCTTGTAAAAATCAAGAGACCGCAGTTACATTAGCATAAATAAAGTTCTATTCAGACTTGGGAGAAGTATGGCTAATTACCTCCACATACGGTTATTAACTATTGCCCAAATTGTTCCAGATCATTGCGTGTACTACAATAGAAACTACCGGGACCAAGCCATCTTCACCTCGCTTGACACTCAATGTTTGACACTTCGGTGTATTGATGGTGTGGTCAGGCATTTTAATCAAGGTAATTTTGGTGCAAGGGTAGCGGTGATGATGTATATATATATATATATATATATATATATATATATATATATATATATATATATATATATATATATATATATATATATATATATATATATATATCGACAGTGGCGGAACTAGAAAAAAAGGCCACCCCGCAAAAACAATTTCTGGCCCCCCCCCCGTATATATATATATATATATATATATATATATATATATATATATATATATATATATATATATATATATATATATATATATATATATATATGTATGTATATATGTATATATATATATATATATGTATATATGTATATATATATATATATATATATATATATATATATATATATATATATATAATAAACACAAAATTCGGACATAGGATACTCATTTCTAGCCTGATCGGGTTTTGAAAAAGATATCATTGTTTTGGGTTGTTTTTTTTTTTTTTTCAATTAAATTAATTACAACAATATGTGTTTGAGTGCATTAGTCTGTTTTTTAAATTTAGGTTTATTTTATGTTTGTCGTAATATTTCCAATCCATTAACCGGTCAAAAGAATATAAAACGTGATAGCTTTGTATGTGAAATGGTTTCTCGTGTCATGTTTATTTTGTTACGTTTTTTCGTTATTTATATTATTAATTATAAATACATTTCCTTTTTATACTATGTCATCTTTAGTATGTATTTTTAAAAAATAAGATTTAAGAGAAGTAATTGCTTTTTTAACTTGTTTAGTACAAATCCATTAAAAGGAGCTCCTGAGCACCCTTATTTAAAACTATTTAAAAAAGGGAAGTAAGTCATGGAAGTGTTTTAAACGTTAGCTTATCTTTCACACTACAGCTTATGGTTTAAAAACAAAGGGAAAAAGAACCGGCGCCCGGGGGACAAACTTTTCGATTTGCACCCCCCCCCCCCCTCGAGATTTTGATTTGCACCCCCCCCCCCTCAAACTTTCGATTTGCACCACCCCCCCTCGAGATTTTGATTTGCACCCCCCCCCCTCAAACTTTCGATTTGCACCCCCCTCAACCTTTCAATTTTGTTTTTCCAACCCATTTTGGCGCCCCCTAAGCTCGGCGCCCGGGGACATATGTCCCCCCCCCCCGCCCCCCCCCCTCGCTACGCTACTGGTCCCCCCGCATTGCGGGGTCTGGCGGCACTGTAGTTCCGCCCCTGTATATAGATATATATATATAGATATAGATAGATATACATATCTTAATCTTATCTGAGATTACTTTTCCACTCTAGCATGCCAGATCAAAGGTCAATGTGTGAACGCCAACCAAACGTTGGTCCATCATTGTGTGACGTACAAATGCCGGGTCAGCCACCAAAACAACAACCCGGAAGATTACATGGCACAGTATTACATCGAGAGCTCAGGTAAGTCTGAATGATGATGGTGAGAGCCCCGACATTATCTCAGACAACACGAATTGAACAGTAACTAGTTTTAGGATAGCAGATCTAGTGGAATCGGGATTTAGAAAAGGTAGATAAATTAGTTAAAAAAACGCTCTTTTCACTAGAATACACGGAGGCAAAAAACTTATTGGAAAACGCTGCTTTTTAGAATATGATACAAAATTATCTAATTCTGAAGGTTTTTTGAAAAAATCCAGTGTCCCCGCCCCCCTCGTGGAGAAAATGTCTAAACGATACTCTGTCCCTCGGTAGGAAGGAGTGGAGCCTTAAGCAGACGGTGTTGCAGTGTCAATAAACGTTACACAGCGAAGTTTGAATTCAATGTGATGATGGCTGAACATTAATATACCCGGCACAGTAAACGGTTTGGTTTATTAAGATTTGCTCTATGCCTGGGTCGGCACGTGATGAACCTTGCGCACGAAGTAAAAGTAATTTCTATTTTCAGAGTGTGAAGACATTAACGGACAATGTCACCCTCCCAACACGCAGATAACACGGGATAACGGCTACGGTCGTGTGTTCGACCACTGTTATTGTGTGACAACCGACGGGATGGAACCAAGCTACGTCTGTCCATGATCAAACCCCTGTGACGCCGACTAGGGGTGTGTACTGTCAATGTCGCCATTTTTGATGCCCAGAATGTGGAACTTTGTGTGGCGTTAGGTTGTGCCAACAGGCGGTGGAGGGTTAAAAAAAAAATTGACATTTATTGACGATCCCTAGTCGTGATTGTCTTCCAAGTTTAAAGGACCTTGTTTAGTAACGATAAAAATAAACACTTGCTAAAAGTTTAAAAAAAAGTTTTGTTATCTTTTTAATCTATTTAATATTTTAATTTTATTTGGAATCAAGATTTAGTATCGTTTTTGGACGCCTCTTCTAGGAAAGACAACTCCAAAATTAAACAACTGCTGCCTTGTAGTTTGTTATTGGTTGGACAAAGGATATGGAAGCAAATCCAAAAAGAAAAGCAGGCTGAAATCGGAGTCAATGGCCTCAATGGCGCATAACCAGTTGACACGTATCCTTAATTGTGATGAAGGCGTGGTCGAGTCGGCAAAAAGCTCATGGTTGATAAATTCGAAAAAAGTCTCGAGTTCAAACCCTCTGGCAGATAAGGCTCGATCCCTTCCAACACTAAAAATTAAGAACGAAGAAGAAGAAGGCTGACAGAGCAAAGCAGAACATAGTGAAATAACACATGGTCACTGAATCTGATAAACATTTTATTATGGACAGATGGGGAAAGAATGAATGCAAGGCGTCTAGCCTTGCTAATGACATGTAAATAATTTGATTTCAATATACAGCGTGTGAAACCAATATAAAATATTCACATCTTTCGTTCATGGGCAGACATGGAGATAAAATCGTATGAATCAGTCAATCCATTGTTTTACTGATCCGTTCTAATCAACATATGGATGAAAGAGATCTGTGAAAATGTCTGTCACCCCCCTGACCAGTTTGACTCTATGCTAATGTGACCAGTCTGATTTTGATCAGAAGCTAATGTAAAACGTCACTAGAGGCTTGAGCAGTGACGAGTTACTGTCGAATTCTTATTTAACTACAGCTCTCAAAAGTTTACTGCGTTTGTATGGCACTGACCAGTCAATGGTGTAGCTACAACACTGACCAGTCAATGGTGTAGCTACAGCACTGACCAGTCAATGGTGTAGCTCTAGCACTGACCACTCAATGGTGTAGCTACAACACTGACCAGTCAATGGTGTAGCTACAGCACTGACCAGTCAATGGTGCAGCTCTAGCACTGAACAGTCAATGGTGTGGCTACAACACTGACCACTCAATGGTGTGGCTACAACACTGACCACTCAATGGTGTAGCTACAACACTGACCACACAATTCGTGTAAGACCTAAACCATGCTAACCCCCAGGATAGCTCAATGTTTTAACCACACAGTTAACTGCTCTACAAATCAATGTAAATTTATAAAAAATATTTTTCATACCTCCAGAATGACCAATGCTGCCCTAAAGGTTATGTTAACAACAAAAATTTCAAACTGCTGTTTACACAACCCGGTTGAAAAACTTTTAGTTAATAAGCTAAGATGGAAATAAAATGAAGCACTGGCTATAGTTAAAGATAAGCAACTTTTAACATTGAACTGACCATTTTAGAGGTGAAAGACAATATACCAGTACATTCTTGAGCCTTTTGTTAATCAGGCATGAGCAACCTTTGACCAGTCTATCATCTACTTGTACAATATGACATAAAAACAATACATGATACTGACTAGCTTCGTATTGAATTGTCAATATATATATATATATATATATAATAATATAGGGGGGGGCCTATATTTATAAACATGGATGTTAAATAGCTGAACCAGGTGTAGAGCTGGATTTCTAAAATATTGCTATATAATATATTTAATACCACAACAGTAGGACTTTTTCATCTACAATATGCAATCATTGTGTTCATAAAAAAAGATATTTTAAATATAAAATATGAAACAAATTTAGTAAGGCTTATTCAGAAGGTTGCACATGCCTGCTAGAAACAGTTTTTAATATTTGTTTAAAAATTACTTTATCTAATTACTTTAAAAATTGTGATTTCATTATTTAAAAAAAATCATGTTATCTTGAATGAGGAAACAATTTAAAAAAAAAAATGGAATTAGAAGCTCTACATACAAGCATTATTGTTAACTAAATAAATTGATGTATTATGGCCACATCAATTGAACTAACAAGCCATCCACATGACTGGATTTCTTGACAAAAAAATGTGCAGACAATATACATTCAATATACAAGAGTGGTGAATTCTGATCTGTCAAGTTTTCTATCACATCAAATATCCAATCAACGCTCAATTATGTCAGCCAGTTCAGTACACAATCATATCAAAAGTGCTAAGTCAACTTTAAAACAACAACCAAGTTTAGACAAATAAATGCACAAGTTTACCAGTGTTATAAAAATTTATTATCAAAGCTTTCTTGAAACAATATTTAAATCCTTATGCACTTTCCTCCATAACTAACAAAATTTAGTGGCCAAACGAACAAATGTGGTATGGTATCTTGGCTCCAATTAGTTTGACATAGTCAGAAGATAAATTAAACAACAAATTAATAAGTAAAAATACAACGATAATAAAAGTTCCTCACAAAGACAGTTTTAGCACATATACCAAAAAATGGTTCACTTGTATTCATCAAAGCAAGGAAACTATGGTAAGTATCCCAGATAACAATCAATTAAGGAAACATTCCACAAATAACTTTACACTGCAGTCAGTCAAGCAAACACATTTTTACCCAATTTAAAAAATTAAAACAAGTATACACTCCATCCTTAAGTCTGTTTTGTTTTTTTAAAAGCATGATTAAGTTTTTAAATACATGTTTGAAAAAGAAAGCTCAAGCATATTTTCTCACAGAACAAGGTCATGGATAATGGCTGGCACACAATGTGACATTAACAAACAGATCTTAAAGAACAAACCCAAGATAAAATAACTAAAACACTCCAGTTTCAGAGTATATATATACTTACACCCCATATAGAAAAACAAAGTTCAAAGCCAAAATAATCGTGACAGATCAACACATGATTTGAGAGTACCTTCTAATATTGAACACTTTTCTCCTTGTACACTAGATAAAGCAAGAGCATCCAGAATACAACTTTCACCCAACATGGCTCTAGCATCAGTTACATGATGGCTACAGCTCCATTCAATCTCAAACAACAGCATACATTCCTGGTCAATGTGATACACATAGGTGAGCAATAGCTTATGCCTTAATCACATCCTAGCTTGATTGTAGAACAATGACGCGCTGACACATGGAGACGACAAAATCACAGAAGAACTGACGTGTCACTGATAGTGTAGGCTGACAGAGAAAACTGATATGAACAGGTAAATAATGGTATCAATAATGCAGGTGATGGTGGCAGGTGGTCTCAGAGCTTGTCTTTAGCTGGCACCCAGATGTGAGGACCTGATTGATCACTTATCACCTCTTTGATTTTAGAGTAAATTTCTTCAGCTGTGTCTCCTTGCACCACAGCTGGGGAGACAAGTATGAAATGTTTCAGTCTTATACAGGGAAAGTCTGTGCTATACAGGGTTGGTCAAGTGTTTATAGAGAATAAGCGTAATAAAGCAGTGCAGGATTGCAAAAAAAAAAATTTCAGTAACAGAAACTTTTTTTTTAATAAATAATACATATAAAATATTTTAGTATGCATTTAAGTTTTAACATTTTAACCAGCATCTTCAGTTATTTTGACATTAAATATAAAAGTGACACTGTGATTACAAAAAAATATTTCAAATTATTGAAACAAAATTTTAATTTTACATTGAAATATTCCTAATTTTGATGATCATATTTCATGGAAAATAAAATTTAAATATATCAGCAACTGTGATCGCAAAGGAATGAAAAGGGATATTAAGTACCAAACACTCCAAAAGATTAATATAAAAAGTACAAAGTTTATAGTTCTTCATACCAGTGAAATACTCCCCAAATTCTGCCTCCAATTTTAAAGCCCTTTCATATGTTTTTCTGGCCTGTTCTTCTGTTATTCTTTTATTCATTTCCCTGAAATAAAGATTTCAAAACTGATTGTTAAAATTCAATGGAAAGGAGAGTTAAAATGCTAAACATACATGACTGATTCTGCTGACTTTAACCCCATACAGACACTGTACTCACATTATTGATTCTGCTGACTTTGGTTTAATAAAAATAGCAATGGGATATAGGCCAGCAACTTGAAGCCTCTTAATTGCATTGCCACTAACATCTAAAATGCAATGTTTTCCCTTTGAGATAAAAAAAGTTGATAATTTTAACACTTAAAAAAACAAACAACTGTACAGGCTGAAATGGTATAATGCTCAACATTCTTTTAATAGCTAACTATTGCTTTCATCATGAAAATAGATGAGTTTCCTACTTGTTCTGCAACTTCCTTGACTGAAGCCACACTAGTTCCATAAAGGTTATCATTGTATACACCAGCTTCAATAAATAAATGGTTCTGAATATCTTTCTCCATCTGTTCTCTAGATGATACAAAGTGATAATCTCTCCCATCTTCTTCATGAGGTCGCCTTTCTCTTGTTGTATCTTGGAGAAAAAATAGCAACATTTCATTTATTTCATCTCTACAAATTGTGGACACAACTGTTTTTTTTCTCTTCTAGATCTAACTATCTTAGGCTGAAATTTTGAAAAATATTAAATTATTACGTGGAACACAGCTGCCAAATTTGTCAGGAAACTCAGAAATAAGATCATCATTAATTCTGTCTTTTTGAGGACCTAGAATAATTACTGGTCGGGTATACTTCACTGTAGAAAAAGAAAACAAGGACAATATTATCTAACTAACTATATTGTAAAGATTAAGGTATAAACTAGCAGTAATTAAAACAAAATTTCTAAAAAAAAAAAAAAAAAAAAAATGAAGACAATAAAAAGGTAGAAAAATAAATAGAGACTTGTACTTACATTCTTGCTGAATTACAGTTTCATATGACAAGATAGGTTCATCTCCCCCTGATAATAAAACAAAACATTGTACATAAGATTTGGCATAACTTTAACAGGTTTCCTAAAAGAACAAATTATTATAAACAAAGAAGTTTTAAAGTTTTAGTTTTACAAAAACACATGGAGGCAAAACAAGTACACTAAGGCAACAGCATACAACACCATGCTCATATATAAGCACAACATATTTCATAAAGTAGCCTTTAAACATTGCCTGGTTGTGTTTCAGTCTAGTTTCATTTACATCCTACTATTCATAACTTGTTTTTTTTAACATCTTGTGGTCTAATTTAGCAATAAAAGCCATCAATATTGATTTCTAACATAATAATTAAAGCCAGTGGCATGATACAATGATCTAGTAAGTAAAGATTTAAAATACATTTTTAAAATAATAAAAAAAAAAATAATAGTTTAAACATTCCTAAACAATTACAGAAATACATTATTTCTAGTTTGTCTATCCCACCCCCCCTATACTTTCAGAGAACAAAGTGCTTTTATGAGAGACTTTTTTTCTATTTAATTTTCTGATGAGTAAAATAACTGTTATAGTCTTGTTCATTCCAAGACAATTGTTAATAAAAACAGCTCTCTTATTATACAACACTAATAATTTTAAACTAGCAGGAGCATACATTCAAAGGGGAATTCTAACCAAGGCTAATGTCATTCCTTATCAGAACTATTAGTTGAAAAGGTTTACTAATACTCACTATAGCTTGCTTCACTATCACTGTGTGGATTGCCTGCATGGACAGGGAAAAGAGAAAACAAGAAAAGGTTTGGCTCATGCAGGACAAACAGGCATACCAGAGTCAAAGTTTGATGCCAGTGACCAGCACAATATAAACAAATTAACCAAGTATCACATTGTACTGCACACAAGGGTTCAGGTGGAAGGGGGAAACTTTGACTATGATACTTGGGTTTTTTTTTAGAATGACACAAGGATTAAAATTAGATTAAACAGGGTTACCAATAGTGAAATTGACAACCAAGAACTGATACTTATCGTTTACGGTAATGCTGTTAAAACTATCTAAAATCCTATTAATAATAAATGTATTTAATGCTTATATGAGGTACATTTAGTAACATCTTTAAAAATCAATTTGGTTAACTATGAATGAAGTAAAAATTTTGATACACAAAAACCTGCAACCATTATAACACTGAAGATAAATATGTATAATATTACCCATCTCAAACTAATAAATACACTATAGTTAGTATCCTTAAATCCTGCTGCCTATATGGCCTTACCTATGGCAAACTATTATAAAAAAAAACAGTTCTTAGAATTCCAAAAGGCCTTCTGATTGAAAATTTACATTGTATTACCAATATCAAACTATTAAAAAAACACTATTGGATGCAGCAGTTTAAACATGTCAAAATGGAAGTGCCTATGTCATATTTATTAGAAAACCCTCTTCAATAATTTAAGTTTAGAATACAATGAATAATATACTTAAACATCTAAGAAATTAAATTAGTAAAACAACCATATTTAAAAAAAAAACAACTATATTGTTGATAAATTAGTAACATTTGTAAATGAAAAAAACCCAAAAACCATTTGCTTCCAAATTATCATATTAAGTTTTAATAGCTGGGACTCTAAAATAGGATAAATAAGTATGCAAAGTCTATTGTGTTAGTTATGCGAGCATATATCCGTTACATTTAGCAAGCACATAAAAACCCAGAAAAACAGCATTTATGGCTTTAAATGAATGCTCCAAGATTAAACAGCAGAGCCTAACAAAGCAGTAAAGGCAGAACCATACTGCACACAAGCAGCTTAGAAATGATTTCTGATAAAGAATTATAAGAATATGTATGAGAATTATTGCTTTCTTATTGTGTCCAGGAATGGATTTTAAAATCTACAAAGGATATGTACAGGATAGATAACTAAAGCATAAAAATTCTACAAGCAAATTGAAAATACCACAGAAAATAAAAGTTTATATATATGGGCAAGACGTTATTTGAGAAAGTTTTACCTTCTGTAGATGTTGGGAATAGATTTAAAAAAATAAATTATATACATTACTATTTCTTATGTATTTTGTTAAAATTATATTCAACAAATAGAACTATCACATTTTGTTGACAAATGTATGATTAATTCTTTGTCACATAATATACTGCAATGATATAGATCAGCTATAATCATGATGATTTAAAACTTAATCAGGGCAAAAACTAGAAATTTTTTTTTTACCTTCTTAAAGATCCAGAGTTGAATGAAAAAGAAATTTAAAAATAATTGTTTAGAAAAAAAGGAAGAAATAAAACTACTTATATTGCATCAATTATATGGTTGAGCATTTAATTTCTGTAAGATGCATTAAGTAGATTCAATTAAAATATTGTGAATATAATTGACATGCTGCCATGACATTTGTATGTCAGGACTGAGACAAAACTTATGCAGTACTAGTGATAACAAGAAAAAGTGGTTATTTACCTTCTATGAAATCCAACCAGCCAGATCAAAATGCAGTAAGATGCGTGAGAGGGAGAAAAGAACAATCAGTTGACATGCAAAAACATGCACACATTGTTATATATGACAAGTGAGAAATACTTAAGGTTTCTTCTAACAAATCAGATCATAACAGCCTAAAGAAGTGTGTTAGGTGGTTCCAATAAAGAGAACTGATAACCTAGTCTATGGTGGTATGGGGTAAAAAATGTCAAACTAGAAAAAGAATAATGACTAACACAATTTATGTTGACCACTTCAAGTTGCAATAAGTTTTAACAGCCTAGAAAAAATATACTTACAGGATTTTTTTATTACCCTGATGTAAAATATCCAAATGAGTATTAAGTAGTTTGGCTACTTCCCAAAATAGTTAATAATGAGCAGAAATAACTTACGTTCATCTGCACTGACATCTTCACTCCCGCTTTGATCTTTGCTCTTCATGAAAGGGAAACGACGTGAAAAAGAGAAGTTCTTTTTCTTTCTATCATTGGCAGCAGCTGATGCAGAGGATGTTTGCTAGAAACAGAATAAGAATAATTTCTTTAGTGCACTGAAGCGATTCATCGCAACTCAGAGGGAGCAGAATAAGAATAGTTTCTTTAGTGCACTGAAGCAATTCAATGCAACTCAAAGGGAACAGGATAAGAACTGTAACTTTGCCTAATGACTTAACACAATTAACAAGTAAAAAAAAAAGAGAAACCTTTTCTGTGTTGGTACTATTTTTTCCAGTGAATTTTACATTTTTTAATCTTGCTCGTTCTTTTCTTTCAACCCTGAAAACAGTTATACAAAAACATTATAAGGAATGAAGTATATCTACCTATGCATATAAAAGATGTTGGTTAACATTTCTGCAGCTTTTATCTGCCAAGAAAAGTAAAGCTCTGTGTAGAAATGGAATCTGCATACATTTCTAGAGTGAATTTCTATTAGAATACCTAGCAGCAACAGCTTTCCTATTTACTTGTTATATAGGATTTTGTTTATATTGTCCACAAAAAAAAAAAAAAAAAAAAAAAAAAAAAAAAAAAAAAAAATAAATCCAGAAATCTAACAGAACTCAGAAAGGGATTTGTTGTAAGCATTTTGTGATGATGTATGACAAGAATATTATAGTCGAATTTTCCCAAACAGTGTTCAAGTTATATTCATGATTCAATTCAAGCTATATTTAGGATTTTTCAGACACTTTTAGACATTTCAAATAAGTATAAAAATTTTGAATTTAAAAACAAATGGTCCTTTATCAACCAGTTATTAATCATACATAAAAAATGTCTTAAAGACCCCCTTTAACCTTGATAAAAAATATGCTGACCCAAGCAATAACAAAATTAGAAATATAATTTAAAATAAGAGGATTGTCCATGAATTTATTTTTTTAAAACCCTTTCCTCCCACAACATGCAATGTTTTTTGAAAAAAAAAATTCTTGCAAAAAATTTAACTGAGCTAAGGTTTATTAATCAATTTTTATTACAATTAACACATGTCTTTAAAAAATAACTTAAATTCAAGGCCTCACTAATAAAATGAGCACAGATAAACTTTACCTTTGTTTACTAGGAATAATTCCCATGCCCTCTTCATCGCCATCTGCGAGAATTCTCTTGGCCTGCCACCATTCATCATCACTTGCATTTGTTACATGTATAATGTCTCCATAATGGAATGCCAAACCTTTGCTAGGTAGGCCAGAATCTTTGGATGGATCATAATCAAACAGAGCTCTGGAAGTTTTAAAATTTGACATTAGTTTGGCATACTCACAACTTATTTCTTATTACTGGTTATATAAGACTAGCCGTCTCTACCGGTTACACATGAATAATAGGCCTATATATTTAAATGTTATACATGTTTGAGAAAAATATTTTATAAAATAGTTATTGGTCAAAACGCAATGTGCTTTACTACATGTTGAACAATATTCGTGATAAAGCAAACAAATAGCTAAATAGCTAAAAAAAAACGACATTTAAAATAACATAGGCTACCAATAACTATTAGAAAAATTAAAACCAAATTATATACATTAATAGTCAATAGAACACCATAATAAATGCACACACTGATTAAGAGACTAAAATGATTCTGTTAAAAACCTGGCCATTCAATGGTCATTATGCTTTATAAAGTCATTTGTATTAGTTTGACAGAGAAAATTGTATACATTTCATAGCGTACGTCTTGATACTCAGATTTATAGAATCTAGATCTAAATCAGATTTAAATGAAATAGTTGATTTCTTCATATTCTAAAATCGGAAGATGACGCCATTAGTGTTGTGTTCTTTCCATATTAAACATGTGGCATGTGACATCATTGTTTATTGCATTCTTGGCACAACTGTAAACACTTTTCTGGTTGCATAATTAAAAATGTGTTTCTCCATTTGAATATGCCTTTATTTTTCTTCTTTAAATAAAATTGGTTTATACGTTTAAAACATCCAAAAGTCCGTATTGAGTTCTCCATATATCACTGAAGATACTGATATCATAGCCACTGAAAAGTTTTTGCAGAGAGAGAGAGAGAGAGAGAGAGAGAGAGAGAGAGAGAGACGTTTTATATATTACGGCTTTTATATATTAGGATAAATAATAAGTTCTAACCGGATAAATAAATCAGGGGGGGGGGGGGGGGGGGGGGGGGAAGAGAGAAAGACATGTAAAAAATTTCACATCACTCAATCTTTGGAAAGTATATTTTAACAATAGTAGCAAAGGCAGAAAAGAAAAAGAAATAAAGTTTTATGTCCCACTAAATGCTAACAGCTATTTAGTTACTTTTATACTTGTGTAGAACAGTTTTCCTCGTAGAGTTTTACTTCAACGGCTGAATTTCAAATTTTTTTTTGGACTAAGCACTTTCAACATATTTTTTAAAATACCTAGCACAGGTAATAAGGCAGTTAAGTTTAAATTTGCAGGTCACAAAAGGCAACTTACCTTACAAACAGTGTTTTTTTGGGGGTTGTTCGCAAGCTACCTGTGCTTGTATTCATCATCTGTTCTCTGAGGTCTTGAATTTTTGCTTCAAACCTATTGTAATCTGATAGAATAAAACATCACCTTTTATAACAATAGGTCGCATGTAACAAACACATCTCCAGAAAAAAATGCACTGATGCATAAATTAACTACACATTTAAAAAAAAATATTTTCATTATAGCAAAAACATGATACTTTATTACCTTCAAAAGCAGCTAAGGCAACTATGTTGAAGGCACTATGTTAAGAACAATGATTGTAAATTCTATTTCCTTGGGGCACATTTTAGGCTTAGTTGTTCAGCACATGACCAGGCCTTTTCACCTGCAGCACACTGTCATGTAAGTCCTGACATATATCAAGCTACAAATATGCATAAAACAGACAGCCATCCCTGCTGGCAAACAGTCACCAGTCTAAGGTTACGACCTTCCAGCTTATGTGTCATGTGGTGTGTATGTCTAACTACACACACACACTTGTCAAAGGTTTAACCTACTTATGCAAGGTTATGCTCTACACATAAGCTGAATTTAAAAGCCAAATATTTTAAAGGGGATCAAAGGATAGCTTTTGGACCATTTTATGTCTACACTTTTATGACTGCCTTAATAACAGTGCTATTTTATTTATTTACCTTACTTAGAATAGCAGTCTTATCTGCTCAATTTATCAAAGAATTTTATGTGTGTATACATTTATACAAACATGCTTATCTTTAATATAGAAATTACTTATCAAGGAGGAAATACAAAGAGAATACTGCAACAAAAAGAAGGAATATTGTGAATAGGCATTTGAAATTTTATTGTAACTAAGACATCATGCCCAATGTGCAGTTATTCATCTCATAAAGATACCAACAGAACAATTACGGATTTAACAAGCTTTTGTTTTCAATTTAAAAGATTTTTTACTTTATTAAATGGTAATTTTATAGACTGCAATGACCCAAGCTTAAAGAACCATAAAATCTACCATTAAACAAAAATGAAGTATCAAACATGTGTTATAGATTTGGTTATTGATAAACTTTTTACTTTTTGTGTAAGCTTTCACACATTCAGACTTATTGCTAGATTATAGCTATCTATGTGTACTAAGGGTATCAAAACCTAAATACATTAAGTTGTTTAAAAAAAAAAAAGAACAATGCAAAATTGCTTTCATGCCACTTAAAGGCTTGGAAACATTTTAACAATTAAATTTGTAAGGAACTAAATAAAAACACAAGTGTATTAAACTTGAATGGCCACACTGGTAATAGACTGTTGTACAGCAAAGAATTATGAAGGATGATTTTGTTTCTGATAGCTCCAACTTGATCAATGGCAAGCAGTTTACTGCCTTCTTTAATTGATTTAAGCACCGGCACCACTCACCAGACCAAGAAGTGAGGATAAAGCTTTGTATTGATTTGAAAAAATGTCTGACAAAAACATAATCATCCGCTAAAAAGGGGTTTGTAATGTCACAGAGAATAAGAAACAACATATATGGACAAAAAGAGTAAAAATGACACAACGCCAGATTTAGTCTGAATATAAAATGACAAGTTTATTGGCTTGCTTTAATTATATACCAATTTTAATTGCAAAGATTTTTAGCCAATGTGAAAAATGATACACCAAGAATATACAAGATGCTTTTATCTTCTTCAAAAAGTGTTATTAATGGTTATATATATAAAACTAATGATATGTAACTTCTACTCACTTCTTGGTTAGAGATGGCAGAGCACTAGTCACTGGCCCATTGGATTGTGCCAGCCATTATGTTAGTAGAAAAACAAAACCCACCACTGAAAATGCTAACTGATAACAAAATACAAGTCTTCTCATTCCTGCTCATCTAAACCAGTAGCAGCATTTGTCCACCCCTTTTATTACCAAACATAATATCAAAAGTGATATGTAATGGGAAAAAAAATTTCCCACTCCAAACTTCAACAACAAAGGTAGTTATTGAATAAAAATATGTAAATTATGCTTAAAATATGGAAAGCATGTCAAGAATTTGAAGAGGGGAAAAGCAGAAGGGTACAGGAAGATGTAAAAATACAACTTGTAGATTAGAAAACCTTTCTTACAGCTGATAAAAAAATTATTCTGTTTAGGTAACTATGGCTAGAGAGATCACTATATGGGTAAAGTTTATTATGCTTCAAAAAAGTGATAGGAAAAAAGGAATGTCTTTGACAAAAATAAAATAGTTGATAAAGTTCTCACCTGAATAAACACAATATTTTCAAAAAAAATCAACTACAACTGGAATGTATCACTAAAAACAGAGCATTTTAAAATCCATGCCTAACCCTGATAATCTGATAAACAATTGGTGTTTGAGATTCTAAGTGCTGGGTAAATGTGTATTAAAATCAATAAAATATTGAGTTCTCATGAATTAACATTTGATGGCAGCATACCTCATGCTACAGCCATACTCTGGTGTAATTAGAGAAAAAAAAATCTCTTCTGTTGTCATAGTGAATGCTTTGGTTGACATACTGGAAGAAACCAAGACTTGCACCATTCTCAGCACAAGGGAGTAGTGAGGTGAACAAAAAAATCAATGTAAATATCTACTGTGACAGCGGAGGATGTACATGCTGCTTGTAGGAAATATTGATTTTTTAAAACTTGGCAACATTACTGATGCTCTCACATAAACAGCCTTTGGAATTTTAAGCTACACCCAAAATTAAAAGTTAAGAAAATTTGCTACAACTTTAAGAAAAAATAAAATTTACTGTTAAGCAAATAAACCTTAAGTCAGATCTGACCAATTATTTATATGCATTAAAAATCAACTGATTTTCCCCCCAACAAATACCATGAAAGTATTGGCAAAAGAATAATCTTAAAAACTAAATATGGAATGCTATCAGCTATAAAATAGGAACCTTTAAAAAAAATACAGATTAAAATGTAATATAATGGTTTTAATGAAAAATATGTAATCTTTTTTACAGATTATGTTGATATTAAACTATCAATGAAGATATATTTCACTTACAAATATGAAAATTTGAAATGGAAAAGTACATGTTTGTAAAATAAAAGTCATCAATGATACAACCATTTATCAACAACCTAACACATATATGTGAATTATAATTGAACAATATGGACAATCATTCTATTTTTATTCATCTAAAATATAAATGATTATTTACCAAAGATTAAAGGCAATAAAAAAATGACACCAAACCAGTTTATTAATAAATCTGATAACTAGCTCCACGTCAGACAAAAGGAAATAGAAAAGTATGTTCAGATGATAAATGGCGCTTCCTAGTTAATATTTAAAACGTTTTAGAAAAAAATATAAATTTCTTTATAAATTACCATAATGGTACTTGCCAAACTGAGTAAATAAATTTTAAATTTACCACTTTTCAAAATGAATATTTGTTAAGACTTAACAAAGTTGGTAAACGAATGTGAGAAATTTTTTTTTATATGACTGAAATTCTAATCCATTTTCTCTACAAAGTTCAAAATTTAGAAATTTTGCAGTTATGTTGAAAAGTGTTTACCATACATACTATAACCATTAGCATATTTACTACTTTTAACCCAGTGCCTAAAAAAATTTAAAATTAATTTTTTTTTTACAACATCGATTAAAGCACCAGCTAAATGGAGATTACTACAGATTACTAAGCAAATTATCATGAATTATTTACAACTATTAAGCAGCCATTTAAGATCTTAGTAAAAGACAGATGAAGCCCTTTTGTATAACTGACACTTCCGCAACAAAACCACTGAGTCACAAAAAGAAATCATGCTGTAACATTTCATGCAATTCTTATTACAATGTTTAAACAATTATTTTAAACTTTTTTTTTGTCTCTAAAAATATTTCACACACATGGGTACATACAATTGACATTGGGGGTGCAAGATAACTATATATTTAAATGATATTAGGTAAAACACAATTTTGAATGGTACACACTATACTAATGTTTATTGCCCATTACAACTACTGGAATAGAAACTATAAATGAATATAAAATTATGAAATTAAATTGTGAGAATTATTACCTTTGGATAAAAGTATTAGAAAGTTTGATTAAAATTTCTTTAAAAAATAATAGCCATGCACATTTGATCTAATAAAAAAAGTTCAAGTGTATTTAAGATGTCTGAAAACTAGAAATGAACATTTGGTTTACTTATAAAAAAGTAAACAGAGGTACTTAAAAAATAAAAAGAGGAAAACTTGCAGTTATTTAGTTTTTACTATTGTTAACGATCAGGCATAAGCATCCACTTTAAAAATTAACAAACATCTTAAGACAAAAATTTAGTTAAGAATAGTCTTTATAAGACTGATAAGTGGTAGCATTACCATACAGTTAACATAATAAAAACTTGAGGGAAAACTGACAAGCTGAAAGGTTGGTGGGAAAAAAAGCGGCACCCCAGGATGTCAATTGTTATGTTTATGAATAGTAATCTGCTGCATACCTTCTGGTCTATATTGTGCTATGATCTCCACAGTGTCTCCAGCTCGTTTGAGGGCCTGTGCAGCCTCTTCATGGGTGGCCAGCTTTAAATCTGTACCATTTACCTAATGATGGAAACAAATTTCGTTTATTTCAAGTGACAGTAATAAATTGGTATGTCGAAATTAAAAGCAACAGAAAGTAACTTTTTCCATTTTAATATTTAAATTCTGAAAGAAGCAGAATAACATAATACACTGCTTTATAATTAGCATTCACTTTTTTTGCTAGATATATTTTAAAAATAAAAATAATGAAAATTTACAACTGACTTAATTTTTAAAAATACTTACAGAAATAATCTGGTCCCCACGCCGTAATTCCCCAGAGAGGTCTGCAGGCCCTCCTGCTAAAATGAAGGATACAAATATTCCCTCGCCATCTTCCCCTCCTACTATATTAAACCCTAACCCTGTCGAACCCTTCTTTAATACAATCCTCCGTGGATCCCTGTGAACAAGAAATACAAAATAATTTTAGAAACGCTTTATTCTAACAATAACTTAAAAAATGTCAATAGTACGTCTTGCCGCAATAATAACTTAATTGATTTAACTGACCATTGCGTTTAATATATATTTTCTAGCAGTACGATACAGTATCATAACAAAGTATTTTTTTCTGCCAGTATTTCTGTTTTGGTCGAGGTAGTGTAAAAAGCCCTACTGGAGAACACACAAGTACACCAAAATGTAAAAAAATTGTAGCCAAAACTACCTTAAGCATACAATTTTTAAAATGTAAATAAACATTATTCGTTATATGATACAACGTTGTAACCAAACAAGCAGACAATTTGGTGTCAAGAAATAAAGAGATTTTTTATTAGCCCAGTACTAGGTTCTTTCAGTTGGTGTTTTGTTTACTTGTAATGTATTAATGTAGATAACCTAATTATGTTTGTTTAATTCAACACACAGACTTTCCCTGCCCCACTCAGTGTAGATGTAATAAACTGATGACCCCATAAATAAATTTATAAAATTAGCCTTATTTAATCAGGAATAAGTTTATAATTTGTGAGTAAAACATCTGGCTTCAATAAATAATTCTTTGCCCAACCAAGAAACTAAAATGTCATTCATTCTCATTATAGCTTTCAATATAAGAATAATAACTACTATTCTGTAACAAACTATCAAGTTACTATCAAATTTGAGCCGGTTGTTCATTTTTAAAGAGAAAAATAAAATTTTATTAAAATTTGAGTTTTTTAATTGTAAACTGAACTTGAGTAATTTTACATGGCATAGAAAGGCAGATAATTCAACTAAAAAGAACAAGGCTTCATTCAAATTATAACTTTATTTAGTGAGATGAGCATGAGGAGTGTTTTCATTAATCAAAACCCTTAAAAAAAATCTATATTGAGCACTGGGGCATGACATTTCGGGGTACAAGGTCACCATTGCATTGGTTAGCAGATAGACAACAGACTAAATCTACAGACATAGTGAAGTTAGTATATTTAATCAGTTTGTAATTGGTACTAACAAGATATATGTGAAATGTATGTTATCAGGTAAATAGAATGGGTTTTATATCACTACCTAAATCACTATATTTAATAGCCCAATTTTAAATCTGTCTAAGTGATGCTTAATTAAACATGAGACACATTCAGAATGGTAGGCTGTTTGGTTTATTTAATCCACCTTTGAAAAAATGGCATCAATTTTCTTTTTTATCAATATATTTAAAGTCTGTCAGTAAGTGTGAGGTTTTAATGCAAAGAAATCACAGGGGTAAATGGTTAGAGGACTGGATTTATATCAACGAGTGAATAGTAATAACTCTTAGTCTCATTCTACTTTAATATAATAATAATTAAAATGTTTGACAAAATTTAAAATTAAATTATTTCTTAATATAATTTTTTTTGCAAAACTTTTATTTAAGTTCAAAGAACGCTGAATTTTAAAGTCATATCATTGTTTGGTGTATATTATTATTTGAATAAAAATGCAAAGAACCAATCTTTTTTCACTTCATTCTTTACGAAGATATATATATATAACAAAGGAAAAATGTGTACCCAATCTAAAAATAGATTTCTAACCATGCACATCCAGACATGCCTACCCCGCCAACCAAAAGTAGGAACAGTCATACCTAAAACAATTCTGCTTATCTGTACCTCAACCTCACAATAGCCGATTTAAAAAAAAATAGCACTTCTCAATAAATGCAATTCTTTCATTGGATATATTTGTGACAACTGGGAGATCATTGATTAAAGAAGGCTATTCAAGTTTTAATTACCTAAAATAATGTTGATCAAGAAAGCTTCATGGAAAAACCAGTAATTCTTAATTAAAACCAAAAAGTTGCATTTTTTTCTGGCATAGACCAAAAAGTTAAAAAAGCATTCATATCTTTGTAGTCTCACACTAAATTTCAGTTACCATGATAACTATATTAAGCAGAAGTCATTTGTCCACAATGGACGAAAGAGAAACTAAAACCAGAAGCTTCTATTGACGTTGCTAAGCCGTCTAGAGTCATGAGACATTCTATCTAGAGTCATGAGACATTCTATTATACTCCGAATCCATTCATGTATGTAGACAGATTTCAAGTGAATGACAACCTTAAAGTTCATTTATTAGGCCTACAAAATAAAAATAATCAATCTGGAAAGTGTAAAAGTACTGAAAGGGTGAGGATGGACATAGTCGCCGACGAGATTTGACTATAGGCAAAATCATTTAAAGTATGCATACAGTTAGGTTGCAGTGTTTTAATATGATTGAATTTTAAAAAATTGTTCATAAATCAGGTTAACTTTTAGCTATCATACAGTGAAATAGTCAACATTCAATCACAATTTTTTGAGATATGATTCTGTCAAGTTTTATAAAAAGTGAAAAAAAAAATGAAAATATTAAATCAGGTCACAGACCTTGTAGATCTAGTTTTTTTAAAACCATTTAGAGGAATTGTGAAATCCTTCCCCCCCCCCCCCCCCCCCCCATAATTCTAGTGAAAATGTCTAGGCTTAACCAAAAGGTAATGTGGTAAATTTAAATTGACTAGGGAGGTCATCCAATATTATATTAGGCCTAGATCTATATTTTAAACAGTCACTAGATCTAGATCTACGCCTAATTGATTTTGGATTGGGCCTAGGCCAATTTTTATTATTTTTATTATTGTAAACTGCTTCTGATATTTTCATCAATAGATTAAGTTTCGATCTAGAAATCTAGATCTAGACTAGAGATTCTAATTCACAGGGCCCTGTCCTAAGCCCGACACTCCAGAATCACAGTGAACAGGAAATAACTTTTTCATTCGATTCTATTTGAATGGTAGGTCCTAGATCTCTAGATCTACTAATTAAAAAAAAGTATAACAGGTTACGATTAAAGTTACTGATAGGGATAAATCTACATTCCAGTCGATATTTTAGTCTAGATCTAGATCTTTTAAATAGTCTACCAAACAGTCAAAAGTAAGTTGGTTGCGTTGTTTTTTTTTGTCTTGACTTAGGACAGCTTGGGCAACTCACCTACGAACCCGAGGATCATAAAAGTAGGGTTCTTTTCGTCCGTCTATTCTATGCATTCTATCAAACCTAATTTACTAAATAAAATATGCTATCATTGTAAGTTAAAACAGGGTTCTTAAATTATGTAAAGTCCTTGAAATTTTCACATTGTAATACTAATTTTTCTGAGTGAAGCCATCTTGAATGTTAACATCTCGCCGTAACATTTGCGTCGTTAATTCTGATTGGTCGGGCAAGGCGGAACTGAGCTTCACATCTTCCATTGAAAAACACTCTTTCATGACCTAGCTAACGCAGTTACCTTACTCCCAATAAGAATTTAGCCGGCGAATTTTTTGAAGGGCCGACAGTCCGTATAACATTTACTTTACTTTAAAGATTATCTAGTGGTATCATTTATAAAATATAATTTACTATCTAGCGATTTGTGTTTAATGATTTTTTTCTAGCTTATTAGTATTATTAGATATAGATTCAAGTACTAAATCACATAGGCCTTGTCGTCAAAAGTGTGCGATGGGCTATTGGGGGGGGGGGGGGGGGTTCAATAAGTGTAATTATATATTTTTATATAACAATTTCAGTAAACATAATTTTAGTAAGGAAGTATACTAATTTTAATGGCAGTGGTAGCGTTGCTTTTTATGGCGGCGATTAAGGTCAGAGAGGGGGTACTGAATAATCGATGATACGCCATTTACGAACCACTTGAAAAGAAATTAATTGATACAGTGTAGAAAATATTAACCAACGCAACATGCCAAAGCTGTAAGTAGGTGGTTCTACATCATGAAAAGATAGGAGTGATGTTTACTAGAAGGGTGAGGTGGACACTATGTAGATGGGTGGGACCACATCAGGGGGGGGGGATGACTAGACGGGTGAGGTGGACGCTATATAGATGGGTGGGACCACTTCAGGGGGGGGGGATGACTAGACGGGTGAGGTGGACGCTATATAGATGGGTGGGACCACTTCAGGAAATGATGGGGGGGATTACTAGAATGGTGAGGTTGACCAAATTTAGGTGAATGGGCCCACATTAGGAAGATTTAGAAGAGATTAGAAGGTTGAGGTTTAAACTTTTCTAAATTAAGTTACATATGGTATGCTAGAGCTAGGATTAATGATAGCTTATGACATTTCAAGTTCGAATACCAACCATCAGTTGTGTTTCAAATTATCATTTTTGTGTTATGCTTATAGCTTACAGGCTTTAACCCATAACAATCCCTCAACCCAAACAGCAATACAGGCAGAAAAGAGACCTGAAACTTGTAGTACTTGTGTTTTTATAAGAACTCTTTCTAATTTGATCTGGTGATGGTGGCTTATCATTGTTGTACTTTTAAAACTTAAATCTTAACTTCATGTTTCTCTTTGAGAAGACTACTACAAGCCTGCCTGAAACAAGCACTATAAAGTTGACTTGAGAATAAGTTGTTTGAAAGTAAATTACATATTTCACAGCCAAACATGATTACAAATAAAAAATTAACAATTTGGGTAATTGTGTGTGTTGAAGCATGATCCTGAAATTCTTTCAAATATTATTACATTAAGCTTTAAAATATTGTAATATTGATGATGAATGGTGATATAATAAAGGTGGATTAATTTAACTTAAATAATAATACACATTTTTTAAATATATAGTAAGTATATATCTGATTTGTTTGGTTGTGCCCCCTTTTAAAGAAAATGACAGGCAAAAAACAGGTCAAATAAAATAAGGCAATAAACAGTCACAAAAATGTAATAAAAAATACAGCAAATAACTTCATTTCAAATAACAACTTACACAACAGTCAGGCTCTTCTAACTTGACTGCCTGAGCAAACTGCTTTTCAATTTCTAGTTCTTTGCTAGAGCAATTAGATACACATTTATTGCTATGATATTTATAGTGTTTAGTGTGGAAGCTTAGATAGTTTAATCATCATTATTACTAAGTGAAAAAGTAGAAATAACTGAAGAAATTTAGGTGTTCTTATAAAAACACAGGCAGGATAATTAGTAACCTGTAGAGGTTTTATTTCTGCTGGTATCACTGATGAGGGCTCTGGTCAGCAATATATAGTTCGGATTGGGGTTTAGGGGTAGGACTACATCTAAGCTTAGGGTTGTGATACAAGCAAAAAAAAATCCGCAATGCTTTCTGCATATTACTAAGCACGAAATTAGGATGCGGTTGATTACATCTTTTGCAGCAACTGCTAAGAAATGACACATTGTGGTCAAAAGGGCAAATGATTCATCAGTTTCTGTTATAGAGCTGACTGATAATAGACAGTCAATATAGCAGAAATAATCAATTACTGTTTTAGAGCTGACTGATACAACAAACAACATTCTCCTATTGCTCAGTGCAAGGACCTCAGTCCATGAGATGACTTCATGTAATGTTGATTAGACCTTTAATATCAAGCAACACTTAGAAGATGCTTTTAATACAAAAATACCATTATGTGAAATAGATAGAATTCAGGTAGAAGAACGGAAGGAATTCATAAAACTCAGGTCATGGAAACACTTTCAATACAGCATATTTTATGTACAACATGTAAAGCAGTTGCACCTTAAGTTTTAGATGTTTAAAAAATGCCATGTTTACAAGTAAATATTTCAATTCATGAACAGAGAGCTGAACTTATACAAGCAGCTATTTTCAGGCAATGGCATGACTTCAAAGCTGTAGCAACATTCACAGATGCTTTAATTCCAAGTAATGTGGATAGAAGTTGTAGAAATGTCAATTTTTCTTTACCTTGGTGGCTCATCCTCCGTTAGGCTGGCTTTAGGTGCAGGTGGTGTTGGAGGTCTGAAAGTTGACATTGAGTGTGAAACGGAATGCGGGATGCTAGATGTTCCATGCTCTGAAACCATTTAAAAGAAATTTATTTCAAATATTTTATTGGAAATTATAGAAAAAAGAACAAAGTATTAAGATTAAAGTAAGCAGAAGACAAGTAATGATGTTGACCAATGTAAACACTTTTGCTCATTATATTTTGACTACAAACCTAGTAAGTCACTGAGGTTGTCTGCCGCAAAAGTTGGTTTAGCAATGGTTAGGCGAACAACTTCCTGAGTGTTTTTGAGAGCTTGAACGGCTTCTTCATGTGTTACATCCTCCAAGTTGATGTCATTGACCTGGAGAGATACAAACAATAACAGTTGCTTGGCTAAACCACAAGTTATTTGTTTGTTTACATGTTGGATTTTCCTAACAACAGGCTTAGCTAGGATTATTTTTTTTCAGGTTTATAATTTCCTATAAAGAGACAGAATACTGTTAGATCTTGCTTCATATCTAATTCTACCTTGATTCAATACTAAACTATATGATAACGTACTGTATGTGTAGTTTACTGTTTTATTTAGATAGAACTTACAGCAAGAAGTCTGTCCATAACAGCCAGTCTGCCATCAAGCTCTGATGCTCCACCTTCAATAATTTTGGTAACAAAAATACCATTGTCTCCTGGAATGTGTTGGTTGCCTTTACCCCCAGCAATGCTAAAACCAAGACCTAAAATGTGATGAAAAAAAGATGAAACTTTTAAAACAACAAACGTTTAAGACAAGTCAACCAGTTTATTTAGTGTAGCTTGATCAATTATTTTATTACTTCTATCATGCAGAAGCAGTGGAAAATATTTTAACTCATGGAACAAGGTGGTAATATTAGGTAGACCTTCTAGTCCTTTTATATGTTGTTTGAACTCTACTTATCAATAAATCAACAAACCATCCTTACTTCTTGCCATGTGCTATAGCTTTAAATAGAGTAACTCAAATTGGTTTTAAAGAGACTGCTAGCTGAGTCAGTTTTAATTTTTGTTTTCTTAAAGTAAATGTATACATGAAACAGTATGCAATGATTGTTAAAACATTCACAATTTAAAAATTCAGTTTTAATGAATGTACTACTGAATGAATTCACACATTTAAAAAAAAATTGATTAGAGTGGCTGAGAAGCTGGGAAGTAAAAAAAAATATTTTAGAAAGCTTTTCCAACTCATGATTGTCAATTTTTAATTGTATATGTAGGGCAAAATAATTTATAACATTAAGTAAATAAATTCCTGATAGAAATTGTAAATCACGACCAAAGATAATGTCATGCATTAAAAGAAAATCCATAATAAACAATATATTCATTTTTTCTGATGAAGCCAAGCAATATATCAAATACATCACAGGTTTAGAAGTGTAAGGATAAAAAAACCTAACAGAGTTGTGTGCAATGAAACATGAGCTGCTGGTCAAGTTTGAAAGGTGGAATTTACAGATCATTAGCAATGCCTTGAGAGAATATCATGTTTGACATTTTCAGCAGTTAGGAAATATCAGCCATTTATCACAAATTAAAAATTACATAGAATAACCAGAGAATCATGTATGTATACATAAACTCATAGATAAAAAAAAACAAAGTGCATTGTGATGGAAATAAGCCTTCATTTTCATGTTGATAACAGTGTTGAAAGTTGACGCTTATTAAATAATAACAGCATCATTGATCATGCAGGCTTAATAGAAAAGCAAAATGTGCCTTGAACTCATTACCTCTGAACTTTATCTTATTACAGCATTGCATTTAGCCCTAAAAACAGTAACTCAATAAAGTGAGCTTCTAAAAGAACTTTCAAAAGCATTTTCATGTCTAAATTAACCTTCCACTTTCAAAGGCAGTTCCTTTTCAAAATGTTCAAGGAACTTATTAAAACTATTCCCTTACTTTAATAAATCTGTATAACTACATCTATGGTGACTGAGGAGCATTGATGAGGGTCCTATTAGCAGGGATTCTTTTGAATGGGACAATTTTACTTGGGAACTTATAATCAGGAGCTGTATTGAGGGAGGCCCTTTTGCTAAGAGCCCAAATGACTAGAGCCCTTTGATGGGGAGCCTAAAATATGTGTGCCTGTATATCCAGAGCTTAAAAAAGAAAAGCCTGTTTGTTATGGGGCATAATGACAGGAGCTTGTTTTTTGAAAGCCTAAATATTAAATGGTGAGAGACTGCCTGGTTGATGGGAGGCTTTTTGTTGGGAAGCTATGCTTGTGTAACACATACCATGGTTATCAGTCCGGGGGGGGGGGGGGGGAGGAGGAGCATAATTTATAGTTTAGTTGGTTTGTAGGACCGAAATTGTTGATGTATTTTTTTATGCTCTTCTGTGAGCAATGTTCCTTGTGTTCCCATGTAATGTGACATCTGGGTAGTTGTACCTGTGGCCGCGGTATTCAAACCCCAGGCTGCTAATGACATGGACGGTGCAGTTGTTTAGGTTAACTTGGTTATGTAGACATAATGAAGGTATTGTACATTATATTTTAAATTACTGTTTTTTATCATACTAGCGCTGCATGTTGCAGACTAGGTATGTGAAGTATCTTAGATTACATGTTTATATTATTCCTACTAGTGCTGCATGTTGCAGACTAGTTAGGTTAAGTACTTATCATTGTAATAATTGTTGACAGTATTGTATACTGGCCATAACCTATTTTATGACACGTGTATTTACATAGCCTACACATGACTGTGTATTCAGAAATATAACTTATTGTTGTTTACATTTGTTTTAGGGCTATATGCCGTTTATGGCTTTGACGTTCATGAACTAGCCATTTACAGATTTGCAATAAACATATATACGCCTATACACACATATAAATACACATATCTCAACCTCACAAACCTCAATCTTACAACCAACAATGCAACCCCCTTTTAAAAAAACTTCCTTAAGTCTAAAATAAATGTGTCCCCTAGGGTTAAAAAACATAACTCTTGATTGAACCTCTGAGTGGCTGTTCGCTAGAATGCAGGCAGCAGAGGGTCAGGGGTTACATTGCTCAACTGGCATATTTATTTCCCTATTCCATGACAACACCAAAAAAAAAAAGTCACATAGAAAGATATCTTAGTTCAAAGCTAAGAGGATTTGTAACAAATCAATGCAATTTCTAGGTGAAATCCCATCTCTGCTTTAACAGGCATGGGCTATTACTCTGTCTTCTAATTGGTAAAAAGAGACGTTTTTTCTTTTACTAGGCATAAATTAAGATTTTTACCCCTTGAGGATTTTCTAAAAGATGGTATGGCCAAGTCTATTTTTAGTTAATCCTCTTAAAGTATTTAAACAGCCCCCTTCCATCATGAAATCTATCAGCTACCCTCTCACACGCCATCCCAACACTTCTCTTTGGCCAAGCTGAGAAAGCCAGGGGCAGAGTACCCTCAAAGAAAAAAAAAACTGTCTGGATATTGAAGACATGAGTGGGCACATGGACCTGACTTTAATTGACTCTCTTTCTCAGCCTCCAGCCCAGCCCAGAAAATGGCCCTGACAACAAGCAATAAAGGAAGCTCCAATTCATCTCTTAAACAAAACACATTTAAACACAATCTCAATAGCAAGATTACAGCTGCCTGGCTAGAAAAAACATTTTTCTGATACATTTATTCAATTTTTTCCTTTCTAAATGACAATGATTAAATTACAATTTGAGAAAAAGCTAGAAGAGGTTACATAATTTTATACTCACACTACTTCTGATCACATAGATTAGCTAAGTATTATTTAGATTAACCTCTCATAAGAAACCGACTTTTAGATTTCTTAAATGTGTTGGACTGTAATTAAAGAATTTTAACTGTATTATTTTTTTTTACTCTTCAGAGAATCGCCCCCCCCCCCCCACCAAATAAAAAATATAAAATAAATAGACAATGCATAAATTTGAGCTCCAATGTTTCTCACCTTTGTTTCCTTTGATTAGCTCTATCTCCATGATGTTCTCAGCTGGCTGTTTAGTACGTTTTACATACTGAAAGGTTGATAAAAGGTTTTACTTATTCCTCTAATCAACAAACAAGCAGACAAAATTTAACCCAGTCCTCAGTGCAACAAAAATCAGAAGAGGCATTTAAAACATAATAGTTTTCTAGTTCATTAACATACTGTAGGGGACCAATGAAGAAAAACCCCATACATAAAAAAAAGTTAAATTCTTGAAAACTAGGCTTATAATAAATGTGCTTATTAGAGATTCTGTTAAAACCATCTATTATTTAAATCCTTAATCCTTATTAGTGATTCTATTTAAACAATCTATATTTTAAAAAACCAGACCAAAATTTAAACCAAAACAAAGATTTTAAAATTACTACTTTCTATTATTTAAAACATAACTACGTAAGAGATACACATACATTAGTGTATTTTAAAAACATTTCTATTTTATAACACTCAATTGTCTACTGTTAATTTTACTTTCAGCTAGGAAAAAATCAATACATTTAACAAGCCTGGGATGTGAGGGGGTTTCGTTTGTTTCTGGGTTGTGAGGATTTTTTTTTTATTCCTGGAGGGTTGTTTTTGTCTCTGAGATGTGAGGGGTTTTTGGTTTTGTCTCTGAGATGTGAGGGGTTTTTGGGTTGTTTTTTTTTTGTGACATGAGGATATTTTGTTTGTTTTTGAGATGTGAGGGTATTTTGTTTGTAGGGATGTGAGGGTATTTTGTTTGTTTTAGAGATGTGAGGGTATTTTGTTTGTTTTAGGGATGTGAGGGTATTTTAAAACGTTTTTCTTAACTCAGCTTCGCGTTTGTTTGTTTGGTTGTTTGGATGTTTGTTGTTAAAATTGACATCGAAAATTAGCCCACTTCTGATTGCTCTAGAGACCTGAAATTTGGCATGCATGCTACTTTCGCCTAACAATTTCAGATGCAATCATAAAAACTAGCAATTAGTGACCGTAATTAGCTTAATTTAATTACGCCCCAAGGACCATAAAATTGAGGACATGATTTCTAAAGATACCGACAAGACTGGAGTCCTAATGACACAGTTACTTCGGCCCCAATCGATGTGAGCGCGCTGGCCGTGATCGTATAGTTGTTAGTACTTCGCGTTGTGGCCGCGACAACCCAGGTTCGAATCCTGGTCGCTCAAGATTTTTAGTCCGTGTATTTATAAACACTTTTTAAAAACCACGTTTTTCATGTGTAGCAACGGACTAAAAAGGAGAAAATAAAATACTTAAAAAAAACTTTTTAAAAAACCACGTTTTTCTTGTGGACTAAAAAGTAGAAAATAACTATTTACATACATTTGATGACAAAAAACGTGGGTCGGGCAGATGGGTCGGGAAATTTGATGGTGAACGTACCCACGTTTTTTGTCATCAAATGTATGTAAATAGTTATTTTCTACTTTTTAGTCCACAAGAAAAACGTGGTTTTTTAAAAAGTTTTTTTTAAGTATTTTATTGTTTGTTTTAGGGATGTGAGGGTATTTTGTTTGTTTTAGGGATGTGAGGTTTTTTTTGTTTGTTCCTGGGATGTGAGAAGGTTTGTTTGTTTTTGGGAGGTTAGGGGGTTTAGTTTGTCCCTGTGTTGTGAGGTATTTTTTTTTGGAGATGTGATGGTGTTTTTAGGGATGTGAGGGGTTTTTGTTTTTTTCCTGGGATGTGAGGGGTTTTTGTTTGTTCCTGGGATGTGAGGGGTTTTTGTTTGTTCCTGGGATGTGAGGGGTTTTTGTTTGTTCCTGGGATGTGAGGGGTTTTTGTTTGTTCCAGGGATGTGAGGGGTTTTTGTTTGTTCCAGGGATGTGAGGGGTTTTTGTTTGTTCCAGGGATGTGAGGGGTTTTTGTTTGTTCCAGGGATTTGAGGGGTTTTTGTTTGTTCCTGGGATGTGAGGGGTTTTTGTTTGTTCCAGGGATGTGAGGGGTTTTTGTTTGTTCCAGGGATTTGAGGGGTTTTTGTTTGTTCCTGGGATGTGAGGGGTTTTTGTTTGTTCCTGGGATGCAAGCGGGTTTTGATTGTTCAGCTTGAGAGAAAATAACTAATGAAAATCATCAAACTAAGAATTAAAAAAAAAATTAAATTTATATTTTTGCAAAAATGAAACAAATTATCCTTTTTTAAACAAGTTTTCAAATGTAAAATACCAAAGCTACTTTCCTCCTGTTTCAGATATAAAAACACTTCTCAATACTCTTGTAATAGACTATTCTACAAAAGAAAACCATCCTTACAACACTTACCAAAACAACTTTCCTGCCAGCCTGTTTGAGAGCATCAACAGCAGCAGCATGTGTTGTGTTGCTGACATCCACGTTGTTAACACGCACTATGACATCATTCAGTCTGGTGGGATACAACAATAACAGATAGAATTATATATTTATATTGTGTTTACATACAGTATCACATTTAGTAGGATGTGATAAAATAACAGTTATACACTGACTATCACAAATCAGTTTCTGGTTATAAAATATTAATTTTTTTTTTAATTTAAAAAAATAAGTTTTTTATAAGAACTGGTTGTTATTTCAGTAGAATTGGTTGCATTTACATAGCCTACACATGACTGTGTATTCAGAAATATAACTTATTGTTGTTTACATTTGTTTTAGGGCTATATGCCGTTTATGGCTTTGACGTTCATGAACTAGCCATTTACAGATTTGCAATAAACATATATACGCCTATACACACATTTCAACTACTTTGTTAAACGCTGAACAGTTCTAAAGGAAAAGTAAAACTATTCAAGTTGATAAAATAAAATGTGGTGTTGATATTAAAATCAATAAGCTAAAACCATCCAAGACCAGATGTTTTGAGTATAATGCTCCCATGCCAGGAGGGGAGGGACAGATTCATACATCACTCTCTAAGCCCTCAAGGAAAAACCTAATTTAGCTGGTTTTAATGACTCAGTCTGGACTCAATAAACCTTTAAAAATGATAACTATTTTATTAAATTTAAAGCAGACTTTATAATTCAGAGTTATACATGAATAAGTACAAAGTACAAATATTTGATTTCAAATACAAATTATCATGTTTACAAAATACAACAAAACTCTTAAAGAGGAAAAGAAAATAGCCCTAGGTTTAACACAAAGAATTTTTAAAGATTACTTTAGTCTCTTTTGAAAGTCTAGATCTAATGAACAATACTCACAGAAATAACAACACAACAACCAAGGATTAAGGTTATTGTATGGGTATAAACTTTAAATGGGTTAAGGTGTAAAGTAACTATAAGTAACCTTTTCAATTAATTTATAGTCTCTAAACTAAAATTAAATACTAATGTGGCCATATATAGCCCAATTATCTATTTAAAAATAAGCTTAAATGGATTTAAAACTTAACATGTTAAAAAATACTGATAACCTAGCCACCCCACCCCAACACAAATCCTTATTGAGCTGTAGGCTAAGATATGACCAGACAAAATAACACAGAGCAATCAACTAATTACCTGGTGATACGAACTTCATAGTAAATAGGAAACATGATTAGAAAGGCTGTGTCCAGAAGGTTAACACACAACTAAACTACACCAGCTAGGAAAACAAAGGGGATTCCATCACCAGCCAGTTAGAATAGAATTTAATTCCTCACATCAAAGTGCTGACAGCTAATGGAACACAACTAAAAAAAATACCACTTTATAACTGGCAGACGTTGGAATGATTTCAACTGTCACCACCAAGGCTATCCATAGTGAAAATCGTGAGTTGTCTTTTCATTATTAATTGGTCAGGAAAAAGCATAATCTCTTCCATCGATCCAACCACAACAAATTAGCCGTACCAAGTGTGTCCAGTTGATGAGAAGAATACAGTACAAGAAAAAGCAAGTGACGTAGACTGTGTCTAAGCCAGATTGATCATATACGGCCCAACTCCCACTAGACTCCGTACAGCAGTGAGCCCACATCTAATTGAACAGACTGCGCTTTGCCATTTTCCCATTCTCATTAGCCCATCTTTCTCTCTCTCACACTCCCTCCCTCTCTCTTTCCTTCTTGGAAATTCAATCTTCTCTAGGCTGTACAGGCCGGCTGAAGCAGTTACACTCACAATTTCATAATTAAGTTTCACTAATTTCCCTCACTTCACCCAGCCTTTCCCCGCCCAGGGTGTGTTCTTTCATATGTATAATCGCTTTCACCCTCTCCCCCCTTTCTTATGCACTTGATCGTTTTTAAATCCAATAAACAGAACAAGAAAGTAAAATAGCCGCCGCCGTGGTGCAAGGGGGATGGCAGGGAGACAACTGGTACAACACCTAAAGGGTCTGAGGGCTGCCTGAATGGTTATTTCCCTTGGAGGGAAGACGTGCGTGGGGGAAGGTTGTGCGTCCAACACCAGTTGAGCGTGTTCGAGGGGTGAGTAAGACTGTACATCATTAAGGTAAGGGAGGCTAAAAACGGCTGACAACACTACGAGGTTTAGTCTAGCGACAAATCGTGCGACACGGGGCTCTCGCGGTACCAGCAGCCTCCATTCAGCTGAGAGGTTCCGTGCCAACTGACTACATACAATTCCCGCCACTAGCTACACGTTCCTACCCCACCATCTGAGTCTACTACCCGCAGCATCCCCTTCCAACCGTACAAGGTTGTCTAGTTAATTATTTATGTCCACAAAGCCGATCATTAGGACAGAGATGGAGACAAGCACTTGACTAAACCGTCTGTTATTGCTTGCCCCATTAAGACACTCGTCATTTTGAAGTTGCAGAGCAAGGCAATTATGTCGTACGCTATTAAAACACGGAAACCCACTTGAACCTTTAGTACCTAACACACTTGAAAAAGTTATCTCTATTGTCACTACAGGCTCACACTTCACGGCCTATTGTGCTCCAGACAGCCTCTTACGTTTTTAACTTGCTCTTACCATTCGCGTGGCATATTTTCTCTTGGCATCATAACCAGACATTTTTTTTTACTCTGCCAAGCAAATCCCGTGAGACCGTAGTTTAAAAAAAAATGGCTAAAATTTTACAACCAGCACTTACTGGGTGATGTTGGCTGGGTACAAAGTGTTGATGGCCGCTAGTCGGGTTTTAGGCCAGGGCTAATAGGGGTTGATGGCCGCTAGTCGGGTTTTAGGCCAGGGCTAATAGGGGTTGATGGCCACTAGTCGGGTTTTAGGCCAGGGCTGATAGGGGTTGATGGCCGCTAGTCGGGTTTTAGGCCAGGGCTAATAGGGGTTAATGGCCGCTAGTCGGGTTTTATGCCAGGGCTAAGGAAATGTGAACTGTAATCATCAGATGAATGAGATCTGGTCTGCAGCAAAATCTAATAGCTTCCCACACTGAGTTTATAGCTATCATATATTAAAAAAAAAACACCTCAAAAGCTAGCTATGACATCTTCTTGTTCGAGGGGTGAGTAAGACTGTACATCATTAAGGTAAGGGAGGCTAAAAACCAGATATTTAATTGACAGCTACGACAGATTCTAAACATACATGGGCCGGTAGTCGTTGTGCAAGCAAGACATACATCTAAAATGACCAACGGTAATGCAATGTTCGAAAAACAATGATCTACAAGACAGACAAGACATACCTGAGTCTTCCGTCGTCAGCCGCTGCGCCACCTGGAATGAGTTTGGTGATGTAGATGCTGGGGTCGTCTCCGACGTGTGGGTTGTCGCTGCCTCCAGCAATGCTGAATCCCAGACCGGAGTTACCCTGTCCACAATATTGGTAGCACCACTTTACATCTATCATGGGCACTAACATTTGTGTAGCTAATTGTATCACAACCAAACACACAACGGACAGACAATACGATTTAGTTTCACCACTTTTGTGCACACGTATTCAAAACATAAACAAAGTAGACCAGTTTAAGTTAGTTTAACACATTTCCTGTCAGGCGAGATATTTAACTAACAAAACAAAACAAAAACCAAAGACACGATACAATAATAAAATAAAAAATCTCAATTTATTTTACTTTTTAAACATAAGCTTGGGTAAAATAAATTGTCCATAGAGGAATAATAAAATGTCCGAGACGTTAATCAATGTACAATATACATGGAGGCCTGACAAAACAAGGGGGACGATGCTCTGTTGGATCCCTCACCATCCTCCTGGCCTAAAGCTACCCCACCCCCCACACGCATCGTGATGGCTATTTCAATTTGTGTTCTTGCACAATAGCGTCCCCGTCGTTACAGTCTGCATGTTTTAATGTAGGCGAGAGTTACTGCCACACCACTTTCAATTTGTGTTGTACAATAGCGGCCCGTTCGTTACAGTGTACATGTGTTTTAATGTGGGCTAGAGTTACTGCCACACCACTTTCAATTTGTGTTGTACAATAGCGTCCCCCGTCGTTACAGTGTACATGTGTTTTAATGTGGGCTTGAGTTACTGCCACACCACTTTCAATTTGTGTTGTACAATAGCGGCCCGTTCGTTACAGTCTACATCCACTGATCAATACTGTCGCTGAGCAACTTCAGTAATAGTCACGTGTTGTCCACTTTCATGCAGCATCTGCCTTGCACTTAAATGTATGGGTCAAATCTAGCACTAACATCACATGGACTGGTCAAATATTGATCTAACATTTGAACTGGTCAAATCTAGCACTAACATAACATGGACTGGTCAAGTTTAGCACTAACATCATATGGACAGGTCAAATCTACCACTAACATCATATGGACAGGTCAAATCTAGCACTAACATCATATGGACAGGTCAAATCTAGCACTAACATCATATGGACAGGTCAAATCTAGCACTAACATCATATGGACAGGTCAAATCTAGCACTAACATCATATGGACAGGTCAAATCTAGCACTAACATCATATGGACAGGTCAAATCTAGCACTAACATCATATGGACATCACAAGGATGGACAAATCTAGCACTGATACTTGCACTGGCAAAATTTTACACTATCGCATGGCTTTGTCAAGTTTGCAATAACACACGCAATGGTCAAATCCTACACTCACCTTGCAAGTACTGGTTTCAGCAAAGCCACATATAGCCTTCACGTGTAAAACCCAAAACTCGCTAACCCAACGCACAGACTGAACATGCACTCGAGCGAATATTGCAGGGTGAGCACATCACTCAGAGCGCATACCAACGTGTAAGCAGCACGTGAGCCAACCATGTTGAAAAAAAATATACTATAACGGGGCTCCCAGACCTACACACCTCCCCACCCCACTGTGCTAGCGGTGCCAAGTCTTGAAAAACGAAACACACAGAGCAAACATGTACTTCTAGCTACACCTGGCATCTGAGTGTCGGCTAGCACACTGCTGCCAACATCGGGCTGTCGTTAATTAAAGCCTATTTACACCATCTTTATGATGCTATCAGACAACACAGGTTGGTTGAGACTACAGGCAGACTTACCCTATCGAGAGGAATCTCTTCATATTCCCACTGGCCGCTGTCGTTAATTAAAGCCTATTTACACCATCTTTATGATGCTATCAGACAACACAGATTGGTTGAGACTACAGGCAGACTTACCCTATCGAGAGGAATCTCTTCATATTCCCACTCGCCTGTCGTTAATTAAAGCCTATTTACACCATCTTTATGATGCTATCAGACACCACAGATAGAGACTACAGGCAGACTTACCCTATCGAGAGGAATCTCTTCATATTCCCACTCGCCGCTGTCGTTAATTAAAGCCTATTTACACCATCTTTATGATGCTATCAGACACCACAGATAGAGACTACAGGCAGACTTACCCTATCGAGAGGAATCTCTTCATATTCCCACTCGCCGCTGTCGTTAATTAAAGCCTATTTACACCATCTTTATGATGCTATCAGACACCACAGATAGAGACTACAGGCAGACTTACCCTATCGAGAGGAATCTCTTCATATTCCCACTCGCCGCTGCCGTTGGCCTGAAACATAAGGATGGTTGACTAATTAGACACAAGTTGATTAATGATGGTTGTTTAATAATGACGGTAGCTTAAGATGGATGGCGGTCTAATAAAGAAGGTAGTGTATTAAGTTTAAATCGCCTTATTATTAGGTCGGGTGTTTAATAAGGGTAAGATTTAGTAAAGATTGCAACATAACAAGGTTGATAGCTTTACAAAAAAATTGTGAAATTTTAAAATATTCAAGTTTATCGAGTATGGGAGGTACATACTAATGATTATTAATGTTATACATAATTATAATTACAACAGTTTATCTAGAGACTTAAGTTTATAGTTGTTAAAAAAAACACAACAACACAACAAACACCGGCATTTATTAACTTCTGAGAAAAACGTCCCTCACAACCTACGTAGTTTTTACATGTAGTCCCACACCCCATACAATTAAAGGAAACAGCAGTTCATTAACCTGGGCCACTAATGTCTTCTTTAGAGCAGGGTCCAATGAATGAGCCAGATAAGTGTTGTCATTACCCCCCCCCCCCTCCCCTGTAAAAACCCCGTCCAAAAGAGTGTTCAATTATTTATGTTTAAAACGTTTCTCACAACGATTAAGCAATGTCTGAATAATTTTATTAGCATGTACAGCTTCCATCGTTCAGTTTTTACAGTAGAAAAAAAAACCCAGGGTGCAATGCAAGCAGTTAGGCCGCTTTGGAAGACAATCATTTCATTAGGAAGGCTTGAAAAATATCGTTGGCGGCACCAAGTTGGGGGAAACTTAAATTGGCAAGTCCCTAGGGAGTTTTCAAATTTTCTTCCACGGCCATAAAGATTAAAAAAAAAAAAAACTTGCTTAATAATGCAATCCACTTTAAAAATGCACGGCTTAAAAATCTTACATCAGCTAGGGAGGCAGTGTGCCCATTTTATCTATTAGCAGTTGTAAAGAATCCATTTGAAGTGCACAAGTCACGTTGAAAATAATGAAAAAAAAAAATTGCGCATAAAACGTGAGGCCACAGATATATTTATCTCTTAAGGCGCTATGGTCAAATATTAATGGTGGGGGACAAGGTTTTATAGACATTTTATTCATGTCTTCCGTGTAATAAAAAGATTACAGAGATGTGAAAATGAAACATGTCAATAAGTTTGTATAAATATGTTTACCACAATAACAGAGTGCAAAAGCCAATTACAAGAGCATTCTAAAAATGTAAGGAGGAAAAATTCAAATAGAAAAAAAGACAACATGCAACGAGTATGGCGATACTTACATATTCGGAATCTGCAGCTTCAGATCCGTCAGGCTGTAAGGTGAAACAAGATGTCAATGTTAGAACAAGTGGCAGCAACATGACACAGCAGTTTAGCTCTACAACCCCTACCCCCACTACACCACCAACTACCTTGATAGTTATTATAATAACGGAGGTATTGGGTCTTACGCATGAAGCGTGTCGCACATAAGGGGTAGGAATGACAATAAATGCCCTTCTATAAATAATTGTAACAGTGTGTCGTGTTGAAGCCAGACACGTGACACTATACTAGTGTGCCGTGAAGGTCCCAAATAAATAATTGTACTCATGTGTCGTGTAGGGTCCAGATAAATAATTGTACCGGTGTGTTGTGTAGGGTCCAGATAAATAATTGTACCCGTGTGTCGTGTTAAATAAGTGTACCCGTGTGTGGTGTGGGGTCCAGAAAAATAATTGTACCCATGTGTCGTGTAGGGTCCAGATAATTGTACCCATGTGTCATGTAGGGTCCAGATAAATAATTGTACCCATGTGTCGTGTAGGGCAGGGGCGGAACTACAGTGCCGCCAGACCCCGCAATGCGGGGGGGCCCACGCCATTTAGGGGCCCATTGCCGACCATAATACATTTTTTATAGTTAAAAAAATAACTTTCTTGCATTTTTGACTTGACGGTAAAAGCTTGTGTAAATAACAAACATATATACTACAGTAGTGATGTTATACAATAGCTAACACATGATGTTGCGTAAAAAAAAATATTTGCCTGAGATGTAGTGTGTAAGGTAGGCAAACGTTCAAAACACTTCCATGACTTATTTCCCTTTTCTAACTAGTTAAATAGGGATGCTCATTAGCTCCTTTTAATATATTTGTACTAAACAAACTAAAAAGCAATTACTTCTCTTCATTATTATTTTTAAAAACATACATACTAAAGAATGAGATAGCATAAGAAGGAAATATATTTAAAACAAATAATATAAATACAAATGAAAGAAAAAATAAACATAACACGAGAAACCATTACACATACAAAGCCTTCACGTTTTATATTCCTTTGACCGGCTAAATACTCATGGGCAGCCAGTATTACAACAAACATATTGAATAGTTCTAGAAATAAAAACTAGTTCTAGAGTCTAACTTTAAAAAATGTATAACTCAAAACACACTAAAGCACTCACACACAAGACATGTTGTATTTTGTTTAAATTGAGAAAAAAAAACATTTTACTCAAAACCTGATTAGGCCAGAAACGAGTATCCAATGTTTATATTATATTATATATATATATATATATATATATATATATATATATATATATATATATATATATATATATATATATATATATATATATATATATATATATATATATATATATAGGGGGGGCCCAGAATTTTTTTTTTGCGGGGTGGCCCGTTTTTTGTAGTTCCGCCACTGGTGTAGGGTCCAGATAATTGTACGCATGTGTCATGTAGGGTCCAGATAATTGTACCCATGTGTCATGTAGGGTCCAGATAATTGTACCCATGTGTCATGTAGGGTCCAGATAAATAATTGTACCCATGTGTCGTGTAGGGTCCAGATAATTGTACGCATGTGTCATGTAGGGTCCAGATAAATAATTGTACCCATGTGTCGTGTAGGGTCCAGATAAATAATTGTACCCATGTGTCGTGTAGGGTCCAGATAATTGTACCCATGTGTCATGTAGGGTCCAGATAATTGTACCCATGTGTCGTGTAGGGTCCAGATAATTGTACCCATGTGTCATGTAGGGTCCAGATAATTGTACCAATGTGTCATGTAGGGTCCAGATAAATAATTGTACCCATGTGTCGTGTAGGGTCCAGATAATTGTACCCATGTGTCATGTAGGGTCCGGATAAATAATTGTACCCATGTGTCATGTAGGGTCCAGATAAATAATTGTACGCATGTGTCATGTAGGGTCCAGATAAATAATTGTACGCATGTGTCGTGTAGGGTCCAGATAATTGTACCCATGTGTCGTGTAGGGTCCAGATAATTGTACCCATGTGTCATGTAGGGTCCAGATAAATAATTGTACGCATGTGTCATGTAGGGTCCAGATAAATAATTGTACGCATGTGTCGTGTAGGGTCCAGATAAATAATTGTACCCATGTGTCGTGTAGGGTCCAGATAAATAATTGTACCCGTGTGTCGTGAAGGTCCCAGATAAATAATTGTACCCGTGTGTCGTGAAAGTCCCAGATAAATAATTGTACCCGTGTGTCGTGAAGGTCCCAGATAAATAATTGTACCCATGTGTCGTGTAGGGTCCAGATAATTGTACCCATGTGTCGTGTAGGGTCCAGATAATTGTACCCATGTGTCGTGAAGGTCCCAGATAAATAATTGTACGCATGTGTCATGTAGGGTCCAGATAATTGTACGCATGTGTCATGTAGGGTCCAGATAAATAATTGTACGCATGTGTCATGTAGGGTCCAGATAAATAATTGTACGCATGTGTCATGTAGGGTCCAGATAAATAATTGTACGCATGTGTCATGTAGGGTCCAGATAAATAATTGTACGCATGTGTCATGTAGGGTCCAGATAATTGTACGCATGTGTCATGTAGGGTCCAGATAATTGTACGCATGTGTCATGTAGGGTCCAGATAAATAATTGTACGCATGTGTCATGTAGGGTCCAGATAAATAATTGTACCCATGTGTCGTGTAGGGTCCAGATAAATAATTGTACCCGTGTGTCATGTAGGGTCCAGATAAATAATTGTACCCATGTGTCGTGAAGGTCCCAGATAAATAATTGTACCCATGTGTCGTGTAGGGTCCAGATAATTGTACGCATGTGTCATGTAGGGTCCAGATAAATAATTGTACGCATGTGTCATGTAGGGTCCAGATAAATAATTGTACCCATGTGTCGTGAAGGTCCCAGATAAATAATTGTACCCATGTGTCGTGAAGGTCCCAGATAAATAATTGTACCCATGTGTCGTGTAGGGTCCAGATAAATAAATAAGTGTACAGTAAAGCTCGCGTGGTTAAACCGCCTGATTGCCGGCTGATTGGTCGGCTAGACAATGCGTGTCTGGGGCGGTGGGGTGGATAGACTGGTCGTGGATTGTGTGTAGAGGTGGGGAACTGTTGCGCGACCGTTCACCACACGACTGGTGGGATATAGATAAACTCACAGTACTAAGGTTATAATAAAAAAGGCGGTTAAATGAGGGGTTAACGATTGTCAATAAACAGTTAATTTAATTAATAAATGATCACTTCGATTTAATAGTAGTAAACAGACCTTGCCAGAGAAATATGTACGGGTATAAATTCGAGAAATGATCTCGAGGAGACCAAAATATCACGTAAAACCAAATCTTTAATTTAAGGGTTTACAATTTATATATTAAAAAAAAACCACCTTTAAATAAATCGTGGTATTGTTTTGTGTACTTGGTTTTTGTTTTGTAAACGTAAAACTAAACAAAGGAAACAATCCTATAATTAACATACTACACATGACTTTGAATCAGTTACATCCCCTTGCATCAACTTACGGTTTACAATAAAAAGTTAGACCTAATCAGAAACGAATTGATTGTTCAAATCTGTAAGAAAACAGTTTTAGTGTCTAAATCAGACTAAACGTGTAGCGTTATATAGTTTTAAATGGTGTGATGCGTACAATAACTATGTCGTTAAGGGCCGGGGCTGTTTTAATGTCACCTGTACGTTGACCAACAACACAAGAGATGACGGGCATTAAAGACCAACTGACCAACAACACATGAGATGACGGGCATTAAATACCAACTGACCAACAACACATGAGATGACGGGCATTAAAGACCAACTGACCAACAACACATGAGATGACGGGCATTAAATACCAACTGACCAACAACACATGAGATGACGGGCATTAAAGACCAACTGACCAACACCACATGAGATGACGGGCATTAAAGACCAACTGACCAACAACACATGAGATGACGGGCATTAAATACCAACTGACCAACAACACATGAGATGACGGGCATTAAAGACCAACTGACCAACAACACATGAGATGACGGGCATTAAAGACCAACTGACCAACAACATTTGAGATGAGGGGCATTAAAGACGCTGTACGTTGACCAACAACACATGAGATGACGGGCATTAAAGACCAACTGACCAACAACACATGAGATGACGGGCATTAAATACCAACTGACCAACAACACATGAGATGACGGGCATTAAAGACCAACTGACCAACAACACATGAGATGACGGGCATTAAAGACCAACTGACCAACAACACATGAGATGACGGGCATTAAAGACCAACTGACCAACAACACATGAGATGACGGGCATTAAATACCAACTGACCAACAACACATGAGATGACGGGCATTAAAGACCAACTGACCAACACCACATGAGATGACGGGCATTAAAGACCAACTGACCAACAACATTTGAGATGAGGGGCATTAAAGACGCTGTACGTTGACCAACAACACATGAGATGACGGGCATTAAAGACCAACTGACCAACAACATTTGAGATGAGGGGCATTAAAGACGCTGTACGTTGACCAACAACGCATGAGATGACGGGCATTAAAGACTCTGTACGTTGACCAACAACACATGAGATGACGGGCATTAAAGACCAACTGACCAACAACACATGAGATGACGGGCATTAAAGACCAACTGACCAACAACACATGAGATGACGGGCATTAAATACCAACTGACCAACAACACATGAGATGACGGGCATTAAAGACCAACTGACCAACAAGACATGAGATGACGGGCATTAAAGACCAACTGACCAACAACACATGAGATGATGGGCATTAAAGACCAACTGACCAACACCACATGAGATGACGGGCATTAAAGACCAACTGACCAACAACATTTGAGATGAGGGGCATTAAAGACGCTGTACGTTGACCAACAACACATGAGATGACGGGCATTAAAGACCAACTGACCAACAACGCATGAGATGACGGGCATTAAAGACTCTGTACGT